GGGCATGAGGCTTTTCCCATGCCAGCGAGCAGGCGCACACCGGGGCCCGCTGCCAGGAGCCGACGCCATCAGCGGGAGCCTGGCCCCGCCGTGGGGTTTGGGCAGAACGCTTCAGATCCCTGGTGCTTCAGAAGGTCCTTGCCAGGGACCCACTCAGACACCAGCTGAGGACCTGCCCGGTGACACCTTGCTCGTCTTGCCACTGCCGGGAGGGGGTCGGGAACAGGCACCTCGGGGAACCCGGGAGCTGGAGCTGGTACTTTCTTCTCTCGCCCCTCGCCCCTCGCGCAGAGTCTGACCTTTGTGAGCACAAACACCGGCCACCACCGGCACCCCCGGGCCCAGGCCCTGGCCCTCAGGCCTGTCTGGGAGCTGCAGGGAAGCAGGCGGTGGCTGTGCAGAAAGTCTGTCCCTATGAATGGGTCCATGACCTCTGCCGAGTCCTTCTGGGTAGTCAAGGACAAGCCATGGAAGCCTGCGTGACGCCAGGGCCCCCCGTGGTGGCCGGCACCCGCTGCGCCACCCCTCGCAAGTGCCTGCTGATTCAGGCCTCAGTTTCCCCCTCGGCTCCCTCCAGATCCAGACAGCAGCCCCAGCCAGAGGGGCACTGTCCCTGTCCAGGGTGCTGACACCCGCAGGGCCTGGGAGGTGCAGCCCCACTCCTGAGCCGCGTGGACACAGCGGCAGAACAACACTCACTCTAAAGCTCCCATTGTGCCTCAAACCCAACACAGAGCAGCTGGGATGTTCCCGATGGGCAATTTCCTTTTCTGAAAGATGCTTCTGAGTTGAAGCTGAGAGCATGCTTTATCCTGAATAGCCTCGGGAAGAATCCAGACTGCGAGACTCGACACATCTTTAAGTCCATTCAGGTGCTCGCAGATGTGCGGCCGTGGCGGTGGGAAGACTGGGAGCTGATGATCAGTCACTCAGCAAATGTTGATCAAAATTGTTCCCTAACATGGGGCCTCCCCGGTGGCGCAGCGGTTGAGCGCTGGGTTGCAAAGCTGCCCTCTGCCTCTGCAGTACCGGTTCGATCCCCGGCCGCCGGGCGAGGGTCCCACATGGCGCGACAGACCTCTCCTGCCGCCCGCTGCTCCCCTCAGCAGTGTATTTCGTCAGTCTGCCTGCTCTGCTCCCCGCTCTGGCTCTGGTGAATCCTCTCACCCTCCTGCGCTTCTGACTGTACCCACTGCTTGTATAAATAAATAAATAAATAAATCTTTAAAAAAAATTGTTCCCTAACATGGCATGCTGGGCACCTGGGGCCTTGTCAGGAGACAGGCTGTGGCGACAGTGTTGGCAGTGGGGAGGACAGTGCCAGTCACGATGGTGGTGACGACGGCGAGGGGCCGTAGTGGTGCTCACAGAAGAGCCACCGTGCTGGGGGTGGGGGTCTTGGAGACCTTCCTGGTGGTGATAATGGCGATGGGGGGGATCCTGATGATGACGGGCCTCCTGCCAAGGACAGGAGGAGATGGGATGAGGTCATGGCCAGGCTCGGAGCAGTTTGGGGCTCCTTGTACAACAGACGCGCAATAAGCTGTGCTGTCATCACTGCTCTCACGACGGCTGGCCTCTCCTCTCCCAGCACCACCCTGTCCAGCACCTGAAGGGCCCTCCTTAGAAGGCCAGGCCAGACCCGCCCCCTCCAAGAAGGCTCCCTCCCCGGTGGCTCCTCCGCAGCCTCTCTGCAGACGCTTAGCGGGGGACATGGTGATCCCCAGACCCTGTGCCAAGGGGCCCTGGTACCACCACGTGCTGGTGCCCAGGGGCGGCTGGGAGCACAAGGAGCCCCGTTTCCTGGCAATGGGTCACCATCTGCTCCCAACGGGCTGGCTGAGGGCAGCCGGGTGACGTCAGGGGCCGGGACCGGAGCCGGCTCTCTAGCTCACGCACCTCGGGACCCCTCGCACGCCGCGGAGCTGCCTCTGGCCGGGAGTGGAGCTGTGTCGCCCCGGAAGCACATCTGCGCAGACTGGAGGCTGAGCCGCAGACCCGCTTGGTGGGCACCGCTCGTGTGGAGCGGGACTTGTCTCTCCGTGGGTGCTGCTGGCCATGCCATCCGTGTGGCCATGGGGTTTTCTTGCTGCGTGTAGGTGGGGAAGTCCGAGGCAGCGGCACACCACGCCTCTGCGACTTGGACTCAGCACACTGGTGCTTCCCTCGTCTCTCGGGGAGGGCTTGGTGCTTCCCGAGGGTCTGCCAGGATCACCAGCCTCAGGGAAATTCGCTGGCACCTCAACCTCCTCTCTGCTCGCCAGCCGCCACGGAGACTGCCTTTCCAACCCCAGCTCAGGGCCAGGCTCTGCACACCAGGAGCACCGCCACCCACTAGAGCAACCGTCCTGCAGGTTCCGCTGGAACGCATGTCCCTGGGGCCCACTGTCTCAGTAGGTTTGGGGTGGGTCCTTGCCGTGGGCACCTGGAGCGCTTCCGGCGCGGACTGCCCGTGGGGTGGCTGGGATCTGAGAGTCTGTGGAGCAGCCAGACCACTGGGAAGGGCAGATAAGTGGCCTTGAGAGGTGCCTGAGGCTGAGCCTGTCTGCTGGGGCCGTCCCTGAGCCCCAGGGGCCTGCCCGGGTAGTGCAGCTCGGGCGGCTCTCCCTGTGGCCGTCGGTATCAGAGGGAGCCCCGCCTGCCCTGTGAGGGGTGGTGCGGGCAGAGCAGCGGTGCTGACGGCGAGTGACGCCCTGTGCCCACTGCACCCTGAGCCGCAGAGAGCTAGGCCCCCGGGGGCGAGGACCCGTGGGTCCCTGGGGAGGAGGCGGCCAGCGGCCATGTGCAGTCGCTGGGCCACAACACCGCCCTGGGGCCAGGCTCCGGGGCGCCTCCTGCCCAGCGCGGCGGACGAGGGAGGACTCAGTCAGGCCGGACGACCGAGGGGCCAGGCGGGGCCGCAGGCGGGGAGCAGCCAGAGCGGGCGAGGCAGACGGCGTGGCCCAGGCCGGGGTGCAGGGAGGGGCCGCCGCCGGGCTGCGGGGCCCAGTCTGGAGTCGCAAGAGCCGGGGCTCCGTCCGTGGCTCCCTGCACGCGGCGTGGGGCCGTCTCCCGGAGCCCCCCGGGGCTTGGCGCCCAGGCGTCTCGGGGCGGCCGTGCCCCGCGCGCACGCCCAGGCGCCAGGCCCCGGGCGGGCAGCGCCAGCCGTCCACAGCCGGCTCTGGCGCCAGGGAGGTCGTGGGGCCCTGCAGCCCGGCCGCCGGCCTGCGCCGCCCGGAGGGCGCCCGAGGGCAGAGCGGCCGCAGCGTCCACGCGGGCGCCGGGCGCGGAGAGGCGGCCTGCGGGGGGCGGGGGGACCCCGGCCTGTCGCCTCGGGACGGACCGACCCCTGCGGGGCCGCGGGCGGTGGCGGGACGCGAGGGCCGCCTGTGCCGGCCACAGGCTGAGGAAGGACGTGAGGAAGGGGGCGCCCGGGCTGGGGAGGAGAAGGCGTGGGGGGACCAAGGGGGACCGGGAGGGGCGGGGCCTGGCGGAGAGGGGCGGGGCCTGGCGGAGAGGGGCGGGGCCGGGGCCTAGATTGAATGGGCGGCGGCCTAGATGAGCGGGGCGGGCCGGGGGCGGGGCCTAGATGAGCGGGGCGGGCCGGGGGCGGGGCCGAGTCCCGGGGCGGGGGGGGCGGGGGCCCCCTGCTGAGCGCCGCCGGAAGCCCCGGCGCAGCTGCCCGTGTCCGGCCGTCCCGGCGGGGTCGCGGGCGTCCGGGTCACCCCACGAGCGAGACGCCGCCCCCGGCCCCGTGTGGACGGAGGCGCCTCTGAGGCCCGCGCGGCGCCTCGGCGAACGCGGTGCGCCCCTCTGAACTGGGGGTGCCCCCTCCGAGCAGCGGCCGCAGAGCCGACCAGGACGCCGTCCAGGGAGCCACCGGGGGCTCGCGCGGCGCAGCCCCAAGTCACCCCGCAGCCGGGGCCGGGGCCTGACAACGCCCCCCGCCCCCCCGCCCCCGCGCTCTCTCCCGCGAGGTCAAGACTCTGGGGCTCCGGGGAAAGGAGCGACCGCCCCGGGAAGAGCCAGCCCGCGGGCCCCGAAAACTCCAGCCCCCGACATCCCCGGCGCCCGCAGCGCCCCACCTCGGAAGCCCCCGACCCCCGAGCCTCAAAAGCACTGGCGTCCCCGGAACCCCGCCCTGAGCCCCCGCCGCGCGCCCCGGCCCGCGCGCCCCCTGCCCCGCGCGCCCCCGAGCCCCCGCCCCTAGGCCCCTACCCCGCGCGCCCCCGGGCCCCCCAGCCCTAGCTCCCTGCCCGCGCGCCCCCGAGCCCCCCAGCCCTAGCTCCCTGCCCGCGCGCCCCCGAGCCCCCTGCCTGCGTGCCCCCGAGCCCCCGCCCCCAGCCCCCTGCCCGCGCGCCCCCGAGCCCCCGGCCCCGCGCGCCCCCCAGCCCTAGCTCCCTGCCCGCGCGCCCCCGAGCCCCCCAGCCCTAGCCCCCTGCCCCAAGCGCCCCCAGCCCCTGCCCGCGCGCCCCCGAGCCCCCGCCCCCTGCCCCAAGCGCCCCCGAGCTCCCCGCCCCTCAGCCTCCTGCCCCGCGCGCCCCGAGCTCCCCGCCCCCCCCGCCCCCTGCCACGCGCGCCCCGAGCTCCCCGCCCCCCCCGCCCCCTGCCACGCGCGCCCCCGGGTCCCCGCCACGCGCGCCCCCGAGCCCCAGGCGCGCGCACGCCCGGGCGTGCCCCGGCCGAGGCGCCGATTCGGGGCTGCGCTTTCGCCACCGCCCGGGCGGCCCGGGAGCCCCGCGGCGGGAACAGCGGCGCGGCCGCCCCAACGAGGCGCCCCCGGGCGGGGCGGGGCGGGGCGGGGCGGGGCGGGGCGGGGCCGGGCCGGGCCGGGCCGGGCGCCCCGGGCCGGGCCCGCGACGCCGCCGAGGCCGCGAACCTGCGCCGGAAGCCGCCGGCCGGAAGCGGCGGCGCCGCCATTTTGTGGCCCGCGATGGCGGCGGCGGCGCGCTCGGGGCCGGGACGCGGCGCCCGGGACTGAGGGGCGGCGGCGGCGGCGGGACTGCGGACGCGACGCCGCCATGTACGGCGCGAGCGGGGGCCGCGCCAAGGCCGAGCGCAAGGGCGGCGCGGAGGAGGCCGGGCCCGGCGCGGCGGGCGCGGGCGGCGGCCGGGCGGAGCTGCTGGTCTTCGGCTACGCCTGCAAGCTCTTCCGCGACGACGAGCGCGCGCTGGCGCAGGAGCAGGGACAGCACCTCATCCCCTGGATGGGGGACCCCAAGATCCTCGTCGACAGGTCGGTTCCTCCCCGCGCCCGCCGCTGCCCCCGCCCGCCCCCGCCGCTCCCGGCCCGCACAGGCTTCCGGGCCCGGCCCCCAGGACCCGGCCCGGCCCGGCCCGGCCCGGAGGCGTCGCTGCGGCCGGCGGGGGCCCGGGCGGCTCCGCGCCGCGGCCAGGGGCCGCCCTCGCCGGCCCTGCGCCCCCGGGCCCGCCAGGCCGCGGCCCGAGCCCCCCGCGCCCGGCGAGCGCGGCTGCGGCCTCGGCGTGCGGGGCCCGAGCCCCCGGGCCGGAGCGGGGCGCTGCCGCCCGAGGCCGGGGCTCCCGCCGGCGCCCGCGCGGAGCGGGTCCAGGGCGGCCTCGCCGGCGCCCCGCGGGCTGTTCGCGCCCGGAGCCCCGCCCCGCGCTGGGGAGCCCGCGGCCCCGCGTCTCGGGCCCGGCCCGACGGCTCGCCCGACGGCCGGCGCGCGCGGCCCGTCTCCGCGGGGGGAGCCCGGCGGGGCCGCCCGGGGGCCGCACGGCCGGGCCGCCCCGGAGCGCGGGCCCGGCCCGGCCCGGGGGCGCCGCTCGCCCCGCCGCGCCCGCACGCGCGGCCCCTGCGCGCTCTTGTCCCGGGGCGCCCCGGCGGCCGCCCGCGTCCGACACGCCGCCGCGGGCGCGCGTGGGCCCGGCCGCCGGAGCCGCGGCTGCTCGCAGCCGAGCTTGTGAGTTAAGGAGGTTTGCGGCGGAGTGAGAATAAAATTGACGCTTAACGAAATGCGGTCGCTCGTGCCCTGGAGCTCCTGGCCTGCCCGAGGGCGGGCCTCGGCCCTCTCTGCCGAAGGCCGCGGGAAAGACGAGGCCGACCGGGTCGTCTCTCCTCGTTTTCGCGGCCCTGATCTGAGCGTTACTGAGAAAACCTCGCCGGCTCGCTCGTGCGGGGCCCGGCGGCTGCAGCGCGTGTTGAGTCGTTCGTGTGCAGAGCGGCCGCCAGGGCCCTCTGAGGCCAGCTCGCTAAAGTGCCGGGCGCCCTGGGTGTTGCCCTGGGCTGCCGCCTGCGGGGAAACGTCCCCTGCCTCTTCGAGGGCGCCGCTCGTGCCCAGTGAACCTCCTTAAACTGCATGTCCATGTCGCTGTTCCGATGTATGTGTGTCTCTCGATCACGTAACCCAGCACTTATTTCCTCAGCCAAGGGGCTAGGGGCGAGCCTAGCCAAGATTTTACCTCCCATGGACGCGAGTTTCTTTGGTGAAGATCTCTCCTGAGAGTTCGGGACTAGCAGAAAGAAGCGAGGAAATTTCGACCGTTGGGTTCTTACGGATAGGTATTTATGTATTCGGTTTGTGTGAATGTAAGCTATGATATTTGACTTTTCAGAAAAAAAAAAATTTTTGTTTTTTTATTTTTCTGGCAAATGGCATTGAATGGTTGACCAAACCGTAAACGGTAAGGACTGCCAGTGAAGTGGGCGCCGCTTGCGCGGCTGCGCGGCTGCTTACCTTTCTCGGTCTCCCGTCGTGTGAAGGGATTGAGGCTTTGCTAAGATAACTCCAGTTTAACAGTAGGTGAGATGTGACTAGCCGAGTTAAATGTAAATCTGAGAAGAGGTTTTCTGTTTGTTTTCATGTTTTTCTTATTTTGATGGGTAAGTATACCTCTCAGACCTCACACGCCCAGCCGGGTGTCGCTTTCTCCCCACTGACCAGCGTGTTCACATTGCAGATACGACGGGCGTGGTCACCTGCATGACCTCTCTGAGTACGATGCCGAGTATTCCACCTGGAACAGAGACTACCAGCTTTCTGAAGAGGAGGCTCGAATAGAGGCCCTGTGTGATGAAGAGAGGTATTTAGCCTTGCATACGGACTTGCTTGAGGAGGAGGCAAGGCAAGGTACTGCTCAAGAAAAACTTACTTAAGCAACAAACTTTAAAAAATTTTTTAAGTATTTAAAAATTTACTCCCATTCATTTTTTTATACTCACTCTTTCTGATATTATCTTGACAGTACCCAGTGGATTGGAAAAACAGGAGTCTTTGCGTTCTGAGAGGACCTCAGGATAGTTTATATATAGAGCCACAGAGAATTTTCCCAGCTTTTGAGGGCAGACTGGGATTTGAAAAAACAAAAACCAAACTCTTTAACTGTTCTCCTTTAACAGTATCGTATAAATTAAAATCGATGTTCTTGTCTTTGCCGTAACGATCTTTACTACAGTTCTTAATCCCCAAATTTCTCAGCAGGACGAAATTTTTCACAAAAGATGTGTATTCTGCTGTCTGTGGGTAAACATGTACTGGCACGAGTACACATTGGTAGATGTGAAGTGTGAATTTTTACAAAGATTTTTGCCTCAAAAAGAGGCTGACAAACAAATGCGTTGTATGCTTTACTGGTAGCAACGACTTTAGCAATATGTAAAATTTTTCTCAGTAAGTTTCTGTTTTGTTAATAAAGTTCTCGTTTTTATTCAAGAGGAAGAATACAAGCGGTTGAGTGAAGCCCTGGCAGAGGACGGGGGCTATAACGCAGTGGGGTTCACCTACGGCAGCGACTATTACGACCCGTCAGAGCCGACGGAGGAAGAGGAGCCTTCCAAACACAGAGGTGAGAGGCCGCGGGCGGGCGGGCCTCGGCACACTGCACCGGACGCGCGCGCGCCCTGTGACCCGGGCGCAGCGGTCTCCTCCCTGCAGCAAGACGGGACTGGGAGCCGGCGGAGGCGCTGCTGCTGGAGATGAAGCGAGCCCAGGCCTCAGGTTCTGCATTGGATCTAGACACCTCGCATCGTCTCTCACCCTGGATTCCACTGCTGGGCTGCTGTGTTTGCACGGGGTCCTCGGGGCCCTTGCAAAGCCAGGCCTTGGCTGCCCGGTGCCGAGCGGCTGCGGCTTCCGGCTGAGATGACGACGGGTCCCCGGAGTCTGGTCACTGCGAGGAAACAGCACGAGCCGTCCTGCTCAGGCGGGGGGTGCGGACACATCCGCATCGGTGCTTTATGATGCGCGATGAGAGCGTTTACCTGGCTGCTTCTCCGAATAAACTCTGGGTTTTGAATGTTAAGAAGATAGCGATGGGGCGGGGATGTCGACTGAGCTGTTATGGGCAGCGAGCAGCGTGCGCCCGCCGACAGCGGGTCAGCGACAGCGTCCTGTGGCGGACGCAGCTCGGGGCGGCCGGCACAGGCAGCACGTCCCACACCCTTCGGCACGCGGTGTCCAGACAGCCCTTGGATGAAGCACTGCGCTGAGAAGGTCGACTAGGTGGACGCGGGCGCCTGGGCCACCTTGGTGAGCCTGCGAGCGCCTTTCTTACATCCCGCAGATGGCCCGAAGACAGATAATCAGCAGCAGTGGCACGAACCTAACTCGCTGGGGCTGGAGCACCGTAGTCGGGGGTTCCATTTGAAGAGCAGCGTGGAAGGAAGGACACTGGCGTATCTAGACTGCCGCGTCCAGGCATCTGTCTCTCCGGCTCACTGATTGCGCTGTTGGAACTTTTTTGGTTTCTCCAAACAACCATGAAGAGCTTCCTGCAGTTTAATGGCAAAGCCAGATGCTGCCACCCTGTATCTTAAAGCTAGCTGCTCTGGGCTCCCGTCCCATGAGTGTGCCCCCTGGAGTGGGGCTCGGGGCTGACTACCCAGAGGCGCGCCTTGTTCTCTTCAGCTCCTTTCCTCGTGGGTGGAAGAACCCTCATTCGCCGAGCTTCAGAGCCTTCTCAAGGGTCACTTGGCAGCGTTGGGTGGAGCCCTTGTCACGTCCACATGTGCACCTCAGTTTGAACCTGACTATTCCCCACAACGGTGGTGCTCTGGGAATGTTCTCGAAGGTCTGAGAAGTGGCCTCTCGTTCCTGTGACCCGATTCAGTTAACCACGCTAGGTTCTGCTAGACCGCAGCTGGGGTCCTGTGACCACCTCTCTGCCGTGTGCGTTCTGCCAGCTCACAGGGGCATGCGTCGGGCCAGGAAGAAGGCTCGCGGGCCACCCCCACCGCACTTGTGGACTTGAGGTCTGTGACAGCCAGCAAGGTTGAGCCACACTGGGAAGATCCACAGTGTTAATCCCTGAACTCTGTACAGGTTAGGGGCGGGCCTTGTGAAGCTGTGTGGGCACACCCCTGCCAGCCAGCCACTTGCTTCTGCCCCTTGGTGGCAGAAAGCATGAGGCCCCGAGCACTAGAAATATTTGCCACCTGGCGCCTTCCAGAAACAAGTGGACAGCCCCTATTCTAGACCTGGGGCTGTTGTCTCTGTGTAGTAGTGCGCTAAGTGACGAGGGAGGCCTCGTTACAGCCTTGGACCACTCACTCCTCTTGCCAGTGGCCGCCCAGGGCGCATGTTCACGGTGGAGTTGGGCCCCCATCGAATCCATGGCTTCACCTTTCATGTCTAACTTCCACTGGCACGTGTGAATTGTGTGTGCACGCAAAACATTGTGCACGTCCACGTGTACACACACCCCATCTCTGTGCACACGTGTGATAGGGCTCAGTTGTGCGCCCAGTACCGCTAGTGGTCAGATGGCATCTGTCTAAAAATTGGGCTCTACTGTTGTCCTCCTGAGCCGTCGCTGTGTCTGAATGTCCCTTGGCCTTAAACTCCCATGTCCCCGCAGGCTTCAGGACCCTGAGACCTCGCGAGGGCCAAAGCAGCCTCCGGCACCTGTGTTTCTGGGAGAAAGCTCCTCTTGCGGCTTACCGTTTTCAGGCTGGCTGCAATCCTCTAGGCTTTCGTGAATTGTCACCATTATTACGGATTGTTTTCTTTTTGCAGTGAGAAAAGGTCACTAGAAATGGTTTCTATCGCTGCTGCTAGGGCCATTTGTGTGCACATGCGCGCGTGTGAGCCAGGAGACAGCGGAGGAGGGTGGGCTGCCTGGCCCCAGGACGCCTCTACCTGGGGGTGAACCAGGAAGGGCCTCGGTGCACTGTTTTAGGAGGCGGCAGTGAAAGTGACATTTTTACACACGCCCTCTGGGCGTCCCCAGAGAGCTTTGAGGGGATGAGTTGCTAGCGAATGTGTTGCACGTCGGTGTGGCTGGTCTCCCCGGGTTGCAGGGTGGCGCTGTCCCCGGGGGTTTTCGGGCAGCAGTGCAGCTGCTCCCACGTTCACCCCAGTTCTTCAGTGAGAGCAAGGTGTGCAGGCAAACATGCTTGGCGGCTCCCACCGCATAACCTGTGAGCCTCCGCCCAGCCCCCGCTGCCAGGCGCTCTGTCCCGGCCTCACGGAGGACCAGCTTGGCAGGGGGCGGGAGTTGGTCTCCTCAGCGGCCCCATTGTGTGTGGTGGGAACATTTGATGCAGGTTTAGTTTATTTGGTGGTTTTTTCTTAAGATTTATTTTGTTCATGCATGCAAAAACTGGGGTGCTGGCCATTGGTGTGGGGCTGAGATGACTCACCAGAGGCAGAGTGGGGAGCAGAACAGGTGGACTGACTGAAATCCACTGCTGAGGGGGGCAGCGGGGCGACGGGAGAGGTCTGCTGCGCCCTGCGGGTTGCTCCCTGGCCGCTGAGGAGGAGGATAGAGCTCATGCTGCAGCGGCTGGCGACAGCTTGATAGCACAGACTTCACTCCTGCGCCACCAGGGAGGCCCACACGTCATGTTTTTTGAAGTAAAACCCGTGTAGATGTTGAAGTCCCTTCAGTTGTCAGCGTCACAGCATCCCCTCAACCGGTGCACATCTCGCTGTGTGTTTAAACTGGTCGGCTCCTAAGCAGTTTTGGCCCAGAGAGACACCTTAGGAGCCGGAGCTTAGAAGGCCTAGTGCCTTGCCTGGCTGTGGTGGGAGGTGTTCTGATGCGCGGCTGGTGACCAGGCCCCCCGGAGTGAGCACGCTAGTACAAGGGAGGTCAGCCTTGGGGCATCTGGCAGTCGCTCCTGGTTACGACTCACTGCGATGAGGGCTGGTTTTTGTGGAATTAGGCGCCTGTGCTCTGCCTGGTGCTGGGGGCGGGGCGGGGGGGTGCAGCGCGCGGGCCTGGATGCACTCTGCGCAGCGAACGGACGGCTGGCCGAGCTGAGGCCTGCCTGAGCAGGCGCCGCCCGCCCCGCCTCTGTGCGCCAGTGCTGGTGTCACCCCCGAGGGTGGGGCAGAAGCCCGGAGGCGGTGCTGGGGTCTCGCCAGGCCCTGCACATACCGTGCTGTTCTCAGGTCCTGTCTTTCTTTTTCATTCAGAAAAAACCGAGGCTGAAAATTCAGAGGAAAACGAGGAGCCTTTCGTTGCCCCTTCAGGATTGAACGTGCCACCTGACGTGGAGCTGGTACGTGCGTCCGCGTTGCGCTCCCAGGCCTCGGTTATGTCATGTTGCGTGCAGCCTGTGTGGGAACCATCGCCCCACAGCTGCCCCCGGGGCTATGAGAATTGCTGCGATGGGGTCAGATTTGTGGGGAGAGTCGTGCCCGCCAGCTCCCCGCTGACAAGGAAGAGCTGATGCTGGAGATCGCTGGGCCGCAGGCCAGGTGGCATGCCTGGGGGACACGCCAGCACTGGTGCTGGGCGGGCTCTTGGCTATGTGGACCGAGGGCCACCATCAGCCCAGGCCCTGGGCCCTGCAGTCAGGTGTTCTGGCTTCTCCTCGGGTGACTCTGTGGTTCTCAGCCTGTCATCTTCTGCTTGGTGTCCTCCTTTTGGCCTGGGGCCTGGAGACCCCCCCAGACCCTGCGCCGATGGGAAGCCGGGCGGGGCCTCCCTGCCCGCCTGCTGCAAAGTGAGCTGGAATTTCAGCAGGCACCCTGGGCTCTCTGCGTCCCAGGCCACTCCTCGTCCTCTCTGTCCCTGCTGGTGGCCCCACGCGGGAGCCCAAAGCTGCCCCTGTCAGGATAAAGGCCGGGGCCTGCTAGGACACGCAGCCGGACTCATCCCGGCACCCTCTGTGGCACCCGGGAGCCCCCTCCTCATGCGGGTCTTTATACTTCTTTTTGCTGCGCGAGCGTGTCTGGGAGGGGGCCGCGTGCTCGACATGAAGGGTTTTCCTCGGCATGTTCTGGCTGGACGCAGGCCCCGGGGAGGTGCGGCATCTCTACGTGAGGGTTGTGTCAATCCCCAGTCCCTTGCATCTCTGTCCCCTTTGTGAGTGTGTGTCCACCCCGGCGCACGCCCGAGCCTGGCCAGGAGGTGGACGAGCCTGTCACGCCGCCCTCTGCTCCGCCTCTCCCCGCACTGAGGCCACCGCTGGGCCCTGGCCCCGGCCCCAGGCCTGCTTGGTCTCCCATCCGACCCCAGCCACCAGATTGCCCCTGCTCCACAAGCCTCCAGCCCTGTTTTGGAGGGAAACTGGCTGCTTTGGCCACATCCTGTGGACAGGGAAAGGCGGGCAGGACACCAAGCTCAGCCCCCGGGCGCGTGCCCCTCCCTGCGTCAGCTGAGTGGTGGCAGCACAGCAGCCCTCACCCACGACGCCCCGTGAGACAAGGGCCTGGGGCTGAGAGGCCGAGTGGCTGTACCCCCCCGGGGTTCCGACCCGGTGAGGGGCTTGACTCCGGCCCCAGGCTGTCTCGCCTGGTCAGGGCCGCATGGATGGAGAGCGCCCCGGGCGCGGGGCCTCCGGTTGCTGCTGCCTTGCCGGCCTGTGAAGCGCCCGGTGTTGCTGTCGTGCCCGCGGGCCTGGTGCCTGGGTGCTGAGGACGCCTGGGATTCGTGTGCGTGTGGCGTGCCGTGTTGGCAGGGAGTGACAATCGCACGGGGCGTGGGTCTGTCCCTGGAGCAGCATTTATTTGGGGGTCAGTTCGTTCTCTAAGTGCGAGGACGTCCCGCGTTCAGGAGCGAAGTTGGAAAGTCAGGGCGACTCTGTTCTGTGCAGGCTTCATCCTGGACCCTTGGCTCCCTGTTTTTAATGAGGAAAACTCCGCGCCCTGCCCCCCCCCCCATTCACTAATGTCTCGGTGTTGCCCTCTCCTGTGGCGTGGAGACGCGTAGCTGTGGCACCATGGGGGTGCGGGGTGCCTGAGGTCAAGTTGCCCACCAGCGGGGGAGGCGGCCTCGATTCCTGGTCGTGGCCCCCGTTTTGGCCAGCCACACAGGAGCTTGGTGAACTGGAGCCCCATGTTCGGTGGAGGTGGGCGCGGGAAAGACGGCGTGAGCTCGCGGCCCAGAGGGCGGTTTCCCGAGCCTGTGTCGCTGCTCCCGCCTGAGAAAAGGCAGGAGTGACTCTTAGACCCTTGGGAATCCTCCTGGGAAACGTGAGCACACACACGAAATCTGGGGGTCGCGCCCGAGCCCCTCTTAGAGCCCAGATGAGACCCTGTTATGTGGAATGTGCTGATCCCCCCTCCGCTGTCCTGGACCAGGCTGGAATGGCCGCCCCGGGAGAGGGTCGGGTTCTTACTTCCAGTCAGCAGCAGCGACCCCGGGTTCTCTGACAGCCTTATTAAGCCCTGTGGCGGTGGGCAGGGAGGCTGACCTCGCCAACGTGTGTGCCCGCAGCCGCCCACAGCCAAGATGCACACCATCATCGAGCGCACCGCCAGCTTTGTGTGCAGGCAGGGTGCGCAGTTCGAGATCATGCTCAAGGCCAAGCAGGCCCGGAACTCCCAGTTCGACTTCCTGCGCTTCGACCACTACCTCAACCCCTACTACAAGTTCATCCAGAAAGCCATGAAGGAGGGGCGCTACACGGTGCTGGCCGAGGGCAGGGCCGACGAGAGGAAGAGTAAGCGGCACGGGCGGGGCGGGGCGGGGGAGCGGGCAGCCTCGGAGGGCTGAGCTCCTGCCTCAGGGCGGGCACACGCCTGCACACCCTCATGCGTGGGCTCGAAAGCCTCACAAGTCTTAGTAACCTGACATCTGCGGACGGGGCAACGCTAGTGCTGTGTGCTCAGACCGCACAGCCAGGTCGGGCATTTTCCCCGCACTTTGGCTGCGGGGGAAGCTCGGAATGTCTCTCTGGGTGCTCCCTGCTCCCCGCGGCTCCCCGAGGGCCCAGGCGTGAGTGATGCTAACTGCTCTCGGCCTGGCCGGCACTTTGCCACCACACCTGCCTCTGGAAGGGTCCGCGCACAGAGCGGCCTCCCTGGGCGGGCCTGCGGGCGGGTCTCCTCGGCCAGAGTGGCTTCCAGCTTGCTCATGCCGGTCCCACCACAGAGCTCAGCTCCCGCGGTGCTCGTTCCGGGTTGATGGAGAGCTCTGCTGGCCTCTTATTCTCACGGGGCAGCTGTGACTTTCCCTCTAAGGACAGACACACCGGCTCCCTGCTGAGCGGGAGAGGCCGGGAACCATCTGGGGCAGTTGGGACAGCAGCGACCGCCGGCTCTGGCCTGCCTGCCTGCCCGGGTTTCCGCCTCGGCTGGCCAGGGCCCCAACTTGTGCTTTCGCTTCCAGAGCCAGGGCTCAGCTCAGATGAGGAGGACGAGGAGGACGATGGGAACTACCTGCACCCCTCGCTCTTCGCCTCCAAGAAGTGCAGCCGCCTGGAGGAGCTCGTGAAGGTCTCGCCTTGTCCCGTACTCGCTGCCGCTCTAAGCTGTGCCCCCACAGGGCGGGCGAGGGAGAGAGCCACGGAGCCACTCCCATGGGCAGCTGCCCCTGGGGTGTTCCCGCTGGGGTGGGGGGCTGGGCGCAGGGCCTGCCGTCTCGTGGGCCGTTTCGTAACCCTCACGAGCAGGCTGTGTCCACCTGCTCTGTCTCCACGGGGCTATTCAGGATGAGCGGGACGGTGGGCAAGGCTAGGAGACTGGCCACGGAGACTGTGGCTTCACAGGCCCTGCGTGTTCAGGCAGCAAGAGCATGTGCGGCGTGAACTCCCCCCTTCTCAGGTAGCTCTGTGTCACCCCAAAGTGGGAGGTTTCCCGGCTCACTCCCCCTGGGGAAGGGCTGACCCAGTATGGCCGGCCAGCCGGCTGACCACAGTCGCACCTGCCTTCTCAGCAGGCCTGGGGCGTGGTGTACTCTGAGGGCAGGCTGCTGACAGGCGGACTTAACCCTTGGTGGTTAATGATTAGAAATAGCTGGGGGGCAGAGGGGCCTCCCTGGTGGCGCAAGGGGTTAAGACGCAACCTATGAAGCAATCCGCAGCCTCTGCGGCATGAGTTCGATCCCCGGCCAGGGAGCTACCCACATGGCACAGCCGACCTCTCCTGTCGCGCCTGCTGCTCCTCTCAGCAGTGTGTTTCACTCAGTCTGCCTGTTCTGTTCCCCACTCTGTCTCTGGTGAATCCTCTCACTCCCTGCACCTCTGGCCTGTATCCCAGCTCTTGTATCCATAAATAAATAAATCTTTAAAAAAAAAAAAAAAAAAAAAAAAAACCAAATACCTGAGAGGGGGCCTCCGTGGTGGCGCAAGGGGTTAAGCACCACACTATGAAGCGATCCGCAGCCTCTGCAGCACGAGTTCGATCCCCGGCCAGCCAGGGAGCTACCCACATGGAGCAGCAGACCTCTCCTGTCTCCCTGCTGCTCCCCTCAGCCGTGGGTTTCAGTCAGGCTGCCTGCTGTGTGTTTCAGTCTCTTCCCTGCTCTGTCTCTGGTGGATCCTCTCCCCCCTCATGTCTGGCCTGTACCCCAGCTCTTGTACACATAAGTAAATAAATGTTTAGGAAAAAGAAATAGTTGGGAGGACAGATGCCCCAAAGCCCGATGAGCTGGTAGCTGCCAGGGCCTGCTCGCCCTTGTCACGCTCAGTGGGAAGCGTCAAGTGGGAGTGCTGAGTCCCTCCAGGACTCCCCCAGCTTGACTCACCACAGTTTGAGCTCCTGAGGGGTCAGGGGGTTGTGCTGGGCCTGCTTGCCATGGGAGAGCTGTGTGTGGCTTAGATGGTGAGGCCGGTGTGAGCATACCCTCTCTTGCAGCCTCTGAAGGTGGTGGACCCAGATCACCCCCTGGCCGTGCTGGTCCGGAAAGCCCAGGCTGACAGTCCAGCCCCACCCCAGCCCGCCGTGGAAGGCGGCACCGCCGCACAGCCCCCCGTGGAGGAGTACGCGGCTGACTGTGAGTACCTCGACCCCCCCCACACACACACTGGGCGGCAGCTGCAGGTGTCCCCTGAGGTGCCTTGGCCGGCAGGGCAGCTAGCAAAGAGGCTGCCGTCCCAGGCCTCCCTGGCCTGCTCTGCGGCTGGGCGGGGGACGGAGAGGAGGGCGCGGCAGGGAGCTGGGCCAGCTGGTAGCTGCGGTCAGCGCGCCCTTGTTGAGAAGAGCTGCTTCGGAGGGGCCAGCCCAGGACCTGGTCCACTCTCCAGAGGCCGTGGGCTGCCCTGGGGTGGCCCCTCAGACCTGGTGGCAGCGGTTTCCGGGAGAAGCCACGCCCAGAGCTTGATTATGGGGAGGGGCAGAACCCCATGCTTTCCAGGATCACGTGGTGCCTTCCACGAGCGTCTGTGCTTGTTCAAAGGCCCAAGCTGGTCAGGGGCAGCTCCTTTTTGAGCACAGAGCTTTGTCCCTCGCCTAGGGCCGGGCACACCCCGACCCCACCCCAGAGAGGGCCGGGCACACCCCGACCCCACCGCAGAGAGGGCCGGGCACACCCCGACCCCACCGCAGAGAGGGCCGGGCATACCCCGGCCCCACCGCAGAGAGGGCCGTGACTGACGGCCGTGGAGCTGGCGGCAGGGGCAGAGCCGGATCTCTCATGGCAGTAGTTGGGCACCGCGCAGCCAGCAGCCAGGGGGGATAGGGCGGAGGGAACAACCCTGACCCCTGGGACCCGTGCACCATGTCCCGCTGACGGCCCGGCCGCGGCGCTCCCGCAGCCCATGGCCAGCCCCCGCTGAGCGTGGGCGGGTCTGTTCCAAGTGAATTAACTGAAAACCAGAGTAAGGATTTTAATTAGAAAATCATTGCAGTTTCTCCGCTGGCGAGGAAATGAAACTTCTAGTCAGAGCCAGTTCATCAGAACTTAAAAGGAAAAGGTCTCAACCGGAGCACTGAATTTTGTGTGACTTCTTTGCTTTTAAATATCTGTCCCAGAAAACATGAGTAGACCTGAGGCCTGTGGCTGTGGGGAGAGCGGCTGCGGCCCGCGGGCTGGCGTGGGTGGCCCACACGTGTGGGGACCCTGCGCATTGCCGGGGCCCTGGGGCAGCGTGGCCTCACCGGGCGGTGCCTGCCTTCGTCTCTCGGGCCAGGAAAACACAGAGCCGCGAGGCCCCACAGACGCCTCCGCTCTGGCCAACTGCGGCAGAGACCCTGCCCGGCCTCGCTGCTCCAGCCCCCTTTCTCCACAGCGACGGTGGCCGCCATGTACTACAGCTACTACATGCTGCCGGACGGCACCTGCTGCCTGGCTCCCCCCCCGCCCGGGGCCGACGTCACCACGTACTACAGCGCCCTGCCTGCCGGGGTGGCTGTGTCCGGCTCGGCCGGGGTGACGGCCGCCGCCCCGCCCCCTCCCGGGACCACACCACCGCCACCCCCCACCACTGCGGAGACCAGCACTAGCGGCGGCAGTGGCGCGGGGACCCCCACCACCATCACCACAAGGTGGGTGCTGTCCCGGCCGCCGGAGGGTCTCTACTGTCCCAGCTGGCAGGGCCGCGGGGGTGGTCAGGGCGAGGCCGTTAGCAGAGGCCAGAGCGCTCACAAGGCCCATCCGCCCCTGCCGTCTCGGTCGGGCAGGGCCGGCAGCAGAGGAGCCGTGGGGTGTCTTGGGGTGTCCGGGGCCCGGCCATGGCTCTCCGTAAACAGCGCCCGTGTCCAACCTATGAGTCCTGGGCAGGGGATCGCCGGTAGGGGATCCCAGCCCACACCCCCGCTCCCTGACTGGCCGCACAGAGGCTCTGGGGAAGCATGTGGGAGCCCCTGGTGTCCCTGCTGACCCGAGCACACTCCGATCCCCAAAAGACAGGCACCGAGCTGATAGGAGGCACCTCCCGTCAGGCACCTTCTCTTACTCTAAACACACCCAGCCAGCGCTCGGCTCGCTGAGCAGGCTGAGAGCTCGCGGTCGAAGGGCATGTCGGGAGGAGAGCAGTCCCGTCCCCGTAACCTCGAGTCTCGTCTCCGCGAAGCTCCCCTTCCCCCTGGCAGCATGTGGGCCCTGCTCAGCGAGTGCTGCCCTTGGCCCGCATGGTAAGGGCCCGCATGGTAAGGGCCTGCATGTGGTGCCATGCGGGGGCTGAGACAGACCCTGGTGCCCCTCTCCCCGCAGTGCCCTTGCTCCCGTGGCAGCCATCATCCCCCCGCCGCCCGACATCCAGCCGGTCATTGACAAGCTGGCCCAGTACGTGGCTCGCAACGGCCTCAAGTTCGAGGCCAGTGTCCGCGCCAAGGACGACCGGAGGTGAGTGGAGCATCCGAGCGGGCTCCCTGGTTCCCACATCTGGTGCTTTTCTTCCCTTTCCTGCATCTTCGGGTTCAGGGTAATCATCTTGTTCGGTTGCTCAGAGCTAGGAGCATTTTGTGGCCGTCTGGGTGTTTGGTTGGGTCTTGCAGGACGAGCGCGGGGCCCTGTCCTGCAGCTGGCCCTGCAGGTCCTGAAGGTGGTTTTAAGTGGGGTGTCCCACAGTGGGGTCCGCCTGGGTCTCCCTCACTGGTAGGACGGGGCCTGGGGGTGGCCCTCGGTGGGCCGCAGGTGTCCGGAGGGCGGCTCACGCCTCCGCTCCCTCATCACAGGTTCGAGTTCCTGCAGCCCTGGCACCAGTACAACGCCTACTACGCGTTCAAGAAGCAGTTCTTCCTCCAGAAAGAAGGGGGCGAGAGTGCACAGGTACACGCCTGGGGCTGGGCTGTGGCCTCACACTGGTTCGAGTGTGGGGTGTGTCTGGGCTCGGCTCTTTGTCCACCTTCAGAGTTGAGGCTTGTTCAAATATGTGGAAAATTTCCTCCCGGAAAATTCCCTCCCTCCTTGATCGTTAATGACCAGTTACCACCATGTTCTCTCCCAAAATCCTGTGTTTTCATATATCGGATGTTTTGTCTATCAATTTTTTTTATATCTAAAGATGTATTTATTTGTGCATACAAGAGCTGGGGTCCAGACCAGAGGTGGGGGGTTGAGAGGATTCACCAGAGACAGAGTGGGAAGCAGAACAGGCGGGTCCACTGAAATCCACTGCTGAGGGGAGCAGCGGGGAGACATGGGAGGTCTGCTGCACCCTGTGGGTAGCTCCCTGGCCGGGGACCAAACTCATGCTGCAGAGGCCGCGGACAGCTTCACAGTGCTGAGACTAACCCTGCACCACCAGGGAGGCTGTCAAATTTTTCATTTTTCTATTTTTTTTAAAAAAATGTATTTATGCAAGAATTGGGGTACAGGCCAGAGGTGTGGGGGTGTGAAAGGACTCACCAGAGGCAGAGTGGGGAGCAGAACAGGCAGACTGAAACACACTGCCGAGGGGAGCAGCGGGGAGACAGGAGAGGTCTGCCGCGCCATGTGGGAATCTCCCTGGCCGGGGATCGAACCTGCACTGCAGAGGCTGCAGACAGCTTCACAGCGCTGTGCTCAACCCGCTGCGCCTCCGGGGAGACTCTGTTGTCAATTTTTTTTTTTTTTTAAGATTTATTTATTTATACAAGCACTGGGTACAGGCCAGATGCATGGGAGGGTGAGAGGATTCACCAGAGCCAGAGCGGGGAACAGAACAGGCAGACTGACCGAAATACACTGCTGAGGGGAGCAGCGGGCGGCAGGAGAGGTCTGCGCACCATGTGGAACCCTCGCCGGTGGCCCGGCGATCGAACCAGCACTGCAGAGGCTACAGGCAGCTTCGCGGCCCAGCGCTCAACCGCTGTGCCACCAGGGGAGGCCCTGTTGTCAAATTTTTTAATGCAAAATGAGCCTAAACTTACAAACAGTAAATCAGCTGGTTCTGTTGTGACGTAGCAAAAATAGGAAACAACTTCCTGGCAGTGTCCGTGAGCCACGTGGGGGCCGTGGCACAGCAGCGTGCAGGGCGCAGGTCCCCAAGGGGCACCAGAGCTTGTCCTTCACCCCGGCCTGGGAGTGGGGTGGGCCCTGTTCTCCCTGTGTGTGCCACCCAGCCCTGAGCTCGGCTTCTCAGCCCCAGAGAGCCAGACTGGCATGAGGCTGGCGCTCTGCAACGCGGCGGCCTCCACCACATTGCCCATCACCCCAGAACCGGCCCCGCAGCTCTCACGTGTTGTTCTCCCCTGTGGGGACTGGGGCCCGGGTGTGGAGAGGCGTCCCTCTGCGGGTTGGTGTCACCTCAGTCCTGAGGTCTCCCAGTGGGCGAGAGGCGCACGGCCGCCCTTCCAGGCTGGGGCGGCTCAGGCCATCCTGAGGACGCAACCCACCCCGTGGGGGCCTCTCCACAGGCGCTGCTGCCAGAAAGCGCCATTTCCTTCAGACCCCTCCGTCCCAGGCGCTGGCGAAGAGTCCCCGGGGTGTGCGCTGCAGGGGCAGGCGGGGTCCGCACCAGGCTGTGCACTTGGGGTGGGAACCGGAGCTGGACTGAGACCCGGGGGTGCGCCTGTGTGGGGGGCAGGCGTCTCTGCATGTGCGGCACCCGGAGGCTGCTGCACAGGGTGTGGAGGTGCCCCCCACGCCCACTGCGCCTGTGGGGTCTTCAGGCCTCTGTCTCTGGGGGCTCAGCCTGAAGGAAATGGTTCCTCCGCTGGCAACAGGAGGACCAGGTTCTCTGAGGACGTCGGGTCTCAGTCTCCAGGGGAGGGCCTGAGTCGCAGTCTGCCGCTCTAGAAGGGCCCCCTCCGGCCAGGGGAGTGGGTGGAGCCGGTCTACATTTGGGCGGAGGTGCCACAGCCCGAGAGCCCCTGCCGGTCACGTCTCCCTTTGGGCCTCGCAGGGCGGGGACTGCTCCTGGGGCGCTCACAGCTCGCTCCCCTCTGCAGGCTGCTCCAGCCCCCGAGGAGACCCCCGCGGAGGCGGCCCCCGAGCAGCTGGGCGAGGCCGGGGAGGAAGGTGCCCCCGAGGACCCGGCCGACGGGAGTGGGAGAGGCGGCACCGGTGGAAAGAAGGAGGCGTCTTCTGCCAAAAGCCTGGCGGACGGGAAGCTGGTGAAAGGTAGGGGCTGCCGGCCTGGCCCTGGTGCCTGCGTTTGGGCACCGGGTCATTCGGTAGCACCTGCCCCTGGTTGTCTTTCAATTTTAAGTTTTTATTTATTTAATTTTTTAAAGACTTATTTGTTTATGCATGCAAGAACTGGGGTGCAGGCCAGAAGTGCAGTGGGGGGACGGAGGTGAGAGGACTCCCCAGAGACAGAGAGGAGTAGAATAGGCAGAGCCACAGAAACACACTGCTGAGGGGAGCAGCGGGGAGACAGGAGAGTCTGCCGCGCCCTGTGGGTAGCTCCCTGGCCGGGGATCGAACTCGTGCTGCAGAGGCTGCAGACAGCTTCATTGTGCTGAGACTTAGCCCCTGCGTCACCAGGGAGGCCCAATTTTAAGTTTTTATTATAGAAATTTTCAAACATTTGCCAAATCAGGCAGAGTAATCTGTCTGCCACCCCGTGTCCTTAGTGACCGCCAGCTGTGCCATGTGTTCCCTCGGGCCTCACCCCAGCTCATAGGAAGGGCCCAGCACCCCGTCCTAACTTCATGGGTGCCCTTGGCTGCTGAGGGGAGGTTTGCTTTTGACATAATCACTTCATTTTCACAACTAAAAATACTTGACATCAGACGCTTAGATTTTTCTATTTCTAGTTGTTTCTTAAGTACAAATTTTTAATTTATTTCCTTTTCCCACGTCAGTCTTTCAGTGCCTGTGTGGCTTAGAGGCCTGGCATCTCTCCTGCTCAGATGGGGCCTCCCTCCCCCGCGTCTGGCACCTGCAGGGGCCCGTTGCTCCTCTGGGTCCCTCCCCGCGGGCCCCTCCCCTCCGGTGGCCTCAGTTCCCCAGACAGGCCTCTGGGGTTTGAGCCAGGCCTCCCTGGTCACGGGTCTGTTTTTCCACCTTCCACTGTCACAGCCCCGCTGGCCCCCCTGGTCCGTCTCGCTGGGCATTCTCCCCTCCAGTTCCAGCCACCTTGCAACAGGCAGCAGTGTTTCCCCTGTTAGCAGCCGGGGCAGGTTCCCGTATGTGCAGCTGGCCCTGAACCCACGCCCTGGGCATGTGGCTGCCGTGGCTGGCGTGGTGGGAACCATGCGGCAGCCCTGGGGCGGGTGCACCTGCGCCTCCCAGTAGATGCAGCCACGGGGTTGCTGGGTGCCGGGGACGATGTGTGCTTAGTGCTTGGAGGAGCTGCTGTGCTGTTTTCTGGGGACCAGCCCGCCATGCCCCCAGACGTAAGAGGGCCGCCTCCTCCATGCCCTGCCAGCGCTGGAGACCGCAGCCTGCTTTTAGGTCTGTTTGCTTAACAGCCCGTCCTAGCAATCTTCCAGAAATGTTTGCAATACTCTCAGTGATCTTGCACACCCCCGTGCTTGTAACACTATTTCTGCCTGGAGGGTGGCTTTCCCTGTTCAGGCGAGCCTGAGGCGCCCTGGCAGCTGTGCTGCTCGCTCCGTCTCGTCGCCGCTCATGCCTGGCCAGGCGCTGCTCATCCCCCAGGAGCACAGACAGAGGAGAGGCGGCGAGCAGGACAAGGAAAGGCTCTGTGGCCAGGCCAGAGCAGGGGCAGCCCCTGCTGACTGCTCCCGGGGGCTCTGTCCACGGGCTTGGGCTGAGCTGCAGGGCCAGTGGAGGCTGCTTGGTGCTGGGACCACGACCGCCTGGCACAGGCCCGGCCTCCCGCAGGCCAGTTGAGTGGCCCTGTGGAGAGACTGAGGTGGTGGTTTGGGCGGGACCCGGGCTGGGGCCTGTGAGTCCCAGGAAGGACGGAGCAGACCAGCATGGGGGCTGGGGTGGCGAGGCACCTCTTCTCTGCACTGGATGCCATGTTGACGGCAGGCGATAAGGAGGACCAGGCCCCAGAGGAACAACTGAGCAGAACAAGGGATCTTAGGGACATTCACCAGACAACCTCAGCCTTGTCCACTTCCCAGCTGCTTCCACCTCTCACTGACATCACCGAGTTTCTGAATTAGAACGGTGTTGCTGCAGAACAGGGGTGCTCCTGTGTCCCAGAACGCACCTTGGGTGTTGGCAGTGACCCCAGAGTGTGGACGGGCTGCACAGCACCCCTCGTCCACCTTCTCATCAGGGCCACATGGCCTGCACCTGTCAGGAGGAAGAACAGACGCCCCTGCAGGTTCAGGAGGCCAGAAGGGCACCCCCTGCAGCCTCGGAGTTCGGGGTCACCTCTGGAACAGTGGCTGAGTCACGGAGGCTGGCGGGTGTTTAAAGCTCAGTTACGGTGTCACTGACCATCGGCCTCTGGGAAAGGTCGCTTTGAAATAGGTCGCATCTCTGAGAAGCAGCGAAGGCCTGAAGGTCAGTCTGCAGGAGAACACGATTCAGAATTCCTCTCAGGCCCCGGAGGCGGCTCGAGGTGGATGAGGACACGCCGGGGGAGGAGCGGGCGGCCAGGCCCAGGTCACGTCGACTGGGGGCACGTGGACTGGCGGCCCTCCCAGTGGTCTGGGGGGCGGCGGGGAGGCTTGCGGCCGTGGCGAGAACACCGCTCGGGGCGCCCGCGGCGTGCGCGCTCACGTCTGTAGGAGGAAGAAAACGCGTCCAGCGCGAGAACCGAGGGAGAGACGGTAACCGGGTCTAGGGAGGCACAAGGGGCCGTGACGGGGCAGTCGTGGGGGCCGGCGAGCAGCAGCCCAAGCCCAGCGTTCTCTAGAGCACGAGGGGACGCGTGTGACTCTGCTTTGGAATGAACTGGAAAATAATCAAAAATTCTTAAGAAGATACACAGGAGAGGTGCTGAGACGTGTATCTGCGGGCCTGGGTCAGCCCGTGAGGCTGCGAGGCCAGCCACCTCGCTGGGACGGCCCCTGCGGCCCGGCCGTCCTGAGACCAGCCCCAGGCGTGGCCCTCACCTCTGACGGAGGCCAGGCAGCAGCCACGTGAGAGCTGCCGAGAGACCCTCTGTGCTCCGTCAGCGGACGCCGGAGCAGCAGCGCCATCGCCCGAGGATTTCATGATAAACCCTGCTCGGCACGGCAGGAGCTGACTTTGGAGAAAAAGCTCTGTTTGAAAAGAAGTGACTCGTACGTCACCCTGGCAGCAATGCCGGGCAGACTGAGCACTTGAAAAATTAAAGCATGAAAGAAGGCGGTGGGGTAGTGGTTACGGTCTCGCCATTGGCGGGAAGGCTGGCCGGGCTCGGGCAGGCCCTAAATGAAGCTGAAAGACCAGGGTCAGCGTGGAGGCGACTGCTGACCTGGCCGAGGCCAGCGCCGCTGTCCCCCTGCAGAGAGGGCTGCTGCAGCCGAGACCTGGGACGTGGGAAGCGCTTGCGAAGAGGACAGGCGTCGGGTGAGCCTGCGGAGCACGTCCTCAGCCACGGCGTGCTCGCCAGGAGGCCACACGTCGGGCCGGGGCAGCGCAGCTGCAGGGCCCGGCGGGTCTTTGGGAGGGAGCGGGGAGCGGGCAGCCCAGCCTCAGGCAATACCCTCCCGCCCCTGCTCTTGGGGTCGCCCCCGGCATCTGCGCAGCGCCCACCAGCCTTTAGGAAACGGGAAGCAGCTGCGGGAGATGGGTCGGCACGCCAACCCTGAGGCTGCTGTGGCCGCTCTGGTCCAAGCTCCTCCCGATGGGGACGCCCGTCTTGCCACAGAGGGACGTTGCCGTCTACGGGAGTGTGGCGGGTCCGTCGCTGAGCCAGGGTGGCCGGGCCTGGGAGCGGCGGTGCGGTCCGGGCGGAGCCAACCCTGACCCAGATCCTGTGGCCCCACCGTGGGGAGCCTCGCCCCTCCCGGCCCAGGTGTCCGTGTCCGCGGTGGGGCCCTGGGAGTGTCTGCTCTGGGGCTGTGCCTGGCGGCCAGGCAAGGCCTGAGGGCGGGGGCCTGGGAGCTGGGTGCACGTGGCATGACAGCAGCTGCGGTGTCTGAAGGCGCCTGGGCAGCAGGCGGCATTTGCGGTGCTGGACACTGCAGCCCACTGCACCCCTGCTGTCCTGAATCGCGGGGGGCGGGGAGGGCTAGGCCCCACTGCTCCCTGGGGGTTGTGCTGGGCTGCCGTTCCCCAGATCCCCCTGGGCAAGGGCGGGTTCTCTTTTGGTGAAGTGACCCCTTCCAGGCTCTCTTGTCTCTGCGGCAGAGCCCGTGTTTCGGGGGGTGGTTGAGGCTGGTGGTCCCAGTGGAGCCGCCGTCACAACGCTCTGTGCGTGTGTTACTTGCTGAGCCCAGAGAAAAAAGGAAAAAAGAAAATAATTGGCGTTGTGAGAACTCGGGGCCGGCATCACGCAGTGCGGCTCATGGCGGCCAGGGCGCTGCGGCGCTGTGCGGGCGGCGTGGGGCGGGGCCTGACCCGGGTTGCTCTTCTTGCCTCCCACAGCCTCGTTTGCCCCGATCAGCTTTGCCATCAAGGCTAAAGAGAACGACCTGCTGCCCCTGGAGAAGAACCGCGTGCGGCTGGACGATGACAGTGACGAGGACGAGGAGAGCAGAGAGGGCCATGAGGGGGCCAGCAGCGCCCCCAACCCCAGCCCTGTCACCCCGCCCTGCGCCACCGCCGAGGAGAAGCGGCCGCAGCTCACCCAGGAGGAGCTGGAGGCCAAGCAAGGTCTGTGGTTCCCTGCCAGATGCCAGTCCTGCCCTCTGGGGGGGCTGTGGGGCAACCTGGGGTCAGGCACCCCGAAAAGGCCTTGCGGAGCCACTCCCAGCAGAGCCGCGTGGCCTTGCTGCCCTGGCATGTCTTGCCCGGCGGTTGCTCTGCGCATTGGCCCTTCCGGCCTGCTCGTCCCTTGTAGGCCCTCCCGGCCAACGCACTGAGTGAGCAGCTCCGTGCTGTCTGCCTGCAGGGAGGTGACAGCTGCCGGTGCGTGGGACGAGGCCCTTCTGGCGCTTCCCTGCGTGGTCTGACATGCAGGCCTGCGTGTGAGAGGCCCTGTCCCCGCTTCCTCCGGGTGGGGTCCCCGACCTGACCAGCTCTGAGAGGGAGGCGGAGACACAAGCGCTATACAGGGGCCTCGCCCGGGCTGCCTGTGTGTCCGCCTGCCCTGAGACGGCTCCTGTGCACCTGCGCAGCGGCCCCGCCCTGCATCTGGGTGCTCTTGTGCCTGCACGTGACGGCGACAAGGAAGAGCATTGCTTGCTGCGAGCTCATGCTTGTCTGCGCTTATTCCTGAAGCCAAGCAAAAGCTGGAGGATCGGCTCGCCGCCGCTGCCAGGGAGAAGCTAGCCCAGGCGTCCAAGGAGTCCAAGGAGAAGCAGCTGCAGGCTGAGCGCAAGCGGAAGGCGGCCCTGTTCCTTCAGGCCCTGAGGAGCCCGCTGCCGGAGGCGGAAGCCGGGAAGGTGGAGGAGAGTCCCTGCAGCGTGGAGGTGAGCTACCCCTGGCCGCCAGCACCAGGGGGCACTGCAGGGGCGGGAGGGGCCCCGTGCCCGCGGGCCAGCCCGAGGGGACGAACTCGACAGGAAAGCACCATCCATGGGCTCATCTGTTGGCAAGCGCTGCAGGACCGGGGCCAGTTGGCCATCCCAGCGCTGGCAACGTGGCAGGCAGCGGTTTCTAGAAACTTGTGGCTCTTGCTCTGTTCCCCAACATTGCTAACGCCAGCCCAGGTCTGCCCCTCCCGTGGGTCACATTTTGAGCATTTTTGCCAGAAAAGCGACAGCCCTGGCGAGCAGGGCCGGGGGCAGGCGGGAGCCTCCCTGGCTCGGCCAGAAAATGCGTGGCCCGCACACGGACGTCACTGCTTTCCAGACGTGCCCTCCTTGGTGCTCTCGGGTCTAGTGGGTTTTCTAATGTCCCTTCAACGCTTTTACGGCCAAAAGAGCCCACGCAGGAAGTACCTCAGCGCAGCCGCAGAGGCCGCGCCAAGCCGGTCCTCGCCCCGCGGGAGGGGGCGTCTTCTCCAAGCAGCACTCACGACTGGTCACGAGTTGTGTGTTGAAGGTCGATCCCGTCACCCCCAAGCGCAGTACCCCGCGTTGGCTGCAGCGGTCTGGCCGGCCTTTCACAGCTGCCCGCGGGGCCCAGGGTATCCGTCCCCCCTGCAGGGCACCTTGCCTGGACACCCCAGCCTGGTGTCTGCAGGGCTCCCGGGCGCGGAGCTGGGGAGCGGCGGCTGTGGCCTCATCCCAGCCCCACCTCGCTTTGTGGGACTTGCGTTCCCGGCTAGGAGTTGCCGCCAGCAGTTTTTGAGGCGTGAGCAGAGCTGGTGTGTAAAGCACACGTCCCTGTCAGCTCGGCTGGTGGGGGGGGCGGGCACGGGCCCTCGTCCCTGAGTGTGGCGGCAGCGCACGGGCCCTGGACTTGCAGGGGCAGGGAGGGCAGCGGGCGGGCAGGCGGCTGAAGGCAGACGACACGGCAGGGCTCGGGGCTCAACTTCATCTTTCCCTTGCTCGAGAGCACCGCCTGGTTTCCACAGTGGGAAGGCTTCCCTCTGTCGGGGGCCCCGGGCTGCCCACCTGGGGGCTGCTTCCTGGTGTGGACCCCCCTCGGGGCGTCTGCCTCACCTGGACAAACGGCCCTTGCATCAGAGAGGAGCCGCCTCTGGCTTCTGCCTAAAATGTTCCCAGAGCGACACTCCCCTGGGGCTCGTGACGGGCCCCCTGCCCCGCGACATCTGGGAGGACAGTCCCCCCAGGGTGCTGGGCAGACCTTCATGAAGTGGGGTCCAGGCAGGAGGCTGGGGTGTGCCCCCAGCTGCAGTCCACAGCAGCATCCGGGCACCTCACTTTCCGGAAACCGTGACCCCCGATGTTGCTCTGTCTACAGGAGTCCAGTGCCATGCCCGGCCCTGTGCTGAGTGGAGGCCGGCCTATGCCGGCTGCTGACATGAAGCCCCCGGAAGGGCCATCCAGCAGGAGCAGAGACGCCCCCAGGGAGGAGGAGCGTGAGAGGAAGAAGAAGAAGCACAAGAAGCGCTCGCGGACGCGGTCACGCTCCCCCAGGTGCCACGCGTCCTCCCGGCCCCGCTGCCGGTCCCGCTCCAAGGCCAAGCACTGCCTGCCCAGCGCCTACCGCACAGCCCGGCGCTCCAGGTGGGTGGGCCGGCAGGCACCCGGCCCCGCAGCAGGACTGGGGTGGGGCGCAGGGGGAGGGCGATGTGCTTCCTGCACCCCAAGGGGGTCCTTTCAGCTGGCTGAGCTGCGAATGTGGCTCAGTGGTCAGGCGTTTTCAGACTGGACATGTGAGGGTAAAGCTGCAAGCTCAGTTTCCGTGCCGCTGGCCCACGGCCCTGGTGTGGGCCTGGCAGGTATGGGGTCCTCACAGGCCGTGGCCTTGTGTCCAGCGTCCGGCCTGCTGTCTTCATCGACGTGTACGTCGCTTCGTGACGTGCGCTCCGAGGGGTGGCGGGGTGTTCGCCAGACCTTTCTTGACAGTTTTCTTTTTCAAAAGATTTGTTCATCTGGGCCTCCCCGGGGCGCAGTGGGTTGAGCGTTGCGCTGTGGAGCCGTCTGCAGCCTCTGCAGTGTGGGTTTGATCCCGGCCGGCTGGCGAGGGTCCCACATGGTGGGGCAGACCTCTGCTATCTCCCCGCTGCTCCCGTCAGCAGTGTGTTCCAGTCAGTCTGCCTGTTCTGCTCCCCGCTCTGTCTGTGGTGAATCCTCTCACCCTCCTGCGCATCTGGCCCGTACCCCGGTTCTTGTATAAATAAATAAACCATTAAAAAAAAAAAGATTTACTTATCTGTGTACGAGAACTTGGGCCCAGGCCAGGGCGCGGGGGGTGAGACGTGCAGGCGTCTGTTGGCCTCACCGTGTCCCTGTTCTGCAGATCTCAGTCGGCGGCAGTGCCCTGGGGAGACCCTCTGTGCGGGGCCGGCGCAGGTCTGGGGCAGAGTGGGGGGAGTGGCCTGGGGGACCGCAGCGTGTGTGGTGTTTTCACAGTGAAAATTACGCAATATGTAATTTTTAATGGCAAAATCAAACTGCTCTTCCCGTTCCTGTTTTTGGAGTGGGTTGTTACAGAAACAGAACAAGAAGAAATTGTTGTTTTTCCCCCAATTTCTGCTTGTGGCGTCTTCCCACAACAGCCCTTTCACCGCAGGACAAGCCCGGAGCAGAGTCCTTTCCCGCGGTGCAGGGACCTGCTTGAGGGCCTGGACCCCCGGTCAGCCCGCCTGCGCTGGACCCGGGTGGGGTCCCTGCGGGGTCGAGAGGGAAGGCCGAAACACTCCGGGCGGCTCTGCGTCCCTGCGGGCAGCACTCAGAGCCTCAGGGACGCCTCCCACGGGGCTCCACGCCTCTCCTTGCCTCGCTTGGAAAGACGTCCCGATAAGCTGGGGTTTTATTAGGACAAGAAAGTGGGCAAAAGCAGGAGGGAGGAGAAGCCGCAGCCTGGGTCTGCTGGATGCCGTGCGCTCAGACCCGACTGCGGGAGGCGGCTGCCGGCCACTTACTGGCCACACGCTCTGGCCTCCCGCGCCTTGGGCCCTGGCTGGGAGCAGGGCGTGGGCGGAATGGCCCAGAGGGACAGCGCCGTCCTGGCTACAGGCTCAGACCAGCGCTGCCCCCGCTAGTGGAGGCCCCTGCCTGCCAGCCTGTGAAAGGCCTGGTCTTCTCTGCCCAGGTCCCGCTCCCGGTCCCCTCGGAGGAGGCCTCACTCTCCAGAGCGGCGGCGGGAAGACAGGAGCGTCCCTACTGCCTACCGGATGAGCAACAGCCCCGGCGTCAGCCGCAAGCGCACCCGGTCCAGGTAGGCACAGCGCCCAGGGGTGCCCGGGGTGGGGGTTCTGCAGGCTCTGACCCCAACTACAGCGCCCCGTGCCCTGGGCCTGTGCACACAGCTCCTCAAGCCATGGGTGCACGGAGGCCCTGTGCCCACTGCGGGCATCAGGGCTTGGGTTAGAGCCCCTGGAGGAAGGCCCTGAGTGTGAAGCCTTGCTCCTGCACAGATAAGCCGCCGCCTGCACGCCCTTGCCGAGCTCACTGGGCAGGTGTGGCAGGTGTGGCCCCTACTTGGGACAGAAACCCAGCAGAGGCCTGCAGAGCTAGGGGTGTCCGCCGAGGGCTCCGTGCAGTCTCGGCAGTGGGGCTTTGTCCCCAGTCCCGGCACCGGCCAATGTCTGCTCTGCGCACTGGTCCTGCAGCGAGTGTCCTCGGCGCCACAGACTCAGATTCACCCTCACCTGCACAGTGCCAGGGCGCCAGGCGCAGCTCCATGCAGAGGCCTTCAAGCGCAGGGCTCTGCCCTCCTGCGGTCAGCCCCGGCACTGCAGACCCAGGAGCGGTGGCGACTGTTGGGACCGTCTCCCGGACCCGACAGCCACCCGGGCGAAGACTCAGTGGAGTGGCCAGCTCCGTCCCTAGGGCCCTGCGGCTGCACTGGCTCTGGGGCTCAGGTGGGGGTGGCCCAGCCGGTGCCTGGATCGTGTCTCGGACATCTGTCCAGGACACCCTCTGTAGGAGCCACGTCCACCCGGCGCTCTGCCCCACCCTTCCCTCAGGCAGCTGTGGGCCTCTGCTGCGGCCTCTGGCCTCCCCCTACCCGGCCACCACCCTGACTGTCCGGCCACTCCAGGAGGCGCTACTGGGTCCGAACGGCTTCTGCGCCGCCCTCACTGACTTCGCAGCGTGCCAGTCCGCTCGCACGAGGCCTGCGGGCACCCCGTGTGCCGTGCTGATGCTTGCGCTCCCCCGCCCACGGCGAAGACCGAGGGGGCAGGGGGTTGCTGCTGTCCCTGTGGACACCTGCCGTGGCCCCATCACTGGGGCGCTGAGTGTGCCCACTGACATGAGGTTGCGCCAGCACATGGTCACCAGGTTTCGGGGTGGTGCTGAGACCCCAGCCTGTTCCCAGCAGCCACCTCTCCTGTCCCGTCACCCTTGGGTGTCTTAACGTCTGTGAGGCCTGCAGGTGTGGCTTCCGCCTCTGCCCCCACTAGGGGGCCCTGCTGGCGCGGGCCCTGGGCCTGGCATGGGAGGTGCCGGCGGTTCTTCCTCTCCTCCAGGGACACATCTCAGGCCTGTTGAGGCCGGCGCATCTCTGGTTCTGGACCTTGGCTGCTTTTTGCTGCGAGGGGCCACCCCAGGCTTGGCTGGTTCCTCCCCCACCCCCCATTTCTCTAGGGAACCTCAGCTCTTCGCAGCAGTGACTGTCAATCAAGTGGTGCGTGTTAAGATTTTTATGTAAGAGTAAAGCCTGGCTCGGTGTGAGGGCAGCACAGACAGCACAGGGCGTCTTGGGCACAGACACTGGATGTTCGGCCCTGTCCGGGGCTCAGTGCCTGCACCACACTGGCCCCTCAGGCTGCTTCTGCCCCGCGGCTCCAGGAGCAAAATGGCAGATATAAGCTAGAGCCTCAGTAGTGTTTCCACACCAGGGAAGGCAGAGCAGCAGGGAGGGCAGGGCGGTGGGCGGCTGGAAGCCCGGACAGCGGGTCCACTCCAGCGCCAGAAGGCAGAGCCTCAGCCCGGAGGCTGGGCGGGGGCACGGCCCAGCGAGGGGGGAACTGCAGAGGGCGGGGGGTGAGGCCCGGTGGGCATGGGGGGGGCGCTGCGGCCCGAGTTCTGTGTCCCTGGAGCCGGAGCTCGTGGACTGGAGGACCAGGGCTGCCTGAACCGTGCCCGGTGGTGAGACACCGTATAAGGCACACAGAAGCACCCGCGTGCTCCCCAGGTAACACATGAACTACCTCCAGCTCAGGAAAAATCACAAGGGAAAGTAGGAAATATCTGGAAATGATGGCAGTGCGGCGTCCAGGCTGCGGGACAGCGTTAGGGGCTTGTGAAGGGGTCAGGCCGAAAGTCAAAGAAACCGGAACGTGAAGAACAAGTTAAACCCAAAGTAAGTAAAAGCCAGGAGCAGAGCAGGCGACCTCGGAGTGGACAGCACAGGAAACAGACAGCGGGAAACCGCGAAGGGTGGTTCTTTGGAAACAAAGAAGTCGAGAAATCTGTGTTGACCCACCAGGAAGGAAAGGCCTGCGGCCGCTCCCACGGCGCTGCACGCAGGAGTCTCGCTCCGGTTAACTTGGCGACTCGGTGAGCCGGACAGATGCCCTGAGAGGGGCAAAATGCCAGCCGAGCTGACGGCACAGGAAGTCTCCGTGATGTCACGTCCGCTGCGGAAACTGAACTGATGGTCTGAGGCCTGGCCTGGCCTGCCTCGCAGGCACTGGGCCGCCAGAGCGGGGGCAGGAGCGGGCGTGCTTGGGCGTGCTCGGGCGAACTCTCAGGACCGGTGTGAGAGTCCTCACAGCCCAGGAGGGCATTCGAGGGTGACACCTTGGTGGTGGCGCCTGTCTCGGGAGGGCAGCAACCCCAGAGCCGGCTGCTGGGCTTCAGAGCAAAGCAGGAACATCTTGACCGACGCAGCGACATGCGCCAGGGCCCAGGACGTGTTTCCCTAAGAAAAGCTTTCATCTTGGAAGGCGGGCAGGGCGTCCGGGCAGCCCCGGGAACCCACCGGCAACGGCACCCCGTGGTGTGCTGGCCAGTCCCGGGCGGGGCAGGGGCCGCCGCACTGGAGGGGGACACGGCCTTCTCAGGAGGGGCAGAGCATGGGCTCCCGGGTGTCCCGCCAACAGCTGGGGATGGGGCAGGGCGGTGTCAGGAACGCAGAGTGCACGTGGGCAGGCGGGGCAGCGGTGTGCGGGGGCCGGGGGCCCGGGCAGATGGGCGGGTGGGTGCCGGCCTGGAGGGTGGCGCCGCAGAGCCCCTCCCAGGTCCAGCGCTGCTGTTTTGACAGTGTCTGCTCAGAGGCGCGCTGCCGGAGGGCCGTTTGTGTCCAAGGGTCCCGGCAGCTCCCGGCACCCCTGAGGGCGAGCCCTGGGGGGCGGGCGCAAAGATCACAGTGGAGCCCAGTGGGGGACCCGTGGAGTCCGCCCAGGATCCTCCAAGAGCAGGGCTGGGGCCTGGCGGGTGGACGCGGCCTGTCTCCACACGGGGTGTCCTCTGTAGGGGAGGGGCCTCAGGCCTGGTGTGGGTAGGTCTGTGGGGTCTGGTGCTGTGGGCGGGTGGGGCTGCCATGCAGCCCCCAAAACCCCGCCAGGCAGCGAACTGCCGAGCTCGTGGGGGCTTGCGTTTCTGATTTTCCGTCTCTGCCTGGAAACCCTCGCTGAGTCGGCCTGAGCCAACAAGCACCTCGGCAGCTCGAGGCGTTTCAGGTGCAAAGTGCTGGTCAAGACCAGTGTCCCAGAGGCCGTGGGGGGCAGAGGGGCCTCCAGGAGGGCCGTGCCTGTCCCTGCCCGCCTCCGGCTCCCGACACCCCGCGCTGGGCCGCGGCGTGTGGCGTCCTCCCTGCAGAGGTGACGTCATCCAGCCGCCCCTCAAAATCCCCGGAGCCTCCCGTGCAGCCAGCCGGGGCCCATCCTGACCCCGCTCTCCTCCCAGAAGCCCCCACGAGAAGAAGAAGAAGAGGCGCTCGCGGTCCAGGACCAAGTCCAAGGCCAGGTCCCGGTCGGGGTCCCCGAGCAGGCAGGCGGCGCGGCGGCACTCGGCCCACTCGGCCAGCGTCTCTCCCGCGGAGAGCCGGGGCTCCAGCCAGGAGCGCTCCAGGTAAGCCCGGCCTGCGCCCACGCCCCTCCCCAGGTTCGCCCTGCTCTGCAGGCCCTGAGGGGCCCAGCACCCCACCTCCCGCGCAAACGGCAGGGCCCGGCCAGCACTCCCCCACCTCGTAGGCATCCCTGCGCCCCCCTCGGGATGCAGATGCCCCCACAGATGGGGTGGGGGCAGGGGGCCGCGTCCAGAAGCCTGCCCAGTGTGTAGGGGCCAAGTCCGGCATGGGGGGCTGCAGTAGGCTTCCGCCTGGCGTTCATGGACGCGCTTGAGTCTGGCGGCGTTCAGAGAGCGGCTCGGACGCGCAGAAAACCGCAGGCGGGAAGTAGGCGTTGGGGCGTCGACTCCCTCTAAAGAGATGCCGCCGCCGACGTCACCCCGGTCCTGCTAGCGCCGGCTCCCAGCTGGTCAGGGCTGGCTCGGCTTCAGCCTCTGACCGCGCTCTCTCTCGCTCTCGCTCTCTCCCCGCCACAGAGGGGTTTCTCAGGAAAAAGACGGTCAGATCTCTTCAGCGATTGTCTCTTCCGTGCAGAGCAAAATCACTCAGGTGAAAGGGCCGCTCCCTCCCCATGCCCATGACGGGCGCTGCCCCTCCCTGCTCCTCTCACCCGCCTGCCCGCAGGTGGCCCCGGGGTGGCTCTGCCCTGGCACCCCCCCTTCCCAAGTTCCCAAACCCCTCAGCAGCGCGCAGTTTGGAGCCAGCCCCGCCCTTTGGGGGTTCCCAGCCACACCCCACAGGGCCCTGGGAGCAGCCTGCGAGTGCCCCAAGGCCTCCGCAGCTCACGCAGCTCCGTCTCTCCTGACAGGACCTCATGGCCAAAGTCAGAGCGATGCTCGCGGCTTCCAAAAACATGCAGACCAGCGCCTCCTGAGGGCGCCCCGGCCCGGGCCGCCTGCCCGGCTCCCTGGGCCGCCGCTGTTTTGTAAATTAACTTTTGATGACATTTTCAGTTTAAGATTTTTGACCAGCAGTCTCTTACCTGTATATTTGTAAATAATATCATGTTTCTGTGAAAATGTATTAACAAATAAAATGGGGAAAAAATATTTTCTAGCCAGGGCTCCGGCGCCTTCCTCCTGGTCTGGCTGGTGAGTCTTTCCTGGTGGGTCGGCAGCTGCCACGTGGGCATCGTGGGAGCCGGGGGCACAGCTGGGGGGGCTCTGGCCAGCTAGGCTCCCCCACCAAGCCCCAAGGAAGGGTGCCAGATCCGCACCCTTCTTGGGGTGACCCTACCGACACCCCATCCATGTGCCTCCGCACTGAGCCCCTCGGCCACACATATAGTGACAAAGATGCCTCCCAGGCCTGGGCGCACTGCCATGAGGCGGGGCAGATGATAGAGGCTGAGGCTCTTCCAGCTGCACCCCATGGGGCTCAGGCCTACACCCAGCCCCCACTTCGCTCTTGTTTTGAGCTGCCATTAACACGCCCTACAATTCGCCCTTCGAAAAAGTCTGTGGTTCGTTGGGCTTTATGTGGGGTAGAGGGTGTACCTGCTGTTCCAGAACATTCCCTCACTCCCAAGTTAGCCACCTGACACCGCCAGCCCGTCCCCAGCCGCTGGCAACACCAGTTCTTGCACCCCCGTGTCTGCACGCGCCAGCGGCCTGGGTCCCTGCTTCCCGGAGGACCCCCTGCTTCAGGGCAGGCGCCACCCCGCTGCCCCGCGCACCTCCGGGGGGCTTCTGCGGGCAGCTGCGAGGGACACTCCCAGGCCGGGGCTGGGTGGGCCCGGCCTCCGCCGACTCCCCGCATCAGCGCGCGGAGCTTGGAATCGGGAGGGGAGCTCCAGAGGGGGCGCGGGGGGGAGGGGAGCTCCAGAGGGGGCGCAGGGGAGGGGAGCTCCAGAGGGGGCGCGGGGGGAGGGGAGCTCGAGGGGGCACTGGGGGAGGGGAGCTCCAGAAGGGGCGCGGGGGGAGGGGAGCTGCAGAGGGGGCGTGGGGGGAGGGGAGCTCCAGAGGGCGTGGGGGAGGGGAGCTCCAGAGGGGGCGCGGGGGGAGGGGAGCTCCAGAGGGGGCGCGGGGGGGGGAGGGGAGCTCCAGAGGGCGTGGGGGGAGGGGAGCCGCAGAGGGGGCGTGGGGGGAGGGGAGCTCCAGAGGGGGCGCGGGGGAGGGGAGCTCCAGAGGGCGTGGGGGGAGGGGAGCTGCAGAGGGGGCGGCGGGGGAGGGGAGCTCCAGAGGGGGCGCGGGGGGAGGGGAGCTCCAGAGGGCGTGGGGGAGGGGAGCTCCAGAGGGGGCGGGGGGAGGGGAGCTCCAGAAGGGGCGCGGGGAGGGGGGGGAGCTGCAGAGGGGGCACGGGGGAGGGAGCTCCAGAGGGGGCACGGGGGGAGGGGAGCTCCAGAAGGGGCGCGGGGGGAGGGGAGCTCCAGAGGGGGCACTGGGGGGGGAGCTCCAGAAGGGGCGCGGGGGGAGGGGAGCTCCAGAAGGGGCGCGGGGGGGGGGGGAGCTCCAGAGGGGGCACTGGAGAGGGGAGCTCCAGAAGGGGCGCGGGGGGAGGGGAGCTCCAGAGGGGGCGCGGGGGGAGGGGAGCTCCAGAGGGGGCGCGGGGGGAGGGAGCTCCAGAGGGGGCGCGGGGGGAGGGGAGCTCCAGAAGGGGCGCGGGGGGAGGGGAGCTCCAGAGGGGGCGCGGGGGGAGGGGAGCTCCAGAGGGCGTGGGGGAGGGGAGCTCCAGAGGGGCGCGGGGGGGGGGAGGGGAGCTCCAGAGGGGAGCTGCAGAGGGGGCACGGGGGGAGGGGAGCTCCAGAGGGGGTGCGGGGGGAGGGGAGCTCCAGAGGGGGCGCGGGGCCGCGGGGCCGAGGCGCCTGAGGCTGGCTCACCCCGCCGGAGCCCGCCCGCCCGTGGCCTGCCCGCCCCGGGACGGCTCGGGGGACGCGGGCGCACAGAGACCCGAAGGCCGTTTCTGGACGTTTTCTCCCGTCCCTGCGTCAACCCGCTCGCGCGAAGCCGGGCGGTGGTTGTCGGGCGGGCGCCCACCGCGGAGCCCGGCCGCCGCCGAGGGGAGCCCGCCCAGGCCCGCGCGCGGAGTTCAGGGGCGGCGTGGGGAGGCGCGGCCGCGGCGCCTGCGCCCCCCGCGGGCCAGCGCCCCCCGGCTCTGGGGCGCCCCGCACCCCGCACCCCGCCACCTGCGCAGCGGCTCCCGACGGCGGGCTCGCCGCGGAGCCTCCAGGGCGCCTCCCAAGGCCCCGGGCCCGGCCCTGGCCGCCGCGCCCCCGATTCCTCACGGGCGCCCCTCCCCGGCCCCGCGGCCGCCGAGCCCGAGGCCCGAGGCCGTGGGGCGTTCGCGGGGGCGCCCGGGACGGCGGGGGCGGGGCGGGGCGGGGGCGCCGTCGAGGCCCGCGGCCCGCCCGGCCGGTGCGCGCCCCTCACGCGCCCGTCGCCCCGCGCCTGGGCCAACTCGGGGCGCGCTGTCCCGGGCGCGGGCCCCGAAACGGGGAGCAAAGCCGGGAGGGCGGCGGGGCGGGCTGCGGGCGCCTCGCCCCGGCACCCACCCGGAGTCCGCGGGGCGCGGCGGGCCCTTTAAGGCGGGGCGGGGCCCGCGCGCTCATCAGCATAGATCTGCATGCCCCGCCCCCGGCGGCGCGGCGCGGCGGCCGAGCCAGGGCGCGGGCGCGGAGCTGCTGGGCGCGCACCGCCCGCGCCATGGGGCCCCGCGCCGGCCCCGGCCCCGGCGCCCCGGCCCCCCGCGCCGCCCCGGCGCCCGGCCCGCCGCGCCCCCGGGCCCCGCCGCCGCGGCTGCCGCTGCTGCTGCTCGCGCTGGCGGCCCGCGGGGGCTGCGCCGCGCCCGCGCCCGCTCCGGCTCCCGCGCCGCGCGCCGAGGACCTCAGCCTGGGGGCGGTGAGTGCGGGCCGGGCGGGCCGGGCCGGGCCGGGCCGGGGGCGGTGAGTGCGGGCCGGGCGGGCCGGGCCGGGCCGGGGCGGTGGGGGCGGTGAGTGCGGGCCGGGCCGGGCCGGGCCGGGCCGGGGGCGGTGAGTGCGGGCCGGGCGGGCCGGGCGGGCGGGGGGCGGTGAGGGCGGGCCGGGCGGGCCGGGCCGGGGGCGGTGAGGGCGGGCCGGGCGGGCCGGGCCGGGGCGGTGAGGGCGGGCCGGGCGGGCCGGGCGGGCGGGGCCAGGGGGCGGCGGGGGCCGGCGGGGTCTGGGGGCTGCCGGGGCGGCGGGGCGTTCTCCCCCCGGGCGCGCAGCCGAGCCGGCTCCAGACCCGCGGGCCCGAAGGGTCGCCGCGCCCGGCCGGCCCGGGAGGGGCCCCGGCGGGGGGGGGCGCCCCGGGGCTCTCCCGCCGGGAGCGGGTGGGGGGCGCCCCGACGGGGGCGGCCTGCGGAGCGGGGCGCCCGGGAAGCCGGCGATTCTCGCGCTCGCGCCCGTGGGGGTCGGCGCCGGCCCTCGGGTCCCGCGTCCTCCGGGTGCGGCGCCCGCGCCCGCGCCCCCGACGCCTGGGCCGGAGCCAGCCGGGGGGCCGTCGGGTGCACTCGGGGTCACCCGCGGCCCGGGATGCGGCTCGGCCCTGCTGCGGGTCCCGCCTGCGGCTGGGGCTCCCGTCAGACTCAGACCGGGGCGCGCGCCCGCACTGCTGGGGTCTCCGCGCCCGGGTCGCCTGCCCTGGGGCCTCGGGTTTGCGGCGTGCGCCCCACTCCTGCCTGCGGCCCCCAGCCCAGCCGCTGGCCGCAGAGGGCCCGGCTCTGGAGGTCTGTCGGGGCCCTGCACGCCTCAGGCCTGGAGCCCACGCGCCTCCCGTCCCTTCCCGGTTTCCTGGGCCCGCATCCCGGGGCCACCCACCCCACACTCTGGCACGGGCCAGGGACGTGGCTCAAGCCCCTGCCAGACGCCCCCACCTGCTGGGGGGAAGCAGCTGCCTCCAGCCGGGGTGCGGGCGGCCTGGGGGGACAGCGCTTCAGCCTCAGCCGCGAGGTGCAGGCGCTGCTTTCTGGGGCGGACAGGCTCCGCCAGCCCCCGCCCCAGGGCCCCCCCACTCAGGTCTGGGCGGCCACGAGAAGGGCCCCTTTGTGCGCCCCGCTCGGCCAGACAGCGCCAAGTCGATGGCCCTGAGCGGGGGGCGGCCCCGGGGGTCCTCCCAGCCCACGAGCAGCCACCCTAGAACAAAGGGCGGGATTGAGCGCAGAGCCCGGCTCAGGGACTCGGGGGGACAAGGACAAAAGAGCCCGCGCTGTGCCGGGGACCGGCAGGCTGAGCCGCCCTGCTGCCCGCGCTGCCCCACGCACGAGGCGCTCGCCCACGCCCGGAGCCCCGCCTTCTGCACGGGCCTCCCCCTTCCTGCACAGGCCACCGCTGCCTGCTCAGCCCCCGTGCCAGGCCCGCCGGCTGCCCTCGCACCCACACCTGCTGCCCCGCACAGCTCCTGCCACGCGGGCACCGGCTGTGCCCGCAGCCCGGAGCTGCCGGCAGGCTGCTCCCCCCGGTGTGGGGCTGGATGCCCAGGGAGGGCCAACACCAGGCTGGGGGGTGGCCGACTCTGCCGCTACAGTGCCCTCCATTTCCACCCAGAGCCGGGTAGTGTGGGCAGCCGGGCGGCCGGGCAGCCTGGGGCTGGGCGGCGGGGGAAGGAGGACCGGCCGGGGGATGGGACCTCGCCAGGCGCGGCAGCCCCGTGCCCCTCCGGGTCCTCACCCTGGTCCCTGCCAGCGGCTTCGGGTTCCTGCCCCTGGCCCAGCTCCCCGCTGCCCGCAGGGGCCCGCGCGGGCTCAGGACCTCAGACCCGTCCTGGGAATGGCCCAGACCCCAGCCCTGGCCCGCGCCCTGCGAGAGCTGACGGCGAGTGTGAAGGCCCCAGGCCCAGCCCCTTCCCGACCGTTCTCACCCCCAAAGCGCTGGGGTCCCGTCTTGGACAAATGAGCCCTCCCCTGGGCATGCCCTTCTGGGGTGGCCGGACTGCCCGCGGGCAGGTGGGGCGGGTGGCAGGGCCCTGCGGGCCTCCTGGCCTCTGCCCAGGCACCATGGCGGCGACTGGCCCCACCACGCGGGTCCTGCTGCTGCTGCCCCAGTACCTGGTGGCGCCCACCTGGCTGTGCCACGGGGCCATGAGAGGCGGTGGCGGCTGCAGAGCGAGGCTCTGACCTCAACCCACAGCACCCGGCAGGAGGGAGCCCGGGAGGCGGAACGGGGGGCACAGGCGGCCCCAGAGGACTTGGGGTCCCGCAGGGCTTGGACACCCACGGCACAGAGTGCAGCGAGTCTGCCTCCCCGTCAGCGTCAGCGGGGTCGGAGACCTGGGTGCCGCGCCTGGGCACACCTGAGGGCGCCGCCTGCCAGCTGGCACCCCGCACCGCCCGGAGCCCGGCTGTGCGGCTCCCAGGAGGGCCTGGCCCTGCCCTCCTCCCTCCCGGGTCCCCAGCTCCCCTCCCAGAGCTCCCAGCTGGCCCGGCCTCGGGGGTGCCCCCCACCCCCCCAGACAGCACCCCACCCCCCCAGCCCCTCCTTCCCAGTCTAGACCCAGCGCCCCGCGGGACGGCCGCCCCCCACCCCTCTCCTGCCCGGGCCGGGCAGCTGGGGCGCCGGCCGGCCCTGCGTCTGAGGCCCCGCCTGAGACCGACCATGGGGGGCCTGCTGCGGGGAGCCGGGCGCCTGTGCTCCCCGCGGCCTCTGTTCCCGCGCCCTCCCCGGGCCGCGCAGCGGGGGCTCCCCAGGAGCGGGGGCGGGCGCCTGACCCCCGAGAGGCTCCGCGGGCGCCCCGCGCCCCGGCCGCGCCCCGCCTGCCCTGCGCCCCCAGGCCGGTGAGGTCCAGCGAGGGGGGGGGGCGCCCCTCGGAGCCCGTTCTTTCCCGGGGCGCGGGCGTCAAGGCGACGCCGCCCGGAGGAGCAGCCGGATCGCGGCCCCGTCGGCGCGGGGCGGGCGCGCGGGGCGCCACCGGGGCTGTGCGGGCTGGTCCCGGCGCCCCCGCCCCGCCCCCCGCCTTCTGGAAGGTTCCCCGCTGCTGCAACGCCCGCCTCGTTGCCCTGGAGACACTGTCGCCGTGGCGACGGGGGGGGGGCGGGGGCGGGGCGGCCCGGCCGGCTCCCCTGTGGGCTTGGGGGGCGGCTGGGGGCCCGAGCGGCTGCCCACGGGGGGGGGGGGGGGGGGGGGAGTGGGGGGAGCGCGCCCCGAGGCCCGGGCCGCTGCGCTCCTGCCCCCTCGGGGCGGGAAGAGCCGCACCTCGGGCGCCCGCCCCCCTCGCCGCCCTGACACGGGGCCGCTGCGCCCAGGGCCGGGCTGGGGCCGAGGGGAGCGCGCCGGCTGTGCTGCGAGGGCGGCCAAGCCTGTGGGGGTGGCAGGCCAGGACCTGCCGGCTTCCCCCCCTCCCCCGATTCCGAGCCTGGAGGGGTGCAGGGGTGCCCCCGGGCCAGGCAAGGGGAGCGGCACCGCAGGGGGGGGCCCTGTCCAGCGAGTTCGCACAGCCCCGCCGTTCCGGCCTGCAGCTCAAGGCCGGGACACTTGGGCAGCCCCTGGGGTGCTCCTGTGGCGGGGAGCCACCCCCCCCACCCCCCGGCCAGCCGCACACGGCCTCAAGGGGGCTCCTCCTGGGCCAGGGCTCAGCATCCTCCCCTGGAGCCACACGTGGCCTGGGGGCCTCCAGAGGCCTTCCTGGAGGCGGGCGCCGCAGCTGCACCCCCAGTCGGGGCCTCCTCCCGGTTAGGACCGTGCGGGGTGCGGGGTGCGGGCTCTGATGCGCGGGAGGAAAAAACCTCAGAATCAAAACTACGAATTTTGTGCAACAGAGCAAAGCGTGTCGCTGCAAATACACGTGTTGAAAGCTGAGCGCCCCTCCAGGGCCCCCGGGCCCCGCTGGGGACCCCTGGGGGGGGCCGTGTTTGAGTGCTGTGACGGCGCCTCCCGGAGCGAGGGTGCTGGGTGCCGGTGGGCTGGACCCCGCGAAGGCAGAGCCCAGAGTGAGCCGCGGGCCTGTCCTGGCCGGCACCCGCCTCGCCTGCCCACGGAGGCCCCCCAGCGTGACCGCACCCCGATGATGCCCGTCCCTGAGGAGCAGGTGTCCATCCTGTTCTCCAGCCTCATCAGGACCCCCAGACCCGGGGCCTCTTGGGCTGGGGTGGGGGGCAGTAGGGGCTTGAGCGGGGGCGGAACAGAGAACCCGGAACGGGCTCAGTGCTGCCTGGAGGGGCGCCCAGCGAGTTCTCTACGGGGGCATGCCGAGTGTGGGGGGCCGTCCCCGGCCGCGAGGGTCTGAGGCGGGGCTGCGGGGGCTGGGGCTGGGGTATTGCGGGCAGCTCGGCTGAATCAAGCGTTTCTCAACCGCGCACGCACCCGGGGCTGCCAGTGCAGGCGTGATCCGGGAGGGGCGCTGCTGAGGGACCCCACCTCAGAAACTGCCCTGCCACCTGTGGGTGCTCCTGGGCGGGCCCGCAAGCCCCCCAACACCGCATCCCCGGGGCGTTCATGGGCTTGTCTGGTCGCCCGGGATGTGGCTCGAGCGCCCCCTGGTGCTGGAGAACCAGCCTGCAGGTCTCCCCAGCGGCACCCCGCCCGGCCTGCGGGTGCCCAGCGCTGCGGGGAGCAGCGGGCTCAGCTACGGACCCCGCAGGCCAGGAGGGCCCAGAGGGCTCCCGTGGCACAGCGCAGAGGCCGGAGGTGGGAGCTGAAGCCTGTATGTGCAGCTCACGGCGGGATCCCCAAAACTGCAGCCTGTGCGCCTTGCCCTTGGGTCAGATGGACCCCCAGCTGGCAGCTCAAGGCGTCCTGGGCCTGACACTGGCGCCGGCCTGTTAAGAACCTTGGCAGAAGACCAGGGTCTCCTGGGCATCTGCTGCCCCGTGCGGCGGGCGGCTGCGCACCGCACAACTCCCTCCCTCTGGGGCGTGGAGCCGGGGAGGCTCCCCGGAGGGCAGCGGGGCGACCAGGATGGGGGACGGGCCTCTCTACCCGCCCTCACTGTCCCCTCTGCCCGCAGGAGTGGCTGAGCAGGTTCGGCTACCTGCCCCCCGCAGATCCCGGCACTGGGCGGCCGCAGACGCAGGAGGAGCTGGCGCCGGCCATCGCCGCCATGCAGCGCTTCGGAGGCCTGGAGGCCACAGGAGTCCTGGGTCAGTTGTGGGGGAGGCTGGAGGCCAGCACTGAGACCCCCCCCCAGGCCCTGTGCCCCTCCCACCTGCCAATGGACCTCGTGGCGCCCCCCCTCCCCCCGCATCCCCCACCCGGGGTCCGGCTCGGCCTTTTCTCCAGCTGTGCATGGTGCTTCCGGCCCTGCCCCTGGGGCCTGCCCACCAGCAGGGGTCTGGTCCCCCACCAGTGCCAGCAAGTGGCCAGGACCCCACTCGCCGAGAGACCTGAAACGTGGGGTGTGTGGGCGGCCCAGGCGCGCGGCCCACAGGGCCAGGGGTCATGCCAGGGCAGCCAGGAGGGGTCTGGGCGTGTGCCCATCGTGGCCCAGGGCTGGCACTGAGCCTGGTGCCAGCTCTCGGGAGGCTATGGGGGCCATGGGGAGGCGGGCGTGCTAGCCCAGCTCCTGACACACCCACCCTTGCAGACGAGGGCACCCTGGCACTGATGAGAACCCCGCGCTGCTCCCTCCCCGACCTCCCGGTGGCCTCTGCAAGGCAGCGGCGCCAGCCCCCAGCCCCCACCAAGTGGAACAAGAGGAACCTGTCATGGAGGTGGGTGGGGCAGGGCGCCGCCTGGCCTGGCCCTCCCCGGCCAGCAGCCTCCTGGGGCTGCCGAAAGAAACCCCCACACACGGGGCCCCAGGACACGGGGTGGGCCCCCTCTGCAGCCCTCTCTCCCGAGTCCGCTCTGCCCTCCCACACCCTCACAAGGACGCCCCCGGGCGGAGGGTCCACCTACCCAGGCGACCTCCTGGCAGGCCTTACTGCTGTCCACTTGCAGACACCCCCGTCCACGTGAGGCCGCGCCTGAGCTCCCCAGCACCCAGGAGTTTGGGGGAACACTTTGGCTGACCCCAGAGCCTTGCTGCTAGTTCCTGGGCTCGCCACCCAGGCACCGGGCCCCGGCCAGGGGGTGTTAGCAGGGCAGTCAGGCGGCCGCAGGCGCCTGGGGCTGCTGGGAAGGGACTTGGCCGTTGGCCCCCACTTCCATCCACTGTCCTGCCCTTCCCAAGTGACCGCTGGGCTCTCCCAGTCAGGGCTCCAGGCGCCCCTGTGCACCAGAGGGGCTCACTCTGGGGGCAGGGGTGAGGGCACCCTCCGCACGGTGATCACCCGCCGCCCCCAGGGTCCGTTCCTTCCCGCGGGGCTCGGCCCTGGGCCGCGACACGGTGCGGGCGCTGGTGTACTACGCGCTCAAGGTCTGGAGCGACGTTGCCCCGCTGGACTTCCACGAGGTGGCCGGCAGCGCCGCCGACATCCAGGTGGCCTTCTCCAGGGGCGCGCACAACGACCACTACCCCTTCGACGGCCCGGGCGGTGCCCTGGCCCACGCCTTCCTGCCCGGGGACCGCCTGTCCCCCGGGGACGCCCACTTCGACGACGACGAGGCCTGGACCTTCCGCTCTGCGGGTAGGCGGGCCGCGCCCCACGCCCTGGGCCAGCCGGGCCTGCGGCGGTCACTGCGGGGGGTGCGGGAGGCGCCCATCCCGGGAGGGAGCGCAAGGCGGGCCCCGGGAGCCCCATGACAGCCCCGCCCGCCCCCGCTCACGGCTCCTCTTGCCTAGATGCCGGCGGCCCGGACCTGTTCACGGTGGCCGTGCACGTGTTCGGCCACGCCCTGGGGCTGGGCCACGCGGCAGCGCCGGGCTCCATCATGCAGCCCTACTACCGGGGCCCGGCGGGCGACCCGCTGCGCTTCGCGCTGCCCTACGAGGACAGGGTGCGCGTCTGGCAGCTGTATGGTGCGTGTCCCCGCCCTGGCCGGGACCCCAGACTAGGGCCCCGGGGAGCGGCCCGGAGGCCCCTGTGTGTGGAAGGTTTCCGGGGGCTTGGCCTGCTGCCGAGGAGAGGAGAGGCGGGGAGGGGGGACTCCCCGCCCTGCGGCAGTGCCACACCCACTGGTGGGAGGGCCTCCGCCCCCCTCCCCACCGCCACCCTGCCCGGGCACCCAGATGGGCAGCCTGAGCCTGCACAGCCGTCTCGGCCCCCCCACACCGCCACAGTCCGGCAGCAGCCTCTCCCCCGGGCTCACGGCGAGCCGGGCACCCCACTGCGCGGGGCCAGACCTCTGCACCCCACGGAGGCCGCCCTACCGGCCCGGCCCGGGCCCACCAGGCTCGCTTCCCCGCCGATCCCAGGGAGTGAGGGCTCAGTGGGGTGCCCCGCCCGCCCAGGGCTAGAATGGGGGGCTTGCGCACTGGCTCGGCTCGCGAAGCCCCGGAGCCCCCGGGCTGGGGAGGGTGGGAGAGCAGGGCGGGACCCCCGGGACCGGGGCAGGGGGCGGCGGTGGGGGTGGGGGCTGGAGGCTCCTTGTCCCCGCAGGCGTGCGGGAGTCGGTGTCGCCCACGGCTCAGCCGGACGCCCCAGAGCCCGAGGAGCCTCCTCTCCTGCCGGAGCCCCGCGACAATCGGTCCAACGCGCCGTAAGCCGAGCCCCCGCCCGCCTCCTCGCTCTGGGCCCGCAGGCTGGAGCAGCGTTCTCGGGCCGCGCCCCCAGAGACAGACCCCTTCCGAGTCGGGAAGCCCTGCTTCCCCCTCTGTCCCGACGTCTCCTGCTGCGTGGACACCCCGGCGCGCGGGACGAGCCCTGCTCTAGCTCCAGGCCCCGCGGTGGAGAGGGACAGGGCTGGGCTGCCCGCGGCGGGGGGCGGGCCCCGGGGGCTGGGCGGCGCACGGGCACCTGTCTGGGCCCACCTGCGGTGGTGTCCCAGGAGGGAGTGACCAGAGGCCGGCAGGAGCCCCAGGCCCGCAGAGGCCACCCCCCGACCCCCGTGCAGGCCCAGCCGCGGCCTCCGCGCCCCCCGGAGACTCGGGAAAGGCTGCGCTGCCCTCGGCCGCACGCGGCTGCTTCAGGGGGGCGTCTAGCACGCCTCTTAGCTGTCTCCACAGTGTCTGCCCTCGGGCTGGCCCTGGCTTGAGGGAGCGCCCCGGGAGCACCCACCGTGCTGGCCGAGCTCACCGCAGCCCTTCCCGGGCAGATGTGGGGTCTGGGGGCTCTGCTTCTCGGAGAAAACAGCCCCAACCTCCCACCCGCCCCAGGGGCTGCTTCCCTCTTGGGTGCGGGTCCCAGGGCTCCCCACACTGCGCCGCCATGGCTGCGTGCGGGCTGTGGCTGCTGGGCCTTGCTGGGGTCAGCGGAGATGGCCCCCAGCACCTCCGAGGCTCGTGTGCACTCGCCCCTGGCTCGCCGCTGCAGGCTCCAGCCCTGCCGCCCAGGAGGGATCTGGGGCCCCCTCCTGACGCTTGCCCGTTGGGCGGGAGTCCTACGGCCATGAGGCACGGCCCCCCCCAGGTTTACAAAGCCCAGCTCTCCCTGGGCACTCGGGGACAGGCCGGGCAGCTCACCAGGCTCTCTCCGCCCCAGGCCCCAGGGGGACGCGCCCCATAGGTGTGACACGCACTTTGACGCTGTGGCCCAGATCCGCGGGGAGGCCTTCTTCTTCAAAGGTAACCCGCAGGGGGGAGGGGGCGGGAGGGGGGCGGGAGGGGGGCGGGGGGCCCTGCCCCACCCTCGGGCTCTGAGTGCCTCCCTCCCCCGCAGGCATGTACTTCTGGCGGCTGACCCGGGACCGGCACCTGGTGTCGCTGCAGCCGGCGCAGGTGCACCGCTTCTGGCGGGGCCTGCCGCTGCAGCTGGACAGCGTGGACGCCGTGTACGAGCGCGCGGGTGACCACAAGATCGTCTTCTTCAAAGGTGGGTGACCCGGCGCTGGCTGCGTGGCGAGGCTGTGCGGCTCAGGGGCCGGGGAGCGCCGGGCCTGCGGCTGCCGTGAACACCTGCTGTGCGCCCCATGCCAGGGCAGGCCTGGCAGTTACACGGGGGCAGGAGACTGTCCCCGGCCGCGGAGCACACGTGAGCACACATGACTCTGCCCCCACCTGAGCCGCACAGTGCTCGAGGGAGACAGGACCCACCCCGGCCGAGCGCCCCACGCAGGCTCCCCCGTCGGCCCTGCCACCCCAGCCCTGTCACAGCCAGCCCATGCAGTGCAGCTCCGAACGGGGGTGAGTCACCCACATTTAAACTCAGGGAGCTGGGGTCTCCCTGGTGGCGCAGGGGTGACATCTCAGCACCATGAAGCTATTCGCAGCCTCTGCAGGATGAGTTTGATCCCCGGCCAGGGAGCTACCCACAGGGCGCGGCAGACTCTCCTGTCTCCCCGCTGCCCCTCAGCAGTGTGTCTCCGTGGATCCGCCTGTTCTGCTCCCCGCTCTGTCCCCAGGGCGTCCTCTCACCTCCTGCACCTCTGGCCTGCGTAAATAAACCAATCTTTAAAAAATTGAAAACATAAATTCAGGGACCCCCATTAGAACCTCCAGCCCCCGCCTTGGGACGGCCGACCAGCCACCTGGGCTGCCCTGGATCCACACCCCCAGGGGATCCTCAGTGCCTGTGGCCAGTGGCCTGGATGGCTCCTTCCTCATCCCGGAGGGCAGCAGCTCCCGCTGGTCTGTCTGCGACTCCGGGGTGCCCCTGCCTCCCTGTTCATGGGGCCGGCCGGGCCGTGAGCTTCCCTGGCTTCGCCCGTCACCCTCACAGGCATCTCCCCTGCTCCAGTCCCAGCGAGGGTTTTCCCGGTGTTTTAATTTACTTTCAATTGTGGTTAAAAAGGAAATAATCTAGAGCTCATCACCTCAGGGCCACAGCCCACGGCTGAAGCTCACCCCGTGGCTGCCCGGCCCCGCGGCCATCCCAGAGCCTGGCCATCTTCCCCAGCGGACGCTGGCCCCGGCCCTGGCCCCGCCGGGCTCTGATGGGGACCCCAGGGCTGGCGTGGGCGGGGCCACACGGTGTCCCCAGGGGCGCCTGGGGCCGGGTCCAGCCTCTTGGCCCCTGGACAGCTCCCCCTGATGCTGCCCTGAGCATGGGTGCAGCTCCAGGGGTGTGCCTGGAGGTGGGTGCCCGGAGCACAGTCTCGGCTCCTCCCCCTCTGGGGCACCCGTGCCGTGCCCTGCAGGCCGCTGCCTCGTCTGGCCTCGCTGTTTGTCCTGCTGCCGCGAGGCGGCTTCTGCGCGGTTCTGGGCCGCATCCCCTGACGGTGAGGGACGGCGGCATCTCCTGCCTCTGACCCGAGCCAGCCGCATCCGCCCCGGAGACGCTGAGACGGGACAGTGGCTCTCCGGGGCCCCAGGCCGCTGCCCGATGCCGGGGAGGGGCCCTGGGAGTGGGCAGCACGCTGGGGCAGGCTCGCCCGCCCACGCTCTCTCTCCCGCAGGAGACAGGTACTGGGTGTTCAAGGACAACCACGTGGAGGAAGGCCACCCGCGGCCCATCTCCGACTTCGGCCTCCCGCCCGGCGGCATCGACGCAGCCTTCTCCTGGGTCCACAGTGACAAGACTTATTTCTTTAAGGACCAGCTGTACTGGCGTTATGACGAGCGCACGCGGCACATGGACCCCGGCCACCCCGCCCGCAGCCCCCCCTGGAGGGGCGTCCCCAGCACCCTGGACGACGCCATGCGCTGGTCCGACGGTGAGTGCGGGCCCGGGCTCGCCTGCCCTCCCCCCAGCCGCAGGCCCCACGGGTGCCCGCCCCCCCAGGCTACCCGCCCCGCCCCTCCCCGCACCCCAGGCCCCAGCCGTCTGCTGCCCCTCGCCCCTGGGCTCCCACACCCGGAGCGGCCCTCTCCCCGGGGTGTCCCCACAGGGACTCTTGCAGCACCTGGGACAGCCGCACCCAGTGGCTCCTCTTGAACAACCAGGAAGGAACCTGGGGGCCACGTGACCGCCTCAGGCGGCTGCCCCAGAGCACCCCAGGCCTTGGGGCTCGTGGCCCACCAGGCAGCCCCCGAGGCTGGGCGTGACCCTCAGGCAGGAGCTTGGTGCTCCCGTCCTGCTGCCCAGCCCCAGCCCAGCGGCCCCCGCCCCGCGCTCAGCCGCCCGCCTCCCCCAGGTGCCTCCTATTTCTTCCGGGGAAAGGAGTACTGGAAGCTGCTGGACGGGGAGCCGGAGGTGGCGCCCGGATACCCGCAGCCCGCCGCCCGGGACTGGCTGGTATGCGCAGACCCCCAGCCCACCCCCGAGGGCTCGGCCGTGCCCGGGGAGGCTGGGGCTCAGGCGCAGCCAGGCCAGCGAGGGCACAGCCGCTCCGAGGACGCCTACGAGGTCTGCTCCTGCACCTCCCGCGGCCCCCCGGCCCCCCTGCTGGACGCTGTGGTGCTGCTGCTGCCGCCAGGCCTGCTGTGGACAGCAGCCCGGGCCCCGGTGCCCTGACGCTGGGGTTGGCTGCCTGGCATGGCCTGGGCCACAGCGGGGAAGGACAAGGATGCGGGGCGAGGGCGCCCCAGCTGTTCTGTCTCCTGGTCCGGCTGTGAGCTGGGAGACTGCTGGGCAGGGCGGGGTCTGGAGCACTCAGGACGGGACTGATGAGCTGAGCGCGCCCACCGGCCTCCCCGCCCGGCAGGACAGCCTGGACGCAGATACCGCCTCTGTCCGCTGCCCGCCCTGGGGCCTTGGTGCCCGTCCAGCTCCCGTCGGGGGGTCTTTGGGGCCCCCACGCTGCTGCCCCACTCGCAGACCAGCCCGAGGGGCTTCAGCCCAGCCCCCCCACCCCGCACCCCTGTCTCAGACGGACCCCACTTGTCCTCTCCCTGTTCTGAGAGCTCGGCGCAGCCGCGGCCGGGTCACCAGCCCTGACTCCGAGGTCTCCCAGCAGGCCGGGCGGGGGGCCCTCCTCCCCGTGGCTCCGTGCCGCGGGCCAGGCCTCCCGCCCCGCACACCCCCAGCGCTGGGCAGGGCGCCTCCCTGAGGAGGGGGCCGCTCAGGCTGCCGGACCCGACCCATGACGAGTTGCCTCCGCTCCGGGCCGAGCCACGGCCGCGCCCAGAGGGCCCCACAGGGGGTGCAGAGGCGGCGGCTGCCCCCGCGTCCTGCCTGGGCCGCCCTTTGCTCAGCGGCCCCCTCTGCTTGTCCACCGCCCTGGCGGCGTCTCCCTGAGGTGTGTGGACGTGGGGCCCCTCGCGGGTCACCCAGGCCGACCCCGGGATGAAAAGCGGCCGCCCCTTCCCGCGCCCATCTGCCTGCTGGTGCCCGAGCAGCAGGGAGCCAGCTGGACGCGGCCTCCAGGCCAGGCTCTCCGGGGGGCCTCAGGCCCGGTCAGGCCAACTCGCTTCCAGCGCCCCCGCGGCCGCCCCCCGTCCCGCTCAGGTCTCAGGTCGCGGGTGTGGCAGCGAGTCCTGAGGGACGCGGCCGGCCCCCACCTGCGGCCACGCCCGCCCGGGGCAGCCTCCACGCTTCCTCCCCGGCGCCCCCGCCGCGGCTCTGCTGTGCCGCCCACCCACGCTCCTGCCCGCACGCCCTGCCCGCTGCTGCCCCCCCAGGCCTGCGAGGGCAGCCCCGGGCCGCAGGCCGCGTCCTCACGCCAGCCCCATCTCTCTGGGGAGGGCGGGGCCGGGTGGCGCCATTGGAACAGCTGGAAATTCATGTGAAATTCTTCACTTTCTCAGCGTCTGTTTTCGTTCTGACATGCTGGGGGGCAGCTGTGCCCCCCACCACAGGGGCCCCCAGGAGGTGGCGGCGGGCGAGTCCCGGCCTCGGTGAGCCCAGCTGCGTGCTGACCACCACGTGACCGGCCGTGAGCGTGGACGCCTGGCCCCGCCTTGCGGATGGGGAAACTGGGGCACGGCCCTTCCGGTGTCTGAGACCAGCCAGACCTGAGTCTCAGGGGCGGGGCCCCTCTCTGGTGGGTGCAGGCCCGCAGCCGCACAGCTGCTCCTCCAGGGCCCACAGCCCCTCCTCACCCCTGCCTGCCCCTCGGGGCCCTACTGGCTCTGGCCTCCCAGCAACCCAGAACGTGCCCACCAGCCCAGCCTGAGTGTCCTGTGGCCCCCGTGCTGGCCTGTAGGGTGATGTGGAAAGCTCCCTGAGACCAGGGCCCTCTGGGCTCAACGCCCCCCTCACCCCTGGAGCCCGGCCCCTATGGCCTTGGTGTGCAGACCAGCCCTTCCCACCCAGCTCGGCCCCTCGCCCAGCCCCCTCCACATACCCAGCAGCTCCTGCCTCAGGACCTTTGCACAGTCCAGTGGGTCTCCTTGGAGCAACGCCTCTGCCCCCTGCCAAAGTGGCAAACGGCACCACCCCCTGACACCCCAGCCCCCCAACACCCCGCCCTTGACACCCCAGTCCCCTGACACCCAGCTCCCCCCACGCCCCAGCCCCCCGACGCCCTGCCCACCCGCTCCACCAGCCTGGACTCTGCGCCCAGGCCGCCTCACCCAGCCTTCAGCTGCCCCTTTCCCGGCCTGCTTCCATGTTGGTTTATTCAGGTTGGTGGCTCCAGCCCCCGATTTTTTATGGCAAGTCGCGTGTGTGAGTTCTAGGTGTACCCCAGCCCCCTGCTCCCCCGCATCTGGCCTGGAGGGCCAAGGGGACGGGTGGGGGGACGGAGAACGGGCCGCAGGGTCTGAACCCCGAGAGCGTCCAGGCGGCCAGCGTGTCCCGGAGGGTGGAGCAGGGAGGAGGTGCACGGAGGTGGTGCGGGCGCCTGTGGAGGCTTCGCCGTGAGGTCAGGGGCAGTGGGGAGCTGCGGGCGGGAATGAAGAGGCGTGGGGTGCCTGGTCTGAGTCACGCGGGCGTGGGGCTGCCGCGGCCCGTGACCTGCTGACGCGAGCGGCGTGGCCGGCCCGTGCAGTCACAGCCGCAGCTCGGCGCAGGCGCTGGCCCTGGGGCCAGGCTCCCGTGACACTCACCACGTGGGGGCCCTCGGAGGACATGGGGCGCTCCCGGCCCAGCTTCAGCCCCCAGCAGCAGGACGACTGACCCCCGAAGCCCAGAGCTGGGAAGCGGCCAGCAGCCGGCTCCGGGGAGGGACCCCATGGACGGGCGAAACAGCTCCCAGGCAGCACCTGGCCTGGGGCGGGCAGACGCCCTCTGACCCCCCACCCCCAGGATGTGGGGTGTGGCCGCCTGGAGGCCCCCGAGTCTGCAGGCTGGGATGTGCCTCTGCACACCTGCTCCCTTAGCCCCGCCTGCCCCCGCCCTGCAGACCGGGCCTCTGCGAGGTGAGCCAGAGCCACCTGGACCCCAGCGTCTGCTTCTGCCCTAGAGGGCCGTCCTGCTGTGCCCCCACACGCTGCCCCTGGAGGCCCGGATGCCCCTGAGGCCCAGCTTTGTGGCTCAGCCAGGGGAGGCCCAGCTAGGCACCCCCCCAGGCCCCTCCGCAGGGGCAGCCCCGACTCCCCGGCCAGTGTCTGGGGAAGGAGGCACCGTCCAGGGCCTCCACGCCGACTGCTCGCAGGCCGGGCTGGACCAGGTTCTGAAGGCCCTTTCCTGCTGGCCCGTGCAGGGGCGATTACCTGACGAGCCGTGCGGAGGGCGCCCCAGAGGGCTGTGGCCGAGGCATGTTCTGGAGGGGCAGAGAGCAGGGCCGGGCCTGCGCAGGTGGCGGTGCCAAGGCCAGGGGCGGGCATGGAGGACCCAGAGCCCCTCGGGGACAGGGAGACTCCGCAACCCCAGGCGCTGCTCCGACCATGTCCGTGGGCTCGTGCAGACGGGAGGGCGCGGTCCCGGGGCAGCGTGGCCTCCAGAGGAGAGGGCGCAGTCGCAGGACACAGCACGGACTAGGGGCGCAGACACAGCCAAGGCCAGGGCGCCCAGAGCCGGGCAGGGGCGGGAGCGCCCAGACACCTCCGGAGCGACATGGCGACCGCCTCTGGCCGGCAGCCCCACGCTCGCTGGCTGTCCTGGCCGCCGGGAAAGGGCTCCAGAAGGTCAGCTGGCGGCTCCGGCCCCATGAGTCGGGGGTGTGGGCTCACGGCCGCCGCCTGACGCGGGTCAGCGGTGCTGGGCAGCTGGAGTGCAGCCCCTCGCGGCCCAGCCGCCCGGCCCCCAGCCCGCCTCGAGGGCACTGCCCCCCAGGAAGCCCCGCCTGAGCTGCCAGCTGTCCCCGCCGTCGGCACACTGCTCAGCCGAGGGAGCGTCCCTCGGGCGACTTCCAGGGGGCAAATGAAAGGGGGCGATGTCTCCCCAGAAAGTGCGCGCAGCCCTCGCAGCCGCCCCCGCCTCTGGGCTGGGCCCTGGGGCCCACTGGCCTCCGCGCCCCGCCGGCCCCGCCCCGCTGCGGTCTGTCCCCCGCTCTGGGAGGAAGCCCGCGGGCCGGACGCGGCCCAGCATCCCGCCGGACTCTGAGCTGAGCCAGACCCCGGTCGGCCTGCAGGGCCGGCTTCCCGCCGGGGAGTCCAGGTCAGACGCCCCCGAGAGGGAGGCGCAGGCCCTGCCCTCCCAGCCGCGCCCAAAGGCCCCCTGGGTGACACCACCCCACGTGTGACCCCGGGGAGCGGCTGGGCGGCCACAGCAGCGCCCCCTTCCATCGGGGGCCCCTGCCCTTGGGTGCCCACGGACCCGTTGTTGGCTGGAGGTGGCTCCTGCTCGCCCGGGCACCCGGGGGACAAGCCTCAGGCAGAGGAGCTTGCTCGGCCCCCACCCCGGGGGCTCTGCCGTGGGCGCCCGTGCAGTGGGTGGTCCCCAGCCCGGAGCTGGGCAGGCGCCGGAGACGGCCCCGGGGCTGCCCCGGGCTCCTGCACCCGCCTGCCGTGAACTGGCCGCTGTCCTGGCGAGCGAGCCGCGTGCGCCTGCGGGTCCTCAACCCTCCCCGGGGTGCCCCGCTCCCGCCCTGCTGCCTTGGTCTAGGCGGGCGCCGGACCCCATCTCCAAGCCTGTCCGCGGCCGAGACCTGCTCGCCTGCGGGTGTGCGCGGGACTGGCCGGCAGAGACCAGGCTGTCCTGGGAGAAGGCCGGGCCCCTCCCCCCCTCCTCGGGGGCTGGACGGCAGGTGTCGCGGTCGGAGCCGCAGCACGACGTGCAGTGGCGGGGGAGGCCCCGTGAGGGCGGCGGAGCGGGATGCCCGGTGGCCCTGGTGTCCGAGCAGCCCCGGAGGCCCCGCTTCACGCCTCGAACAAACGGCTTAGGCCGCTGTCGCCAGGTTCCCGGGGTCTCGAGCCGGACCAGGTGCCAGCCCGGATGGAGGGGGCTTCCCCAGCTGCCCCCCTGGCAGCCCAGAGAGAGCCACCACCCCCGGGGCTTGGTGTTTCTCCCCAGAGCTCTGCCAGAAGACCAGGAGCCGCCTGACAAGGGCCGTTCCAACACCCTTAGCCGCGCAGGGGACGCACCGGGCCCCCGACCGGGGCTCGGCCCCTTCCTGGGTGAGGGAGGTCACCTGCAGGGCGGCTCGCGTCAGCAGGAAGGTGTGTGAGGAGAGCCGCCCGGGTCGCAGAGGCCCCCCGCCCGCGCCCTCAGCCGGCCTGGGTCTGGAGCCCACCCGGCGGGCGCCTGCACCCACACGGCACGGGCAGCGCGCAGGCCCCCGGCCGGGACCGGGCAGGGGCGAGGGCAGGACCAGGAAGGGGGGGAGGGCAGTCCAGGGCTGCTGGTGGCTGGGAGGGGTGGGAGGGCGGGGGGCGCCCCGCGGAAACAGCCGGGGGCGCTAGAGCGAGAGCAGGCGTGCCAGGTCCGCAAGCAGGGCCTGGTTCTCGAACTGGGGCAGCTGAGGGCGCCGGGCTCCTGGTGGCCCATCGCCGGGCAGCCACCGCCGCTGTGCCAGGCTGAGTCACCCACGGGCAGGGCCATCCACCGCGGCTTCTGCAGAACCAGTCTGGCCGGCTGCAGGCTCGGGGCCAGCGTGGGCCTCGCACAGCAGCTGCTCCAGCTCAGGGGCTGGGGCCTTCAGGATGGAGGCGGGACCTAGCCCTGCCCCCTCCTGCTCCCAGGCTGGGGGGCTCTCCTCCGCCTGGACTGGAGGGGCTGCCAGGCGGCCTCCCAGGCCCGCAGCGCCGGCACCTGCACCTGTTCTCCTTGGGCTGGCGGGGCCCAGAGCTGGTCCTGGCAACAGCCTCCTGCTTCTCCTTCCACCCTCCTGGGTTCGGGGGGGGCGCCCGGCATGCGGGCAGCTCTGCAGGGCGGGCAGCGCGGTTGGCGCGGTGGCCAGTCGTGCCGGCACCCCTTGCCCCAGGCGTTCTCACCACGCAGAGGAGCAGCCGCCACCGCGGGCCCGTCCCCGGGGAGGGCCGGTCTGGACGGCCCCCGGGGAGGCAGACACCGCCTGGCCTTTCCGCCCGACCCCTCCCGGCCCGCGGGCAGCCAGCTCCTCTCCCGGACATGGACGTCACAGGTCACACCGCGCGTTTCAGGGCACCGTCCATGGGTGCTGACTGCCCGCCCCGCCCCGGCCCCTGCCCCAGCACAGGACCTACAGGGCTCTGTCGCCCACACCGCGGGCAGCCTTTCGGGGCCCCCCACGCTGAGGTCAGAGGGCAGCAGTGTGCACTGGCCTTCATGGCCGCGGACCAGCACAGCAGTGAACGATGAGGCCGTCTCAGGGTTGAGAGACCCCGCAGGGTGCTCAGGGATTCGGCTGAAGAAATGACAGACACACACGCTTCAAGAGAGAGTAAATCTGAGTGCGATTGTATTTGAGTCAGTCGCCAGTGTACACGTCTCCAAAAGCACAGAGCAGGGAACGGATTTAGCTTATCGCTGAGTGATTTACCTCATTCCTAAGCGGACAGACCATTAGTTCTGTTTTTAAACTATAGGATCGCATTTTTTTGTTTTACTGACTACTTTTTTCACTAAACCATATTTTAATTATTACAGGGTTTAGTAACGTTTCATGGGAGTCAGCCTTGTGTTAAGGATTTCATATGATTTTTTAATTAACAGCAAATGACCTTTATAGAAGAAAGAAGGAAGTTTAGAAAGACAATAAAGGGATAAAGTTCGTAGTTCTAGAAAGACGGGATAAGGTTTTTTAGCTCCTGGTGGTCGTCATCCTTTGATAGGCTTCTGTCTTATCTGTCTTCAGGGAACTTTGCTGTACTCCCCTGCCTCAGGGAGTTTGCTGTTCTCCCCCTGCGCGCTGGTTCCTTGCCCAGCCGGACCGAGGGACCTTGGCGAGAGCCATTAGCCCTAAAGGTCACTGCAGGGGGAGGTGCAGCACTTCATGGCTCTGGCCCGCTAGAAACTGGGCATCAGCATGGCCTTGGGGTGCCTTTGTGTGGCTGCGGGGTGCTGGGCCCCAAAGTGAGTTCACACTCAGGGTCCTAGACTGGGGCCTGGCCGGGCGGCGGGCGGAGCCTCCTGTCACGCCCCAAGCTTCCTGGCGCGGGCAGGGGTTCCCACCACCCTCCCGAGGGGCCGGGGCCAAAGGCGTCCTTTTGTTTGAACTAAAACTGCAGCTCCAGCCCTGGGGCCAAGGACAAAGCCCTCCCGAAAGGGCTGGCGGCTCTGGGCGGCCTCTCCGGGGCCGTGCTGGCCTGGGTGGGAGGCTGAGCGGCCAGGTAGCCTGGCCCCCAGGAAGGGGCGTCCCACTTTCTGGTAACCCTCTCCTTTCCCAGGAAGACAACACCCCCCAGTTGGGGGTAGGTGGGCCTCCCTCCAGTCCCTGCCCACCCACACCCGGGGAACCCTCTCCCCACACAGCCAGATCTAGGGGGGACCCGGGGGCCCCAGGGGCCCCAGCGCCTGCTGTGTCCAGGGCCCCTAGGAGGACAACCCAGGCCTGTCGTGCAGGCCGCAGCAGCACTGCCCGCCGCCCAAGGGGTGACCGCCACATGTCAGGCCCCCACAGCCTCTGCTGGGACCAGCACGTGGCAAACCCCCCAAAAGTGGCCGACGGATAGGCCAGTGAGGCTGGGGTCAATAAAACTGTATTTGCTGAGACAGGCAGGTGCATCCAGAACCCCTGAAGAATCACGACTCCACGAAAACCACCGTCCTGGCTGCAAACCAGTCAGGGGGCTCTGCAGACAGAGCTCCAGAGGCGGGCTTGGTGGCCAAAGGCCCGGGAAAGGCACCCCACACCCTGCACCCCCCACACAGATGCAAATGGAGCCACAGGGAGAACCACTTCGCACCCACTGGGAGGGCTATTTTTAAAAAAGCAGAAAATAACAACTGCTGGGATGGCGCTCCTGAGGGGGAAGAGCCCAGACTGCGCACGCACGCACGGGACCCGCTTCCGGGCACACTCCCAAGGGGAGCTGCACCCACACTCGGGAGATGGGGGAGGGGCCCCCGGTGGTGTCCACACCGCACCAGGCACATCCAGCCCGGGGGCGCCCCGTGGGCTCCGTGGGGCCCCGCCCACGCCAGCCCTGGGGTCCCCATCAGAGCCCTGCAGGGCCGGGGCCGGGGCCCGTGTCCGCTGGGGAAGATGGACGCATCCGGGGTGAGCTTCGGCCGTGGGCCGTGGCCCTGGGGAGGGGAGGTCCAGGCCGTGTGCATTTTCCACAGTTCCGAAGAAAGCAGAAGACCGGCTCGCCCTCCCCCGGCCTGGTCTGCAGTTGACCGTGGGGGAAGGCTCTGGGTGCGCGGGGCTCTCCAGGTGAACTAGGAACCCGCCACCGCCCGGGCCAGAGGAGCTCCCTGAGGGAGAAAAGACTCGCTGAGGCTAAGCCGCTCGCCGCGGGGAAGGGACGTTTATCCCTCAGGGCCGGTCCTCAGAGCTCTGCTGAGAAGCAGCCCCAGACTCCACCCGAGCCGCCCTGGCCTCCCAGGGGCCGCGCGGGCCAGTGAACCCTATTTGTGGGCGGTAAGCTTCAGCCTTTTTTTTTTTTTTTAATAGAGGCATGTTTTTTATTTATTTATTTGTTTGTTTTTGTTATACATGCACTGGGTACAGTCAGAAGCACGGGAGGGTGAGAGAATTCACCAGAGCCAGAGCGGGGAGCAGAACAGCCCTCTCTCCGCAAACCTGCTCTTTCTGGGCAGCTCTTCCTGCCCGCGTGTGTCTGTGCAAGTCTCTTTCACTCTTTTGTCCGTTTCTCTAACAAACCTGCTCTTTCAATATAACCAACGTCTCTGCCTCCTGGAGAAACTCGCCGGGAGAGTCGCCGCGCGCTGCCGAAACAGGATCTCTGGGGAGGCCTTTCCCAGCGTGAACCCCAGGACCCCACACTAACTCCACAAAAACCTCGACATGCCTGCCCCAGTGCCTGCCGAGCGCTGCGGGGCCAGGCGTGTCCAGAGAAGGCTCTCCGAGGCCATAGCTGCAGTGACTAGCGCACCCCAGGGCAAGGTGCCCGCGCCATGGCCACTCCCGGAGCCACCCCGGGCCTTGCCGAGGGCCCTCCAGGCACTCCTGGGCTGTGGCTTCAGCGCAGCCCCTGACTCCTGGGGCCTCCCTCCGCTCCCCTGTAAAGTGGGGCCCAAGCCCCTCGCGGGTCCCTGCGCGGAACAGGGGCCAGGCCCGGGCAGGCGCTGGCCGCGGGCACCCCACCAGCCCGGGCACACTGGGCCGGGCACGCCCGCCCCGCCGCCGGCTCCTCTGCCCTCCGCGGCGCCCGGCCTGTCGGGCCCCGACTCCCTCCAAGCCGAGGCGGCTCGGGGAGAGCCCAGCGCGAGGCCGCGGGCTGTGCCCCGGGTTCGGACGACAGCTGGGTCCCCCCCACCGCACGGCTGGGGCGCGGCCTGGGACGCAGCGTCGTCTTCCCAAGGTTCTCCCTGCCCTGCGGGGCGCGGGCCGTGTGCAGGGGCCACCCGGCGGGGGGGGGGGGGGGGGGGGGGCCGCTGGCCGGCCGGCCCGCTCTCCCGCCGGCCGCCCTGGCCCCCCGCCCTCTCCCGCCGGCCCCGCCCTCTCCCGCCGGCCCCGCCCTCTCCCGCCGGCCCCGCCCACCGCGCCGATCCCGCCCCCTTCCCGCCCGGCCCCGCCCCGCCGCCCCCGAGGCGCGGCGTACGCCAGGCCCCGCCCCCGCCGCCCGCGCCGCCAGGCCCCGCCCGCGCCGCCAGGCCCCGCCCCCGCCGCCGCGCCGCAGCCCCGCCCCGCGCGCGCTGCGCCTGCGCGGGCGTCTGGGCTGCGGGGCCGCGGGCCGCGGCTCTTTTGTTTCCCCGCCGGGGCGCGTCGGAGCGTCGGGGCCGCCGCAGCCGCGCGACCGCGATCGGCGCCGCCCGGGCCTGCGGGACGCGGCGCGCGCCCACCGGGACCGGCGGGCAGGCGGGCCCCGCCGCCCCCCCGCCCGCGCCCGCCATGCGCCCCCCGCGCGCGCGCCGCGCCTGAGCGCCATGGAGCCCGGCCGCGCCGGCCTGGAGGCCGTGGGCAGCTTCGAGTTCTCGCGCAAGGACCTCATCGGGCACGGCGCCTTCGCCGTGGTCTTCAAGGGGCGCCACCGCGAGGTGAGCGGGGCCGCCGCGGCCCCCGCCCCCCCCCCCCGGCGGGGCCCCCGGGACGCCCCCGGCCCCCGCCCCCGCCCCCCCGCGCCCCCCGGCCGGCGGGGCCCCCGGGACGCCCCCGGCCCCCGCCCCCGCCCCCCCGCGCCCCCCGGCCGGCGGGGCTGAGCCGCTCGTCCCGCAGAGGCGCGAGCTGGAGGTCGCCGTCAAGTGCATCAGCAAGAAGAACCTCGCCAAGTCGCAGGCGCTGCTGGGGAAGGAGATCAAGATCCTCAAGGTGCGCGGCGGGCGGGGCGGGCGGGGCGGGGGGCGCGGGCCCGGCTGACCCCGTCTGTCCGTCCGTCCGTCCGTCCTAGGAGCTGAAGCACGAGAACATCGTGGCGCTCTACGACTTCCAGGTGAGCCGGGCCGGGCGCGGGCGGGGCGCCGGCGGCTCCCCGGTGTCTGGCGGCGGCCGCTCGGGGCCTTCGGGGTGGGACTGGGGGGCGCCCCCCCCCGCTCGTGGCGCCCCCGGGCCGGCCGCAGCGGGGTCCTGGGGCGGCGTCCGACTCCGCGGCCCGACCCCGGTGCTGGGCCGGCGCGGGCAGCACCTGCGGACGGCCGGGCCACCTGTCGGGCGCGCCTGTCTGTTGACACGGCGGCGCGGGCATCCGCGTCGGTGGGGAGGGGAGGCCGCGGGAGATCCTCCTCCTGGCTGCGGGCCGCCCCGGGCTGGGGGCAGAGCCGGGCTCTGCCTGCCGTCCAGCCGGCCCTGGAGGCCCGGGCCGCTGCCCCTGCCACCCCCAGGCTCGGCCGTCTGGGCGCCGCCGCCGGCCTGGGGGCTGGGAGCCGGAGCAGCTGATCCCGGCCAGAGTGCTGACTAATGGTTTTGAAACCTGTTTACTGAGGCCACGGGACCAGCCCCTGGCTGGGGGAAGTTCCCGGCCGGCTGGCTGGCTGGCTGGCTGTGTTTGGGTGGCCTCCTCCCTCCTCCTGCGGAGCTGGGCCGTGGCCTTGGGGACTGGGGCATGACGGGACGTGATGGGGAGGACCTGGCCCAGGGTGGCAGCTAGTACCTGGAAGTCTCGGGGGCGGGAGGGCGGCCGTGTTCTCCCGCCTCGCCGCCTCTGTGCGCCCTCCTCCGCCCCACCCCCTGGGCCGCACACCTGGCTGTGGGCACCTGGCTGTGGGCACCTGGCTGTGGGCAGCGCTGCTTCCTGCCACGGCTTCCTCTGGGGAGGAAGTGCTGGGAGCCAGGCCCGCCCGCCAGCTGTTCCTGGGGCCTTGGATTCTCGTCCAAGACTCTGGACCTGGGACGCACGGCTTGGACGTGGGTTGGGTTGCAAACAAGACGAGACGGGACAGGGTGGAGGGGATTTGCATGAGACGCCTCTGCCTGTCGGGTGGAGCCTGCACCCAGGCTGGTGGCTTCTGGGTCGGCTGCCCCTGTTTGGCCCGGGGCCCGTGGCACCGCTCACTGCGGGGCAGGGAGGAGGCCTCCACCGTGGCTGCCTCTTGCCGCATTGCACTCTGAGCAGGGAACCCTAGGCCCCTGGAGGCTGCCCCTCCAGGCCCAGCGGGCCAGCCAGGGCCCTGAAGCCAGACCCCTCAGCCATCAGCGTAGGTGCGGAGCCCCAGGTAGGGCCAGCCGGGTCTGCACAGGCTCAGTGCCCTGGCTCCTGGCTGTCCTTGCTCATACCCGTCCTGGGCACAGGCCATGTCGTCCTGCTAAGGCTGCTGGTGGCGTGGGCCTGCCTTTCCCCATCCCTCTCCACGGGGATGTTCCCGGTGCCCGCATCACCGTGCAGCTGCTGTGGGGCAGTCATGTCGCCAGCCTGGACGCCTGCACATGGTGTCATGTTGACCCGCGGGCCCGTGTCGTGGAGAGCTCTGGGCGCTGACGCCTGGGCGTCCCTGTGCTGGGGGCTGTTCTGTGCCTGTTCATGGGCTGTGTGGAGCAGGAGTGTGCGCAGGCCAGCGCGAGGCTGTGAGGCCTAGCACGGTGCTCTGTTCTGATGCCAGGCTGGGGCGGCTGGGCCTGGGCCCTGGGCCCCTGGGCGAGAGGGGTGGGCTCTGGCCCTCGCTGGGCAGACCTGCACCGGCCTGGGAGGACGGGCCTGCAGGGCCTGGCTGACAGCCCCTCCCCTGCAGAGGCCAGCACGCTGTCTGGCCGGTTCCTGCAACTGGACGTGACTCGCGCCAGCCCCGCCCGCAGCAGCGCCTGAGTGACGGCCACTGGGGCCGCCTCTGCTGCCAGCACAGGGCCCTCTTGGCCTTGCTCCCAGTGACAGGTGACGGGTGATGCCACAACCTGCTTCCCCTCCCCTGGGGCCCCAGGGCAGTCCTGGCGTTTTGGAAAGGGCTGCACCTTTGGAAAGGGTGGCGGTGGGTGCGCCTCATTAACATGGGGCTGCTCAGTGTGGGTCACATGCCAGCAGTGGACATGGTGGGTGGGGTCAGTTCACTGTGAGGACTCAGCGCCCCCAGAAGTGGGACCCTGCCCTGCCCTGCGGTGGCCCCCCGCCGCCCACCTGGCTGGGCCCTTGGTGTCGTGGCGGCGGCTCCCTGCAGCCTCGCAGTCGGGTGCAGGCAGCATCCGCCCTCAGCACCACTGTGGTGCGCTCGAGGGTGAGTGGGGCCTGGGTTTCCCTGAGGGAAAGGCGTTGCAGCTGCCCACACTCCTCACCCGAGGGTGTCCCCTGCTTGTCCTGAGTCAGGTCACTGGAGAGGGCCTCCCTTCTGAGGGAGGGCCGGCATCCTCCGTGGGAGTGTCTGGAGGGCTGGCCCGCCACAGCAGCTCTGCCCAGCTCGGTGGTGGCTTTGTCACCGTCTGGGCCAGCATGTCAGTTGGCCAGCAGGGAACTGGGTCGGGGCCCGTCTGCCTGCACGGCCGGCCCAGGCATACCAGGCAGGAATGGGCTGGACGGCGGTGTGGCTGCCGGGTCCCCTTAAGGAGAGCTCCTCAGCTTGGGGTAGGGTGGCTCCCATGTGCCCAGCTGCCCGCGCCGGGCTGCCCTAGCCCAGTCCTTGGGTGTGCTGCAGAGAGCCTGTGTCTCCTTCCTGGGGTCTTGCAGCGCAGAGACCAGGGCTCTGTTTCCAACCCCGCCCCATCCCTCCCCACCCTCCATGCCCTGTTACCAGGCCAGCTCCGCGCTGGCCCGCAGTGGGGCTGATGTGAGGCCCCGGTCTGGCTCCTGTTGCCCTGGAAGCCCCGTGCAGGAGTGTGCCCCCGCTTCCACGCACCCCCTCGCTGGGGCTACGTGCAGACCTGGCCACCTCCAGCGTCTGGGCTGACCCGAGACCGACCCAGGCAGCGGTCTGACTCCTGCACCCCTCGGCCCCCCGAAGCATGTGAAAAGGGGGGCTGTTCACCCAGGTCTGGGTGGGCGACAGCCTGGCAGGGGAGGTCGCCTCTCCAGGGGTCCAGAGACAGAGCCACCTTCCCTGGGGAAGGGGGGCAGGACTAAGGCACCCAGCCCCCACCTGCCCTGGCACTCGAACCCCCGCTAGAATGGTGTCAGGGCCACTGCTTCCGGGACCCGTCTGGCGCAGGCTTTGGCACAGGGGCTTCTGCGCCGTTTGCTCCTCTGAAATAGCCGCCGCTGGACCGCGCGGACCTCCCTCCCACGAGGCAGCCCTCTCTCCCCGAGACGGGGCCGCCTCCCAGCACAGCCTGTGCCCTCCGCAGGCCTGGGAGGCCCAGGCAGGCTCCAGGGTGGCCTTGGCAGGTGACCTGCAGGGAGCACTGGGGAGTGAGGCTGTCTCAGAGGCAGCAGGTGGGGAGCTGGGGCGTGGGGTGGGGTGCGGCAGGTGGAGGCTCGGGCCTGGAGCGGGGTGGTGAGCAGGGCCTTGGCGTGGGTCTTGAGCGATCTTGGCACAGAGGAACCTTGTCATTCTGCAGGTGCACCCCGTTTCTCAGGACTGGGGGCCTGAGAGCGCATTTAGCGTGGAGGCGGGCTCATGGTCCTGATGGGAGACTCGGGTGTCCTCTGTGTCCTTGTGATGTGGTCCCTGCCTCTCCCGGCCCCATGGGCGAGTTGGGCTTTCTCGGGGCAGGAGCTACGGTTGGGGAGAGAGCTGGGCCCGGGCCTGGCCGGGTGGCGGAGAGACGGACGTCCCGGGCTGGCTGGAGCGGAACTGGGCTGGAGGTGGCCACGGGGTCGGGGTGTGAGAGCAGTGGCCTGGGCGCCCTGAGGCCCAGCTGTTGTGATGTCCTGGGCGCTTGTCTCTGGCGAGGTCCTGTCAAAGCGTCTGCTGACACGGTCCCCGGCTGTCTCCCTGCTGCTGGCCGGCCTGCCCTGCCGACGGGGTAGCTGGGCGTCTGCCATGGGGCCCTGTGGTTCTCTATCTCTCCCTGCAGCTGGGGGCTGGCGGGGCCGGAGCTGCACACGCCTGCGTCTGTGCTTCTGTCCCGCCCCGGCCTGCCCCGCTGTGTACTTGGAAGGGCTGGGCTGCTCTTGGGAGCAGGCCTGACAGCCTCATGCTAGGGGCAGCCCCTGTGCCAGGGGCGGCCTCCCCAAGGTCACGGGAGGTGAGTCCCCCCCAGAGGCTGATGCCCAGCCCCTTGGCCCAGCTTCCAAAGGAACTCTGGAGACAGCTGCCCTGGGCGCCCCGCTGGTCAGCTCCGGTTCCTACTGGCTGGAGCACTGGTCCCTCCCGGAAGGCCCACCAGGGCGGAGCTGGGGGATGCCGCGGGGGAAGAGTGGAGAGGGTGAGGCCCTGCAGCTCCACGCTGAGCAGAGGAGCCCTGCCGGGCAGGGCATAGCATGGGCGCCCAGGCCCTGGGGTTAGCATCTCTCACTGCAGCGGGGTCAGGCCCTCAAGCCTTGGCAGACCTTCCTCAAAGGCGGGCTGGCTCAGCCAGGACCCTTCTCAGGAACACAAGCGAGTCCGAGGAGGCCTTGGGGCAGGGCTGGCCTCACTGATCTGGGCAAGATGCAGGCCCCGGGGCCACCCTGGGGGTGCTTCTCGCCTGGCCTCACTCGACTCTCAGACACACACGCTCGTTACCCGGCCTCTGAGAGACCAGCTGGTGTCCTGCCCAGGTGTGTCTTGAGGGCACCTGTGGGTGCTGCACACTCGGGATGCTGAGGCCCCAGCATGGGCTCCCCAGGGGGCTGCAGGGGCTGGCCCTCCCCGCCCTCATGGTGCTTTGTGTCCCGCAGGAGATGGCCAACTCCGTCTACCTGGTCATGGAGGTGAGTCCCGCGGCCTCGCCTGGACGGGGCTGGCGCTGGAGTCCCGAGGCCGCAGCAGGTGCCTGAGGGTGGCGAGGCTGACAGATGCCATAGGCCCTGTCAAGCGCAGATTGCGGGGGACCCGCCCTGGGGAGGAGGGGGTCCCGGGAGTAGGTGTCCAGGCAGGGCCTGGCCCTCGGGGCTGCTGACATGTCTTGGTCTCGGCAGTACTGCAACGGCGGGGACCTGGCCGACTATCTGCATGGTGAGTGGGCCCGAGCGGGGGCTCAGGGTGTGCCCGCAGCTGTTGACGAGTGCGTCCCGCGGGGGTGGAGCCGGCGGGAGGAGCTGGGGGCGGATGTCTGCGCGGGCTGGAGCGGGGTCTGGCTATCCCAGGTGGGCTCAGCCAAGTGCCGGCTGGCAGCAGGCACTGGGTGGTCTCGGCCACAGGTGTCCCAGTCGGGGTGCTGTGGTGCCAGCAGGGACAGCCTTGAAGGGCAGGCGGCTGGGCTGCTAGGCACTCGTGTCATGCCCGGCCCTCGGGGTCCTGCAGCAGCTGGCCAGCTGCCTCCCCGGTGCTCATGGTTGAGGCCCTACTGCAGGCGGGAGACAGCCCCTCACACCCCGTCTGTCTGGGCCTCAGGGCTGGGCGAGGGCTCCCTGGGCAGCTGGGCCGCGCTTGCCTGCGGGGTGAGGGAGGCGCTGGGAGCGTGGGTGGACACGGCCCGGGATGGGGGAGGGTGTTGGAGAGCAGCCTGAAGCAGGGGGGGTCCTTGGTCACAACAGGTCCTGGGGTGTGAGCGAGGGGGCCGCAGCCGAGAAGCTAGGGCAGGGCCGGGCGTGAGCGTGGGTGGCGGGGGCAGGCCTGGCCGAGCTGCGCCCCTGAGCGCCGTCTCCCCGCAGCCATGCGGACGCTGAGCGAGGACACCATCAGGCTGTTCCTGCAGCAGATCGCGGGCGCCATGCGGGTGCTGCATAGCAAGGGCATCATCCACCGCGACCTGAAGCCCCAGAACATCCTGCTGAGCAACCCTGGCGGGCGCCGAGCCAACCCCAACAACATCCGTGTCAAGATTGGTGAGCCGGGCGGGCGGGTGCTGGTGGGCCCAGGGGCGGCCTCGGCTCCCCGCTCACTCCCCGCTCACTCCCCGCTCACTCCCCAGCCGACTTCGGCTTCGCCCGCTACCTGCACAGCAACATGATGGCCGCCACGCTCTGCGGCTCGCCCATGTACATGGTAGGTGGGCTGGGGAGCCAGTAGGGCCTGCCTCCGGGGCGCCCCGACCTACTCCCGCACAGCACGGCTGTCCCCTCGCCTGCAGGCGCCCGAGGTCATCATGTCCCAGCACTACGACGGCAAGGCGGACCTGTGGAGCCTCGGCACCATTGTGTACCAGTGCCTGACGGGCAAGGCACCTTTCCAGGTAGCTGCCCCGCGCCGTGCCCGCCTCCCGGCCCTCTCCCACCCCCCAGCGCTGTGCCCCCGCTCCACAGACACCGGGCGTTCCCCACGTTGGAAGGCAGTGGCTGCTCTGCATGGGACCTGGAGCCCAGAGTCCGGCCACGCTGCCTGCCTGTGGGGCCGCCTCGCCTGGGCAGCCCTCCCGGTTGCCCTGCCTGCTGCATGGGTGAGGGACACCATGCCCAGGAGGGCAGCCCGGGCGCGTGCACTTGGCTTCCGCTGTATCGCGTCTGGGACAAGCACGTGCAGGCTCCGCCGGCACCCCCGGCTGTGGTGCCCACCCGCGGGGCAGTCCCGTGCGGGCGTCCCAGGAGCGTGAGGGCGCTGTTTGGGCAAGAGATGGCAGGATACGGACACTGAGTGCGCGGAGGGCGGGCACCCTGTCTTCCCCCAGGCCAGCAGCCCTCAGGATCTCCGCCTCTTCTATGAGAAGAACAAGACCCTGGTCCCCATGTGAGTGCCCCTAGCCCCAGTCTCTGCGCCATGACCCTACCCCAGCCAGGCGGCCCTGGCCAATCTGAGGTGGTCTTCTGCCCCCAGCATCCCGAGGGAGACCTCTGCCCCGCTGAGACAGCTGCTCCTGGCCCTGCTGCAGCGAAACCCCCGAGACCGCATGGGCTTCGGTGAGTGGGGGGCTGGCATCCCGCGGCACCGGTCAGGACCAAGCCCCGCTCGCTCCCCTTTCGCGGCCTTTCCCCGCGCCCCCTGCTCCGCCCGCAGCACCAGCTCCTGAGGGCCCTTTGGTGGTGCAGCACGTGGGCCTCCAGGGTGCCTGGAACCCCGTCCCTGCAGCGCAGCCTGTGAAGCCCGTTCCACAGTGGAGAGCTCTGGAAGCCGCCGTCTGGGCGGGCAGCTGGTGCGCTGCGGCGGGGCCTCCCTGGAGTGAGGCCAGCTGGCACCCAGGTCCGGCGAGGCTGGGGTGGCCTTCATCCTGAAAACCTGTGCGCTAGGCCCTTTCTCAGGCCCTGCCCTGCTTGCTCTGCAGATGAGTTCTTCCAGCACCCCTTCCTTGACGCCAGCGCTGCTGTAAAGAAGTGTGAGTTGCAGGCCCTGGACATGGTGCCACAGTCTTGGGGGTTGGGGGCTGGCTCCCTTCCCGGCCCTGGGGTCCTGTCGCCGGTGGGTAGGCGTCTGCTTGGGGGGAGACCTCTGCCCTGACCGCTCCCCACTCCAGTGGCGGGGCGGGTGGCGTCTCCTTGGGGGAGCCCTGGCCCTGACCATCCCCCGTCCTGTAGCGCCGCCTGTGCCCGTGCCCTCCTACCCCAGCTCGGGCTCCGGCAGCAGCTCCAGCAGCAGCTCCACCTCACACCTGGCCTCCCCGCCGGTGAGTCGCCCGCCCAGAGTGCGTGAAGGGGAAGCTTTTCTGTACTCATTGTACTGCCCACTTCCACATCCACGCCCTGTGTCCCGGTGCCCTGCCTGCAGGCTTTGCTGTGGGGCAGGGTGGGGCCTGCCTGGGCGAGGGTGATGCCTGAGTGGCCTGCAGAGCCGCAGCCCCCCACATGCTACCGCTCCGGCCTTCCCAGCACGAGGGGCCCAGTGGGGTCTTCCCGGGGTCTCTGGGTGGCGACCACATCCCGTGACGGACCCTGTGCACCGGGCCTGGCCTGGGGCTGCCGCTTGTTCTGAGCCAGGCCTTAGTGGGTCTCCGCCCCCAGTCCCTGGGGGAGATGCAGCAGCAGCTGCGTAAGACGATGACCTCCCCGGGCGAGGCTGCTGGGCTCCTGCAGGGCTCTCGGGACTCTGGTGGCAGCAGCAAGGACTCCTGCGACACCGATGACTTCGTCATGGTCCCGGCCCCATTTGCAGGTGGGTCAGCATGGCACGTGTGTGCGTGGGTGCCCTCTGTAGCAGAGCCCAAGCCGGGTCCTGCCTGCTGTCCGCGGCCTGGCTGCCTCCTGTCCCTGCCAGGCTCTGAGCTCTGCCCTGGTCTGCTTCTCAGGAACCGGGGGCTGTGCAGGCTCAGGGGGTGCCTGGGAGGGCGCGGGTCTGGCCTGGGCCCTGGTGGCTCCCACGCTTCCGCGGGCCTGGGCTCCGCTGCTGGGAGAGTGAGCCCTCGCCCAGCCCCTCAGCTGAGCTCCTGGCCCCACACAGGGCAGCTGGGGCCCAGGGTCCGGGCGTGGGCCCCGAGCAGGGCTATGGACCCTCAGCCTGGAGGTGGCTGAGGCGGGAGCACGGGGAAGAACCCAGCCTCCCCGGAGGCCCTGAGGTGCAGGCAGGTCAAGGGCCGCCCCCGTACAAACGCCCCGGGGATGTAGGCTCGGGGATGTAGCTCGGGGCCTGTGCCTCCGCCCACCCAGGAGGACGAGCCTTGGTCGGGGAGCCACCCCCTTGGAGCGTCCAGGTGGGGTGGCCCCGGGAGGCAGTGGACAGTCCTGTCTCACGCACAGGTGACCTGGTGGCCGAGGTGGCTGGGGCCAAGCCGCCGCCCGACAGTCTGATGTGCAGCGGGTAGGTGCCTCCTGGCTGGAAGAAGGGGTGGCTGTCGGGGGGGTCTGCTGTGCCTCAGCCCCCCACACCGCCCTCCTGCTTCAGCCCACCAGTGGGCGTGGGCAGGGCTTGGTACCAGGACTGGCTAAAGCTTCAGTCCACCTGTGCCTCTGCCCCCAGGAGCTCACTGGCGGCCTCTGGTGGCCTGGAGAGCCGCGGCCGGACTCCCTCTCCCTCCCCGCCCTGCAGCAGCTCCCCCAGCCCCTCAGGGTAAGCCCTTAGCCTGCTGCACCCAATGGGGCCCTGCCCTCAGGTTGCGGGGGAGTGCGGGGGTGGGCTCCTTGGACCCGGTGTACTGTCCAGGTCTCTCCTGTGTGTCCCATGGCTGCTGCCACCCCAGAGCCGCCAGGGCCTATGGGAGGGCGGGGCGCACACCCTCCTGTGCCTCGCAAGCTGGTGGCCTCAGGGTTCCTCTGCGGGCTGTGGCCTGGCTCGCCCTCAAGGCCGCCTGCAGTGACCTGTCCTTTCTCCAGCCGGGCCGGCCCGTTCTCCAGCAGCAGGTGTGGCGCGTCTGTGCCCATCCCAGTGCCCACGCAGGTGCACAACTACCAGCGCATCGAGCAGAACCTGCAGTCCCCGCCCCAGCACCAGGTCCCCCGGTGAGTGTGCGTGGCTGGCCCTGATCCCGGGACAGTGCTGGCTTTGCAGACGTCGCGGCGGCAGAGCCTTGTGGACAGTCATGTGGGCAGGTGTCCCCGGCGGGACGGCAGCCTGAGGCCGCGCTGGGGACTTTGAGTCTCTGCACCCGAGTTGTACTCCAGGCAGAAAAGGGGGGTCGAGCTTGGTGGCCACGCTGGGCGGGGCCAGGCCTCACCTCCCCGGCTTGCTGTGTCCCCAGGCCCTCCGCCATCCGCAGGTCTGGCAGCACCAGCCCCCTGGGCTTTGCCCGGCCTAGTCCATCGCCCCCGTCCCACGCCGAGCACGGAGCTGCCCTGGCCAGGAAGCTGTCCCTGGGCGGGGGCAGACCCCACACACCTTCCCCGCAAGGTGAGCTACTGCTTGGATGCAGTTCAGGGTGGGCGGCAGCTCCAGGGCTGGGCGGGGCACTGCTCGCCCCGAGCTGACCCTGGTCTCCTTCCTCAAGTCGGAACCATCCCTGAGCGGCCGGTTTGGAGCCGGACGCCCTCCCCCCAGGGAGCTGAGGTGCGGCCCGGCAGGTCTCCGCGCGCAGGTGGGTGCTCGGGCTGGGGGCCGGGGCCGGGGGCCGCTTCCTGACCCAGCTGGCTGTCGCGGGCAGCGCTGCCTCCCTCTGCACTGTGACCTGGGGCTGGGTTGCAGCTCCTGCCCGTGCCTGGCACAGGGCCCTGGGGGGTGAAGGGGTCGCGGACAGATGAGGGGCTGCACTAGCCTGTTGTCCGGTGAACGTCGCCTGGCTGTCCCACGCAGGCTCCTCCGTGCCCGAGCACGCCCCCCACGCCGCTGGGCTGGGCTGCCGCCTGCACAGCGCCCCCAACCTGTCTGACCTGCACGTCGTCCGCCCCAAGCTGCCCAAGCCGCCCACAGACCCCCTGGGCACGGCCTTTGGTCACCCGCAGGCCAGCCCACCCCAGCTGGCCCCCGGGCTGCAGTCCTGTCGGCCGCTGCGAGGCTCGCCCAAGCTACCCGACTTCCTGCAGCGGAACCCCCTGCCCCCCATCTTGGGCTCTCCTACTAAGGTACGGGCCCCGGTGTGGCTGCGTGAGCTGGGTGAGGGGGGCGTTCCTGGAGAAGGCCAGAGCTGAGGCCCTCGACGCCTGTTTCCTGCCTGGAGTGGGCCGGAGCTGGCTGCTGCCCGTGGTGTCTGAGGGCCAGGGCCAGCCTGTGCGGGGAGGACCCGGGCCAGTGTCCGGGGCCAGCTGTTCTTAGCACCCCACTTGCTCTTCTAGGCTCTCCCTGCCTTCGACTTCCCCAAGACCCCCAGCTCCCAGAACCTGCTGACCCTTCTGGCTCGGCAGGGCGTGGTCATGACGCCACCTCGGAACCGGACATTGCCGGACCTGTCGGAGGCGGGGCCCCTCCTGGGGCAGCAGCTGGGCCCTGGCCTGCGGCCCGCGGAGGACACCAGGGGCCCTTTTGGCAGGTGGGTAGGCGAGGTGCAGCGTGGGGCCTCTTGCTCTGAGCTGGGGCCTCTGGTCCCAGGGAGCTCAGCGCTCCCTCGCCCCACAGGTCGCTCAGCACCGGCCGCCTCACAGACCTGCTCCTTAAGGCTGCGTTCGGGACGCAGACCCCTGGCTCGGGCAGCACGGACAGCCTGCAGGAGAAGCCCATGGAGATTGGTGTGCTGGGCGGGCGCCGCTGGGGGGTGGGGGGCAGGGGCCTGGGGAGGAGGCCTGAGCTCCTGTCGCCCCACCCCCCCCAGCACCCTCCTCTGGCTTTGGAGGCAGCTTGCACCCGGGAGCCCGTGCGGGGGGTGCCAGCAGCCCCGCCCCCGTTGTCTTTACCGTGGGCTCGCCCCCGAGCGGGACCACGCCCCCCCAGGGGCCCCGCGCCAGGATGTTCTCAGGTGAGGTCTCGGGCGCAGAGGCTTGGCGCCCTGTCTCCTCCGGACGCCCTGGGTCGCGGCGGCGCCTGGTCTGCAGCCTCTGGGCCTTCCTGTGGGGGCATCTGTGGGGCAGACTGCCAGGCCGGCAGATGCCCTATCCGCTTGGTCTGGCCTCTGGACTGGCGTCCTGGTCAGGAGGAGGGCCCTGGTGGGGCGCCGGGTTGGACTCCTGCGGCTCTGCTCGGGGAGGGGCAGAGCCGGGTGAGCCGAGGCGCAGCTGCCGGGAGGGAGGCGTCCCGGGTGGGGCAGGGTGTGTGTGGCCGGGCGGCATGTCCAGACGGCGCGTCTGCCCTGCAGTGGGGTCTTCCAGCTCCCTCAGCTCGGCCGGCTCTGCCTCCACCCGCCCCCTGGCGCCCGGGGCCTGCGGCGAGGCGGCCCCTGAGGTCCCGGCCCCCGGGCACTGCCGCGGCTTTGCCAACCCCGTGGCCGCCAACCTGGAAGGGGCCGTGACCTTTGAGGCCCCCGACCTCCCCGAGGAGACCCTCATGGAGGTGAGGGCAGCGGGGCTGGGGGTGGGGCGGCCAGGCAGGTATGGTGGGTGTGACCCCCTGGCTGCCCTGCCCCCAGCAAGAGCACACGGACGCCCTGCACAGCCTGCGCTTCACGCTCGTGTTCGTCCAGCACGTCCTGGAGATCGCCGCCCTCAAGGGCAGCGCCAGCGAGGCGGCCGGCGGGCCCGACTTCCCGCTGCAGGAGAATGTGGTGGCCGACCAGATCAGCCTGCTGAGCCGCGAGTGGGGGTGGGTGCCCCAGGGCCAGGGCGGCGGCACGGGCCTGAGTGGGGGCGCCAGGGCTTCTGTGCCCCTCACGTGCCCACTGCCCCGCAGCTTTGCCGAGCAGCTGGTGCTGTACCTGAAGGTGGCCGAGCTGCTCTCCGCTGGGCTGCAGACGGCCATCGAGCAGATCCGGGCTGGCCGGCTCTGCCTGTCGTCCACTGTCAAACAGGGTGAGGCAGGAGCTCTGGGAGGCAGCGGGAGGGTAGGGGCCATCTGCACCCCCTGGGGTGGGGCGGGGTGGGAGCCTGGGGCTGGGGACCCTCGCACCCCGGAGTGCTGACGGGCTGTGCCCACAGTGGTGCGGAAGCTGAACGAGCTGTACAAGGCCAGCGTGCTGTCCTGCCAAGGCCTGAGCCTGCGGCTGCAGCGCTTCCTCCTGGACAAGCAGCGGCTACTCGACCGCATCCAGAGCGTCACCGCCGAGAAGCTCATCTTCAGCCACGCGGTGCAGACGGTAGGTGGCCTGGGCCGGGGCCGGGCCCTCCCCCACCTGAGGCGCCGTCCTTCCTGGGCTGGGACCCACAGCTCATGCCCCCTCCTGCGGTGATAGCAGGGCCTGGGCGCTCCCCTGGCTTCGGGTGACGGCCGGGGGAGGTGTCGTAGCCGCTCTGCCCCAGACTCAGTGTCCCCGGCTGGAGAGCCGGAGGCCTGGTGCCCAGCTGCTCAGCAGAAGGCTGGGGGCCAGGTCCTGGGCACCGGTGAGCTCCCCCGAGGTAGGCTAGGATCCTCGCGTGTGCGGGGATGGGGCTCCCTCTCCCTCGGCCCCCAGGGTGACCGGGAAGTGCAGCACTAAGGGTGCTGGTGGCCCCGGGCCGCACTGTTGAGGGCACTGCCCGCGGGGCGGCCAAGTCCTCACCCAGAGCCCCGCTGTCCGCACAGGTGCAGTCGGCCGCGCTGGACGAGATGTTCCACCGCCGGGAGGACTGTGTCCAGCGCTACCACAAGGCCCTGCTGCTCATGGAAGGGCTGCAGCAGATCCTCACGGACCAGGCGGACGTGGAGAACATCGCCAAGTGTGAGTGCCGCCCTGGAGGGGAGGCTGCTGGCCAGGGCCGCCCGCTCACACCCCTCCCTCCTGCAGGCAAGCTGTGCATTGAGCGGAGACTCTCGGCCCTGCTCACTGGCATCTGTGCCTGACCCTGGAGGCCCGGGCACCAGAGCTGAGGCCAGACCCTCTGACGACCCGGAGGGAGCCAGACCCTCGGCTTGCTGGCTGACTCGGAGACGTGCCTGCAGCCCGGACACTGCTCGCTGGCGCAGAGTATGCCACCTGCCCTGGTCCAACAGGAGCTTTGGAGACTCCAGGGAAGACGCCAGGGCGTGGGGGTCCTCACAGAACCTCAACTCTGGCCAGTCCCGGCCTGGCTGACGGGTCAGCTCCCGCCAGGACTCAAAACGCCCTCCCCCCGGCAGATGGGGCCTCAGGCGCCACCAGCCCTGCCGGAGCCTGTGCCAGAGCCCACCCAAGCCAAAGCCGCCAGCTCAGCCGGGGCTCCGCCCAGGAAGAGGCTTTGCCGAGACCGCCCTTCGCTTTGTGACCACCCAGCACTTTACAGCGGGCCCGGCCGGCCGCCTTGGCCCTGGCCGCTGTGCGGACGCCTCAGCGAGGACACGTGGCAGGGACAGTGGGCGGGGCGCCTGCTCTGCCCAGGGCTGGGGAGCGGCGTCCATGCCGCTCCTCAAATGTGTCTTATTTTTTGTAACTTCTTTTTTTAAAGAAGAAAACAGCTGGTGTTTAGGGTGTTTAGTTGGGGAGAGGCGGGCAGGATGTGGGGATGCGTGTGGCGGCTCCCGTCCGTGGCAGGCGGGCGAGGGGGCGTTTCACGTGAGCCCCACGGCCAGCCACTCCGCAGCCGGTGTCAGCCCCCTCCTGGCTGCCACTGCGGGTCAGCGGATGCCCCGGAGCCGCCCTCTCTGGTCCGCCAGCCCCACAGACACAGCAGGACATGCAGGAAGCCGCGTGCCTGGCCCACGTGGCCTCGGCGCGAGCCAGTGTTACCACTTAGGTCAGGCTGGAGCCAGCGCTGCCGGGAGGCTGGTGCCACCGAGGGGCCCCCTGGACCTCCGGCCCCTTGTCACGTGCCAGGCGTGGCTGGCCCGGTTACACACGCCACCCCAGTCCACTTCAAAGAGACAGTGAGCGGCTCCCCCTCCCACACTGACTGTGACATGACTTCAGGAAATAAACCCGGCGCCGCGCGCCCCCGGCGGGCCTCGTCCGCGTCTGTTGCTTCCTCCCTCTGGGGCGGGCCCCTGTGGCCAGCTCAGGGCCCCAACTGGAGTCCTGCGCCCCAGCGTTGGGGGCAAATGCACAGGGTGAGACTGGGTGTCATCTGGATTTCCCTGGGCCTCTCCTTGCTGGGGTGAGCTCCTGGGCACAGACGTGAGTCGGTAGCAACTCCTGACTAAGCCACCAGGGCCCGGGCACCCCACCTGCTGCCCTTGCACTGGCCCTCACGCCCGCTGCAGCTGGCTGGCTTGCGCTGCGTTTCCCTGATGCAGGCATCCCCACATGCCCCGGGCCACCCCCACCCCACCCCCCCCATCTCCAAGGGACCTGGTCGAGTCCTCGGCCCAGCTCTGGTTTGGAGGTTTCTCTATCGTTGAGTTGTAAGGTTTACATTTCTTACCCAGGTGTTTTGTAAGTTGTCACTAAATGGACCGCTGGGAAGAACTAAGCACAGAAGGCAGGGCTGGGGACCTAGGTAGCCGCCCCCAGCCCCTCAGGCCCCAGGAGACGCGGACATGGCGTTGCTGTCCCCGAGTCTTTGAGAGCTGCCTTGCATCACAGAAAGCAGGAGCAGGGCTCCTGTGTCCTGCCCACCATGGTGTGCTGCTGCCTATGTCTGGGCTAGAGGTGTCGGGACCCTCAGGGTGGGGCTCTCCCTCCAGGCCCCTCGGGGCCGAGAGCTCCTTCCCGCTCGCCTGAGCACAGGAACAGCTGCTCCTGGACAGCCCAGAGTTGCTGGACAGCCCAGTCACTCTGCTCGGGGCATCTTGAATAAAGCTGCTGGGGTGGGGGGTGGTGTGGCTCCCGCATTGTAAGCCCCTCATGTTTCGGGCACATTCAGGCTCCCACCACGGTGCCCAGGCCCCAGGGCTCCTCAGGGAACCCTGGGAGCCTGTCCCAAACCCTGGGCCTCAGTTTATCCTCCATGGGAGATGCTCAGAAGCGGGTGGGTGCGTGTGGTGGTGGCTCTGGGCCCCAGCACCTCGGCAGGAGCTGCCTCAGACCTCCGGCCCTCCCTCACTTCTCGGGCTGACCCTTTACCTGGCTGCGCGACCTGCAGGCAGTTTGCTGGCTGGCTGGCGCCAGGCTGCCCCCACAGCCTGGGGCCTGTTTTGGCCGGATTCTTGCCACGTTGGGGTGGGCACAGACCCACTCCCTGCCCCTGTGGGGTCCGCTGCCTCACCAAGGAGTGGCTGCACTTTGTAAAGCTGCTGCACTAAGAGGGTCACCTCCCAGCTCCCCTCTGCAGTAGGCGGGGGTCCCGTGGGCGGTCAGCCCAGCCACCCACCCACACAGCTGGCCCAGGGATGTAGAGGGGCGACCCCTCACATCCTCTGTTCCCATCTCACTGGAGATCAAGTCCTACCCCCCAGCTTGGCGCCCCAGGGCAGGCAGCTGGGGGGGTGAGGAAGGGGTGTCCCAGCTTTGCAGGCTGAGGCCCCACTCATTTCCCTGGCTTGTTTCTCTGCGTCCGCAGCCCCCTCTGCAGGCGGGCTCCTGAGCACGGGGGTTCTCGGGTGTCTGCCCACCCCGTAGGTCGAGAGCCCTTGGAGCGGACAGGGGTGTTAACATGTGCTAGCGCCTTCGGTTTCAGACGCTTGTCCTGAAAGCTCATTTCCGACAAAGCTGTGGTTTGAGCTTGCTCTGAATAACCTGTTTGGAGCAGGCGAAGGGGCAAGACCTGGGCAGCGAACCTTCCCCGATGCCCCCCGCGGAAGACGGAGCAGTCGGTTCTCACAGGGCCCTGCAGACCCAGGCCTTCCGGCCGGCTGGCCCAGTCCGTGGCCCCGGCTGGCCCCCAGCGAGGCGACCACGCGTCTCCACCGCCGCCCCTGGGCTCGCCTGGACCCGCCTCCCTCCCGGCCTCCCTCCCGGCCTCCCCTGGACCGGCCTCCCTCCCGGCCTCCCTGACCGGCCTCCCCTGGACGGGCCTCCCTCCCGGCCTCCCTGGACCGGCCTCCCTGGACCGGCCTCCCCTGGACCGGCCTCCCTGGACGGGCCTCCCTCCCGGCCTCCCTGGACCGGCCTCCCTCCCGGCCTCCCTCCCGGCCTCCCTGGACCGGCCTCCCCTGGACCGGCCTCCCCTGGACCGGCCTCCCCTGGACGGGCCTCCCTCCCGGCCTCCCTGGACCGGCCTCCCCTGGACCGGCCTCCCCTGGACCGGCCTCCCCTGGACGGGCCTCCCTCCCGGCCTCCCTGGACCGGCCTCCCTGACCGGCCTCCCTCCCGGCCACCCCGCGGGTGCGGCGCCCGGCCCAGGCCCGGGGGAGCTCGGGCGCGTCCCGCGGCTAACGCGGCACCTGGCGCCTGGCACCGACCGGCGAGAGGCCAGACCCGCCAGGGCGCCGCTCGCCCCAGCCCGGCGCTGGGGGCGCCAGGCCCCCTCCGCGAGCGCGGGGCGCAGCACGGCGCGCCCCCGCCCGGCCCCGCAGGCGCGCAGGACAGCCGGCGCAGGCGCAGACCCGGCCTGGAAGCCGCGGGCAGCCCCGCCCACCGCCGGCCGCCGAGACTTTTGTCCTCGCGCGGCCGCCGTACGGCCGCTCGCTTCCGCCTTCGCCCACGTGGTGTGTCCGTCTCAGTCCGCCGCGCCGTGAGTGGGGCCGGGGGGGCGCGCCCCTCTGTCCGATCGGGGGTGGCCGGCGTCTCCCGACTCTCGAGGGAAGGCCGGTCCGGCGGGGCGGGAGGACGAGGGGCGAGCACAGGGACTGGGGAGGTCAGAGGTCAGCGGGGGTGTCAGGGGGCCTCGGAGGTTAGGCGAGCCTTGAGCGTCGGGGGGTCTCTGGGGAGACCCGGGTGCGGGAGGGGCGGGGCTGAGCGTCCCCCAAGGGCAGCATTCCGGGACGCGCGGCCCCGGGGGGGGTCAGCGTTCAGGGGCGCGGGGCCCGGGGGGGGTCAGCGTTCAGGGGGCGCGGGGCCCCGGAGGGGTCAGCGTTCAGGGGGCGCGCGGCCCGGGGGGGGTCAGCGTTCAGGGGGCGCGGGGCCCGGGGGGTCAGCGTTCAGGGGGCGCGGGGCTCCTGGGGGTCAGCGTTCAGGGGGCGCGGGGCTCCTGGGGGTCAGCGTTCAGGGGGCGCAGGGCCCGGGGGGTCAGCGTTCAGGGGGCGCGGGGCTCCTGGGGGGGTCAGCGTTCAGGGGGCGCAGGACCCGGGGGGGGTCAGCGTTCAGGGGGCGCGGGGCCCGGGGGGGTCAGCGTTCAGGGGGCGCGGGGCTCCTGGGGGTCAGCGTTCAGGGGGCGTGGGGCCCCGGGGGGTCAGCGTTCAGGGGGCACGGGGCCCGGGGGGTCAGAGTTCAGGGGGCGCGGGGCTCCTGGGGGGTCAGCGTTCAGGGGGCGCGGGGCGCCGGGGGGGGGGGGATCAGCGTTCAGGGGCGCGGGGCCCGGGGGAGTCAGCGTTCAGGGGCGCGGGGCCCTGGGGGGTCAGCGTTCAGAGGGCGCGGGGCCGGGGCAGGTCAGCATCCACAGCCCAGCCCGGGCGGGAGCCATGTGGCCTCTGCGGGCGGCGGCCAGGGCCCTGCGCAGCGCCTGCGGAGCGTGGACCGCGCGCCCCGGACGGCGCCGCCTCTGGTAATGTCGCCGCGGCCCCCCGGGCGGGACCCGCGCGCCCGGCTCCGGCTCACGCGTGCATCTCTCCAGGGTGCCCCGCATGGCCGGGACTGCCCCCGCCCCCGCCCCCGCGGGCGGGCCGCCAGAGCAGGCTCGCAAGGCTCGCAGCTGGCCCGGGGCCCGGACCTGGGAGGAGCCTGAGCTGGCGGCCAAGAAGCTCAGGAGCGAAGGGGAGCAGCCCCCCAAGCTGCCCAAGCGCAAGGTGGTGCTGCTCATGGCCTACTCTGGCAAGGGCTACCATGGCATGCAGGTGAGGGCCCCTGGCAGGGGCGGGGTCAGGTGGGTCTGTGAGCCCAGGTCAGGGGTATCCCCTCAGCCACCCCGCAGGCCGGCCTAGGCTGCTTCCCGGTGAGCCCCAAGTGCCGGCTGTCCCGGGGCGGTCACAGCTGCAGTCTTTGCGCTCAGGTGCTTCACCTTCAGGCTCTGCCCAGAGGCCCCGAGCAGAGTCCCTGTCCCCCACATTCAGGTGACAGTCCTGGGCAAGTGGGCACCCTTTGGATGGCCTGATTGGGTCCTTTTCTGGAACCGAGCCAAGGCGTGTGGTCTTGCTGCCGCTCCAGCAGCTCAGGGCCAGACGCGGGGTTCCCGTCCTGTAAACTTAGTCACCGCTGTGGAGCGTGCACCGCGGTCCCCCTGACTGGGCGCTGCAGCAGCCTGGACAGGAGGAGTGGCCAGAGGCATCTTCCTCTTTGCTTCCTCAGATCATAGTTGCACTCCAAAGCTGACTCCTGCGCTCCGGTGAACGGAGACAGCGCCCGGGCCCGGACAGTGGTCCTGGGCCGCCCTAGGGGGCCCCTGGTGATTGAAGGGCCTGGTTGAGGCTGCCGTTGAGAACAGGCGTTCGTGCCGAAGCTGCTCCGGTGTCCACCTGGCTCCCCAGCAGGGCGGGTTAGCGTTAACGGCAGCCCACAAGGCTGACCTGTTACTCTCTCCGCTGTTACTCTCTGATCCCTGAGGAGTACTGACACCTTCGTGCAGGGGCACCAGGAGGACTCTGGTGGCCTCTCCCCGGGGCCCTCTGGTCCCCCCCGTGGGGGTTTCCCAAGGAGGGTCAGGACGGATATCCCATGACGTCATAGTGTGAAGTGGGCTGCCGAGGCAGAAGCTCTGGGCTGTGTGTCCTCACGCCCATTCTTGGCTGTTTCCGGGTGGGGCTTCCGAGGCAGGGCCCTCGGCGGCCCCTTCACATGGCAGCAGAGCTGCAGGTCTCCCCATGGACGGCGTCTCCCTGGGCCTGTGGGAGGCGGTGATGCTGCAGAGGCTGTTTTCTCGTTTCTTCCTCAGAGGAACTTGGGGTCCTCACAATTCAAGACCATCGAAGACGACTTGGTGTCAGCCCTGGTGAGGGCGGGCTGCATCCCCGAGAACCACGGCGCGGACATGAGGAAGATGTCCTTCCAGCGGTGCGCGCGCACGGACAAGGTGGGCCCTGGCGCCCCTGCCCCGGCACATGCGGGCCTTCTCTCCCCCGGCCCGGATCCTCAAGGCCGGTGGCTGTGGAGCGCGTGGCCTGTGTTGGGCTCTGCTGGCCACGTCACTGGGCTTGGGAGTCAGAGTGGCGGCGATCAGTGCTGTCCCCCGGCTCCAGCGGGAGCCCTGTTGTCCGGCTCGCTGGGGCACCAGCCCAGTCACTGCAGGTGGGACAGGTGCTGGCAGGAGGGTGTCCCCCAAGGTGAGGCCCGGCCTGGCAGGGGCTGCTGCAGCGCTCAGAGTGGTCTGCCCTGGACAAAGCTTCCAGCAGGCGGGGCCTGCAGTCCTCTTGCTTTCAGAGACGTGACCCCTGGCGGCCCCGTCCAGGCACAGCGTCCTACTAGTGTGCTTCGCGTGTCACCCCTTGGCTCTTGCACCTATAGTTCCTGCTGCTTCTCAGGCAGAAGAATCGCAAACATTTGCCGGCACCCATGAGGAGAGTGTGTCAGACGTCCTAGCGTGCGCTTGAGCGCCGCTGTGATCAGAGACGATTCTGTTCTGACACGTTTTCCTCCTTAAAATCCAGAGAGCCTAGAGATAGAAAATCTGCAACATGACATCCCAGCCCCTGGGCGGCCCCTCCCTCTCCCGTCCACGCTGCCCGCTGTGCCCGGCTGCCTCAGCCCTTGGGCATCAGTCTGCCTGCCCGCCGTGCCCCTGCGCCTCCCAAGAAGCCTGGCCACCGCTCAGCTGCAGCCTCGCCTTGCGCTGCCTCGCGTCTGGCATCTAAATTTTTTTTTTTTTTTAAAGATTCATTTATTTATAGAAGAACCAGGGTACAGGCCAGAGGGACTGGGGGAGGGGGTGAGAGGATTCACCAGAGAGAGCGGGGAGCAGAACAGGCAGACGGACCAAAGACACTGCTGAGGGGAGCAGCGGGTGAGGCAGGAGAGGTCTGCCGTGCCATGTGGGCATCTCCCTGGACGGCTGGGAATCAAACCTGTGCTGCAGAGGCTGCGGACCGTTCCAAAGGCTGTGGCCAACTCGCTGTGCGACTGGGGAGGCCCTAAGTTTAGTTTTTGTGCCCCGAGTCCTTGGTCTGGCCCAGCAGGGCTGCCCGCTCTCTATGTCGCTGTGAGTTTGTCTGCTCGTGTTGCTGCACCTGCGCTGGCCTGTTGGGGCGCGTGACCCCTCGGAGCGGGGCTGACCGCTCTCCCTTAGGCCCCGGCTGCCAAGTGGGGCCTGTTTAGATGGTGCATGCGGGGTGCGTGCACCGCTGCCTATCTGTTCCCTCCGCAGGGGGTGTCTGCGGCCGGCCAGGTGGTGTCCCTGAAGGTGTGGCTAGTTGAGGACATCTTAGAGAAGATCAACAGCCACCTCCCGTCTCACATCCGGATTCTGGGTGAGCCAGTGTGGGGCGCGGGCGCCAGCCCGGTGAGGGGTCTCTCACCTCTGCTGGAAGCTGCCACGGCCCAGCGCACCGCGCAGGTTTGTGGTGCCGGGGGTGCCCTCAGCGTGGCTCCCCAGCCTCACCCGCTCCTCTCCACCAGGGCTGAGGAGGGTCACGGGCGGGTTTAACTCCAAGAACAAGTGCGACGCCAGGACCTACTTCTACATGCTGCCCACCTTTGCCTTCGCCCACAAGGACCGCGACGTGCAGGACGAGACCTACCGGCTGAGCGCCGAGACGCTGCAGCGGGTGAACCGGCTGCTGGCCTGCTACAAGGGCACCCACAACTTCCACAACTTTACCTCGCAGAAGGGGCCCCGCGAGCCCAGCGCCCGGCGCTACATCCTGGACATGTTCTGTGAGGAGCCCTTCGTGCGTGAGGGCCTGGAGTTCGCCGTGATCAAGGTGAAGGGGCAGAGCTTCATGACGCACCAGATCCGGAAGATGGTGGGGCTGCTTGTGGCCATCGTCAAGGGCTATGCGCCCGAGAGCGCGCTGGAGCGCAGCTGGGGCGAGGCCAAGGTGGACGTGCCCAAGGCGCCGGGGCTGGGCCTGGTGCTGGAGCGGGTGCACTTCGAGAAGTACAACCAGCGCTTCGGCAATGACGGGCTGCACGAGCCGCTGGACTGGGCGCGCGAGGAGGCGGGTGCGGCCGCCTTCAAGGAGCAGCACATCTACCCCACCATCGTGGGCACCGAGCGCCAGGAGCGCCTCATGGCCCGCTGGCTCAGCACCCTGCCCGCGCATGACTTCAGCGCCACAGCCCTGGCGGCGGCTGACCGGAGGCCCCAGGTGGGTAGGGCTGGCGGGCTGGCTGGGGTGGGGCGGGCTGGGCCCCCGGGGACCGCTGTGACTGTGGCTGCAGCTGCACCTGCACCGGCCCTGCTCCCGCTGGTGCCACCGCACCTGGAGGACCGAGCCAGCGGAGCCCAGGGAGAGGCCTCTTGCCCCAGATGCGTGTACAGAGGAGGCCTGGGCGGGCTTGGGGCCTGGACCTGCGGGCTATTCCCTGCAGAGCACGAGGCACTAAGCGGGCCCAGCACACCTGCTGCCCGGCATCCTCCCTGAGGACATACTGTCCAGCCCACGGCCCCTCCATCTGGGAAGGCAGGCTTGGCCCATTGGGTGCCTGCCCTGTGGGTGCCCATGTGCTGCCCGCTACCTGCCCTGCCCCGACTCCCAGCACAGCTTGCTGTTGGAGAATGGCCAGCATGTTTTAAGGGAAGTGTTGGGGACCCGAGGCACTGGACCCTAAAGCACTCTGTGGTTGGACCTTTACTTGTGTCTGGTTGGGGTGAGGCCTAAAGCTGGACTGGTGGGTTTGCAGAGGGTGAGATACCCTCCTGGGACATACACAGCAGATAGACTAGTGGGCGGGCATGAGAAAGCAGGTGGTCAGGTCCGAGAGTGACCCGCAGAATCTTCGGGAGGCGATAGGGACTGGTGGGCGGCAATGGTTGAGTCTTGTTCCTTCAAAAGCAGGGTGCTGCGGTGCGGCCAGTAGTGGAGCCACACATATTTTCTTTTTTTTTTTCAGAGTTTTGTTTTGTTTTTTTTTTCATATAAGAACTGGGGTGCAGGCCAGAGGTAGGGGGGTGAGAGGACTCCCCAGAGACAGAGCAGGGAGCAGAACAGGTGGATCCACTGAAATCCACTGCTGAGGGGAGCAGCGGGGAGACAGGAGAGGTCTGCTGCGCCCTGTGGGTAGCTCCCTGGATGGAGCTCAAACTTGTGCTGTAGAGGCTGCGGACAGCTTCACAGTGCTGTGCTTAAGCCCTGCACTGCCAGGGAGGCCTGCGCATATTTTCATAAGAAACTGACGTCCCAGAACTTTCTGTTACTTTTGTTCTCTGTCACTGCTGGCAGCTGCCTTTCTCCTCAAGCACGGTGAGGCCCACGGAGCACTGCTGCAGGCTCCATGCAGCCGGACCTGGCCCTCGCCTGACTCCTCAGCAGGCTTCTGCCTGCTCGTTCCACTTTTTGTCCTTTGTCGAATGCTTTCTCAGCATCTATTATCATACGGTTTTTATTTTTCTTTCCACTTTTCGTCCTAAGGTCACTGCAGCCTCTGGGAGTTGAAGGAGCCCCCAGGGACCCCCGTCTTGTCCCCAGCCCTTGGCCTTCCCAGCTCATGTTAGGTTCTTGAACCAGTTGAGAAAATAAGGGTTCACCTTGATTTCCAGTGGGGGCTCCGGGGCCCGCGGTGGGCTGGCCTGGGAGGGCAGCACAGCCCCTGGGGCCCCAGGAGCTGGGCAGTTGCACTGACCACCTGTTCTGCTTCAGCAGGCCCCCGAGCCCCCAGACGGCAGTGAAGGGGACAGAGACAGCGATTGAGGGTGGCCACCCCTGGCCTGTGGCAGCCACCGGAGCCACCCCCACTGCTGTGGGCCGCCTTGCCACGATGGGGGGGCCGAGACGTGGCCTTGGACCTCGGGTTTCCCTTTGAGAGTTGACCGGGGACATCCTGCTGCAAATCCGATACCGGCTCACACATGACGTGTTCACGCTCGGCTTGTCAAGAAGCTATTTTTTTTAAAGGAGCAGTTTTCTTAATAAATACCATTTATTCCTTGCGCCTTGCTTTGGGGCGTTTCCTTCACCTTTCGTTGAGGTTAGTGGGGCTCCATGAAATGTTGGGAGCTGGCCTGGACCCCCCCGCTGGGAGGCGGCGTGACCTGGTGTGGCCAAGCAGCAGAGGACAGCAGGACACAGGCCCTGGAGGACCACCCTCTCCTCACCTGGTCCTGTCCACACCCAGCTCTGTGCGCCCTGCCACCAGGGAAAGGGCTGGCTTTGTGCATGCCCCCAAGGGACACTCCTTGGAGCCCCGGCAGCTGTTCCTTGGCCCAGGCCCAGGCATGCAGACGCTGGTGCAGGAACCCCTGGGAGCAGAGGACTGGTCTGGGAGGGGTGGCAGGCGACTGCGTGGGGCAGCAGCAGCAGGGGCAGGAGGCTGGAGGGGTGTGGGGCATGTGAGGTGCGTGGGTGCATGGGTGCATGTGTGGGAGGGCGATACCTTCCTTTCCTGAGCAGAAGGGGCGAGTAGAATCAGGGCCTGTTTGGAGGGCAGTGGTGAGGTGCGGAGGTGATGAGGGCTTGGGTCAGAGACCAGGAGGGGGTTGTGGCTGACTTGGCCTTGGGTTTGAAGAATTGATGAGCTGGACCATCCGCAGACGGGGCTGGGAGAGACGGGAGGTGGGTTTTAAGCACCTTAAACGCCTGTGATCAACAGGGAGGAAGTACCCACGGGCCGGGCCACCTGGTTGTCCCAGGAAAGGCTACGGTCTTGGTTGCGGGGTAAATTGAGGCAAGTGCTGAGCAAGTCCCCACTTGCACCTTTCCCGAACAGGAGGGCGGGCGGAAGGGGGGAACCTCCCCACCCGGTGGGTTTAATGGGAGACGGTTCCTTTGGAGATGGCAGCAGGGACAGCCGGCTCAAGACAACCGCAGCCCTCTGTGCGGCGAAGACCAGCGGGCCAAGAGCAAATGCAGGACAGCCCAGCGGGAGGCAAGGAAAGACGGTGACGCTTCTTCCCTCACAGTTCAAGACTCGGTTTAGCCAGGGGCTTGCCCTCACCTCGCTTCCCCGCATGGGAGGCCACAGCACCGCAGCGCGGCTGGCTGGGGCCCAACCTCAGCGCGCCACCGGCGGGAGCAGAGCAGCCGGCCCGCGCCCCCGCCCACCGCGGCCCAGGCCCACAACGGCCCGGTCCGCAGGCGCGGAGGGCACGCGGCCTCCTGCAGGCCGCCCCGGGCGCCCCGGCGGGCAGGTTTTACGCTCTTCCCTCTGCCCAGCTCCCACTGCCAAGTTTCCTTCTGGCTCTTGCAGGCAGCGGCCTCCGCCTCCGGGGCGCCCCCCGCCCGGTCTCGCGCCTGCAGGTGGAGCCCCTCGGCGAGCCCGAGCCGGGGCTCGCGTGCCCAGACTCAGCGCCTTCACCCCGGCGGCGGCCACGGAGCCCACGGGGCCCACGGGGCCCACGGCCGGGCCGGGGCCGGCGCCCTCCGCCTCGCGGCCCCTCCCGGGGGGTGCAGGCGCGTGTCCGGGGCGCCCCGCCGGGAGTGGGGCGCAGCCGTCCGGGCGCTCCCCGCGTGGCCGCTGGCGCCGCGCCCCCCGCGGCGGGGTCCCGGCGGGGCGGCCGGCCCTGCCCGGGGGCGCGGCCCCCCCCCGCCGGCCGCCGGCGGCTCCCCGCGGGCCTGCGGACGCCGCCGGAGCCGCGCCCGGGCCGGGCTCCCCGCGCGCCGCGCCCCGCCCCGCCCCGCCCCGCCCCCGCGCGCCCCGCCCGCCGCCGGCCCGTCGGCCGCCCCGGCGCCGCTCTAGCCCGCGCGCCTCTCGACGCCTCCGCGACGTCATGCCGGCGCGCGCGTCCTTCCGGCCGCCGTCCGCGCGCCGCCGCTCCCTCCGCGGCCCCGGATGCGCCGAGCGGAGGCGCCGCCCGAGCCCGCCGGCCTCGACGCCCGAGCGGGTAGGTGGGCGCGGGCGGGGCTCCGGCGCGGCTGGGGGTCCCCCGCCGCCGCGGCCAGCGCGCCCCGGGCGTCGCGACGGGAACGGGCCGCGGCGGCCGCTCGAGCGCCGGGGGGGGCGGGGCGGGCCGGGGCCGGGCGGGCGGGCGGGCGGGGCGGGCGGGGGCCGCGGCCGGGGCGCGGGGGCGGGGGCCGGGCGGGCCGCGGGGGGCGGGCCGGGGCGGGGAGGCGGGGCGGGGGGCGGCCGCCCGCGGCGCTTTGTTTGGCGCGAGCGCGCGGCGGGCCGCCCCCCGAGCCGGGCCGGGCAACGACGCGCCGGGCGCGCGGCGCCGCCTCTGTCCGCCTCTGTCCGCCGGGCGGGCGCGGGGCGGGGCCTGGGGCGCCGGTCTCCGCCGCGGGAAGTGCCGCCTCCCGGGCCTTTGTTCGCGCGCGGGGCTCCCTCCCGCGGCCGCGCGCCCCCCCCCCCCCGCTCGCGGCCCCCGCCGCCCTCCCGCGCCCCAGACCCGGCCCCCCGCGCGCCCGGCCCGGCTCTCCCGCCCCCGCTGCCCGCTCCTCCTCCCGCGCGTCGCGGGCAGCGCCCTCAGAGCTGGCCCCGGCGCCCGGCTCCAGGGTCGGGCCCTCAGCGTGGCCCTTTGACCCGGGCTCTCGGCCGCCGCTTCCCGCGCCCAGCCCGGTGTCTGCTCGTTTCCAGCCAGGACGCCCTGGTTCCGGCGCGGCGCGCTGTGGACACGCGGGCCGGAGTCGGTTTCTGTTCTGAGCGGAGGGGAGCGTCTTCCCAGGGCCTCGCCCGCCGGCGGCGAGCCTCTCCCTCCCGGGGTGCACCGTCGTGGCTTTAGCTTTTTTGGGTTTAGCGTTTGGACACGTGCGCGATTTCCATGGCAACCCCGGCAGGAAGTGGTTCCTTCGGCCCGGTGCCCTCACGCTGCGCGGTCGCTCGCCCTCAGCCGCGGGCTGTGTCCATCTCCAGGGAGGTCTGCCGGGGCCTCTCGCTGCTTCGCTGTTGCAGCTCCTGCCTCAGTCGTTTCTTGGGGTGGGGCGGGGCGCCAGGCACACACATGGGGATGGACCCGTCCTTCTCTCCAGGACGGCCCCCCAGGACCGACACCTGCCACATGCACATGCGTGAGAGCCTGTGTGTGTGGGGGGGGGGGGTGCAGCATCTCCCGCGGTTGACAAAACCCCCCAGTGGTTCTCACAGAGCCTGTGGCGCTGGTCATGGCAGCAGGATTGGTGTTTCCTGGGAGATGGCCAGGAGAGGAACCCCAAAAAGGGCTGCCTAGGGGACATGGGAAGAAGGTTGAGCGCCCGCAGGGTGTGCTTGTCCGTGTGCCTGGGGAGGGGCCCATCAGCCAGTCCGGGAGACCGTCCTGGCCTTTGCGGCGCCCCCTGGTCTGCCTGCGGCCCTGGCCCGCAAGCGCCACCGCATGGGCCTCCCGGGGCGTTGCCACTTGTCCTAGAGGAGGGGCTTCGGGGACAGCGGGGCCGCACCCCTCTCTGTGCTCCTGGCAGGCGGGCGCTCGGCCTCCCAACGCCCTTCCACTCCCCTTACCCAGCTGGCCGTCTGGAGCCTGCGCCTTCAGGAGCTGGCGAACCTTCTGCTCTGCCCCTCTGGCTCGTGGTGGTGCTTTTTCTTCGGTTAACAGGGTTTTGCACCCTCAGCGCTTGGCTTATGCAGCCTGAGCTGTGGCAGCGCAGGGTCTGGTGGGGGAACACCCTTGTCTCAGCCCCAGATGGGCCGCCGCTCCTCTGCTTTCTGTCCTCTTGGCCACTGGAGGCCGCCATCGCCTTCTGGACTGAATGGGGGGGACCTTTAGGAGATGCAGGAGCGAGCCCCTTGCCTCATGGGCTGCCCGCGCGCCGCCCTGTGCCTCCCAGGACCCCCGTTGACAGGGAGTCGACCGGGGCGGGTTGGGCCGGATGCCCCTTCCCCTCCTGGGGCGCGTGTACTGCTGCGAGCGCTGGCAGAGCTCCACGGGGCAGGGCGATCACTGTGCGCCCCGGCTCTCACGCGGTCCCTTGCTGTGTCCGCCACCTCCTGCCTGTGTCCAGCCGCCTCTGGTGCCTTTCCTGGGGGGCGGATGTCTGTGACTCGGGGAAGCAGTTTGTCAAAGCCCTGGGGCGGGGTCCCTGGGGGAGTGGAGGGAGGTCCTAGAGGGGGGAGGTGCTTTTTGGGGAAAAAGGAGTTTTCACGTGGCTAGACCTGGGGTGTTGGGGTGGCAGAGAAGGTGACGAAGGTCCCGGTGGCCACTGCCTGAGCGCAGCAGGCTTCTGCCTCCGGGCCCGCCTCGCTCACCCCGCTGCCCTCTGCAGGAAGGCGCCCGCCTGCCTGGCCCGCGCGCTTGTCCAGGCCGCTGTGTCCGCTCCTGGAGGATGCCCACCTATCTGTGGCCCATGACGTGTCGGTCTGAAAGGCAGAGGGCGCTAGAGGAGGGGTGGCTGCTCTGTGCCGGTGGAGAGGGAGAGACTGCGGGAGCCGCATCCCGAAGAGCCTCCCATCTGTGCCTCTCCTCCGGCACGGCCCGCCGGCCAACTGTGGGTGCTGCGGGAACGGGCCCCCAGAGTTCTGCCCCCGTCTCTCACCTCTTTTTGCTGGAAACCAGCTTTCTTGGAACTGCCTTCCGCAGGGATCGTCACCCCAGACACCCATGTTCCAGGTGGGCGGAGCTGACAGGGAAGCGGTGGTGCCCCTGCTTTGTCACTCAACGCTGGGGTCGGCGCTTAAGGCAAAAGATGTGTGATTGAGCAGGGTTTTTCAAAACAGAAAGCGAATTTGGTTGAAAAACACATTTGTTCACTTTTTTTTTTTCTTTTTTTAAAGATTTGTTTACTTATTTGTACAAGCGCTGGGCACAGTCAGAAGTGCAGGAGGGTGAGAGGATTCCCCAGAGCCAGAGCGGGGAGCAGAGCAGGCAGAAGGACCGAAGGACACTGCTGAGGGGAGCAGCGGGCGGCAGGAGAGGTCTGCGCGCCATGCGGGATCCTTGCCCGCAGCCAGGGATCGAACCAGCGCTGCAGAGGTTGCGGGCAGCTTCACAGCCCAGTGCTCAACCGCTGCGCCACCAGGGAGGCCCTGTTCATTTTTTTTTTGCAATTCCAAATTCTTCTGCGGTTTCAAATCCCTAGGAGCTGGTCTTTCCTCTGAAAAGCTTAAGCTTGCTGGGCCTCCCTGGTGGCGCAAGGGGTTAAGCACCACACTACGAAGCTCTCCCCAGCCTACAGCACGAGTTCAAGCCCAGCCAGCCAGGGAGCAACCCACATGGCGCAGCAGACCCCTCCTGTCTCCCCGCTGCTCCCCTCAGCAGTGGATTTCAGTGGCTCTGCCTGTTCTGCTCCCCACTCTGTCTCTGGTAGATCTTCTCACCCCCCGCATCTCTGGCCCGTACCCCAGCTCTTGTGTGCATAAATACATCTTTAAAAAAAACAAAAACCTGAGCTTGCTGAGAAGCCACGGAAACACCTTTCTCCTCGAGTCCTGTGTAGCAGTTGCCGTGTCTGCCAGCTGCCTTGTTACCTGCTTTCCCTGCCGTGTGCGAGTCTGCTGTGGCGCTGTCGCCACTCCTCGTGTGCTGCGGGCATGGGGCCGCAGTGCTGCCATCAGACACAGGGTCTAGTGCCCTAGTGGCTCACCCTCCCCTCCCCCTTCCCCCTCCCCCCTCCCCCGTGGTTTTTTTGGCATTCCGTGCCACCGTGGGCCCTGCCTGTCCCGCGGTCCTGGGCCATGCTGGTCGGGGGCACTCGGGTGCATGTGGAGGCGCACGGAGTGTCACTTGCCTCTGCGCCGGCCCTGCGCATGCCTGCGTGTGCGGGTGTGGCTCTCCAGTGTTGCTCACGGTGCGTGGCCTCACGGTGCGTGCACATCCTTGCTGCTCTCCAGGGGCTGCCTCTGCCGTGCTCTCTCCCGGGTTTCCCGAGCCCCTCGTTGGAGGGCGGCGTTCACAGCGCCATGCTGTCTGCTGCTGGGCGTAGCGTGGCAGGGCACCGGGACTGCTCTGTGCGCGTGGTTCCACTCCCGGGAGTGGCGTTCCTCGGCCCCTGCGCCATGGAGTGGCAGGCGCTTCCGGGCCGCCCCCTGGGAAGCGAGGGCTTCCCTGCCCGCCGCCCGCCCGGCTGCTGGGCGGCATCGCCTGTAGCTTGTGTCTGTGAGGAGTTGAGCGTTTCTGACGCCCTCTCCGGCTTGCGCCTCGCGGGGTGACAGCTTTGTCTTCCTCTCCGGGCACTTGACTGTGGTTCGTGGGAAGCCGTGTTCGGGAAGCCCTGCTCCGCCCTGCGGTGTTCTCCCGTGCACTTTTTTTTCTTTCTATGTTGGAAAGGGAGGGACAGGTGTGTCGGGAAAGGGGAAGGGAAGAGAGGGGCCCCACGTCGTCTGGGGCGGCCTGCTGCCTCCTGTGCGCCCGGCGCCTCTGCGGTGGCGCCCTCCGGGGCGAGTGTGTGAGCCTCGCGGCCTCGGTGCTGGAGCTCGGCGGGTGCGCTGGACTCGGAGCGTGTGAGGTAGGAGGTGGGTTGGCCTGCTTCTCCAGGGTTACCGCGCGCTCTCGAATGACCTCTCAGTTGAAAAACACCTCCCTGGCAGCTGGAAACTTCACGGCAGGCTGTCGTTGGGAGGCAGCTTTCTCTTGGGTCTGCAGGTCTTGGCGAGGTACAGCTCTGTGGACCCCACAGAGCCCCTAAATGCTCGCTGGGTGAGCAGTGCTGCGCGGCGCGGGCAGGCACAGGAGGGAAGCAGCCTCACGGGCGAAGGCGCCAGCTCCTCGCAGTTGGCGCCCTGACACTGGGGAGCCTGGCTCTGCCGCTTCCCAGATCCAGTGACTTCCAGCTGGGACTGCGGTGCTTAGGGGTGCGGGTGGGGCCTGCATGCCTCACTGTGGCTGGAGGACCCCGGGATATTTGCCAAGCAGCACGGCAAGGCCTGCCCAGGCTTGACTAGGAAGCAGAGGTGGGTCAGCCCGTCTGGATTTGGACCTGATGCCCGTGATGGCCACAGCCGCCTACTCGGTAGCTGCTCCCCTCACTGGGGTACCCCGCCCTCCCCTGGGGCCCTGGCCGGTCGGGTACCACTGCTTCTCTTGGAAGGAGGCCCCTCGGGGACCCAGCACCGTGGAAGCAGCTGGACTGCGGGGCTTTTTCCCCACGTGTCTCTCCCCGGCACACAGGGAGGCCCCGACTTGCAAGCGTCCACCTGGCTCACCTCAAAATAGACCTCCTCCCACCCCGGCCTCACCTTTCTCCTTCTGAAGACGCTGTCCTTGCGGCTGCTCCACTTCCTCCGTCCTCTGGCTCTCAGCCATTTTGGGTTAGGAGCTCTCTCGAACCCTGGCGCGGGCTCCCAGCGGGTTGGTGGGCCCCAGGGCTGCTCCCGCCTCCCTGTGAGGTGGTAAGACCCCTCATTTGCACACACGGGGGTGCTGTCCCGTGGCTGCTGCCCCCCTCCAGGCCGCCACCCTTAAACCCTCTGACCCTTGACTTCAGAAGCCTCATTCGTTTCGCCTGTCAGTGCTGCTCCTTCATTAGCACTCGCGTGGTCGAGTCCTCTGCTGCGTGGACTTAGGCTGTCCTCCCGCCCTCCGGCCCCCATCCCGCTGCGGAAGCCACACTCCCTCCCTCCGCCTGGCAGAGTGGCACCTGTGGCCCGACGCCCATCCTCCCGCCCCGCTGGTCCCCAGGCACACAGGCCCATGTGCTGGCTGCGTGACCGCTGCTGAGGCAGCAGCGTGTTCTGGGGTGGGGGGAGGCCTTGTCCTTTGAACACGTGGACCCAAGACAGGGCTCCCAGGCCTCGTGTTTCCACATCTGATTTTTCGAGGTGAACCGGTTGCTTCCAAGAGGGCTGCACCTGCTCACGTCCCTCTGCAGCGTAATATGCCTCCTTTCGCCCCGTCCTCCCCAGCCCTTATTGGGGGGCCTGTTTGACCGGCGCCCTCGTGTGGGCCTGAGCTGGGGTCTCGGCCCGATCCCAGCATCTCCCTCAGCTGGTGAGGAGCGCCCGCGCCTGCCAGCCCCTGGGTCTCCTCACAGAGGGTCTGTTCTGTCTGCCCGTACTGATTGGGGTGTTTGTTTTGTTGTCGGTAAGTTGAATAAGTGTTTTGTGTATCTGGGGTATTAATCCTGTGTGTAGCGTGTGAACGTTTTCTCCTACTCAGTGGGATCTCTTTCTCATGTTACGTTTTGCCGTGTGAAAACTTCCTAACTCGAGATCATCCCAGTCGTTTGTTTCTCCTTTTACTTCCCTTCCTGCGGGGGTTGAACTCCCAAAGGCATCTTTACCGCTGCCGTTGTGAGACGTGGCCCCAGTGTTTTCTTCTGTGTGTCTGTTGCAGGTCTGGTATGAGAGTGTTTGATCCACTGAGAACTTACTTTTTTGTGGGGCTGAGCCAGCCCCGTCCGTCTTTCCAGCATCGTTTGTCCCGGCGACCCTGCGGCCCTGCCCGGTGGTCACGGCTCCTTTGTCAGGAGGCTCCACTGCTGCATGCGTGGCTTAGTGTCGGGCCCTGTCAATGTTCCGTGGGCCCACGTGTTTGCGCCACACTGTCTTAGTTACTGTTGCTTTGCTGTGTGGTTTAAAGTCATGCATGCTGATGCCTCCATTTCTCGCCTCTTCTCTCAGGATTGCTTTGGTCACTTGAGGCCTTTTATGGATCCACGTACACTTTAGTGGCAGTTGCAGTGTGTCTGCGTGTCGCTCTTGGTGGAATCTGTATGTTTACTGTATTGGTTCCCCTGTCCCTCAGTGTGGACTGTCCAGCCACCCCCCTTGTGTTGTGACCTTTACCTTTTATTTTTTAAAGATTTATTTACTTAATTGTACCAGAACCAGGGTACAGGCAGGAAGTGTGGGAGGATGAGAGGATTCATTAGAGACAGAGCGGGGAGCAGAACAGGCAGACTGACGAAATACACTGCTGAGGGGAGCGGTGGGCACGGCAGGAGAGGTCTGCGCGCCATGTGGGACCCTCGCCGGCCAGCCGGGATCGAACTGGCGCTGCAGAGGCTGCGGACAGCTCCACAGTGCTGCGCTCAACTGCCTGCGCCACCAGGGGAGGCCTGACCTTTGTCTTTTAAAAGTGGCTTGTGGTTTTCACCGTGAAAGCCCCTTGTCTCCTTAGCTAAGTTAGTTCGTAGGATTTGATTTTTCTTGATGCAATTGTGACTAGAGTTGTTCTCCAAAATTTTTTTTCTGTTTGTTCTTTGCATCTAAAAGCACAACAGGTTTTTGTATGTTGATTTTGTCACCTGACATTTGTCATGTTACTTGATTCTGATGACCCTCTGGTAGGGTCTTTCGGATACCGTGTCATTGTCTGCAGATGGTGGTTTCCCGCCTCTTCCAACCTGAGTTCCTTCTATTTCCTGTTGTCTGGCTACTCAGGCTGAACTCTCTACTACTAATTAAACAAGAGGCGGTGACAGTCTTGTCTTGTCCTTCACGGGAAAGCCTTCCATCGTTCGGTGTTACATCGGCTGTGGGTTTGTGGTGTGTGGCCTTAATTAAGTCCAGGTATGTCCTTCCGATCCCCTCTTGTTTAGACTTTTCATCATAAATGGGCGCTGAGTCTTAGCAAATGCTTCTCCACAACTTTGAGTCTAACCGATTTTTATTTTTCCTTTTGCTAATGTATCCCATTGGCTAGGTGTACTGCGCCATTCTTGCGTCCTCGGGACCCAGCCACGTGGGCTGGCTGCATAGCCCTTGCACTGTGGCGCTGGGCCCGGCTGGCTGGTGTTCCGTGGCCTCTCGCATCAGCATTCTTTGGGACCGCGGGGCTGTGGTTTTCTTGTGCCGTCTTCGTCTGGTTCTGGTTGTTGGGTAATGCTGGCGTCGGAGATGTTAGGGCACATCCCCTCTCCTTGGAGGGTTGGAAGCGCTGCGAGCCAGCTGGGCGTCCATCTTCTGCAAAGGCGCGGTGGAACGTGCTTGTGCGGGCTGCTGGCCCTGGGCGTCTGTGTCAGGGTCTTTTTGTTACGGTCTCAGTTTCCAGGGTCATGCTGCGTTTACTCAGCTCTGCTGTTGCCTCCTGGTGTGGTGAACTGTTGCTTAACTGTGTCCGTTTTGTCAAGGTTCTCGAACTGGTCGAGGTGTAGCTGTTCATTCAGGTTGCCACGCGTTGTCCTGCTTTCTGTGACAGTCCCAGGCCGGCCCTTTCCACGGAAGCAGAGGCCTGCGCTGCTGCTGCTCGGTGCATCTGCACTCAGGTCACATGGCGGAGGCCAGGGGCTGCGAGGCTGAGGGCTTCCTGGTGACTGCTGTGCTTCGCGGGTGTGCGCTCGGCCTGGCTCTCGGGTGCCCGGATGCTGCCCCTCCCCGGCAGCTGGCGCTCAGGGCAGGCCGGACTGGTGGAGGCCTGGGGGCGTGGACAGGCTGGACTTGGCGCTAAGTCCGCGTAGGGCTGGCTGGCGGCCCCTCTCCTCAGGCAGCAGTGCCCTGGGAAGGGCCACCTCCCACCTGCTCTTGGCTTCCTTTCCCGCACAGCCGGAGCTGGTTGCCCCCCCTCCACTGGAAGGGCGTGGGGTGTGCGAGGAACAGCCGGTGGCGCTGCCGAGGTAGCCCTGGTGAGTGGTGATCGCACGCTGACATCTGCCTTTCAGTAACTTGATTTTAACTTTGATTTTTCAGGAGGACATTAAGTTGGATTAAAAAGGGGGGCGATAATGCACCATGGCAACGGTCCTCAGAATGTCCCGCATCCGCTGCAGAGGTCCAGGGCCTTCGTTGGCAGCGAGGAAGAGCAGCAGGCCCACCCAGTGCCACCCCAGTCCCCTGCCACGCCCTTGGCGCCGTCGGCGAGCCCATCTGCACCCCAGTCACCCACTTACCAAGTCCAGCAGCTGATGACTAGGAGTCCTGCGGCGGGGCAGCACGTGAACATCTCCCTGCAGAACGTGGGGCCAGTGGTGGCGGGGAGCCCCCAGGTCACACTCGCCCCTCTGCCGCTCCCCACCCCCACCTCTCCAGGGTTTCAGTTCGGCGGCCAGCAGAAGCGCTTTGAGCACGGATCGCCACCCTACATCCAGGTGACCTCGCCGCTGCCCCAGCAGGTGCAGACTCACAGCCCCACGCAGCCCAGCCCTGGGCCGGCCCTGCAGGGCGGGCGGGCAGGTGCCCCAGGCCCGGGCCTGGGCCTCTGCAGCAGCAGTCCCACGGGGAGCTTCGTGGACACCAGTGTGCTGGTGCGGCAGATCAGCCTGAGCCCGTCCAGCGCCGGGCACTTTGTGTTTCAGGACAGCTCAGGCCTGGCCCAGATGGCGCAGGGCGCCCAGGTCCAGCTGCAGCACTCGGGGGCTCCCCTCGCCGTCCGGGAGCGGAGGCTCTCCCAGCCCCACGCACAGTCTGGAGGGACCGTCCACCACCTGGGGCCCCAGAGCCCTGCCGCCGCAGGGGGCGCCGGCCTGCAGCCCCTGAGCGGCCCAGGCCACATCACCACGACCAGCCTGCCGCCCCAGATCAGCAGCATCATCCAGGGGCAGCTGGTCCAGCCGCAGCCGGTGCTGCCGGGGCCACCGCTCAGCAGACCGCTGCTCTCAGGGGTGGGGGTGGGGGTCGGGGGGACGTCGGCGTTCGGGATGACATCCCCGCCGCCTCCCAGCAGCCCTTCCAGGACAGTGGTGCCCCCCGGGCTCTCTAGCCTCCCCCTCGCGCCTGCGCCGAGCGTGGGGCCGAGAAAGGCTCCCAAGAAGCTGGAGGAGGTGCCCCCGGCCTCGCAGGAGCTGGCGCAGATGCGGAAGCGGTGCCTGGACTACCACCACCGCGAGATGGAGGCGCTCAGGGAGGCCTTCAGGGAGTGTCTGATCGAGCTCTTCTTCCTGCAACACCTCCAAGGCAACATGATGGACTTCCTGGCCTTCAGGAAGAAGCACTGCGCCCCGCTGCAGGCCTACCTCCGGCAGAACGACCTGGACCTGGAGGAGGAGGACGAGGAGGAGGCGCCGGCCGCGGAGGCGGAGAAGGCGGAGGTCATCAACGACGAGGTGAGAGGCGGCTGCGCGGCCGCGGTCTAGGCCTGGCGAGGCGCGCGGGGCCCGGAGCCCGACGCGAGGCCGAGGACCCTTCCGCCCCCCTTCCCCGGGCAGGGCCGCCCGGGCGCTGTGGGCGGTGCAGGTGCGGAGCCGGAGTCTCCTGGGTGCCCAGAGCCGGGCTGCGCCGCCGGCCCCCCAGACGCAGCGCGAAGCCAGAGGCCCGGCTCCGCCCCCTGCTCGCCTCGGCCGCTGTCCACGCCAGCTTTACGCCAGGGCGTTCGCTCTCTGGCCGTTTTCAGTTTCCCATAGTTGCAGGTTCCCGGATGCTCACGGGGCACGTTAGTGACGAGCCTGTCGTCACGGCGGGATGTGTCTGAGAACGTTCTCCGTTTTCAGACGTCATTTTAAATGTCAGGTCGCACTTGCCACTCTCGCTTCTACACAGACCTGTTAGGTGACATTTCGAGTAGACTCTCGCAGGCAGATTTGGGGTGCCTGCAGCGGCGCTTGGCAGCCCCCAGGCGAGCCTCCTCCGCACCCGCGAGGCTCCCTGGCCCTGCGCCTGGGCTCTGCCTGCGGCCCTGCCCGCTGCGCTTCGTGCCTTCGTGTTTGTGGCGTGCACTGTGTCAGCCCCTCTGTCTCACGGCGCTCAGTACCGGGTCCTTGTCCGTCCTCCCCGCAGAGAAAGCAGCCTCGGGAGAACCAAGGCTGGTCTCTCTGCCACGCCGTCCTCCCTGGTATTTATGGGCGTGTCTGTGTGGCTTTCCCATTTTGTGTTCCTCAGCACCCTCGCCAGGATGACCTTTATTTTCCAGAAGGTTGCTAGGATCATTTTGAGGGGCGGCCCGCATGGCCACGCAGCGGGCAGCACGGGTCTCTGTCTGTGCCCATGCTGTGGGGGTGCCCGCCCCGTTTCCTGCCGGCTCAGCCGTCGCCCTCCCGAGCGGCAGGCAGGGCCACGCTGCCCCTGCGCTCAGGCGTTCCTGGGGCTGCCCCGTGCTCACTGTTTCCAAGGTGGCGCCCCTGCCAGCCCACAGTCGAGTTCGCTCGGTAGAGTCAGTTCAGCGTCCAGATACTGGATTTGATGCGAAGACCTTCCATTTTAAAAGCGCAGACGGCAGTGAGCTTTCAGCAGTAAAATTCTAACAGGATTTTGAGCAGTCTTAAAAATTGTTACCTTTTTTTCTCAAAATATTTCCTCTCAGGTAAAGGTTGTGACAGGAAAGGATGGGCAGACTGGTACTCCTGTTGCTATAGCAACCCAGCTTCCGCCAAATGTTTCTGCTGCTTTTTCATCCCAGCAGCAACCATTTCAGGTACTTTTTGATGGTTCTAAAATGTAGTCTCATCCCAGACTTTGCCTTCATCGGATAGTTGACCCTTCAGTTCACTATTTGCTCTTCAGCGTTTTTTTCCCAGAGCCCATTCCTTGTTTTTAAGAAGCGCAAGTCTTCCCGCATAAGCATCGTGAAGTTAAATTGCATGAGTGCGCGGCCACGCGGCCCTGAATGCCTCGCCGGGTCGCCCGCGCGGCGCAGCCTGCATGCCCCCCCCGCTCTGTCCAATGTGTGCCAGGCCCGTGTGCTGCGTTTTACATGTTGGTTCTCTTGTGTCTTCTCTTTGTGTTTCTGAGAACAGTGCAGAACAGAGCAAGAAAAAGAAAGAGATAAGCTGACGGTAACTTGATGCTTTCTGTAGCTAGAAGCACTGACGTGACGGCCTGGAAGCGGCAGGACCTCAGGCCTCTGAGTGGACGTGGCGTGACTGCACACTGGCCATGTTTAACTTGGGGACAGTCAGTCAGTCACGCCGGGAGCCTGACGGTAGCGCTCGAGCCCACTGCCTTGGGGGTGGGGATGGTGTTGGGTTCTGAAAGCGGGATCTTCGTGGTGATTTTTTTTGGGTGTTACTTTCAATCTCCATGAAATTTCAAACGTGTGTGGAAGTGGTGACAAGAAGAAAGCAGAGCTCGCCCCAGAGCCTTTGCCCAGGCGCACAGCTGTTCCCTTTTTGCCCCATTTGCATTGTTTTCATTCTCTCCCCCTGTCATCTTTACACACACACACGCTCACGCTCGCTCTCTCTCCTCTGCCCCCCAACCTCCCCACCAATGTGGCCTGCGGCCTCCGGTAACCACCTACACCCCAGGGTGCGAGCTGGGTGCTGACCTGCCCGCAGTGCCCAGAGTCCACACCTGGAGATTCTCGGCCACACCACACTGGCCGGGACCACGCGCCCATGCACGCCGGGCCTCTCCTGGTGCTGCCTGGGGCTGTGGCACCGGGTCTCTGGCCCTGTGGGGCCGGCCCCACAGTCTCGGGACCTCCTGTCCTCGCGGCACCAGCCGTTGCGGGCGGGACCCCCTTTGATGCTGTGGTGTCGGACGCGCTGCAGGCCCCTGCTTCGGAGTGGTCCCGTGGCGCCGGCCCCGCTGTGGGTGCCGGGCGGTGAGGCCGGGCCCCAGCCGGTGGGGTGGGCGCTGCGGCCAGTGCTGGGCGCGCTTTCCTGCTGCGGGTGGTAAGTCCCAGAGATGAGACTCCGGGACCGTGTGGACATCTTGGTCCTCCAGGGACTTTCCACCTAACCCTTGCCCCGCTGCCGGGCCCCGAGGCGCTGAGTCTGCAGACCCGTTGTCCCCCGGGCGTGCTGCCTGCCGGGCTGCGGTGGCTGCTCTCCTGCCCGCACGCCTGTGCGCACGCGTGCCCTTCCTCGTGCTCGTCCTGCCGCTGCCCGCTCGGTGCAACTAACCTGTTCCCTGCGGTTGCGCTTTCTGCCCGGCGCTCGGGCTCGGTGGACGCCGGTGCGTGAGCACCACCCGCGGCCGCGTCGCCTCTTCAGTCTGCCTGTCGCCCGCTTGACCGGCACTTCTGGGCCCCCAGGGCGTCGCCTCCCCGGCGTCTGTTTCTGCCGTCACCGAGCGGTGTCCTCTGCTGGGCAGTCGGGTCAGCCGTTGTCCCTTGGAGACCGTGCGGCCGGTTTCTGGCTTGGGCCCTGCGGAGTGAAGGTGCGGGGAGGGTCGCGCCGGTTTCGCGTGAGCGCTGGGGCTCACCCGTGCGTGATGCGCCGGCCGGCGGCGTCATGCTGGGGGATGTCCCCCCTCATGGGGCTTGGCGGGAAGGCCAGGCTCCCGGTGGCCGCCTGCGGGCGTGTGCGGGGCTCGTCCTGCCCTCCGCGCCCCTCGCCTGGCCGTGCCACCGTTCCGGCCCGTGGCCCTTGCGTTTCCACTGGGTTGCTTCATCGCCGTCCGCTCAGGGATCGCACTGGTAAATATTTCCCTTCCCGGCCATGGCTTGTTTTCCCTTCTTTTGATACTGTCTTTCACAGAAGGAGAGTTTAAAATTTTTACCGTCTGACCTCTCAGATTTTTTTATTGTAGATTGTGCTCTTGCCTTCACACCCGAGAACTCTGCTTATCCCGAGGCCACCAGGTCCTCGTTCTGTTCTCTAGAAGCGTCTAGTTTTGGGTTTCACATTGCGATCGCGCACGGGGTTGCTTGCGAGGGAAGCTCTGTGAACGTGGCAACCCTGAGGGGTTTGCGTCTTTGCCCGTTGATGCCAGTTAGTTGTCCAGCGCCGTTCTTAAATGACTGTCCTGCGTCCATTGAATGGGCTCTGCGGTGGCCCCGTGTGGGGCCTCCCCAGCCTGCGTGTCTGTCTGCCTGCTGCGGCCACGCAGGCTTGGGGTGCCTCTGGAGCCCACCCTCTGAGCGCCTGGACTGTTCACTCTTGAAATTGACTTGGTCGTTCTAGCACCTTGCCCTTCAGGCGGGTTTGAGAGCCGCTTGCTGACAGCTGCAGAGCCCCGCAGAGCTGCTGGGGTGGACCGAGGCCCTGCGCTCAGGGCGATGTCCTGCCCCCAGCCAGCCACCCGTCACGGATGTGGCGGGTTTCCTGTGGCTGGTTTCCCGGTGTTTTGTAATTTCGAGCGTGGCATTTCTGCACGTCTTGTTAGGTTTATCCCCATGTGCTCCCCTTTCCTGCGGGCATCAGTGGCGCTGTGAAACACCCGGCTGCCCTGCAGGCGCGCGGGAATGCGCTGGATTCTTTGGATCTCTCTTTTGCAACCTTGCTAAGCTCGTTTATTAGGAGTTTTTTCGCACAGATTCCATGGGACTCTAGAGAAACATTTGTGCAAGGAGAACAAGATACAGTTTTTTACTTCTGTGCTTTTTACTTTTTTTTTTTTTTTGGCCTCACTGCGCTGGCCCGGTCTTCGGGCGTGATGCGGAAGAGCGGTGGGGGGAACAGCATTCTCGGCCCTCAGGAGGTCAGGGTGAAAGCAGTAAGAGGCTTGCTGAGGATTTTGTAGAAGTCTTTTATTTATTTTTTTAAGGTTTATTTTTTATTTATTTATGCATACAAGGGTGAATCCCCTCACCCCAGGCCAGAGGTCGGAGGGGTGAGGGGATTCACCAGAGACAGAGTAGGGAGCAGAACAGGTGGATTCACACACTGCTGGGGGGAGCAGCGGGGAGACAGGAGAGGTCTGCTGCGCCATGTGGGCAGCTCCCTGGACGGAGATCAAACTCGTGCTGCAGAGGCTGCAGGCAGCTCGATAGCGCTGCTAGCCCTTGCGCCACCAGGGAGGCCTCTGGACGTCTTCTATCACGTTAAGGAGCTTTCTTTGTTCCTATACTATGAGTGGCTTGTTCGTTGCTGTTTTTGTGTCTGTGCACGTGGTCTTTGGTGTGTGGAAGGGGGCATCCTGTCACGTGGAGGTGCAGTTTATTAAAAGGAACATCCTTCATTCCCTCCCACGTCCCCACCCCCCACCTCCCGCCGTCTTGCTTATGTTGATGCTCAGGTTTGCTGTGATCACACCCGTGGAGCCCCTGCGCTGGCTCTCGTGTCCTCTGGCCCTGTCTCTCTGAGCACCCTCGCTGTCTGGCACTGGTCCCAGCGCAGGAATCAGTCAGTCTCCCGGGAATCTTGGCACAGAGTAACCATCTGAACCTGATATGTGCGTGCAGTTGAGGAAAAGATTTCTTAAACTGGATGTTGTCAGAGGTTGGTTAGTGGGGTGTTTCTGCTGTCACAGCACAGAGGGATGGGTGCAGAGTGTGTGACAGTCCCCACTGACGAGTGTTTCCCAGTCACTGGCACAGGAGGCCGCAGGCTACTCGCCGAGACGCCGCTGCGCAGGGCACGCCGCCCCGTCCACCTGCACACGCAGCAGGGGGCACAGAATCTGTAGGTGCAGGTCACCCACTTTGCTCAGCACGAGCTTGGGGACACTTGTGGCCTCCGTTCCAGTTTTTCAATACGATGAGAAGAGAGCAAGGGCACCCCTGGACCTGCACCCCTCTGGGACGGGTCGTCCTGGGCACCAGCAACCACTTGCCTGCTGCTTCGGCAGCTTTGTCTGTGACGGCCCCGGGCTGGAGGGAGCCAGACGCTCGTGGGCTGTGGTTCCCACATAGAGACCGTGCCCAGGAGCGGCCCCAACACCCACCCAGACATGGGCCTCAGCAGCACCTCTTGGGGTAGGAAGCCACAGGGGAGCACAGCTGCACTGTAGAGCATGGGGGGGGGGCGGCCAACAACCCTGGTGGAGGGGAGGGCAGCTGGCAGGCAGGGGTGGGCGTGGGCACGTGTGCGGGTTCGCCTGTAACCCGGCACAGTTTCCAGGACGCAGACCTGCCACGCATCAGCAGACGGGACCTGGCGTCCACCGTCGGCAGGTGGACAGTACGTGCAGAGAGCCGCAGGCGCCCGTGGGGCCGGCCCAGCCCCGTACCTGGGTCTGCGTCCTCCCACTCCGCTTTGGACATGTTCTCATGAAAAATTTTGAACAGAGACGAACAGCGTGCTCGGTAAGCACCTGTTGCCCTCTCAGTGCCGTGGTGTCGTTCACTGTGCTTGTTTTTTAGCCTGCTCGTGTTTTGAAAGGATAGGCCAGTTGGAGAAGGCGGGGAGGGGCGCCCAGAGGTGCGGGCAGGAGGCCGCAGGGCTGCGCTGGCTTCGTGCTGGCACCTTCCCAGCAGACGCTTGAGGGGGAACCAAGGCCTCTGAAGATCGCAGGCGTCAGAGGAAACGTGAAAATGGAGTCTGTCAAAGAGTTGAAATGAAAAATCATTTTGTTTTTTGGGGGGGACCGCGATGAGTTTTACTCCTGACAGCCGGTGGCAGTATTTTGAGGGGGCTGCGTGAAACCGCGGGAGGGCCGGTGCAGGGGGCCCCGCCGGGCTGGGGCTCGTGCACAGAGGGGCTGCGCGAGCCTTCTGTGGAGAGGGTGGGCCCTTGTGCTCACGGTGCGCATGGAAAAGGCTATTTCATTCACCTTTAAAGGCTCCCGATTTAAGGACAAGCTCTTGATAGCGCATCGTGTTGAGAAACCAGAACGCAGCACCCCGTGGTCCTGGCTCGGGCCGCGGCTGCTGTTCTGGGGCCTGGGCGGCTCCACTCTGGCCTGCTGGTCTCAGACACCTTCTCGGGAGCCGTCTGCCCTCTGCAGCCAGTTCGAGGACCTTAGGACAAACGGGTCTTTGCTGACGGACGCCGACGTCCAGATCCTCTGCGTGTGTGGGTTTTGCTTCAGGCCGCCCCTGGAGGCTCGGAGGTGCTGCGTGAGCGCAGTTGCTGTCTGCACACCCCCAGTGAGGGTCACGTTAGCCCAAGCGCCCTGTCCCGTGCCCTGTCCAGCTCGCTCTTTCTTCCCCATCGCACGTGGTGTCTGTGCTGGCGGTTCACCATCCGCGGCGGGCGGCCCAGCCAGGGGCAGGCGGCAGTCTGGACGGCGCGCGGTCCACTCGGGCTGCCTCCCTCCAGATTGAGCCTGGGGCCTCCATTGCAGTCACCTGCTGGCGAGTCCTCCGCCGGCGTCAGGCAGGGCAGCGCGTCACCCCGGCCAGTCCCAGCCTCCAGGGGTGGCGCGCACTGCGCTGGCTGGTTCTGGCTACTTCAGCTGGGCAGCCTCACCCTGGTGACTGCCCAGTCCCTGCCGCCCTTACCGCGTCCTCCAGCATGACATTAGTCGCTTCCTCTTTTAGGCCTTCTTCTTTTTTTAATTTGAAAGGGCAGGTTTATCCGAAAGGGGAGGGGAGGGAGGGCGCTGCAGACGCCGAGCGACGAGCTGCCCCGAGAGGGCAGGTTTGCCAAGAGGCTGCACAGACCCAGGGGCTGGCTGCCGGCCCAACCTTCTGAATGGCCCTTCGGTGGGCTGCATCCCTGGTTCCCTCAGCTCTTCTCTTCCTGGTGGTGTCTCTAGACTCCCTGCACATCACGTCACACCTTCTGTCGGTGAATTCTTCCTGATCACGTCTCTCTGAGAGGGGCCAGAACTCAGTGCCATGCAGCTCGACTGGGACTTGGTTCCCGTCATAGAGCAGCCTCTACTCTGAGTGCTTTTTTCTTTATGAGGAGCTTTAATAAATGATTGCGGGGGCCTCCCCTGGTGGCGCAGCGGGTTGAGTGCAGCACTGTGGAGCTGTCCGCAGCCTCTGCAGCGCGGTTTCAACTCCCGGCCGGCCGGGGAGCTACCCACATGGTGCGGCAGACCTCTCCTGTCTCCCCGCTGCTCCCCTCAGCAGTGGGTTTCGGCCAGTCTGCCTGTTCTGTTCCCCGCTCTGTCTCTGGTGAGTCTTCTCACTCCCCCCACCCCCCCCACACACACATCTGGTCTGTACCCCAGCTCTAGTATAAATAAATAAATCTTAAATAAATAAATGGTTGCAGATGAAATTGTATTTTAAGGTGACATCTTCCTTCGACGTGCTCGTGGGAGCAGAAGTCAGCGTCTGTCTGTCACGGGTGGGGCCCCTCTGCTGGTCCTGACGAGGACCTGTGTTGCTGACGTCGTCTGCTGGGCCAGGCGCCCGCGCGGACGGCCGGGCTTCACGCACCTTTCTGTTGCAAAGGCTCTGTTCTCCTCGGGGTGGGGCCCTCAGGCCTGCCCTGAGCGTGTGTTCTTGTGAGGCTGGTCCTCCCACGTGCCCTCTCCGGACACAGACCTCGCAGCTCTCTCCGGAGCCCGCTCTCCCGGTACTTTCTCTGACTCACCGTGGGTTGTCATCGGGATTTCCTCTTGGCCCTCGTGACCACGTGCGTCTTTACACCCTGGGCATGCTCCTCAGCTGCCGCGAAGCCCTTGCTGCTGGCCCCCGGCTGGGCCACCAGGCCGCTGCTGAGGACAGTGCAGACCTTGTTTCTTTGTGTTCTGGGGCGATTTTGAATTGGGTTTCGGACACTGGAGGCCAGGCGGTGGGGACCATGGGCTGCTGCTCTCCTCTGGAGAGCACTGATTGTTGTGCGCCCACGTGAGTTGGCTCAGTCGAGCCCGCAGCACCCGTGGTGCGTTGACCCTGGAGCCTGCGCGTGGCTGGGGCAGGTGGGGGCGCAGCGAGCCCGCCGTGTGCTTCGGCGAGTTCTCTTCTCTTCTTCTGAGTGGTTGGCCTGCTCCCTCCCGGCGACTCTGGTGAGACTCTGCTGGTAGGAGCAGCCCAGATGAGGCAGGCGCCTGAGGCCAGGCCTCGCCAGGTCCCACCCCCTCGAGCAGGTATCGGCTCTTCCTATAACCGCCGGCTGTGGCCTTTTTATACTTGTCCAGCTTTTTTTTTTTTAAATCCAGTAGGACATGCTTGACCATTCTTGCATGCAGAGTGCTTTATCAATTTCTTCTATTAAAATCCTCCTTTTTTTGGTGTTTATAACTGCTGCATGGTCGCCGTGGAACATGTGGACACTAGAAACACGCGCACACGGACACAAGTCACCTGGGACCCTGTCCCGAGACCAGCACGTCACTCGCTCTGTTCTCGTCACTCTCTCCCCTTCCTCCCGCTCCCTCTGTCCACACCTGCCTCCCTCCTTTCCCATCTTTGTTAAATGTGAATGGGGGTGCTCGTTCTCCCTTTCAGTTAGCTAAGCCCCTTCCCCTTCTGAGGCACCGCCGTGGCTTGGCCGGCACGGTGGTGTCATGTCCATCCTGGGGCCTGTGCTCGAGCTGCCCTCCTGAGCAGACACTGCGTGGCAGCTCTTATGCCTGGAGAACACTGCTCTGGTGCAGCGGCCGCAGCCGAGTCCCGTAGAGCCAGCGCTGAGCTGAGCACCCCCCAAGCGTGCTGCGGCACAGTGCAGGGCAGAGGCCGGTCCCCTGCCTCCGGCCCTTCTGACCAGTAGCTTCTCACCACGCATGACCGGGGATGGCCCGCCTCTCTGTGCCATGTGGGGTGCTGACACTTGGGGATCCAGAGAGGGGTTGTTTTTAATTGGGGTTTAGCATCATTTTCCAGCAGGATGACTAACCCTCCTTTGTACCCAGTTCTCTGCCTTCTGGTAAGTGGTGAGTGGCTGGCAGCAGGCTCAGCAGCACCTGAGCCTCGATGTGGCCAGAGCTCGGGCCCCTGCGCTGGTCCGCGCGCATAGCCACATAGTGTCTGAGGGACTGTAGGTGTGCATTGCTCAGAAATTTCATTTAAAACCAGAAAAATATCTTTCCAATTCCCTTACCCTTCCAGAGGTAAGTTAGAGCTTCACTTCCTGTGTGTAGTGCACGTTCTGACGGTGTGCCCGCCGCCAGGGTGCTGCCTTCTCTCGTGGAAGGAAGGAGGTTGGTGTTTGGGCTGATTGGGTGGGTTTGGCTCCTGTTCATGCTCATAATGCACTTAGGTTATCAGAATCTCATTTTCTTTCCAGCAGCAAGCCCTCCCAGGAGCCCTGGTGGCGGGGGCCACGGGTGCAGTAGAAACGGACCCCTTTAAGAGGCAGCCGGCAGGTCCCCCGGCAGGTATGTCGTGGCCCCGGGGTGCCATCTCGCTTGGCTGGGCTTAGTTTCTTCTCCTTTAAGCTTCGCTTTTCTTCTGGGTGTCAGCCGAAGAGAGCGTTACGTCAGGCTCGGAGTCTTGAAGTCAGAGGTTTGTCCGTTGGGTGGGGGATGGGGGTGTTTTATTTTGACCCCCTGTGCGTTTGCAGGCTGTGTATGCTGGCATGCTCACGTGGGACACCCTCTGCTCTGTCTAGTCGTCGTTCATTTTTCAGTCAGACTGAATTCTTTCTTCAAATTATAAACGACACACGTTTAATGTAAAAGATTCAAACAGCCCAGAAGGGTAGATAGAAGTCAGTGTACCCCTGTTTGGGGGTTACCTGCCCTCTCCCTGGCCACAGAGCTGGCTGTTACTAACGTGTGTTTTCAGGGTCCGTCTTCTCCACACACAAGCATTGCTCCGTGTTATTCTGAAAAAGTTAAATTTTGATCACATGCACATTTTTTGTGTTTCTGAAACAGTGACTTGTTAGGCGCCTTCCGAGCACAGGCCTTGCTCTTTTTTTTTTTTAAGTTTTTTTTTTTTTTTTAAATTTTATTTATTTTACGCAAGAAACCAGGGTACAGGCCAGATGTGCAGGAGGGCGAGAGGATTTACTAGAGACAGAGCGGGGAACAGAACAGGCAGACTGACAAAATACACTGCTGAGGGGAGCAGCGGGCGCGACAGGAGAGGTCTGCTGCACCATGTGGGATTCTCGGCGGCCAACCGGGATCAAACTGGCTCTGTAGAGGCTGCGGACAGCTCCACAGCGCCGTGCTCAATCGCCTGCGCCACCAGGGGAGGCCCAAGCCTTGCTCTTTTTGACAGCTGCCGTGTTGCTCCTGCTCGAGCAGCCGCTTTATGTGTTTATTCACCAGACTTTTGCGTTGGTTTATCAGCGCCCCTTGTTCTGTAATAATAGGCACAAGCTAGATTGGATATGTTTTCATGGGTAGCATTTCCCACAGATGACCGGCACCAGCGTGCTAGTCTGTCCTGAAGGACAGCTTCCTAGAGACGCACGCGCTAGTGGTGGTAGGAGGGTAGGGCCCTTTTTCACACCAGGCGGCACTTTCTGCTTCTCTCCCTTTTTGGCCTTTTTATTAAGCATGGTCAAGCCTTTAGTCTTTGCTGGTCTCGTGAAAGATTAAGACTTCTGATGTGGTTATATCAGTGCTGAGCAAGGCCACAATGTCTTTGCAGTCTGTGGGCACAGGGAGGTGCCCTGAGGGTGCTGCTCGGCCGCTGCTCCTTGGGGTGAGGCTGCTGTGGGTCGGCTCTCCGCCCTGGCTGCCCGTGCGAGGTGCTACTTGTGCTTTGCCTTTTATGACACCTTTTCTTATGTTCGCAAGTTGTTAGTGTGAATGTATTTTTAAAAAAAATATATCAGCCTTAACCTTTCAAGGCTTCTGGATTTTGACTCACACACAGAAGGGCATCCCTGGTCAAAGACTGTGAAAACTCACATTTTCTCTATGATTTTTGTGGTTTCATTTTCCCATCAAATTACCCCTTTTCTGAAAATTATTGCAGAGCCGCCTAAGAGACCTCGACTTGAAGTGGGCCACCAAGGCGTGGTTCTGCAGCACCCGGGGGTGAGCACAGGCGTCCCTCTCCAGCAGTTGATGCCAACAGTCCAAGGTAATACGAGGGCCAGCTCCACTCTGGCTCGCGGGCAGGGAGTGTGTCAAGTCCTGGAAGCCGGAGTCCCAGGGTGCGGTTGCAGGAGGGTGTCTGGTTGGCCTTCTGGAGGCAGGGATCTCTCCTTGCCCCAGCTGGTGTGGGCTCCAGATTCCGAGAGATGCACCAGCGCACGTCTCTCTTGCCCAGAGCTTTCCAAGCCCCGCCTCCTGGGTTTCTGAGTCACCCTGTTGAGGAGGGCCCCTCTGTCCAGCACACAACTTCCCGAGGACAGCCTGTAGGAGAGCCCCTTTTCTGCCCTCGCGTGCTCGTCGACAGGTGTAGCTGGGCTGGGTGGTATGATGGCGGCCCGCGCCGAGTGCAGGCCTGGGCTCCGCTTCTTCCTTTTTTTTTTTTTTTTTTTTTTAAATATTTACTTATTTATACAAGCGCTGGGTACAGTCAGAAGTGTGGGAGGGTGAGAGAATTCACCAGAGCCAGAGCGGGGAGCAGAACAGGCAGACTGATGAAATACACTGCTACGCCATATGGGACCCTCGCCGGCGGCCGGGGATCGAATCGGCGCTGCAGAGGCTGCGGACAGCTTCACAGCCCAGCGCTCAACCGCTGCGCCACCAGGGGAGGGCCTTGGGATCCGCTTCTTGCTGGGTGGGCGCCCGGGCTCTGTGGTCCAGCGCCGGCGGTGTCCCCTCTCTTGCAGGAGGAATGCCTCCCGCCCCGCAGGCCGCGCAGCTGCTGGGGCAGAAGCAGAGTCAGCAGCAGTATGACCCATCCACCGGGCCACCGGTGCAGAACGCAGCCAGTCTGCACACCCCACCTCCCCAGCTCCCCAGCAGGCTGCCCCCTGCTGGCCTCCCTGCTGCCCCCCTCACGGCCACGCTGCAGTTCTCACAGCCACCGCAGATGGGGGAACCCCCTCCGCAGCTCCATATCCCAGTGAAGACGCAGCCACCTCAAGCCTCTGTCTCTGCGCCCCCCACCAGCCAGCTCCCCACCCCTCCTGCACAGCCCACCGCGCTGGCCCACCATGGCCCAGTCCCCGGGAAGGCCCAGCTGCAGAGCCTACAGCTGCCATCCCAGCCCCAGGTACTGGGCACATGTGCTGTTTGGGGGCTGGGAGTGGAGGGAGGGCCGTGGCTGCCCGTGGTCCAGGCAGCGGTGGCTGCCAACTCCGGCTCTGGCCCAGGCACCATCCCCAGAGAAGCCCAGCACGCGCTCCTCCCTGCTGGCCCCATGCGGCCAAGGTGCGTTGCCCATCCCCACGCGAGGGTGGGCCCCGCTCGCCTGTGGCCCCTCCGCGTCCCGGTGTGTGGACAGTGAGCCATGGATGGCGAGGGGCTCGACCGTGGAGGGGTGCTGATAACCCCTTCTCCGCCAGTGGTTAAATTTATGCAGCAAACTGCTGCCGTCCCTCAGGTGTTTGGGTCCCCGCCACCGGGGCTGCTGGGGCAATGTGGCCAATCCTCTGGGTGGGATCTGCTGGGGCCCACCCCAGAATGCCTGCCACCCTCTTCCTCAGCTAGGGTTTCCCTGGTGCACGTGAATTCAGGTTTTTTCTGGTTGCTTGAGACTTACGTAGAAACAGGAGGACAGCTTCCTCTGCTCACTGCCCACTGGACACCGGCACCGTGACCCCTCCGCTCTGCACTGTCTCTGCCCTGCCTGTGACAGCAGTGCGGGGAGCGGGGTGGGGGGGGTCATCTTCACTGTCCCTGAGACCCAAGCTCAGAGACCAGAGAGGATAGACAGTAGCCAGGTCTCCAGCCCATGTAGGGGCTCTGTGTGCTGTCCGCAGCCGCCTGGAGGGGTCGGCCCCCGCAGCAGTGGGCCCCCAGGCCACTGTGCTCGGGTTCTGTGGACCTGAGTCTTCCTTGGAGCCACCCTCCTGCGCCACGCTGGGTTTCGGGTTAGCTGGTCTGCCTATGTTGCTCAGAATCTGCTGGGTGGGCTTGGCAGGCTGCAAAGACCTCAGCAAGGGGGTGTGGGAATACTCGAGGCCCTGCACCCGCACAGATCTTCCGAAGTGAGAACTGAGGAGTGACTCCAGTGCAAAGCAGGAAGCCCTTGGACACAGTGGGCCCTGCTTGCCCCACACCTGCCCCCCAGCAGGGTCCCCTCTGTGTGATGGAGCGTTCTGTCCAGGACAAGGGAGGGGATCCTCCGACCTTGCCTGCCCGCGCCTGGCCAGCACCCGAGGGGGTTCTCGCCGGGTTCTGCCTGCCCTGTGGGCAGGGCCCAGAGCCTGCCTTTGCCCATCAGGGAGAGGCATGGGGTGGCCTCGCTGTGGATCCCTCGAGCAGGGGCCCCTGCGAAGACAGCCCTGCAAAGACCTGGAGGAGAGCTCCCTTGGCCTCTTGGCTGAGGTGGAGTGTGGAAACATAGCAGGGGAAAAGAGAAAAGGCTGATCCGCCTCAGGCCACCTGTGGCAGTCTTGGGGGCACCCTCTGGGCTTTTTGGGGGGTGGATTCCAGGACGCATGCGCCCTGACACTGGACCAGGCATTGGGTGCCCAGCTGAGGTCTCGTTTCACCCTCCAGGTGGTGGCGTCCAGACCACCAGCAGACCCCGCTCAGCCCTGCCAGCGCCCACTGCCCTCCTCTTCTGCCTCGTCCACGGCTCCGGGGGTTGGCGCCAGCCAAGGACCCACGCCCGCAAGGGCCTCCCCAGTGAGCAGACCCTCTTCTGCAACCAATAAGTCGCTGTCTCCAGTTACCTCCCGGTCCCTGGGGACAGCTGTATCTGCTGTCCCGAAGCCACAGAGCCCAGCCCAGAGTGCCGCCCCGCCCCAAGACAACTCTCAGGACAAACTGGCAGAGCAGATAGCGCTGGTAAGTGCGGCGGCAGGCCAGGCGCTCGTGGGCGTCCTAAGGCGCCTCCCGCAGTGAAGCGTCCGAATAGTGGGGGAGTTGAGCGTGTTGGTGACAAGTGAGACTGAGGTGGTGGCTGGGTGGCCTGTCCTGACTGGGGGCTGGGGGGACGTGCCCTTTCTGGTGCTGAAGTCAGCGACCTCATGCGGCTTCCCAGAGCTACAGGCCAGGCACGTGCTGACAGCCACAAACCAGAGTGAACGTCTGCAGAGCCCCTGGCGCCCACGTGCCTCCCTAGGGGCTGGCAAGCAGCCTCTCATGCCAGGTGTGCCCGGCAGGCCCCTGCCTGGGCCTGACAGTAGTCAGCTCCGGCCCGTCTCACTTGGCCTGTGCCCCCTGACTGTCCCCTAAGTGCCCAGGCGTGCACCCTGGGTCCTGCATGCGCGGGTCAGGGCTGTCATTCCAACTGCTTCTGGGATTCCAGGGAGAGTGGCCTGCCCCCGCCTTTGGGTCGTGTCTCTCTTGCCGAGACTGCGCCTGTGCTGCCTGCATGCGTGGGGTCAGCCTGCAGGGCGTGCACTTGACTGATGCATGGGACACCCCACAGGAGAACCAGACACACCAGCGCATTGCAGACCTGAGGAAAGAAGGTCTGTGGTCGCTGCGGCGGCTGCCCAAGCTGCAGGAGGCCCCGCGGCCCAAGTCGCACTGGGACTACCTGCTGGAGGAGATGCAGTGGATGGCGGCAGACTTCGCCCAGGAGCGGCGCTGGAAGGTAGCTGCGGCCAAGAAGGTGGGTCAAGGTGCAGGGCCCCCGTCCTCGTGCTGGCTCAGGCCTGGGGCATGGCGGGTGAAGTGCGCGGGTAGACGCAGCCTTCACACCGCAGCGGGGCTGCCCTCGGGCTGCCTCGGGCCACATGCTATCGGGGATGCGGCTCACTGCAGCACCCCAGGCCAGACTGGCACCCAGAGGTTGGTGTGGGGGAGGGCGAGCCCTGGAAGGGGCAGAAGCCACTCAGCTTGGGGTGACCTGGGGGCCCAGCTGGGCCAGTGCCGCCCCTGCTGCCCTGGCCAGAGCTGGTCAGGGTGTGCCCTGGGAAGAAGGCAGAGCACCGTGTCCCGTGGGTGCTGGCGTCCCCAGTTGCCTCAGGGCGTGGGTGTTGGCCATGCCTGAGCTCCCTCCACCATGTGTCTGTAGCTGGTCAGGACCGTGGCGCGCCATCATGAGGAGAAGCAGCTGCGCGAGGAGAGAGGAAAGAAAGAAGAGCAGAATCGGCTGAGACGGATTGCTGCCTCAACCGCCAGAGAAATAGAGTATTTTTGGTCAAATATTGGACAGGTGAAGCACGTTTCGCGGGTCCCGCATGCCACCTGTGAGCCGGGCATGGGGTGGTGGGCCGCTGTGGCCAGCTGTGCCCGCACTGGCCGGCGGTGGAGGGTGTGGGGCCTCCCCAGGGCTCCTGGGCTGGCTCCTTACTTCCCGATGGCTCCTCTGCCTCGCGCTTCCTTTCAGTCAGAACAGTTCCCCTCCCACTGCCTGCCAGAGGGGAGGAGCTGTGGCCAGGAGAGAGTACCCGCTGAGGGCCGCAGGGCAGCGTGCACCCGCGGGCTGCTGATGGGTGTGGGAGCCTCTGACGTGTGCTCGCTGCAGCTGTGTCTTCACCAGCGTCTCGTGCGACTCTTTGTGTTTAGGTCGTGGAAATAAAACTGCAAGTAGAATTAGAAGAGAAAAGGAAGAAGGCCTTGAGTTCACAGAAAGGCTCCAGGAGAGGTACGCAGGCCTTTCGCGGCCGCCAGCGCCGGCTCCTTGGGGGCATCGCACTGTGCTCTGGGAAGCTTTCCCAGCTGCGTGTGGACTTTTTTTGACGTTTGCCCAGATGAGTCGGCACCCCAGGCTGATGGACCAGCTGGGGCTGCTCCGGGGAGGAAGGCTGGGCCTGCACCTGTGGCCCGTCCCAGGCGGGGTGGTGGTGGCCCCCGTAGCCCTGGGTGCAGGCTCTGGCAGCTCCATGGAGATGCCTTCCTGGGGCGGGGGCGGGGGGGAGGGACGGTGGAGGGGCGCTGCTGGAGGCCTTACCCACGAGCGCAGGTGTGTCCTGGAGAGAGCCCTGTGTCGTGCAGCTGCCTGTGCAGAGCCCTGTGTCGGCCAGGCCATGGGGGCGTGGGCAGGGGCAGCCTCTGCAGGCCGGGGTGCCCTTGAACCAGCCCCCGGACTCCAGTGAAGACGGACCCAGTGACCTTCTCTTTAGGTAAAGACTCGAGACCCAAGGGACTTGACGTGCTGCCAGAGAATTTTTTGGTGAGTTGGGGACTTAACTGTGTGCAAAGAGCGGCACAAGCAACACGCTGCGCCAGGAGCAGGCAGGGACTCGTTCGTGCAGAGACTGGTTGGTGTCAGTCAGCTCTGGGAGGAGAGTGACCCTGGGCTCATGTGGGCGTCGCAGGCGGCCCAGCCTGCCCCGCTGGGTGCCTTAGAGGCACGTTCCTCCGCTCTGCTCCCTGTCCTGTGTTTAAGGTCTCATGGCTGCAGTTTTGGTCCTGTGTTTCAGGATTCAGGAATGTCTGTGAGAAAAAGAAAAGCCAGCACGTCTCTGACTGATGACGAAGGTCTGTCCTGCCCTGTGCGCGCTGAACTTCCCACCCCTGGCCCCTCTGTCAATGTCGTTGGGGCTCCTGGGCCTGCACAGCTGGCCGTGGCCAGTAGCCCGGGGTCGGTGTCCTTGGGGGTTGGTGCCCTGGCGGGCACTGGGGTTTTGCAATGAAGAAGTGAGGCGTGGGAGGTGGGTGGGCAGACAGGCAGTTGTGGGCACCCCTGTGTAAGGGTGGCCGGGAGGGCGGTGCCAGCGGGAGACATGCTGAGAGGCCTAAGGTTGCAGAAAGTGGGCATGTCCGCCTGGTGAGACCCTGGCAGGGCTAATGCTCAGAGTTGCAGGGGAGGGCAGGGCGCAGGCAGAGCTGCTGACCAGACAGGAGGGCCAGGGGCTGGGCCCTGGAGTAGGCAAGGAGCGCTGAGCGCGGCCATGAGGAGCTGCTCCTGGGGCCTGCCTGGGGCTTGGCAGGTGGGTGGCTGTGCAGCTCCAGTGTGAGCCTCAGCAGGCCTTTCGTGCCGCCTGAGGGGAGAGGAAGGGCCTGTCCCCACCTCCTGCCTAGTGCCACTTCCCTCTGCCTGAAAACGTGGCAGGCTGAATTGCACCTCCCCAGTGGCTGGGTGGACTGCATCCCTGTTCCCCATGGGGCCGTGGCTGCGAGGCAGGCCTGGTGTCCCACAGCTCTCACTGGTCATTGCAGTGGAGGACGAGGAGGAGACCATCGAAGAGGAGGAGGCCCGCGAAGGGGCCGTGGATCACCAGACAGAGCTGTCCAACCTGGCGAAAGAAGGTGGGCTGCTGTCCTCGCTGGGAGCTGGCGACCACAGGGACGCGTGCGGGCCGTGTTCTCGCCACGTCTGGGCACACACGTCGGGCTTTGCGTCCTGGGATGAGCTGTGGGGCAACTGGGCAGCTGGGGCGGGTGCGGGGGTCCGCGTCCCAGGGCGCCCAGTGCTTGGGATGCGGTGAGCGTGCCTCCCACCGGGGCCCTGTGGGCTGCCGGCCACTCTGTTGGGCTCCCGGGCCTGGTGACGGCAGGCGCCCGGCCGTCTCAGAGCGCAGTGCCCGGCCAGCAAGCCCTGCCTGTCTGCTGCTGAGGACGGTCGGACTGGGCCCCTCCCCGACATGTAGGCGTTCTCACGTAGCCGGACACGCGCTGCCCACCACACGCACGGGAAGGCCACGGGCTCCTGACCCCCGTGTGGCTGCCCAGCAGGCAAAGGGCGCCTCTCCTGCTGTGCTGCTGCCCACGCGTGCGGGTCTCCCCGTGTCGGCGGACGTGCGGTCGGGCCTCTGGTGGCCCGTCTCCAGGCTCTGTGCTGCTTGCGGTCAAGGCCAGGGGCGGGTTCTCCCGCTCCTTGCGGACTGTTGGGGTGGGCGACGGACACGCTGCCTCCTGGTGCTCTCCTGCCTTGGCGTGCCGAGCCCTTGTCAGTGCCTCTGCGACCTGGGGCCTCCCTTAGCCCCGGCACCTCCTTCCTTCTTGCTGCAGAGCCCGGCCGGAGGTCAGCGGCGGGCGCCGTGGGCCGGCTGTTGGATGGGGGACGCTTGCAGACAGTGGTTGCTGGCCGCCCGCGGCTGCCTGGTTCCCACCTGGGCTCTGTCTCCCGGAGCCAGTGACCTGCAGGCGAGCTGGCTAGCCGCTTGCTCGCCTCCCAGCCCCTGATGGTCATCCGGGCCACGGGGGTCCTCCTGGGAAGGCACTCCCTGAGGTGGGGTCTTGGCCTGTCCCCAGCTACCCCGCTTTTCCAGCTCCCGTCTCTCCCTACTGAAGCGCCTCACCACAGTCACTGTCAGTTGTTTCCGTTCTCTCTGCTGTGCCACCGCTGCATGGGGCGAGGGCGCCTCCTGGCTCTGTGCTGTGGGAAGCCGGCGTCCGGAGCCCTGGGGCTGCACCCAGGTGCGCCATTAGCGGCTGCTGGCGTGAGGCTTTGCATCTAAGAGCAAGTCGGTTCACGGCGCTGCTGTCCGTCACAGGCCACGGCCCTGGTCATGTTGTCGAGGGACAGCCTGGGCCCTTGCTGCTGGCGTGTGACACAGACACAGAAAGGTCAGCAGCCTCAGGGGCTTCCTGCCATGCTGGATGCGGCTACCACGTGGGGCTGTGGCACCGCCCTGGGCCACATCTGGCCATTCCCCCGAGGACAGACAGTGGGGCGTGTGGAATGTTAAAGCTTTGTTTAGGTTTCCAGAAAAACTAAGCCAACGTGTGCCGTTTCCCTGCCATGACGGGGGCGGAGGAGGGGCACGCAGGTCGTGCACGGCCTCATGCTCTGGCCTTGTTCCCCGGCCTTTCCTGCTGCTGGCGTGGCCGTGCCTCTGTGCCCGGCCCAGTGTGTCAGTGTCCGGGCCTCGGGCTGCGAGCCTAAGTCTTTTGTTGTGCTTTTTAGTCATTTACTTCTGTCGTGTTTTTGTTTGAGTCGTTTGCTGGTCTGTGTCCGCATCCATCAGTAATTTTCTATAAATGGTATTTTAGGATTTTCATTGGCCTACAGGTTTTACTACACGTTTATCACATGATGACGGAAATTCTTGTTCGTTCTCTGTGTCAAAGTGGAGCGTCGTTTAAAGATCCCCATGTTTATCGAGAGACAGTTTAGATCTTGTTGGTAAATGGGCAGTTACTGGCTTTTAGGAAATAAATAAATGTGCTTTTGGAAGACACACGTTTTCCAAGGAATCATGTAGCGCCAGGAAAGGCGTATGCGAGAGCAGGGCCTCCGTGCGCCTGTGGCCGATGCTCCTGCCCGCGCAGACACGCTCTCTCCTGCCCCAGCGGAGCTGCCCCTGGCCGACCTGCTGAGGCTGTACGAAGGCGCCTTCCTGCCCGGCTTCCAGTGGCCCCAGCCGCCCCCCGGCAGCGAGGACACGAGCGAGGAGGAAGGTGCGGCCGCCAGAGCGGTGCCTGCGGGTGGGGGCGAGCCCGTCACGTCCGCCCCTGCGGGTGGGGGTCTGCTGCGGGGACCTCGGTGCCGTCGCTGGGGCCTGCGGGCAGCATGCCGGTGCCTAGGGCTTTGCTCTGCTTCTCTGTTCGGCATCCCGCCGTCCCCTCTCCCGGGGAGGGGGGCGCGTGCCGTGACCCGAGTTCGGTCGCAGTAGGCACTTCCTGGTCTTCCCCGTGGCTGCGCAGCGCGGCCGGCCACCACGGGTGGCCAGCCGCCCCCCAGGCCGGTGCGGTCAGCTTAGGCAGCGGGTGGAGCGGGGCTGACTGCTCGCCGCGGCGCGTTGCTCACAGAGGCGGAAAGCTGCCCTGGGGACCGCGAGGGCCGGAAGGACGTGGTGCTCATCGACTCGCTGTTCATCATGGACCAGTTTAAAGCCGCGGAGAGGATGAGCGTCGGGAAGCCCCACACCAAGGACGTGGCGGAAGTGACCGCGGTGGCCGAAGCTGTCCTCCCCAAGGGCAGCGCTCGCATCAGCACCGCGGTGAGCCGCTGCCCGCGGGCGCCTCCGTCGGGGGAGCGCGCCGGCCTGCCGCCCCGCCCCACCTGCTTCTGTGGCCTCCGGGCGGCCGCACTGACTGTGCGGGGGCAACGTGTGACTGCTTGGCTAGAGCGTGCGCTTGGCCCTCCCGCAGGTGAAGTTGAGCGTCCCGCCCCTGCTGTACGGCGCGCTCAGAGACTACCAGAAGATCGGCCTGGACTGGCTGGCCAAGCTTTACCGCAAGAACCTGAATGGCATCCTGGCCGACGAAGCAGGGCTCGGCAAGACCGTGCAGGTCATAGCCTTCTTTGCCCACCTCGCCTGTAACGAAGGTAGGCCCTGGCTTCCGTCTTCCCCGTCAGCCCGCGGCAGGCATTAAGGGGAGGTGAGAGGGAGCGGGAGTGGCGCCTGCACGGCGGGCAGGGAGCTGCTTTTTGTAGGAATAAGTTGAAGAGAGAGACCCGCGTAGATGCAGACAGGCAGGGTGTGGCCATGGGCTTGCCAGACATCCCGTGTGGGGCGAGCTCAGCGTGTTGCGCTGCCGCCTCTGCACGCAGCATCACACCTGCCCTGGGTCCAGCCCGGCCTGGCTGTGCTGCAACAGTGGCAGCTCTGGCCCCTCTGCGGGCGGCCTGCTGCCCCTGCAGCACACCGTGCTCCCGCCGCAACCCCCTCAACACCCTCTGGGGGCAGTGCAGGTGCCCAGGTGATATGCAGGGGGCCGCGTTGCCCACAGCCCTGTGCACTGCCAAGGCCAGGGTCCCACCCGTCCTGCTCCAGGCTGGTGGAGGAGGGTTTCCCGAGGGCCTGGGGGTGTGGCTGAGCCTCACACCCCAGAGCCGGGGGCTCCTGGGCCACATGGGGAGAAAGGACCACGTCACCTTCCGTCCATCCGTGCAGGGGTCTCGGGGTGAGGAGGCGGCACTGGGGTCAGGAGAAGTCGGGTAGGTGGGTGGAGTCAGAACACTCCACCGTGGGGAGTCGTGGGGTCCTCCGTGGGTTCCTCCACCACCGACGTTGCTGTGCTGTTGTCTTGCGCCTCATTTGCCTTCCATGTGGAAACGCGTCATCAGACTCGTGATCGATTTTAAATAGAAATAGAGCAACATCTGGGTGCCTTGTTTTCTCCATTAGTTTATTTCTGTTGCTCTAATACCCCAAAATTTTAAACGTCGTGCTTCCAAATAGGTCACGACCCACAGAACAGGTAGAGATGGGAAAACCACTTACCTTGCCTTCCACTTTACTGTCGAGGGGAAAGGTGTTCATCAGGCCATAGCAGCGAGGCGGTGGAAGTAGCCTATGTGTCCCAGCACTTGAGAGAACGATGACGGTTCGGGGACTTGCCTGGCGCCACCCCAGGCACTGTTCTAGGTGCCGAGGCTGCAGCCGTGAACAGAGCCAACCTCCCCACCCCCCGCCATCCCACCTGGAGGAAAGGGCCTTGAAGGAAATCGCAGGCGGGCAGGATGTGGGTGGGGAGCCGTGCTGGCTGTTCGCATGGTGCGCCCCTGTGGGGGAGCTGAGGAGTGGGTGTCGGAGCGGGGCCTCTGGGCACATGGCCGGGTGCAGCGTTTGAAGAAGTTGGAGCCGCAGGCTGCTGCCCGCCGCCCCTCCAGGCCGCTCCCCCATGCTGCACACCCAAGCTGCCGCCTCGGAGGAGACTCGGCCCACCCACCCACGTGGAGGCTCCTCCCCATTGCAACGGGGAGCCAGAGCGCCCCTCCCAGAGCTAGCTCCCACATAAAACAGAAACTGCCCACAGACTCATCCCATTTCAAGTAAACAACCAGCCCACCTCTACCTGCCTGCTCCCCTGGTGGGCACAGATGGTGGGGGATGCCGCTCCCCCTTGGAGGCAGAGCTGACGCCCCTGCCTCGGCTGGGCCTGGCTTTTCACTGGGGTCAAGATGGCATCTGGGCATGTGACCTTCCCTACTGGTGAGGCTCAGCCTTTGAAGAGTGTGCACACTGGCTGCCCCTGCCCTTGCTCACGCCCCTGCGCCATGTCCTCTAGGGACAGGGAGGCCTCGCGCGTGACCACAGGCATCTCCCCATGTCTGCTCTGTGCTTCTGAGCTTGGCCTGTGTGCGTGCGATGCACGGTTGGAGTTTGTGCCATGTGATTGCTGTAGCGGTTGTGAGTGAGTCCTCAGAGGGGTGGGATCGCAGCCGTGGGGCACCGTGGTGCCTTCTTCCCATGCTGGCCCTCTGCCCGGGGTCACTGCTCAGGTGCGGCTGCAAATCTCAGAAGCACACGTCCACTGCCTGGGGTGACTGTGCTTCCACACTGTTTTGTGGAGCCCCTTTGAGGCCTCACCCAGCCTGGGCTGGCCTGTAGCAGAGCATGAATGGTGGCTGCACCCTGGACCTCGAGGAGCCTGCCTGGCACTCTGCTCAGAAGCAGCGCTGGCCCCGCCCCACAGTGGAGGGTAACAGCCTCTTTCCTGCACAGGCAACTGGGGCCCGCACCTGGTGGTGGTGCGCAGCTGCAGCATACTCCGCTGGGAGCTCGAGCTGAAGCGCTGGTGTCCCGGGCTTAAGATCCTCCTGTATGTCGGCAGCCGCCGGGAACTCAAGGCAAAGAGACAGGTACCTTGTTGTCTGCTGCACCTCCCCCTGGTCCGCGGCAGTTGTCAAACGCGACCAGCACCCGAGGCACTGACCAGACGCCGGCCTGGCACTCGGGTGCCGGCAGCCCCACTCCCTGCGCGGCACTGCCGGGGGCCCTCCAGCGCTAGAGGGCTCCGTGGAGACACATGAGAGGCCCCCGGCTGGCCACTTTCTGGGAGCCGCCCCACCTCTGGGTCCACCCAGCACCGGAGCACCAGGTTCTTGGTGACAGCAGCCGCAGACCCAGCCGGCCAGCTGTACTGCGGTTCTTGTGCCGCTTGCGGGGCCTGTCTTCCTTTCACTGTGCCTGGCTGTGGGTTTGTTTTTTAAAGACCTGGAGTGAGGTCGATGGTGGGGTGGAGCTCCATACCCCACCCGCTGGCGTCCATTCTCTCTGCCCAGGGTGTGCAGTGCAAGCCCCTCCCGGCCTGCGCACCTGGCCGTCTGCCTCCCAGAGATTGTGTCCGGGCAGCCCTCCACGGTCTCCAGGCCCCGAGGCAGAGAGAAGTATAAACCGGCCATCTTCTAGGCGGCAGTGGCAGCTCCTTGGCAGGGCCCGGCAGAGCCCCACCCCACCTCCCTGCGCCCTGGCATGGCCTGGGGGCTCCGTGGGTGCCAGCCTGGTATCTGTGCTGCAGGGGTGGGCCGAGCCTGGCAGCTGCAACGTCTGCCTCACGTCCTACAAGCAGCTCTTCCGGGGCCACGCGGCCTTTGCACGGGCGCGCTGGCGGTGCCTAGTCATGGACGAGACGCAGCGCGTGAGGGCCATGAGCGAGCGACACTGGGAGGCCGTGTTCGCCCTGCACAGGTCTGCCCCTGTCACGCACACCCCGACGGTCTGGGGGGTGGTTTAGGGCCCCAAAACCACCTCAGCCGTGACCCTCCCTGTGGCCGCGTGCTGGGCTGTAGGCTGCCCAGGCTGTCCCGCGGCGCCTGGTCACCGAGGCCCTCTCTCCGCAGCCAGCAGCGCCTGCTGCTGATGGACGCGCCCCCACACAACACCCTGGCGGAACTATGGACCATGGCGCACTTCCTCATTCCCGGCATCTCCCGGCCCTACCTGCACTTCCCGCTCAAGGCCCCCAGCGAGGAGAACCAGGATTACTACCACAAAGTGGTCATCCGGCTGCACCGGGTCTGTGGCGCCCCGGAGGCTGGGTGGGCGCGGCATGCACAAGGAAGGGGAATGACGCGGCTCTGTTTCTCAGGTGACGCAGCCGTTCATCCTGAGGAGGACTAAAAGGGACGTGGAAAAGCAGCTGACCAAGAAGTATGAGCACGTCTTGAAGTGCCGTCTGTCTGCGCGGCAGAGAGCCCTGTACGAGGATGTGATCCTGCAGCCCAGGTGAGCGTGGGCGCGGGGCTCGCGGTGCTGGCCTCCAGGAGACGCGGCATGGCCCATGCAGCCTCTACCCAGGGGCCTGGGTACGGGGCCCTGGTACGGGGCCCTGGTGTGCAGGCACCGCGGCCTGCACCCTCGGGATGGCCTCTTGGGGCCTGCCACGTGGCTTGTCCGGCTTTTCCACCACCCTATTTCCTGGTTGAGCACACAAGAGTACAGGCCCAAAGGCAGCGTGTGTGCGTGTGCGGTCCTTAGACCGCAGGTCTCCTCGTGGGCCCAGTCTCACACGGCCCCGTCCCTGCTCCCAGGCGTCTCCTCGCGCCAGGCTGTGGGACTGCGCAGGGTGGCGGCGGTGCTGCGGGAGGGCCGGCGGGCGCAGCGTGCCAGGAGCCACATGGCGGTGGGGTGCATCCTGTTGTCTGTCTGCACCTGACCTCAGGTGGGCCTGTTGGGGCTCAGGCTTGTTCTCGGGGCAGTGCTCAGAGACAGCGGCACAGAGGCATCACGCTGCTCTCCTGTGGTTTTCTGTGCCTGCTGTGCACAGGGCCACCTCCACTCGCCACAGTGCCCTGGGGCTCCACGGGCGACACGCAACACTGCCCAGCGGGGCCCGTGGTGGTGCTGGTGTCCAGTGTGCTCTCTGGAGAGCATGTCCTCCTGCTGTGGAGCCCTCAGCTGGCCTGCGGTGGCCGCTTGCTGACTCCTGGCCACTGGCCTGCAGTGGAGTGGCCTGAAGGTGTGTCCAGGCAGCTGTAGTGCTGGCTGCCCCAGCAGTCCTGCCTCGGGGGCACCCAGTGACCCGCTGTTCCCTTGGCAGCACGCAGGAGGCGTTGAAGAGCGGGCACTTCGTGGACGTGCTGCGCATCCTGCTGCGGCTGCAGCGCATCTGCAACCACCCGGGGCTGGTGGCGCCCCGGCTCCCGGAGTCGTCCTACACGGCGGGCCCGCTGCAGCTCTGCATGGCCTCCCTGGTGCTCAAGGCCCTGGATAGAGACTCCTGGCAGGTGAGGGTGCGGGACCCTCTGCTTGGGCGCTCTGCAGACTCGGGCAGCAGCACCCATCTTGGAAGGCTGATGCTGGGCAACTGGTGCTAGTGTCCACGCCCCTGGTTTCTGGGCGACCCCCCTCTGCCGCGGACCAGCACAGCAGTAGGCAATGAGGCCGTCTCAGGGTTGAGAGACTGCGCAGGGTGGTCAGGGATTCGGTTAAAGAAATGACACACAGACACACTTCAAGAGAGAGTGTAAACCTGAGTGTAACTTTATTTTTGTTAGTGGTCAGTATATATATGTTTTTTCTAAAGGCATAGGAACAGTGAACATCAAAGAGATTAGTTTGCTCATAGGCTTAGCTTAATTGACAGGGCAGGGATTTATGTCCAAAGTTACACCTGGACCTAGCCGCATTCCTAATTGGACAGGCTATTAACTCTTTCTATATTCTTGTACTGACTACTACTACTATTACCTACTTATGTTTACTCATAATTAATTGTCATAGGTAAATTTATATTATAATGTAGTTAATATTAAAGGTACTAAAGTTAAGTACATAATAGAAAGATTATTAAACTACAATTCTATTATAACACAGTGTTTAGTAATGTTTCATTTGCATTAGCCTAATTATTAAATTACGTATGCTTTTTAATTAGCAATCAATGACCAGAAAAAGGAAAGATTTTAGAGAGACAGTTGTAGCAGAATAAAGTTTGTGGGCCTTGAGAAAGCGAGATAAGGTTCCAGGTGGTCAACATTTCTTTTAATCATTTTTGTGGCAGCTTCTGGTGGTCGTTATTTCTTGGCAGGCATTCGGCTTCTCTGTATTTTAGGGAGTTTGCTGTTCTCCCCCTGCGCGCATGGTTCCTTGCCCATGCCGGACCTCAGGGACCATGGCAACAGCCATTAGCCCTGAGGGTCACTGCAGGGGGAGGTGCAGCACCCCTCTGTTGTGCCAGCCAGTCCCGCCCCTCCCTCCTACCCACCTGATGGCCACGCGCCTCTCCTCACTCCCAGTGGGGAAACCAAGGTGCGCCATGGCCACATGAGCATGAAGTGGCAGGGCTGCATCCTCCCGCCGGTAGTGGGTGGGGCTTGGTCAGGGCCACTTCCTGTTACCTGGTGGTGTTTTCTCTTCCTGCCCAGGACACCGATCTCTCCATGTTTGACCTTGTTGGCTTGGAGAACAGAATGACTCGCCACGAAGCCGAGCTGCTGAGCCGGAGGCAGGCCACCCGGAAGCTCTTCGAGGAGCTGCTGACTGCGCCCCCGCCGCCCGGCAGGCCGGCCGCCTTCAGGCTGAAGCCCAGCAGGTATGTGGGGGCCTCACTTTGCTCCCCAGGGGACTGGCTGGGCCCCCAGGACAGGCACACAGCCCCTCAGCAGCAGTGGCTTGGGGATGCTAGGTGTGTGGGTGCCTGAGCTGGGTTATGAATGTGCTGGTGAAGTGCTGGAAACCCCAGTGACCTGAGGTAAGTCCAGCATGTTAAAATAGACAGGACTGCCTCAGGCAGCCTGAGGGGAAGCCAGGGAGCAGGTGCTTCCTAGGGAACAGGGCCGACTGCCTCGCCATGGTGCCATCAGTGGTTCCTGGCTAGCCAGGGAGCCCACACCCCTAGCCCCTGCTTGCTGGGGCCCTCAGCCTCTGGTTAGACAGGGAGGGGCGGCCACGCTCCATCCACTCTGTGCTCTGTGCCTCCCCTGGGGCAGCCTCCCGTGAGCCACGCCCTGCTGCTGCGCCCCCCGCTGTGCCCAGGCCACGCTGCTCCCGCTTTGCACACTGCCCGCACACCACTGCCCTCCTTCCTGGAGGAGGCAGCCCGGGCTTGGTGTTAGAGGTGCTTTTACCTAGTCCACGCTGGGGACGGAGCTGAACCGCGCCCAGCTCTCCTGCCCTCAGTGGAGGAGGTGCGGCTCACAGTTGTCTCCTCCATTCTCTGCCAGCCGCACAGTGGGGGTCAGCAAGCCCCCGCCCTCCGTGAGCCAACGTGGGAGTGGGACCCCCGCTGATCCCTGCAGCCCCCTCACCCATCCCCAGACCACACAGGCCACGCCCTGTGACAAGCACCCTCTCCCGTACCACCGGCCTCTAGGTTGTTCCAGCCTGTGCAGTACGGACAGAAGCCCGAGGGCCGCACGGTGGCCTTCCCCAGTGCACACCCGCCCCGCACGGCTGCCACCACCGCCACCACGCCCCAGGGCCATGTGCGAGGACGGCCCCCTATCGCCACCTTCTCTGCAAACCCAGATGCCAAAGGTAGGCTTCCTAGGGGTGCCCTCGAGACCGCGGGCACAGGCTTCCTGCATGGGCGGGGCCGTCCGCCCGTGCTGCGTGAGCGTCAGGCTCCTGTTTGTTTAAAGAGGATTCGACCCCGCACGTTGTCACCTTGCCGGGTCACGGTCACACAGTGTGACCAGCAGCGGTGGCGTCTGCTCACAGAGGGACACATGTGCCCGCCGTCCCCTCGCCCCGCAGCTGTGAGGGCCACACAGCCGCGCTCTGCCCGAGCGGTGGGGCCGGTCCTGTGGTTTCTGCACTCGGCCTAGTGTCCCATGGGGGAGGCAGCTCTGCACGCCACGCTTAGGAAGAGCTTCTGACGGCGGCTCACGGGCTGACCCGGCTCCCACTGACCTGAGAAGAGCTGGCTGCGGCTGGTGTGGAAATGAGTGCCCAGCTGTCGAAGACCATCATCCATGGGCACCGTCGGCCCCGCCTCCTAGAGAGGGCGTCTCGGTTGAAAGACTGCGAAGTCGTGTTTGTTTAATATTTTTAAAATTCGGTTTTGAACACTGCACTTTACGAGGACCCTCTAACAGCTTTGCACAAACAACCCTTATCGATTGCAGCGGCCCCGTTTCAGAGCTCTCAGGCGTGCACCGGCGCTCCGCGACACCCACCCGCCTCGACCTTCAGCCCAGCGCCTAGCCCAGCCCGTCCTGCGAAACTGCGGGCACAGACCACTGCCCAGGCGCCGGCCCCAGGCCCGTCCCAGCCCCAGCCCCAGGCCCCCCCGCTCCCGACCGGGCAGAGCGCACTGCCGCAGGGGCTGGTGCTCACATCGCAGGCCCAGGCGCGCCTGCCCAGTAAGTGGCCTCCATGTGGTTCTGCCGCCTCTTTACCACGAGACCCGGGGCAGCACCTCTGCTGTCCGCCCCACCCCCGTCTCCCGCTCCCTGTGCTGAGTGCTGCAGCCTTCCGGGAGGGGCCTCTCTGAGCCCCACGTCCAGCCCTCCTGTCTTTTCTCTCCTGTGCTTCCCGCCTTGCTCTGCCTGCGCGCGCTCGCGCTCACTCTGCCGGCCCAGGTCTGTCCACCGGCCACAGGCGCTGCTGGAACAAGGGAGGAGGCACATGGTGTCGGGGAAGGTGGCCGCCCGGCGTGGAGAGCCAGATTTGGGCTGCAGATGCCGTGGCTGCTGCTTAGTCTCTGTCACCTCCAGGTTTAAACCCTGAACTAAATCCTGCTCAGCCCAGATGGCTTGTGGCAGCGAAAGCGCCTGCATATAGCCCCTTTCCTGCGGCTCCGCTTTCCCTGGGACCGGTGCAGCTAGCTCCCCCCTCCCGCCCCCACCCCAGGCCTCCTCATGCCTCACTCCTGGTCGCTCAAACACCATGGGCACAGGAGCCGCTGTTCAGGCTGATTCTCTGCCGACAGAGCTCCCTGGTCAACTGCCCTGCGGCCACTCCCTAGCTCAGGGCTGTGGCTGGGCCCGCGTGCAGGCCGCACTCCGCCTAGCCACTCCTCAAACGCCCTCCTCTTCCCGGTGCCTGTCCTGGTCACGGCCATGCTGTGGACAAGATCTCTGGGTGTCTTTTCACCTCTGCTAACTGCTCTCTCCAGTAAACCACTAACGGCGCATGCACTCTCGGCGCCTCCGGACTCGCGTGCCGACCCGCCAGAAAGGCTAGCCAGGGGCCCGCCTTGGGGGCCTTTCTGAGCCGGTGTGTCTGACTCCATTGCCATCAGCGTCACGTGCGGTCACAGCAAGTGACGGGGATGGAGTGTCCCACGGTGCAGCTGAGTCACCGTGGGGCTCTCTTCACGTCACCTTCTGTGATGTGTGTGCTGAGCCGCGTCCCCAGACCCTGGGCGGTCGCGGGTGTGACGGCACGCGCTGCCCTTGTGCCGCGGTGGTGAAGCTGTCTTGTCTCCCACCGAGGGGTAGACTGGACGTGCACTCTCTCACGTTTTGGGACTTTCCTGAAGGTGGATTAGTGTTTCAGAGCGTGTCAGGAGCAGACTTCTGCCGCTTAACGACGTTGGCAAGGCAGGCGACACGCTCCTCGGTGCGGTTGGCTAATTAGCACCTGGCACCTGCGCTCTCCTGGTTGGGGGTGGGCGAGGCGGCTGTGAGACCTGATGTCCGCGCCCTCGTCCCTCGCCCCGCAGCGCCTGTCTTCTGGAAGCCGTGGGGCGGCGCCGTTTCCGAGACGGCGGTTCACCCACTCAGTCCTGCAGACTCAGGCGCCGCCACGCCACAGCGGCCGGCTTCTCCCAGGATGGTCACGCGCCCTCCCTCTGCCTTTCTGCAGGTGGAGAGGTCGTCAAAATCGCCCAGCTGGCTTCCCTCTCGGGACCACCGAGTCGCGTGGCTCAGCCAGAGACCCCCGTGACCCTGCAGTTCCAAGGGAACAAGTTCACCCTGTCTCACAGCCAGCTGCGGCAGCTCACGGCCGGCCAGCCCCTGCAGCTCCAAGGTAAGGCGGCTGAGGGCGCGCGCCCACTGCTCTCGCTGGGAGCGAGGCTTGCTCGGACTCGAGCCGGCTGGGAGTGCAGGCAGCACCACCCAGCCCTGTCCCCGGGCCTGCTCCGTAGCTGCTGCCCATTTGGGGGTTATTTCTTCCCCTTGCAAAGAGGTCCCTCTTTTAAAAATCGCTTCGGAGGCCCCGGGATCACTGTGGCGCTGGCCCCATGTCCAGGAGAGGTGCTGTCCACGTGCAGGCTGTGTCCCGGCAGCCCGTGGGCTGCTGGTGAGAGCTGTGTGTCCGCTTCATGTCTGCCTTGAGGCCCGCGAGGGCGCCTTGTGAGTGCCATCAGGGCCGGTCTGCTCGTCCCCACCATGCTCAGCTGTAGCGCGGCGTCAGCTCCCCACGTCCAAGGGAGGCTGGAGGTGGTGCTGTCAGTGAGGGGTGCCGGGCACGCCTGACCTGTTTGGACCCGCGTCCCTCTGTTGTGGGGCCAGGCCTGCGAGCAGACGCTCGAGCCGGGCCAGCCAAAGCCTTTCTCCACCCTGCCTGGGCACACGGAGCGAGCGGCCACACCCGATGGCTCGTGGCAGGCCGCCTCCGCCTGTTCCAGTGAGGGCCGTGAGGAAAGGTGACCTGAGGCCAAACAGGCGTCCGTCCGTGCGGCCGTAGCGCGCGCGGGCCTTACAGCTGAGACGCTTCAGCTTTTCTCCAGGTGGCCAGACCTTGGCTTTGCTTGGCGGAGCACAGCAGCCACGGGTTTCAGTGCGGCACCTGCTCTGGCTGCACGTGGGAGGGGAGTGAGGTCCCTGGGAGGGCTCGCGGCTGCACTGGTCCTCTGCCCTGTGCTTGCAGGCAGCGTCCTCCAGATCGTGTCTGCGCCCGGGCAGTCCTACCTGCGCCCTCCGGGCCCTGTGCTGATGCAGACCGTGTCTCAGGCGGGCGCCCTCCATGCCCTGGGGAGCAAGCCCCCCGCCAGCGGCCCGGGCCCCACCCCCTTGGCCCCACAAGGTAGGTGCCCGAGCAGCAGGTGTGACGGGAGGCATCCTGTGGCCCCAGGGAGGGTGGGTTCTGCCCTCGAGCTGCCCAGGCGCTCGCCTGGCTGCCTGGCTTCCCCTAGGCCCCCGAAGGTGGGACAAATATACTTCCTCTCCACAACATTAGTCTGGTCCTCCTGCAGGAGACTGGGGATCACGCCCTTTGGCTTATCAGCGTCAGAGTGGCTGTGCTCACCAGACTCCTGGGCAGGCCTTCTGGGGCTCCTGCTTCCAGCTTTGCTCACGGGCCTCTCTGCTGGAGGCGGGGGTCAGATTGGCATGTGGAAACAGCAGGACCCAGAGCAAAGAGACCCCCGCTGTCCCCAGCCAGGCCCTGGTCACCAGCCCCCCAGCCCCGCCCTGTGCCGTTGGCCATTTTGACGGCAGGCCCTGCACCCACCCCCTCGTGGGGGCCCTAGCCACAGCTCTGCCCCCGGTGGCCGCGTCCCTGCCGCGGCTGGCCCCTATTCCAGCTGTGCTCCCGCTCCCAGGATTGCAGTCGCCCTCCCAGGGGTATACGCCCTGCTCTGCTCCCTCTGGACTTGGGGCCCTACCCCTGCACAACCACTGGACTCCCACCCAAAGCCTCCACTGCGGGCTCTCAGGCTCAGGTCCCTGTGCCCGGAGCCACCGAGACCAACAGCCTGGCCCTGGCTGTGGGGGCGGGGCGGGGATGCCCGCCTTGGTGCTCAGCCATGCTGCATCCTTGCAGTGGGCGGGGGTGCTCAGGGGCGCCGGGAGAGGCACGTGCCCCCTGTGGTGCCCGCACCGGCCTGGTGGGGAAGGGCCCTCCGAGCACGCTGGGGGTGGACCAAGGGATAGCAGGAGCCAGCCAGGCCCGGCTGGGACCCCGCCCAGGAGTGGGGGACCCCCTCGCTGGTGGCTCTGGCCGCTGAGCTTGCGTCCACAGGTTCTTGTGGAGGCTGGCTCTCTAGGCGGGGCAGCCCTGCCGTCTTCAGCTCCCCGTTTCTGCCTCTGTAGGTGGTGTGCCCGGTCGGGTGGCAGTGAACCCCATGGCTGCTGGAGAGCCTGGAGTGGCCCCCAAACCTGCCTCGCCGCTCGGCGTGCCTACCCAGGTGCGGGGCTGGGCAGGCTGCAGCTCCTCCTCCTGGGGGTCAGGTCCCGGCATAGACTTGCCGGCCTCTGAGTGCGGCTCTGAGAGACGCTTTCTGTAGGAGGAAAGGAAGCTGGCTCCCGCAACAGCCCGGCCTCCGCCTGGGCCACACTGGCTGGGTGTGTCCTGACCACTGCTCCCCGCGGAGGCCAGGGATGGCATGGTCCCATCCTGACTCATGGGGCCCGTGGCGTGGGAGGGGCCGCTGCTCTGTGCTTCCCCCACTGACGTTCTCACCACTTGTTTCTGATAAAGGAGGACAAGGCCAGGCTTCTGAAGGAGCGGCTGGACCAGATCCACCGTGTCAACACACGGCGCTGCGCCCGGGCCCCTGTCTACGGCCGAGACCTGCTGAGCGTCTGCTCCCTCACAGGGGTGGGGGCAACACCCTGGCTCAGGCCCGTGCACAGCAGCCAGGGCCGGGGCTGTGACGTGCTGCCTGCAGACATGCGGAGGGGCCTGATCCTGACGCTGGCAGAACGGCAGGAAGCCCTGCGAGACGTCATGGCCAGGCGAGTGCTGCGTTCTGGGGCTGCGCTGCGTTGCCATGGCGCCTACGCCCCATGTCTCTGGGAAGCCTATGCTGGCATCACATCCTGGGTCTTGGGTCCTGGCACCACATGGGCTTGCGGTCGGTGTCTGCCCTCCAGGAAGCCGGCCAAGACCCAGGTTGAGTTCTTCCCTGCAGCCCCGGCTCTGGGAGGGCCTCGTGCCGGCTCTGCCCAAGGGGTTGGCGTCGGAGGTGTCGACTTTACTCCTTAGAAACAGCATCTGATGAAAACCCGCACGGGCCACTCAGCGTTGAGTGATAAGATGCATGTCTAAGATTTGAGCTCAGAGACCAGCTGCGTGGGCGGGAACACCCAAGTCCAGATGCGTGGAGGCGGGAGCCGGCTTCTCTGCTGCGGGAGCGTATGGGGCCCTGGGGCTTTTCCTGCTCTCTTCTGGCTGGAAACTTTCTCCAGGCACTGGAAGCTGCTTCTCCTGCTCTGCTTCAGCCAAGAGCGGCAGTTCTCCTACCTTCCACGCGGGATGGGGTGCGGGGGTGTGGAGATCCAGGCCTGCCGAGCTTCCCTGTGCGCTTGTGAAGGCCCCTCGGACCTCAGATGACTGATGGGGAAGGCGCCCGGCCAGCGTCATGGATGATGTGGAGGGAAGACTCGGGCTTCAGAGCAGCTTCAGAGTCACAGCAGATCCCCAAACAGCCCCTGCCCCCACACACGCTCCCTCCCCCCACACACGCTCCCTCCCCATAGTCAGCACCCCACAAGGGGGGGCTGTCGCGTGGAAGCACCTCATGGACACGTCTTCGCCCCCCCCAGAGCCCAAGACAGCTTCCGGGCTCGCCCTGGTACTGACCTCACATGGGTCTGACTGTGTCTGGTGGCCTGTGGCCCCCGCCCTGCATGCCCTCCCTGCAGCTCGTCCCTCCCCCGCCCACACCCCGCTCTCTGTTGCTGTGGTCATGGGGTGCCCTTTCAGAACGCTGTGCAGTTGGAGCAGACGGGCTGGGGCCCCCCGGCCTGGCGTCCTGTCCTTGCGGCAGTGGCGGGGGACCCTCCGAGTCGTCGCGACGCCGGTGCGTCCCTGGGCGTGCTGGTCCCAGGCCTGCTGTCCCTTACTCCTCACCTGTCGGCTGTTTCCAGGCTTTGGCAGTTTGGGGTTCATTGCTGTGAACATCCTTGTGCCGAGTTTTGGGTGGACCCAAGCGTTCGGCCCCCTTCGGGAACCAACAAAGAGCACAGCTGCCGCCTCGAGGTGGAGCGGGTGTGTGGTGAGGTGCCAGCTGTCTGCAGAGCCCCTGGCACCCTGCACCCCCAAGCACTGGCTCCTGAGGCCCCGCGGCCCCGCCTGCACTCTGGCCGCCGGACGGGCTTGTGGGGCATCTCGTGGGGCTTGACTTGTGTCTCCCTGGCAACGCGGCGTGGCCCGTCTTCCATGTCCTTCTCTGCCCCCCTCCCCCCCACGTCGTCCACGGCAAGGCCGCTGTGACGGTCTTTGGGGTTTGGGGCTGACTGTTGGGTTAGGGTTCTCTGTCATCAGGTGTGCTTTCTGCCAGCATTTGCTCCTATGCTGTGGGCTGTGTTCTGGTCCTTCTGACAGTTTAGCTTTGCAGAGAAGTTCTTGCTTTTAACAAGGTACGGTTTATCAAGTGTTTCTCCCTTGCTGCTTTGGCTAAAGAGTCACTGTCACGCCCAGGGTCATCCAGGCTGGTTAGCTTGTAGGGCTGTGTGGGCCTGTGTTTGCCTCTGGGCAAGTGACCACTGTGAGCCAGGGTTTGTGAAGGCCCCTCCCTCACGTGCCCGTCCAGGTGTCCAGGCTCCCTGGTGCGGGGGCTCCCCGTGCCCCCTGCGCCCTTTGCTCCAGCACCCGGGCCCTGGACTCGCGTGTGTGCGGGTCTCCTCTGGGCTCTCTGCCCCGCCCCGCCTGCCTCACCAGCCACCCCTTGGCCGCTGTGACTGTGGAGAAACTGGAGGCCGTTCCGGCTCGGCTCTTCAGTGCCTCGTCAGCTGCGCAGGAGGGCCTGGGTGTCGACTTTGTGGGCCCCGTGGGAAGCACCAGCCCCTTGGTGCTGTTCAGCCTTTCTGCCCATGGTCGCAGAGTGTTTCCATCTGCCCAGTGGATGGAGGCGTCTGTCGGGGCTGCGTGGACTGCCTCAGTGTGTGTGCAGTGGGTAGCAAGTGCGGGAAGCAGCTTCCATAGGCTCTGGGATGGGCGTGTGTGCCTAGGAGTGAGGGGTCGGGTGGCGTGAGGGCGGCGTGCCACTTTCCACAGGCCCCTCGCCCCCAGGTCCCATCCTGGAGGTGCGCTGGCTGCAGCAGCTCTGGGGTGCCCACTGTCCCCAGCCACCAGGAGCCAGCGCCCCATCCCCACCTGTGCTCCTGCACCCAGGCACCCCCTGCTGGCTCTTCCTCTGGCGGCCTTGGGGCCTGGGGCTGGGCTGGGCAGTGTGGCCAGGTGGCAATGCCTGTGCTCAGGGCTCTGTCCTCCTCCTGCTGGCCTCTGCCCATTTTTTTTTTAAGATTTATTTATACAAGAACTGGGGTACAGTCAGAGGTGCAGGAGGGTGAGAGAATTCACCAGAGACAAAATGGGGAGCAGAACAGGCAGACTGACTGAAACATACTGCTGAGGGGAGCAGCGGGGAGACAGGAGAGGTCTGCTGCACCCTGTGGGTTGCTCCCTGGCCAGCCGGCAATCGAACCAGCACTGCAGAGGCTGCAGACAGCTTCACAGTGCTGTGCTCAACCCGCTGCACCACCAGGGAGGTCCCTGTTTTTGTTTTATTTTTTTAAGATTGATTTATTTATGCATACAAGAGCTGGGGTACAGGCCAGAGGTGTGGGGGGTGAGAGGATTCACAGGAGTGGGGAACAGAACAGGCAGACTGACCGAAATACACTGCTGAGGGGAGCAGCGGGCGAGACAGGAGAGGTCTGCTGGGCCATGTGGGTCAGTTCCCTGGGCGGGGATTGAACTCGCGCTGCAGCGGCTGGCGATAGCTTGATAGCACCATCTCTAATCCCTGCGTCATGAGGGAGGCCCCCTGCCCAGTTTTGAACAGGTGGAGAGGCCACGGAGCCAGGTGGTGACGGTGACTTTCTGCTTCCAGGGTGGCCTGTGTGATCCCTACAGTGGTGGCTGCGCCCCCGTCTCTGTGGGTAGCCCGGCCGCCCCCCATCTATAGCCACAGAATGCGGGTGCTCAGGCACCGCCTCAAGGAGCACATGGCCCCCCACGCCCAGCAACTGCAACGCCTGACTGCCCCATGCTCCCTGCGCTTCCCGGAGCTCAGGCTGGTCCAGTTTGACTCAGGTACCAGTGGCGCTGGGGGTGGGGGGTAGGGGAGGGTATGCGTGTGTGGGCAGGGGGAGACGCATGCTATCGCCCGCAGGGAAGCTGGAAGCGCTGGCCGTGCTGCTGCAGAAGCTAAGAGCGGAGGGACGCCGTGTGCTGATCCTGTCGCAGATGCTGCTGATGCTGGACATTCTGGAGGTGTTCCTGGACTTCCACTACCTCACCTACGTGCGCATCGATGAGAACGCCAACAGCCAGCAGCGGCAGGTCGGGCACTGTGGCCCTGCAGGGTGGGCGCTGGGCCTCGCGGCTGCTGGAACAAACAGGCCACACACCGCGCCTTTCCGGGCTGGGGGACAACTTTCTCATGTCCGCGCGAGGCTATCTGGTCCCGCCTGGTTCGTCCCTTGGCTCTGGCAGGATGTCCAGGTCACACAGGCCACCTGAGCCCTCGGTGCCCGCGGGAGGTGGCTGTGCCGAACCCGAAACACAGGCGGCCCCGTGCCTGCCTCCATGCACCCAGTGCTTGATGCCCAGGCGTAGCCCGCAGCCCCCAGCGTGGGGCTGGTGCAGGTGGGCGCCTCTGGACACCGCCGCCACAGGCTGTGCGTGTCAGTGCCACCCACACAGGCCCACCTGGGAGCGGCCGGCCCAGGGCTCTGCCACAGGCACCGCCCAGGGGTGAGACGTGGGCGGCGTCCACCTGCCGGGCACGGGCCTGCCCCATCCAGGCACTGGCAGAGACAGCTGGCGGGTGTGGGCCGCGAGGTCTCTTGAGGGTGCTGGCACGCGTGTGCGTGGAGGCCAGCGGGAGGACCCCAGCGCTCGCGGTGACAGGCGGCGATGGCATCTGGCCTGGAGGGATGGTCAGCCTCATGGTCTGCTCGGCGCCGGCGTGACGCGTGGGAGGGTGTGGGGCAGGCCGCCTGTGCGGTCTCGCTCACGCCGTGTCCCCTGCCCCTCAGCCTTACTCTGGGGGCTTTTGCCGTAAAGCGCCCCGGCATTGCCTGAGGGTAGAGGAAGAGCACTCATCCCTCCCCGGGGAGCCCGTCTTCCTTTGGGGCCTGCAGGCAGGGCTGACAGCTCAGGCAGCGCCTGGCATTCCTCGCCGGTGCCCACGGCTGGGTCACAGGTGGGAGGCAGGGCGCAGAGGCGGGGAGCGGCGCCAGCCGTCCTCAGGACTCGCTCTCGCCGCCCTCAGGAGCTGATGAGGAGCTTCAACAGGGACAGGCGGATCTTCTGCGCCATCCTTTGCACTCACAGCCGCCCCGCGGGCGGGAGCCTGGTGGAGGCCGACGCGGTGGTCTTCTACGACAGTGACCTGAACCCCGTGATGGACGCCACGGCCCAGGAGTGGTGTGAGCGCATCGGGAGGCGCCGGGACGTGCATGTGTTCCGGTGAGGCCCGCCCCACCGCCCCGGCTGTCCCCGTGCCCGTGGTGTGTCTGAGCCCAGCCGCGCGCCCGACCCTGGGTCAGTCTCTGCTGCGCTGCTGGCCCTGCTGTCCTCTCGGCATGCACTCGGGCCTCATCCCGGGAGCCGCTTCCCCCGAAGCTCACGGGGCTTCTGCTCGCACGCGCCTCTAAGCCCAGGCGCAGGACGGCCCGAGTGTGTCCCTGCGCAGCCTGCCCGCCTCCCCAGCCTGTGGGCGGCACTCACAGCGAGACTGCGCCTCCTGGTGTGACCCTGCCCCCGGGGAGGGCAGGGCCGGTCCAGAACCGGGCCGTGGGCCTTGGCGCCTCCTGTGTTCTCGAGGCCGCGATGCCGTCGCTGCACAGATGCTGCGTCGGGCAAGCTCCATGCCTGCCTGGTTGTCGACACGTTGCCTGTTCCTCGGGAGGAGAGAACAAAAACATGCAGCCTAGTTGATGTGGGCCCCTCCCCCGTGGCGCTGAAGGCTCCCTGTGTGACCCGTCCTGTCACCGGCCCTTTGGCCGGTACTGCCTCAAAAGGGTCACGCTTCCTCCTCGGTGCCGCGCTTAGGCCCGGCTTAATGGTTCAGGAAGTCGAGCTGGTTTGTGGGGGTGTGGGTGGGGCGCAGCCTGAGACCTGTTTCCAGGAGCTGCGGCTCCCGGCCGCGCTGGAGCCGGTGAGGCAGCAGGGTTTCAGAACAACGCCGCGCCTCGTGGTCGGAGGACCCGCCTCAGCTGACAGGCCCCGCAGAGCAGAGAGCCTGTGCTGGGCGGGAAGCGCGTGCATTTCTCACGGTCACGCGGAAGAGTGGCTCATGAATCAGGGTGGGGGGGCCTGCAAATACAAGCGGCGCTTCCTTGTGGCCGAAGCTGGGCTCGGGGGTGCCAGCAGGGCCAGTGCTTCTTGGGCAGCAGTGCGGGGAGGCGGGGCCGCCCCCAGTGGGGTTGCGTGCCAGGCCAGCATGGAGGAGGACGGCACACGATACCTGGGGGTGCAGAGTAGGCCTTGCCAGCTGGCGGCAGTGCAAGAAACAGAACCCATGTGGGGTGCCCAGGCCCACCACATGCTGCCCGGATGGCGGGTGGCTCCTGAAGCAGCAGGCAGGGCCGTGGACCCCTGCGGAGCCAGCGTGGGGCTGTGAGAACTCACAGGGTGGGCGCTGTGGCCGGGTGCCCGCCGCCCGCTGAACCCGCGTGTGCCTGTAGGCTTGTGAGCGGCAACTCCATTGAAGAGAAACTGTTGAAAAATGGAACCAAAGACCTGATCCGGGAAGTGGCTGCCCAGGGCAACGACTACTCCATGGCCTTCCTGACACAGGTACCTCTGTGCGCGTCCCAGGGGCTGCTGGCGTGGCGCGGGCCCCGCCTCGTAGGCCTCGGGCTCACCCAGGCGGCCCTGGTGCTCATCTCCCCGTGCGCGCGTGTGTTCAGCGGACGATCCAGGAGCTGTTTGAGGTTTACTCGCCCATGGACGACACGGGCTTCCCGATGAAGGCCGAGGAGTTTGTCGTCCTTTCTCAGGAACCTTCCGTCACAGAAACCATCGCACCCAAAATTGCTCGGCCGTTCATTGAGGTGAGAGCCTGCAGCCCGCTGGCCTCGTGGCTCAGCCCAACGAGAACGCTCCCTCCTCTTCCCCGGGGTCTCCGGCTGCAAGGAGGTACAGGCTGCAGTGGGGTCGCAGGGGCTCTCTCGGCATCTGTGGGGCCTTGGTGGGGGGCGCCAGCATGGCGCTGCAGGGAGAGAGCCAGCCTCTCGTGGGGCTCCTGCCTCTGGGAGCTCCACGTATGCGCCCCTCGCTCAGGCCGCCACAGCTCCCATGCCGGGGCGCGGAGACCTGCCGTCCTCGTGAGAAGCAGCTGGCCGTGCCAGCGGCGCAGCGGGGCCCAGGGCAGGCTGCCGGCCGAGGGGCTCCTTCTCTGCCTTGGGTCCCTGGAGGTTGCGGGCGGGTCTTCTTTACTCCCCGTTTCTGGGTCCGTCTGCCTACCCACGAGTCCATCTGGCAATTGTTTCTGCTTGCGGTGCCAGTTTTAAACTTTGGCAGATTTTGCCAAAGGGCCCTGAAGAGAGGTTGCACTACCTTGAGTGGAGAGCCTCTAACCGAGAGCCGCGTCTGTCTGCGTGCGAGCATCTCTGCCTGTGTCTGCATGTCTTGGCTCCAGGGATGGGCACGTGGAGCTGTCCGCCCTTGGCAGTGCCGTCCGGGGCAGGTGTCCTGTTGGCCTGTGGCGGCCGCCCGGCCAGGCCATTTGGCTCCCGGGTCTCCTGCTGCTGGCGTGTGGGGGGTGTAGTGACTCCCGTGCATCTCATTCAGGCTCACGGCCTGTGACCTTTACTTGCCAGTGACGTATCTGTGGGTCGTGGGTCCCCATCTCTGGAGACCTTGGGGCCTGGGAGCGCCAGGGATGGCGGCGCCCAGTAACTGCAGCGGGGCTCTTGCTCAGAGCCCGTCCACGCAGAAGACAGTGGACATCACCTGCCCATCGTTTCTTCAGGCCCTCAAGAGCATCGAGTATCTGGAGGACGGTGCGGATAGGCCCACAGAGGAAGCAGTGCTGGGGGGCCCTGACAGCCCACCGGGGGATCCTGAGCCCTCGCCCTCGGAGGAGTTGGCTGACTTCATGGAGCAGGTTTGGGGTTTTCTTCTCAGCATGTTTTTGTGGGTTTTTTGCCCAAAGGTTTTTTATTTTTTTAAGATTGATTGATTTATTTATACAAGCACTGAGTACAGTTGGAGGCGCGGGAGGGTGAGAGAATCCACCAGAGCCAGAGCGGGGAGCAGAGCAGGCAGAAGGACCGAAGGACACTGCTGAGGGGAGCAGCGGGCGGCAGGAGGGGTCTGCGCGCCATGTGGGACCCTCACCTGGCGGCCGGGGATTGAACCAGTGCTGCAGAGGCTGCGGGCAGCTTCACAATCCAGCGTTCAACCGCTGCGCCACTAGGGGAGGCCCCCCCCTTTTTTTTTCTCAAAGATTTATCTATCTATGCACGCAAGAGCTGGGGTGCAGGCCAGAGATGCGGGAGGAGAGAGGATTCACCAGAGACAGAGCCAGGAACAGAACAGGCAGACTGACTGAAACCCACTGCTGAGGGGAGCAGCGGGGAGACAGGAGAGGTCTGCTGCGCCATGTGGGTAACTGGCCGGCCGGGGATCAAACTCGTGCAGACGCTGCTGATTGCTTTATAGTACAGTGTTTAACCCCTTGTGCCACCAGGGAGGCCCTCAGCATGTTTTTTACGTAATTTTTATTTCAGACATTTGCTCCTTACAAGATACTTACTTCCTTAGACTGGGGCGGGAGGGCAGTGTATAAAGAACTTAACCTTCATTAACTTGCTGTTAACCCTACTCAAAAAATACTCTTTGGAACAGCTTACACCTATCGAAAAGTACGCTCTGAACTACCTGGAGTTGTTTCACACGGCCACCGACGACGAGGCCCGGGGCCGGGAGGTAAGTGCCTGTTCCGTGGGGTCTCGGCCTCGGGGCTTCCTTCCTTCCTTTGCTTCCAGGTCGGCGGCACTTGCCCAGAGTTAAAGGAACAAACCCGGACTCAGCAGAGTGGGGTCTCGGAGGCCCCTGTGTGGGGAGGGTTGCCTCCCTGGAGCCCGTGGCTGGGGGGCTGTCTTTGGGCCAGCAGCTGGCCCAGGAGCTGGCAGTGGTGCCCGCCCCTCTTGGGCGCGCGGGGCCCCGGGCGCACCAGCCCGACGCGTGCTCTCCCGCCAGGATGCGGTGGTGAGCGCGGTGCGCGCCTGGGAGTGCCAGAACGCCAGGGCCCTGCGGGAGGAGGCGGCCAGGGCACGGCGGGAGCGCGAGCAGGAGGAGCTGCTCACCTACACACGGGAGGACGCTTACCGTGCGGTATGTGCCAGCGGCCAGCACTGGAGGGCCATCCCCCAGTGCTTTGGGTGCTTTGGGGTGGGGGGGCGGCCGCCCATCGTGTCCCCCAGCATGGCTGCGCCTGGGGCTACGGTGCGCTCAGCCCGTGGTGGCGCTGCTGTCGCTGCCAGAAGACCTGAGAGCCCGGGGACGGAGGAGGGCGGCCCTGCAGGCGCGTGAGGCTGGGCCGGCTTGGAAGCCTGCGTCTCTCCCCGCAGGAGTACGTGTACGAGGGAGCCGATGGGCAGACAGAAGCCATGCCGGTGAGCGCCATCCCCTCTGCGCGGGGCTCAGCTTGCTGTGGCCTGTGCCGCTCACCGGCTCCCCTTCTTGCGGCAGCTCTGGACCCCGCCCACGCCCCCCCAGGACGACAATGACATCTACACCGACTCCGTCATGTGCCTCACGTACGAGACCACCCCCATCCCGGAGTCGAAGCTGCCCCCTGTGTACGTCAGGAAGGAGCGCAAGCGGCACAAGACGGATCCCTCAGGTATGTGCAGGCCCCGCCGCCCCCCACTCCCGTCACCCCACTGCCCCCCCACCGCGTGCCGAGGGGCCGTGTCCCGCGCCCCAGATGGACACCTCTCTGCTCAGCTGCAGGCAGGAAGAAGAAGCAGCGCCACGGCGAGGCGGTGGTGCCGCCCCGCTCGCTGTTTGACCGCGCCGCGCCGGGCGTGCTGAAGGTGCGGCGGGAGGGCAAGGAGCAGAAAAAGAACATGTTGCTGAAGCAGCAGACGCAGTTCGCCAAGCCCCTGCCCACCTTCGCCAAGCCCACGGCCGAGGCCGGCGCCGACAACCCCGAATGGCTCATCAGCGAGGACTGGGCGCTGCTGCAGGTGAGGGGCGGGCCGGCCGCCGTCCTGGGTATCCCCTGCCCCTGCCAGGGCCCGCCCCTCACCCGCGCCGGCTCCCCCCAGGCCGTGAAGCAGCTCCTGGAGCTGCCCCTGAACCTCACCATTGTGTCGCCGGCTCACACGCCCAACTGGGACCTGGTCAGCGACGTCGTCAACTCCTGCAGCCGCATCTACCGCTCGTCCAAGCAGTGCCGGAACCGCTACGAGAGCGTGCTCATCCCGCGGGAGGAGGGCAAGGTGCGGGCGCGGGCGGGCGGGCGGGCGGGCGGGCGGGCGGGCGGCCCCGGCACCGTGAGGCGCTGACCCAGTGTCCTTGCAGAGCAAGAACAACCGCCCGCTGCGCACGGGCCAGATGTACGCCCAGGACGAGAACGCCACGCACACCCAGCTGTACAGCAGCCACTTCGACCTCATGAAGATGACGGCCGGGAAGAGGAGCCCCCCCATCAAGCCTCTGTACGCCCCCACCCCTGGGCCTGACGGAGGGGGCAGGACCCGCCTGCTGCCCCTCGCTGAGTGTCGTTCTCCCGCTTTGTCCTGCAGGCTTGGCATGAACCCCTTTCAGAAGAACCCCAAGCACGCCTCCGTGCTGGCCGAGAGGTATGCCGCGTGCCCCCGCTCACCCCCCGCCCAAGCTGCCTTGCGTCTGACCCGCCCAGAGCCAGAGCGCTTGTGCCGAGGGACGGCGTGTGTGGGCTGGGGTGCGGCCTCCCTTCCGCGCTACCCGGGGCACTCGTCCGCGGGGGTGCCCCGTCTGCTTACGGATGTGTTGGTCCTTTTAGGACTTGATGAGCTGCTTTGGGATTGAGCAGAGAGAACCAAGGATGCATGGTGGGGGCAGGGAGACGGGGTGCGGGCAGCAGCCCTGGCGGGGGCTGGCCCTGTGGCGGGAGGCCCTGAGTGCAGGCCTGGGGCGGGTAGGGGAGGGCAGCCGCCCTGTGGGTCAGGCCTCGTCTTCACCCAGCCGGGCTCGTGGGCACCGGCCCTGCAGCCCCTCAGGATGCCCTGGCCTCGCTGGTCACTGTGGCCTCCCGGCCCCACGCTGCTGCATCGCAGACGCGCTGGGTGGTCTCCCCAGGCTGGGGGCCGCGGGCGCCGCGATGCAGGGCTCGAGTCTGGACCCAGAGCAGGTGTTGACCGGGGCCTGCCCCACAGGGGCGCACCCTGAGCAGCCGGTCCAGGAGGGGGCGGCTCTTGTCCTGAGCACAGAGGCTGCTGAGGGTTCAGGGAGAGGGTCCGTGAAGGGGTGGTCAGAGCAAGCCAGGTTGCGGCTTGATTCTGGCAGAGCCCAGGCAGGCAGTTCCAGGCCTGCTGGTCCAAGCTGGTGGGCCAGGCTGGGCGGGGTGGGGGGGGCCCCTATGGGTCTGTTGCTCTGCCGCTTGGGGGGCCAGGTTGCGGGCCTCAAGAGTGTGGAGCAGGGAGGGCTGCCAGCAGCCTGTCGGCAGGGCGGGAGGAGGGGCGAGGGAGGCGGCTGCTCAGAGTGTATCTCCAGCCTGCAGTGCTGGGTGTTGTCTGGGCAGAGAGCGGCGGCTGGAGCAGCTGGGGGTGGGGGCACGTGCGCAGGTCTCGGTGCCTTGGACTGGTGTCTGTGAGAGAGACGTGTTCCATGCCGGGGGCAGGATGGAGGTGGACAGCTGGCATGAGGGAGGTCCTTGGCCGGCAGGAGAGGGATCCCCAGCCAGGTGAGAGGGAAGGAAGGTGGAGCCTCGCGGAACAAGAGCCACCTGCAGGGTGGGGGTCGTGCTGCCTCACGGCCCAGGTGGCTTGCCCTGCAAGGCCCTGCGGGGCAGGCGCAGGTGGGGTGGAGGGACAGGCCAGGGGGTGGGCACAGGGCAGGCAGGAGTGAGAGGCGAGCGCCGCGTGGCTGGGGCCCTAAGTGGACCGGAGGAGGGTGCGTGGGCATGGCAGTGGCCGTCGGGGGGGATGCAGAGCCTCGTGGGGCAGGGCACGCGTGTTCTTGCTTGCCGGGTGGGCGGGCCTGGAGCACATTGGGCAGCAGCGGTGGGAGGCTGGTGGCGCCGCGGGTGGCTCTCCTCAGTCCCCCTCGTGTCTTTCAGCGGGATCAACTATGACAAGCCGCTGCCCCCCATCCAGGTGGCCTCTCTGCGTGCAGAACGCATCGCCAAGGAGAAGAAGGTGGGGCCCTGGGCTCCGCCTCTGCCGGGGAGGTGCCGGGGCGGTGAGGCCTGCCCCGACAGCCTCTTCCTTCCCACCCACAGGCGCTGGCCGACCAGCAGAAGGCCCAGCAGCCGTCTGTGGCGCAGCCCCCGCCGCCGCCCCCGCCACAGCCGCAGCCCCCGCCCCCGCAGCCGCCGCCGCCACCGCTGCCCCAGCCCCAAGCGGCGGGCAGCCAGCCCCCAGCCGGGCCACCAGCCGTCCAGCCCCAGGCCCAGGCCCAGGCCCAGCCGCCGCCCACCCCTGCCCCGCCCAAGGTGCCGCCCGCCATCACCACAGTGGGCAGCGCTGCTGTGCTGGTGAGACGCCCCCTGCGGTGGGCCGGCGGGCGGGCAGGTGGCCCCTTGGGGGGGCCCCATTCACGGACTCACAGCCGGGTCGTGCAGGCGAGGCTGAGCCGTCTCCGAGAGGGAGGGAGGGGCTGCCTGGAGGGCCCTTCCCATGCACACCGACCTGCGCCCCAGGCGGCTGGGCTGGGCTTCTCCAGCGGGGGCGGGACCGCTGCTCTTGGACTGGTGGCACAGAGTGGGCAGCACCTGCGACAGGCCACCCCAAGGGCCCCGCCTGCCCTCCTCGGAGCCTTGCCCTGCTCAGGCGTGCCCCAGAGGAGCGTGCTCGTGTACACAGACGCGTGTCCTCTCGCCCAGGCGCGCCCACGTCACCCCTGCCCCTGGGACACCAGCTGGGCAGGCGGCACCACCGCGAGGGGTCCGTGCACCCTCCGCTAGAAAGCGACCTCACTCAGCATGGGCTCAAGGAAATACTCTTCTTCCCGGGAGGCTCTCCTGTGGGGTGGGGGCAGCTGACCAAGGGCCTCTCTGCAGAGCCAGCTTTGGCCGAGGCCTCCTTGACGGGAGTCACCAAAAAAAAGAGTGAAATAGCAGAGGCCCCGAGCTTGGCAGACGCGAGGGGCAGGGGGCAGACCCTGGTGTCCAGGGAAAGCCAGGGTGGAGTGCAATAGGGCTGGAGAGGCCCAGGTGGCCAGTGCCCTTGGTGTCAAGAGCTGGGGTTTGACAGAACTGGGAAGCCTGGAGGCCTTGCTGCGAAGCGTGGCTGCAGCTGACAGGGCTGCTTTCTTTAGCAGGCAGGTGCCATTAAGACGTCCGTCCCTGGGTCAAGCATGCCGGCTGGTAAGGCCTCGCCTCAGAGAGCCCTCTTGCCTCCTCCCCGCGCCCCCGGGCAGCGTGGGCAGTCTGCCGGCCTCATCCTCATGGGCCTCTCCCTACAGGCACCGTGAGTGGGAACGTGATTGTGAACACCATCGCTGGGGTGCCCGCGGCCACCTTTCAGTCCATTAACAAGCGCCTGGCTTCACCTGCGGCCCCGGGGGCCCTGACCGTGAGTTGCCCTGCTCCTGGCCCTTGCTCGGTGTGGGGCCCAGGGCACTGGGGGGGCTGCTGCTTTCTAAGAGAATTCTCTGTCGATAAAGAAAGCGTCGGTCTAGTTCGAGCTGCGTGAAGTGAGGTGAATGTTGGGAGCTGTCTGCAAGGGCGCCACACCCCAGCCTGCACAGACCAATCACGCACTTGCATCCAACCGGGAGGGTCCCTGCGGGCCCCAAAGACGGGATGCATGTCCGCACTGCGCCCCAGGTGCGTCGGCTCTGTGCATGAGGCGCAGCCTGTGGTCGCTGGCACTTCGCTCTCCGTGGGGACCAGAAGAGAGTTTTGAGAGTCTGTGGACAACAGGAAGTTAGATTTAAAGGATGCTGCAGACTCTGAGAAATACCAAAAAGTCGGCACCAAAGGTTCAAGCCACCTGGCACACGTCTGAATTTACGCACAACTGAAGAGGGGACACGTGAACTGGACGATAAGCCAGAAGTCGTTACCCAGGCAGCAGGGGGCCTGGACGACTCTCCCGAGAAGGGAATGGCGGGGGGGGGGGGGGGGGGGGCGCAGGTGTGCACAGCGCTCCAGGCGGCGCAGGCAGGACCGCCGGGCCACGTGGGCCGCAGACAGGCCCAGCCCCCCGGTCAGGACCGCCCGCCCAGTGGGGTGAGAACTGACCTCGGGCCACAGCAGCCTGCGGGGCCGCAGAGACAGCCTGGACCCTGGGTGCGGCAGACGCGGCCTGATTTCCCAGCTCTCCGTTCAGGAAGAATGTGAAATGCCCGTGGCGAAGTTCTCGTACAAGTGGCCAAGGGAAGGAGGTCAGAGCGTTTCCCTCCCAGGCTTTGGGGAGAGAAAAGACTGATCTGAAAGAAAGCAAGAGAGGAGCTTCTGAGAGCCCCCAGGAGAAGGGGCTGGGCTTGCACCTGGCTGTCTGGAGACCGCATTGACGTGTGGAGGACGTGGGATGGTCTGCCCCGGCGGCGGGGTGGGGAGGGGAGTGCCAGCCCGGAGCTGCCCTGCAGAATTGGGGGATGTGGGGAAATCTGGGGTGCATGGGGTAGGCGCAGTATCCAAAGAAGAGTCACACATCTCAGAATGTTCCTGGGCGCCAAATTGCTTGAGGACAGGCTGGGGCCTGGGGTGGCAGTACCTGAGGGGCTGTGTCCTCTCCTCGGGGTGCCCTGACGATGCTGGGGCTTGCACAGGGGTTGTGAACGTGTGGTGAGGCTGGCCCTAGCGCCCCGGTGTGTCTCCTGGCATGTGCCCTGCTTCCTGGCTTCCTTTGCCCTCGCCTGGCGCTGCAAAAGGCTTGGACCCGCTGCAGAGCCCGACAATCCCTCCCTCCCCTCCAGGCCTCCGGAGGCGCCGCTCCTGCACAGGTGGTGCACCCACAGCCGCGTGCGGTGGGCTCCCCAGCCACAGCCGCGTCCGACCTGGTGTCCCTGGCGCCCACCCAGGGTGTTCGCGCTGTCACCTCTGTGGCCACCTCGGCCGTGGTCACGACCAGCCTGACCCCCGTGCAGACGCCAGCCCGGTCTCTGGTGACTCAGGTGTCCCAAGGTAGGGGCAGCCTTGAAGCAGGTCAGGACGCCGGTCTCGGCTGTCTGTGGGTGGAGAGGGAGCCTGTGTTGCGGGCGAGCGGACTGATGGGGCCTCTGCTTGCAGCCCCAGGGGTCCAGCTCCCCGGGAAGACCATCACCCCCGCACACTTCCAGCTGCTCCGCCAGCAGCAGCAGCAACAGCAGCAGCAGCAGCAACAGCAGCAGAGCCCTCAGGTGCAGGTCCCGCAGATGCAGGCCCAGGCCCAGGCCCCCACGCAGATCAAGGCCGTGGGCAAGCTGACGCCGGTGAGTGCCGCCAGCACACCGCCCTCGCGTCTGCGGAGACGCCATGGCGTCCCGCGCTGCCCCACACGGGTCTCGTCCCTGGTCCCGTAGCCCCGTTTCCAGACGGTGTCCCCCCGAGTCCTTGTGCTTCTCGGCACTGTGGGTCCAGACAGGCCCCAGGTGCCAGTCCTCTGGTCCCAGACGGGCTCTGGTGCCATCTCCGCTTGGGCGCCGGTGTCCGGACCGTGCCTGTCAGCCGTGAGCCGGCAGCGGCGTGCGTGGTTGTGATCCCTTTAAAAGGAAGCGTCACGTTCCCGCCACGGAAGGGTCATGTGGGTGCTGGCGCAGAAGCGGCCCGGGAACACGCGCTGAGCGCACACGTGGGCTCCCGGCCGCCTGCGCCTGCCACCGCTGCTGCCTGCACACGGCCTCCCGCGGCCACCGCCAGGGCCCACGCCCCGACCGGGGTGGAACGCAGCCACAGAGGCAGCCATGGTCCTCTCGGCTGTGGCGGTCGCCGGTGGACACGGCCCGCGGCGCCAGGGCTGGAGATGGCGAGTCAGCTGTGCAGCCCGGCGGCGGCCACGGGCAGGCCCTCGTGGGCGGAGGCCAGGTGAGAGGGCACCCGGTGTGCGCCTCACTCATGGCCACCGTGCTGGGCAGCTTGGATCCCCAGCAGGCCGCTCTGCAGACAGCGCTCACAGGCGCACCCGTGGGCCCCACAGAACCCCGGGTGTCAGGAGCCCAAGTGGGTCTGCACCCCCAGGCCGGCCGCCCTCTTGCCCCCTGCCGCCCCGCCCTGGCCAGCGGGCCTTCTGGGCCTCTATCCCCGCCCAGCACCTGGCCCCTCTGCACGGGCCAGCCCGCGGGGGCCCTCTGCCTAGGGTGGGCCAGGTAGGGGCAGCGCAGGGTGGGTTTTCTGTGACACAGCGTCTACCGTACAGTTTCTGTTGTAAACGGAGATCCGTTCCAGCGTGTTCTCAGGCTCTGACTCTGCAGTCGTTACTTGGCCGGAGTTGTTCCTCGGGCCGCTGCTGCTAGGGGTGGTTACTTCGCGGTTACCGGTAGGAGTGACGAGCACAGGGTAGGCCCAGGGCGGGAAGTTGAGCCGAGCTCTGGAGGCTCGCTTGAGGGCGCAGAGTCTGTGCCCTTGGCGTGTCCCTGCGCCTGGGGCTGCTGCCCTGGAGGCCTGATGGTTTGACTTTTTTAGGGATGCGGGGTTTATTTATTTTTTTTAATTAAATCTTCATCTGGGGACAGTTGGAGTAAAACGTTGAGCCGATTTTAAGTGTTCAAGAAGGACCGTGATTGTTAACGCTCTAGATCTAACCTGACTGGTTTGCCAGGACAGGAACCCAGGAGTCTTGCCTCCGTGGCGGCTCTGCCAGCTCAGGCTCTGTCTGTCGGCGGCGGCGTGCTCCTGCTCAGTGGGGGCTCGCCGGCAGGGTTGCAGACGCCAGGACACCCTGAGGGTGGGTGCAGGCAGGCGACGGCTCACTTTGGTGTGACACTAGCAGCAGAACGGTGACTCCCCGCCTCCCCGGCGGTGTGTCGGCGTGAATACGGTCAGTGTGACGAGAAGCTACTTTATTTGGGTTTTAGGAGCACCTGATCAAAATGCAGAAACAGAAGCTGCAGCTGCCCCAGCAGGCCCCCCCACCACAGGCCCCACCGGGGCCCCCGCCAACAACTGCTCAAGTGCAGGTGCCGCCCCCGCCGCCCTCCCAGCAACAGAGCCCCCAGCTCACGACGGTCGCGGCCCCGCGGCCCGGAGCCCTGCTCACAGGCACCACCGTGGCCAACCTGCAGGTGGCTCGGCTCGTAAGTCCCGCTGGGCCCTTTGCTTTCCAGAGCTGGACTGCTGGCTCGGGGTCCTGCCGGGCGTCACCCCCAGCCCACGGCGGAGGAGACGCCACAGCTCCCCGTGGCTGTAGCCCTGGGGGAGGTGTGGAGCTCGGCGCGTGGGGCACAGGGCAGCACTCAGTGCACCAACGAGAGCCGGGCCCATCCTTGGCTCCACCCGGCCCTGGCTGCTGCCCTGTGTTCAGGGGCCACTTTGCGTCACAGGTGCGGAGACCGGGGCCATCCGGATCCCCCAGTCCTGTGCCAGCCCCTGGCAACCTTGCAGCAGGGTGGGGGGGGCGGGGGCAGGTGCTCTGCCCCGCTGCGAGTGTGCTTGGCCCCTCTCCACCCATTAGGGAGGTGGGAGTGAGACGGCTGCCCCAGCCAGTCTGGTTGCCCCCCAAATTCACACACACGCCCCCTCGCACCAGCAGACACCCCCTCGAGGCACCAGTGCGGGGGCAGCGGTCCATTCCCCACCTGCTGGGTGGGAGATGGCCGCCGTGGCGGAGTCACCAGAGTGCCTGTGGGATCCCTGCCACTTGCCACCCGTCCTGGAGAAACGCCTCCAGCAAGTGCGAGGGACGGGTGTGCGGGCCGTGGCCTCGGGCGGGTGTCCAGTGCTCTGCGGGCACCGTGCGGGGTCCTTGCCCAGGGCCATGCAGGAGGGCCGGCCTGGGGGGCGAGGCACTGGTCACACGTCCCGTGGATGGTCCTTTCTGGGCTATCACGTGCACAAAGGTGGCTCATTTCCACGTTTTCACATTTTAAAAGGGTGGCGTAACTGGACCAGCCACATGCTGTGTCGGTGGGTAGTGGCGGGCACCACAGCGGGCGTGGGGTTGAGGGCCTTAGGCCAACGGTGCCCACGGGGCAGGGGCTCAGGGGAGACTCCAGCACAGGCCATGCATGCAGGTCACCGGGGTGCACCGCACCTTAGGGGACTCCCTGCTGGCCCCCTGGAGAGCCCCTGCAGATGCGCCGCCCGAGCCCTGACTCACCCCTTGTCTCCCTGCTCAGACTCGAGTGCCCACATCACAGCTGCAGGCGCAGGGGCAGATGCAGGCCCAGGCGCCCCAGCAGGCTCAGGTGGCCTTAGCAAAGCCCCCGGTGGTGTCTGTGCCCGCGGCCGTGGTCTCCTCACCGGGCGTCACGACGCTGCCCATGAACGTTGCGGGGATCAGCGTGGCCATCGGGCAGCCGCAGAAAGCCACAGGTGCCACCCGCCTGCCCACTGGCCCCGCATGTCCTGGTGGGAGGTGGCAGGTGTGCCCTCGGGACTGCCCTTGTGCACACTGGGCACCACCCCCACCCGCTCATCTTTTCTGGCCCAGAAACCCCCGTGTCTGCCAGGGCAGACACGTCATTTCTGTGCAGGAATCTGGCCCCTGGACCGGGCCACTCAGGGACCCCAGGTGGGTGGGTGCCCTGGCCACTGCTACCCCGGGACTCAGCACCTGCGTCGGGGTTCACAGGACAGACAGTCGTGGCCCAGCCCGTGCACGTCCAGCAGCTGCTGAAGCTCAAGCAGCAGGCCGTGCAGCAGCAGAAGACCATCCAGCCCCAGGCCGCCCCCAGCCCGGCCACTGTCCAACAGAAGGTACTGTCACCCGCCTCTGCGCTGCCGGGCTGGCTGCCAGCCATGGGCTGCCCGGAGGACACCAGGGTCCTTCCTGCACCCGGGTGGGGGTGCGGGAGGCCATTGCTTGGTGTGCGCCACCCGCGGGCCCTGGGCTGTGTTGGCAAAGGGCTGCCCGGCCGAGCGCCGGGAGGGGCGGGGAGCTGTGTCTGAGGGCGCGTGTCCTGGTGCCGTGTGCCCAGGTCTGGGCAGCTCTGAGCTGGGTTAGGTCCCACGGGGACGCGCTGCATCTCCGGCCTGTCCTGGTGACGGCTGCGTGGTCAGCATGAGCATGGCCCTTGGCTGGGGCTGTGTTGCCGCCTGGTGAGAGGAGAGGCCACGGCTGCGGTGCTGCTTGCCGTGCGACACACGCGAGCGGAGCTCCCGGGACATCCGGTGCTCAGCGAGCACAGGGCCCTGCTCTGGGCCTCGATGCTCCTAGCAAAGGCCTAAAAATCACGCTTACCGCAGAGGCGCTCCTGGGCTTCTGCTCCTCGTGCCGAGTGTGCGCGGGTGTTTGCCATCTTGACGGTGGGGTCGAGAGAGTGGAGGGGAGCGGAGTATGTCCCGGCGCCGGGCTGTCTTGGGAGGAGGGGGGGCTGTCTGGCAGCCCAGGCCATAGAGGAGGGCGGGGTACTCGGGTGATTGGGTAGTCAGGGGCCCTCCAGAGAGGGCGCTGGGCCTGGCTCGATCCCAGTGTCTCCCCAGATCACGGCACAGCAGATAGCTGCTCAGGGCCAGCCTCAGAAGGTCACCTACGCAACCCAGCCAGCCCTGAAGACCCAGTTCCTCACCACGCCCATCTCGCAGGCCCAGAAGCTGGCCGGGACGCAGCAGATGCAGACCCAGATCCAGGTGAGCAGAGGCCGGGGCACCAGAGCCCCCTGCGCATGGGGAGGTCGGGAACATGACCCGGCGAACCCTTTAAAACTTGGCCCCTCCAGACGGGCCTGAGGGGTCCAGCCGCCCGCAGTCTTCCTGGCTGGCGCTGGGGGCGGCACCTCCGGCGGAGGGGCGTTGTCCTGAGAACTGTGGGGTGCTCCGTGCCTCCCTGTAGCCTCAGTTCTCACGCCACCTTGAGGCACTTGTTTTTCTGAAACACGGAACGAAAAAAAGCAGCTTTGGATGCAGGTGGTCGTAGACTCGGAGGGCGTGGTCGTTTGGGTTGGGGGGGCTCTCTGCGTCCAGGGGAGCGGCTCCAGGAGCTGCCTTGTCATGTGGCCGCGGTCTGCCCTCTCCCCACTGCGAGGGGGGGCGGGGGGAGGGCAACCTCGTCACGCCTGAGTTCTCCCCGACTCCGTATGGTCCCAGGTGGCAAAGCTCCCGCAGGTGGTCCAGCAGCAGGCGCCGGTGGCCGGAGTCCAGCAGGTCGGCGCTGCGCCCCAGCAGGTAGGCCGGGGCCGGGCGATTTCTGTAACAAACCAGGGAATTTCCTTTGAGGGAGTCGCTGGATACTAGGTGAGCGGGAGGAGGCCGGGAGGGGAGCCCAGGCGGGGCAGCCGTGCTGGCGGGGCCATGCCCGCTCGCCCAGGCCCCCTGCCCGGGAGAGCCCCGCAGACAGGGCGCTCCCTGGAGAGCGGGAAGGAACAGTCCGCGCCTCCCTGGCCGCCGTCCGCTCTGCAGCGCAGCCGCACGGCCGTCTCTTCCTCCTGCTCAGCGCCCCGCCGCCCTGGCTCTCAGGAGGCCTGGTGGACCAGAGGTGGTTTCCAGTGTCACAAAAGTCTTTGAGCTGAGGAGGTTTCTAGCCCCCCCACGCCCCAAGCTTGCCGTGAGGTGCACTTCTGGGTGGGTAACGTGTGGGTGTGTTTGGGGGAGCTCATGTTCATTTTGGACTGTGTCACTTCAGGCCTCCCCACAGACGGTGACCCTCACCCAGGCGACCTCGGCCGGGCAGCAGGTCCAGATGATCCCCGCGGTGACGGCCACAGCACAGGTGGTCCAGCAGAAGCTCATGCAGCCGCAGGTGGTGACCACGGCGGCCCAGCTGCAGGCGCCAGGGGTGCCCAGTCCCGCACAGGCGCCCGCCAGCTCCGACAGCCCCGGCCAGCAGCCCAAGCTGCAGATGCGCGTGCCGGCCGTCAGGCTGAAGACCCCCACCAAGCCTCCGTGTCCCTAGCCGGGCGGCGGGCATCCGCGGGCCATCCCGGCGTCCAGGCAGATCAGGCCGACGCTGTCCTCCGAACCGTGGGCCGGTGTCATGGGGCGTGCCAGGCGGCCGTGGGCCCCGTGCTGTGGCGCTCGTTATAATGCGCCCGCGCCGTGGGGCAGCCTCCTCCGCGGCCGACCCTTCTCCTGTACCGTGGCGCGGGAGGCGTGACAGTGGCCGCTCCTCCTGGCCACTCCTGGCCGCGTCTCTGCTCTTCTTCCCGCGGCAGTGGCGCGGGGCCCGAGCGCCTGCGGGGTGTCGGCGTTCCCTGCCCAGCCCGCCCCGGTACCATGGGAAGGGCCGCGTGTGGGGGACGGGGCCGAGGCGCTGCCTCCCGCGCCTGCTGAGGCCCCACCGCGCCGTGGCGTTAGGTCGCAGGTGTTCCTGCTGCGGGCACGGGCGCTTCGCTCAGAGCCGGGTGGCGCGCCCCAGCCCCGTGTCCCCCCTCCCCGCAGGGCCCCTCACGCACCCGCACGTCCCCCCGGCCTCGGGGGGCCGTGAAGGGCCGCGCCCTTGCTGGAGGCCTCGCGGGCGTCCTGTCCTGGGGCCATGGGCCCGCCAGGGCAGCCCGGCTCCTGCTGCCTCCGTCCACTGTCCAGACCCACCCCGGCAGCGTCTTACTGGCTGGGCGTCTTCTCCGGAGGCGCCCCCGGGCCGGGAGGGCCCCTCAGCCGCCTTAGCCAGGCCCAAGCGCTGCCCCGTGCGCCGGAGCTGCGTGGCGGCGCCCGCCCTGCGGGAGACTCACTTGAGTCCTCAGAGAAACCTGGGGAAAGTGCAAATGGCCGTGCAGGGGCGCCGCCTGACCCTTGTCCTTGGGGAGCTGCGCCCCAGAGGCAGACGGGGGGGGGGGGGGGGGAGGGACGCCCCTCGGGAGTTTTCAGAGGAGCCTGTCTTGGGGGGGGTCGTCTCGTGCCTCACACGCCCCCACAGCGGGGTGGGCGCTCGGCCGGGACCCGAGCCCCCCGGCCACCCGGGGTCCTCCTGCTGCCGGAGGTTACGCTTTGCCAACCTGAGAGTTAGGGTGCGCCTGGGGCCACGAGGGCGCCTCCCCGCCCCGCGCCCCTGCGGTCAGCTCGCCGCGTGGACTCCCCGGGAGCAGGGCCGAGGCTGTAAATACTTTGTAAACGACCGTTTGTACTTGAACAGTGGTTTTAAAGCGCGCCGACGTCCCGCCAGGCAAGAGGTGTAATAAATGGCCTTTTTATAGACGCGCGCTGGTCGTCTGCGGAGGCGCGCCGTCCCGTGGAGTGTTGGTCGCGGTTATTCCATGGGCGTGAAGGAAAAACGAAAGGGGAGCCAGTGGGTGGGGCGGGGCGCCGTGGCCTCCCTGGTGGGGGGCGGCCCCAGCTTCCCGCTGCCTCCACGGTTCCCTTTGAAGAAAAACGCTCCCGGTTACAAGGCGCCGGCCTCTTCCAGAGCCGTGGACGGCGCCCAGTAGGTGGTCTGCCTGGAGGAGCGGTTGGTTGGTCTCTGCGTTGACGGGAACGTGGCCAGGGGCCTGCGCGGTGGGCGCTGGGGGGCCTGCCTGGCAGATCGCTTACAATGCTGCTCTTTTGAAAATCAGCTTTTCCCCTTTCGTGGTTTGAATGCACACTTTAATTATTTGTGCGTACAAGAGGGTGCAGGCCAGAGGTGCGGGTGGTGGGGAGTGAGAGGGTTCACCAGAGAGAGCGGGGAGCAGAACAGGCAGAGGGACCAAAGACACTGCTGAGGGGAGCAGTGGGGGGGCTGGAGAGGTCGGCTCGCCATGTGGGTTGGCCCGCGGCTGGCGGGGATCGAAGGGGCGCTACAGATGCCGCGGACAGCTTCACGGTGCTGTGCTCAACCGCCTGCGCCATCAGGGCGGCCCCTGCATGGTGTTTGGACACTGGCAACTCAGCTGTCCTCGCAAGGCCACCGTACCCCCTGACCTTGGACACTGGCCATACCCCAGGGGCACAGGCAGGCAGGGCCAGTTCGCGTCTGTAACCAGCTTCCCAGAGAGCAACGCCCTCATCCCAGCAGCACCCACCCCCACACAGGGTTGGCACCAGGGCCCCGGGCTCCCCAACCCGGTGTCCATTAACAGGCAGCTACCCTGCAGGACATGGACCTCCCCCGGTGGCACAGCGGTTGAGCACTGCTGGGCCCACAGCCTCTGCAGCGCCGGTTCGATCCCCGTCCACAGGCGAGGGCAGACCTCTCCTGCCGCGCCCGCTGCTCCCCTCAGCAATGTACTTGGCCAGTCTGCCTGCTCTGCTCCCCGCTCTGGCGAGTTCTCTCGCCCTCCCATGCTTCTGACTGTACCCAGTGCTTGTATAAATAAATCTTCTTAAAAAAACCCACAGTAACAGGCAGCTGCCCTGAAGGCCTGGCCTGCTGCTGGCAGTGAGACCCATGTTGCAGGCGAGCACCCACGCTGCAGTCCTGGCCAGAGCCAGGACCCCCTGCGGCCACAGGTGTGACTTGGAGAACAGCCAGGCACTGCCCATCCTGCACCCACACGGCCCCTCCCACCTCCGCCCCACAGTTAGTGGGCAGCAGCAGCGAGAGTCGGGTTTATAGACGCGCGTCCGCCCTCCGCCCTCCGCAGCCCCTATGTCGTCCCATCCACATAACTCGCTGGCAGTGCTGGTTTTGCTGCAAGGGCCCAAGAGCCCCGTCCATCCTGGGACCCAGGGCCAGCCCCTAGGGGTGGGGTCTCTCCAGCAAGACGTCGCTGGTTCCAGGCTGCACCCACCAACCCGCCAATGTGCAGCTGGCACATGCCTGACGGGCCCTGAAGGCGCCAGGCCAGCCGGTCTGCAGCGTGGGTGCTCGCCTGCAGCATGGGTCTCACTGCCGGCAGCAGCGATCATCCCCGCAGACGGTGGCCTAGGCAGGCAGAAGCTGCCTGGGGTCCAGCCGAGGGAAGCAGCCAGGGACACAGTGGTGCTGGCCCGTGGCCCACGGCATCCGGGCCTGACCGGGCACCCTGGCTCCCCAGGGCCAAGAGGTCACCGGGCCAGCAGGCCCCGGACCCAAGGGAAGGCCCTGCGGACAACCAACCGCCTCTGCTCAGGTGGCCATGCCCCCACGGGGCACCGCAGCTTCCGTTTCTCTGCTGGGCGGGTGACGGGGGGTTGGGGGGAAGCAAGGGCCACGGCGCCTGCCTGTTCTGCACGTGTTTTATTTAACATCCTCACGTGAGCCCTGAAGGCGCCTTCGTCAGGTCAGCAGTGGAGGCCCCAGGCCCACGTCACCACCCATGAAGATGCCCTGGGGTGGCAGGACCCACAGCAGGGTCTCGGGTCTGCAACACCACGCCCGGAGGGCACACAGGGAGCATGTGGTCCAGCCGGCGCCCCCCCGCTTCACATGCACCGGGGAGGTCCGGGGATTCCAGCTGACCCCACTGCGGCTAAACACCCACCAATCCTGGGGTCGTGCTGAACAGAAAGCGCAGTCCTGCTTGAGGCTGACCCGCCTGTCCCCGACTGGCAGGAGCCTGGATGGCGGCCCCGCCCCCTCAGGAAACCGAGGGACTGCGGCCGGCTCCTCGGCCAGCGCCCGGCAAGCAGGGCTTTCCTGAAGGGAAGACGGAGGCGCCACCCTTGGGGTGCAAAGGGCCAGCTCCGTTCTGGCCGCCTGTCCTCTGAGCCCATCTAGGCCGCCTTCTGAGCTCGCTCCTCCTGTGTCGGGTGGGGAGAGGCTCAGCTCCACAGCTGTCCCCCGCCCCCACCCGCGGGGCCCTGACTTCCCTGGGAGTGCCTCCCGCGACACCCGGCTCCCACCTTGACAGCCTGCTCCAGCTGGGCCAGGGCCGCCTCGTAGCGCGGGGCCAGTGGCTGCAGGTCCTGGCTGGGGACCTCGTGGCGCGCCAGCTCGGGCACCCCAGCTTCTGCCAGCATGCGGAGGAACCGCCTCTCCTGGAAGCAGCACACGTGTGGGCGGGCGCCCCAGCAGTGCACCCTGAGGGCCCGTCCCAGGCCCGGCCTGACCTGCACTTTGAGGAGCAGCGTGAAGGCCTGTCCGCTCTTCCCGGCGCGCGCCGTCCGTCCGACCCTGAAACCAGCACAACGTCTCTGGGCACTGTCCAGCCCCCAGGGCCCCCCACAAGCCCCCGAGCTGGTGCTCAGCTGGTGCCCTACCGGTGCACATAGGTCCGCAAATACTGGGGTGCATCATAGTTCACCACCAGCTGCACACCTTGCACGTCGATGCCACGGGCCACGGCGTCTGTGCTGATGAGGCTGCGGGACACGAGGGGCTGGGGGCCAACAGCGGCAACAGCAGGACCCCCTTGCTGCTGCTGCCGGCGCCGCTGCGGCAGGAGGCCCACCCGGGAGCGCCCAGCACTCACAGCCGGATCTTCCCCTGCTCAAACTGCTTCAAGATGGCCTTCCTCTGGCCAGGCCCGTAGCGGGAAGAGAACTCGGCCACAGTCACACCCCCGAAAGCCTGGGCGAGCAGGAAGAGCCTGTGGGAGAAGCCAGAGCAGGTGGGCAGGACCGGAGCAGCCGCCCGCCCACCTGCACCCGCCAGTGGGAGTGCCGACCTGTGGGAGTTCTCCCGCGAGTTGGTGAAGCAGAGGACCCTTGAGAGGTTCATCTCCAAGATCAGATGCAAGACGATCAGCGGCTTGAAGCGGAGACGACAAGGCACGTAGTGGTGCTGGGGGGAGAGGATGGGATTGGTGCCGCCCCCCCCCCCAGCACCTGGGCGCCCCACCACACCCCAGGCGCCCCCTCACCGTGAGCCCTGTGGGGAAGGCATACTTCCCCCCCAAGTCCTTGTCCCCGGTGTCTCCGGGGGCACTGCCTGCCAGTGCAGCAGAGAAGAGCCGAGGCTGGTAGAGGCCAAGCTGCTGCAGCTTCTCGGGGTTCTGGGTCAGCGTGGCCGAGAAGAGCAGCTTCTGCAGGGGCATCTGGGGGCAGCAGGAGCTGAGAGAGGTAGGTGAAGACCTGTCACCCCAGAGCAGGTCTGCCTGGGGGGCGGGGGCGGGGGACTCAGGTGGGTACCTGGCAGCAGTCACAACCGGGGTCTGCCTTCGCTGCAGCAGAGCCAGGGAGTCCTCGGCACCCGCACTCGGGAAGGCTGCAGCTACCACCCGTGGCAGCCAGGACTGGTGCATGCTGTCGAGCATGCGGTCGGCCTCGTCGATGACCTGGGGGCCGGGGCCGGGGAAGGGGGTCTGGAGGCTGCTGAGGGCAACCTGCTCCCCTCCCGCCTCAGACGCGTGACCTACCAAGAAGCGGAGCTGCTGGAGGCTGAATCCTGGGGTCTGGTCGATGTGGTCCACCAGGCGGCCCGGCGTGGCTACCACTATGTCAGCCAAGCAACGGAAGCCGTCCACTCTGCAAGGCCGAGCTGGCTCAGCACAGCCGCCCCCAACTCGGGAGCCGGCAGCAGCGGCAGCGCCCCACCACCCACCCTGGCACGAGCCGGGTGCCTTCCAGAAGAGCCCAAGGCTGGCAGGACCTACGTCTTCTGGACGAGGCTCTCTTGCTCCCTGGCCAGTGACTTCTGCCCGGTGACCAGAGCAACCCGCAGAGGGGTGGCGTCCGTGTAGACATTGAAGACTTTGCTCACCTGCGGAGGAGCAGCCGTTACCACCGGCCCGTCCACCGCGGCAACCAGGTCCAGGCCGCGCCAGGCACCTACCTGCTGGGCCAGCTCCTTGGTCGGCAGCACCACCAGGGCGCGGACCTGGCACACAGCACGAGGCAGCAGGGCCTGCGGGGAAGGTGGGTCAGCCGGGCCGGCACCCCGCCTGTGGCACCTGTGTGCAAGGGGTCACACTCACCTGCACCACGGGGAGAACAAAGGTCAGCGTCTTCCCGCTGCCGGTTGGGGCAGAAACACAGAGGTCGCTGGGCCTGTAGCCACCCCTGCCCACCAGAAACCCGCCGGCTGCAGTCTGCAGGAGCACGGGGATCACCGCTGCCTGGACTGGACAGAGGGTGGGGAGCCGAGTCAGCCAGCACCGCGCCAGCAGCCCGGGCCCGGGCCAGACATCTCCCAGCACCCCCAGGCCAGAGCACCTGGAAAGAAGGATGAGATGCCCTGTGCCCGCAGCTTCTTCTGCAGCTCAGGGTGCACTTCGGGGACGTCCGCCACAGGCACCAGGCCTTCGGTGACGCTCTTCCCCACGCAGCTGGGCTCGGCCAGCCATGCCGGCAGGAAAGGCTGGACCTACCTCCCAAGGGAGAGCAGAGGCTGGTGAACGTTCCTGGGGCTGCCCACCCCCCCCCAAGGGGCAGGGCTCCCAGAAACCCACAGCAGGGCCCGCCCAGGCCGAAGAGGCTATGAGCAGGAAGCACGCATGCAGCTCCTCCTCTGGCCCGGCACCCTGGGCGAACCCCCATCCCACCCACACCCCACTGCTCGCAGGCTCACTGCCAGATGGCCTCAGCAGGAGTCCCCACCACCCCTGCAGCAGCTGTTTCTTCACCGTGACCCTGCCACCAGGTTTAGTATCATTTTTTTTTTTAAGATTTATTTATGCACACAAGAGCTGGGGTACAGGCCAGAGGTGTGGAGAGTGAGAGGATGCACCAGAGACGGAGCGGGGAGCAGAACAGGCAGATCTACTGAAATCCACTGCTGAGGGGAGCAGCGGGGAGACAGGGGAGGTCTGCTGCGCCCTGTGGGTAGCTCCCTGGCCGGGGATGGAGAGGCTGCGGACAGCTTCATAGGGCTGAGACTTAACCCCTGTGCCACCAGGGAGGCCCCTAGTATTCTGAAGGACACAAGAGCTTTTGGAAAACCAAGAGGGCCTCGTGACAGGGGGTGATCTGCGGCAGGGTATTAATTCAACCCAAAAGTTAGGTGAAAACAGTAACCCAGGCACAATCAACTTCTTTTTAAAAACCGGAGTTGCTATCAGAGCCACCCTGAAAGCAACGGCTCGTCAAGCGTTCAGACGCAACGAACAACACGTCTGTGTTCATCCCCGTAACGTCCACCGAGCGCGAACTCAGCGCCGGACAGACTTGAGCAACGAATGAGCCGCTCGCGGCGGGACCCCTCTCCGCGCAGCCCCGCGACGAGAGAACGGGTTCGGCCGCATCCCCGCCCAGAGCCGCGGCTCGCGCGGCCCCGGCGCTGCCAGGGGAAGGTCCTCAGAGCACAGGGAACTCGGGGAGCCGGCAGGCGCTCCCGCCGCGCGCCCCAAGTCAACACTGAGGCGGCGGCCGCGACAGAGCGCCCGGCCCGACCCCACGGAACGAGGCTGAGGCGCGGAGGGGCAGGAAAGGCCGGGCCCCCGCCTGAGGCGTTCGCCCCGGCCACGCGCGCAGCCCGGCCCGCACGAGCCCGCCCGCCCGGCCCGCGCCCCGGCGCTCACCCTGGGCGCCCTGGTCCGCCCGAAGCCTCCGAGCACCGGGCCGGGCGCGGGCCCCGGCGCCTCCTCGCGGCTCTCCGCGCGGCAGAAACGGGGCGGGCGGCGCGTGGGCCCCGCGCGGGCCGGGCCCGGGTCCGGGTCCGGGTCCGCCCCCGGGGCCCCCGCGCCCCCGCCGTCCGCCCTCGGCCGCTTCCTCGGCGGCGCCCGCGGGCTCCCCGGCGCCCCGGCGCCCTCGCGGCCCCGCGCCCCGCGCCGCCGCCGCCCCGCCGCCGCCGCCGCCGCGGCCGGCGCCGGCTCCCGCGGCGGCTTCTGCCGCTCCCGCTCGCGCGCCCGGCTCTGCAGCCGCGCCAGCAGCGCGCGGGCCCGGCCGTCCGCGCCCGCCCCGGCCGCCGCCGCGCCCGCCTCGGGGCCCGGGTAGCGCGCGACGTGGAACAGCGCCATGCTGCCGGCGCCCGGGCCCGGCGCGGGCGTGACGTCGGGCGTGCGTCGCGGCGGTGGCGTCACGGGCGCGCCGAGCGGAGCCGCGGCGGGGCTTCCGCGTGGGGCGGCGGCGGGCGGCATGGAGCGGGGCCCGGGCGCGCGCCGGGCGCTGGGCCGCCTGCTGGAGGCGGTGCTGGCGAGCCGCGCCGAGGCCAACGCCGTGTTCGACATCCTGGCGCCGCTGCAGGTGGGCGCGCGGGGGGCCGGCGCGGGGGGCCGGCGGGGGGCGCGCGGGGGGGGGCCGGGGGCTGGCGCGGGGGCGCGCGGGGGGCCGGGGCCGGGCCCGCGCGCCACCCCGACCGGCCTCCCCACAGGCCGAGGACGAGGAGGAGATCCAGGAGGCGGTGCGCGCCTGCAGCCGCCTTTTCGGGGCCTTGCTGGAGCGGGGAGAGCTGTTTGTGGGCCCGCTGCCCCCCGAAGAGACGGTCATGGCGGGTGAGCGGCCGAGGCCCTCTCTTCGGGAGACTTTGCCGTCCTGGGGCGCCCCCCTTGCGGGCTGGCGGGCTCGGCCGCGGTGCTGGGGGCGGGGGCAGGAGCGCCCCTAGCCCGGGCTTCCGCTGTTGTCTGGGGCTGGCTCTGCGCATCCCGGCCTCGGACCGCCCGGGCCTTGCAGCCGGGAACCCCGTCTCTGGGGCAGCACCTCGGCCCCGGGCCCGGGCGCGCCCCACTCCTTTTCCCATGAGGCAGCGGGAGGGGTGGGCCTGTGGGGGAGCTGCCCAGCCTGCTGCCCACAGGGTCTCAAGGAGCCACGCGCAAGTACAGGGTGTGGATGAGGCACCGTTACCACAGCTGCTGCGGCCGCCTGGGGGAGCTCCTGTCCCACTCCTCTTTCCAGGTCAAGGTGGGTCTGGGGCCCTGGGCCCCTCCTTGTTCTTGCTCCTCGGGCCTCCCTTTTTCCTCCACACGACAGAGACCAGGCTGTGTTCAAGGCCCCTGTCCCCACCTCTCCCCGGGTGTCTGAGGAGCTTCCGTGCTTTCGGCACCTGCCAGTGGGCGACTCCATTCTGCTCTGGCGCTGCTAGCAGCATCACCTGGAGGGCAGCGGCCTGAGTGTGGGGGCGCCCGGAGCCCCTTGGGGGCCTGCTGCAGGGAGGACACCCGCTTCTCTGTGCCGTCCTCCTCCCAGGAGCTGGCTTTCGGGACACTCATGAAGTTTGTGCAGCTGGAAGGGGTGCACCCCCTCGAGAAACCCAAGTGGGAAGGCCAATATCTGTTCCCCCGTCTGCTCTTCAAGGTGAGGCGCCTGGGTGAGTCCCCGCGCTCTCCTGGGTCAGAGCCAGTGGGCCCCGCCCCCACGGCACTGGGTCACCCTGTCCTTGCCAGCGTGGAGCTCTGGGGGCGGGGGGGGGGGGGGGAGAGGCTGGGCCGGAACTCGGCTTACCCCCCAGGGAGGTGCTCCCTCCCGCTCTGCGCCCAGATGGTGGTGGGAGGCCTGCTCTCGCCGGAGGAGGACTGCTCGCTGCTCCTGTCGCAGTTCCGGGAGTACCTGGAACACGATGACGTCCGCTACCACACCATGCGGGCTGCCGCGGAGGTCGTGGCCCGGGTCACTGACGGGCACCCCGAGGTGAGCCAGTCAGCCTGGCGTTGGGGAAGGGGTGGCGGCCGCCAGCAGCCTCCCAGGTGTTGAAGCTGCCGCTGGCAGGTGCCGCTCCCCTTCTGGAACAACACCTTCGCTCTGCTCTCTGCCGTGAGCCTGCCCCGCCAGGACAGCGCCGTCTCCAACTTCTACGTGCAGCGACCAGGTGAGCATCCCGCAGGGGGCTTTGATGTAGGCGCCCGGGCCTCAGGCCTGTTTGAACACTGAGAGGCCCCATGTTCCTTCCTTCCACAGAGCTGTCCGACAAATGGAAGGTCGTCCACCTGAAGGTGAGGCCCTCAGGGGGTGGGTCCTGGAACAGGCCATGGTTGGAGGGTGGCGGGGGTTCCGGTCGTGTGCAGCCGGGCACCCTCCCCTGGGCCGTCTCTGCAGCCTCTGCGTCCCCCAGGAGCACAGGAAGGCCTTCCAGCACATGTGGCTCAGCTTTCTCCAGCACAAGGTAGGGTTGTGCCGGGCAGGGGTCCCCAGGTTCGGGGGTGTGGCCGGCTGCTCCCTGACCTGCTGCCTCTCCACCCCAGCTGCCCCTCAGCCTCTACAAGAAGGTGCTGGTGATCTTGCATGACACCATCCTGCCATACCTGGCCCAGCCCAGCATCATGATCGACTTCCTCACCCGGGCCTACGACCTGGGTGAGTGCCGGGGCCCGCTGCCAGCGCCTCTGGTGTGGGGGGGCGAGGCTGGGCAGGACTCAGGGTGCTCTTTGCCTGCAGGGGGGGCTCTCAGCCTCTTGGCCTTGAATGGACTGTTCATCCTGATCCATAAGCACAACCTGTGAGTGCCCCCACCCCACCGGGTCCCTGCCTTGCCCAGGGCTATGGGGGGGCTCCTCGACCTGCTCGCATCTCTTCATGTGCGCCCTGTTCCTCGTTGGCCTCCACTGTGCGCTCTAGGGAGTACCCTGACTTTTACCGCAAGCTCTATGGTCTTTTGGACCCGTCTATCTTCCATGTCAAGTACCGGGCCCGCTTCTTCCACTTGGCTGACCTCTTCCTGTCGTCCTCGTGAGTGTGGCGGGCTGGGGCGGCACCCCGCTTGGCTCCCGAGGGCGGGGTTGGCGACCTGTTTGCTGAGTCCGTCCCATCCCGCTTGGGGGTTGCACGTGCGGGTGCAGGGGTGCTGGTGTGCGGGCAGTGAGCCTCTCCCCTCGCCCAGCCACCTGCCGGCCTACCTGGTTGCTGCCTTCGCCAAGCGCCTGGCCCGCCTGGCCCTGACGGCACCCCCCGAAGCCCTGCTCATGGTCCTGCCCTTCGTCTGCAACCTGCTGCGCAGACACCCGGCCTGCCGCGTGCTGGTCCACCGCCCACAGGGCCCTGGTGAGTGCATCCGTCCCGGGAGCCCGGCCCCCCGAGCCCCATGCCACCTGTCACAGCGCAGTCATGGTCTTGTCCATAGAGCTGGACGCTGACCCCTACGACCCTGGAGAGGAGGACCCCGCCAAGAGCCGAGCCCTGGAGAGCTCCCTGTGGGAGCTACAGGTGAGGCCCTGAGCCTGGTCTCCGGCCCCTCCCAGAGGCCCTGCCCCGCCCCCCCAGTCCCCAGGGACTCTGCCGTCCCCTGCCTCTGTGATAAGGGGTGGTGTCCCCTGTGCTCAGGCCCTCCAGCACCACTACTACCCCGAGGTGTCCAAGGCCGCCAGCGTCATCAACCAGGCCCTGTCAGTGCCCGAGGTCCCCATCGCACCGCTCCTGGAGCTCACGGCCTTTGAGGTGAGGGGTAGGGCCGGGCGAGGGCAGCCTAGGGCAGGTGAGGCGGGGCCGAGAGCAGAGCGCATCTGTGCATCCGCCCCCCGCAGCTCTTCGAGCAGGACCTGAAGAAGAAGGGCCCGGAGTCGGTGCCCCTGGAGTTCATACCGGCCCAAGGCCTCCTGGGCGGGCGGGACGGCCTCTGCGCCCAGCACTTCACGCTCAGCTGACCCCGGCACCTGTCCCACCACAATAAACAATTTTGTGGGAGACTGACTCTTTCTGGGGGGCTGTGCTGGGCCTCGGGTCGGCTGGGCTGCCACCCTCCCCAGCAGCTCATGTCCCCCCCGCAGCCGCCAAGCCCACCTCGTGGTGACCTTTCCCAGGAGGGAGGGGACCCCAGGGTAGGGGCTGTTCTGGATGAGCCTTGGCGAGTGGGCCAGGCGGTCCTGCTCGGGCCTCGGTGGAGGTGGCACCTGCAGCCGCAGGCTGGGAGCTGGTTCTGCCCTCAGTGGAGTCATTTCTGGAGGGGCTCATCCTCCCTGACAAGCCCAGTGTGTCCACAGCCGGATTGGGGGGGCGGGGAGAGGGGAGGCCTCCCACTGCAGCCTCCTGGCCCAGCCGTGAGCCCGGCACCCCCTCCCCCAGAGCCGCGGGCGCCCTGCTGTCCTTGGCCCAGGCCCGCCGTGCCCACACTCCTCGGCAGCCGCGCTGCAGCCCCGGGCAGGGGAGCTGCGCGCAGAGAGTCCAGCGGCCAGGCTGAGCACGGCCACCCCCTCCGCCTGCCCTTGGACGGCGCCGAGGGAAGCAGGGTCCGGAGCGGGCCGAGACGGGCCCTGCAGGAGGATGCGGCTGCCCCGCAGTGTCTCGTGGCTGGCTTACCAGAGCGGGGCCCCCACCTTCCCGCCTAAGAAAGGGGGGTGCGAAGGGCGGGGCCCCGGGGGAGAAGCAGTGGGGCTGAGGTCGCAACCCTGGGGACTGGGCCTGGGTAGCCGAGTGACGTGTCCTGGGCCTGGAGCCATGAGGTGGTGGGCCCAGGTGCTCCTCTGAAGTTCCCGGGGAGCCCCCTGCCGGCACCCACAGGTGCTGCCGGCGTCCTACAGGTGCCTCCTGTCCTGGGCAGCAGGTGGCTCCGTGGGGCCTTCCTGCTCTGGGCTTGGGGTGACGTCAACCAGTGTCTGGACACGGCAGGGGTGAGCCTGATCCCGGCCGCCTCCCCGGCAGGGCATCCTACTGCCCGCAGAGCCGGGCCCGGGCTGGGGAGGGTGGGGGGCCCCCCTCCCGCAGAGCTGCAGCAGGACGTGGGTAGATTGTGGAAGCCAGTTTGGGGGGCGGAGCTCAAGTGCGTCGGGGTCAGGCGCGGGGGCACTTGGAGCCGCGCGGCCACAAGCACGGCGCGCAGACGGGTGGCCTGTGCCAATGAGCCTTTATAAAAACGGCGTGGGCCGGGGCTCCCATGTGCTGACCCCTCGGGATGCAAAGTCCTGGGCTGCCCGGGGCGGGGGGCAGGTGGGCCGCAGGCCCTGTGGATGTGGCTCCTTACCCGGCGCCCCCCCCCCACCCCGGGCCCTGGGCTGTCTGAGGCCGCAGCCCCTCCTCCCGTGTCCTCCTGGCCCCCACAGGCCATGTGAGTTCCCACCGGGGTGCCGGTCGGGGCGGCCACGTCCCAGTTCACGGGCGCGGACAGGCCCGCGGCACATGCAGAGTGGGCGCCGGCTCCGGCCCGAAGTCCATAGAAAAGGCACGTGATTTGGAGCCGGAGCTGACTGTCCCCGCGGGCCCTCCCAGTAGGCGGGCGGACGTGTGATGCCCCGGGGCCGGGCCTGCCCATCCTCTGGCCTGGGGGGCGCGGGTGTCAGCGCCGCCCGGGCTTGACCCAGTTCCGGATGGTCCACTTCTGGCCCGAGCACCGCTGCACCACTAGGCGCAGCCCGAAGTTGGCGTCCCGGGACAGCTCCACCTCCAGGCACCGGCCCGTGTCCCGGCTCACGATCGGGCCGCCCTGCGGGGCCAGAGTCGGCGTGGGCACGGGGCCTCCGCGGCGGGGGTGGGGCGCCGGCCACGCAGTCCCTGCCAGGCCTAGCTGAGGACAGTCCTTCTGTCCTCTGGCCCTCCCATCAGCCCTCCGTCTCCCGGGGCCAAAGAGGGGTCAGGACCCCGGGTCCATCGTGGGCTGCTGAGGCAGGTGCTCCTGGTCCCCCGGCAGGGGCGGCCCCCACCCGCCCCGGACAGCGCAGGACAGTGTCCCGGGCGTCCTCTGCCCTTCTCCAGCCAGCCTGCCCTCCCTGCAGCCTGCCCCGCAGCTCCACGGGTAGTGGCCGTCCCTGGTGGGAGGGCGGGGGGTGGGGTGCTTCAGCCGCACACGGGGCACTGCTTGAGCCCGCGGCAGAGGGACCCGGAGTGGCTGGCGCCGTGCCCGCCCCCCAGAAGCAGCAGCCGGAGTCTGCGCTTGGCCAGAGGACTGTGCTGATGTTTCTGGGGGAAATAAGGCTCCCGGCACGCAGGAGATACGGGTGGGGGGTCCAGGTGGGGGCGCGGCCACAGCCCAGGCCTCCAGGACTCCGCGAGGCAGCCGGGAGAGGCAGGAGGGCCCTGCCCAGCCCACAGCGCCTCTGGGAGTTCCGGGCCGAGCTCTCGGCCACCCGGGAGACTGCCGGGCGGGGTCTGGGCGGTGAGCGGGCGAGAGGCGCCAGAGGGGAGGGGGCGTGCAGGAGGCGGCTAGGGGCTGGCAGGCGAGGGCCCAGATCCTGGGTCCGGGGCCCGGGGCGCTGGCGTCCACAGCCTGGAAGGAGATGCGGTTGGCCACCTGCCCGCTGCCGACGGAGGCTTCTGGGTGGGGGGCCCTCTGCCCTTCCGCAAAGCTCCACCCGGGGAGGCCAAGGAGGGGTCCCGACCGCGGCGGCCCTGCCACACCCACCTGGGTGAAGTCCCACAGCCGCTGCGAGGGCCTGGCCACGTCCTCACACCTCCTGAGCGCGGGCGCGCGGCCGCGGCCGTCGTCCACCAGACACTTGGAGTCGGGCAGGAAGGCGGTGGAGCCCAGCGGGCCGAGCTGCAGCAGGCCCTCGGCGCTGTAGCGCACCAGCTGCGGGGCGCGGGCGTGAGCGGGCCGCGCCGGCCCCCACGGGCCGCCCCGATGGAGACCCCGGCTCTTTCCCGGAACTTGGCTCAGCCGCGGCTGAGTTCGCGCTGGCGCAACCCCCGGGGCGCCCGCACCCTGGCGGGGCGGGGACCAGAGCCGCCCCCGAGCCCGCGCAGGGGGTCCCCCCCGCCACCCTCCGCGCACCCGCCCTTTCCACACGCGCCAGCCGCCCTCCCCCTGGGGGCCCGCGGCGCGCACCTGGGAGGACATCCCGTGGCAGGGGTACAGGATGGCCTTGTCGTCGTCCTCGGCCCCCTGGTCCAAGCAGTAGCCGCTGGCCCTGCTGTTCCTCACCTGCGCCGCAAGCCAAAGGGGACAGCCGTGGCGCCCATGCCGCGCCTGGGCCAGCGGAGGGTCCCCTCTGCGGCCAGCTCGCCGGACGCGCGGGGCGCCCACCCCCTCGCCACGCGCCGGCCCCTGCCTGCTCTCCCTCGCAGAGGCGGGCCTGGCAGCCCGGGGTGTCTCCAGCACCCTCACTTCCCTCCGTCTGGGAGCCCGGCTGCCCCGAGAGCCAGTGGGCAGCACCAGCGCCGGGGGCTCCTGGAGCCCGCTCGGGCCCGCCCCGGCCCGCCCCGGACAGTGGGCCCTTGAGCAAGGCCAGGCGGCTGCGCCCACCCCAGCTCGGGGCTCTGGGGCCCATGAGGCCCGTGGGCAGCGCGGGTGCCTGTCCCTTCAGCCCAGGGGGCTCTAGGCCCCACTGCGGGCTGTGCGTCGGCAGCCATGGCCGAGGGCCGGGCTGACCTGGACGCGCAGGGAAGTTCTCGCGGGCCCGGCGGACAGGCCGGAGCCCAGGACCCGGTGAGGGCAGCAGCCCCTGCGGCACAGCCCGGCCCGGGGGTGTCTGGCTCGGGGTGGGCCGGGAGCGCAGGACCGGGAGGCCGGCCAGGACTGCCCCCCGGGCCCTCTCCTGGCTCACAGGGAGTGAGGGGCTGCGGGGCCCGGGATGGCCCTGGTCGGGAGCACCCCCCCCGAAGCCCGGGCAGACCGTGCACTCGTTAGCGCCTGCTCGTGCGGGGGGCGGACACGCGGGGCGTGGGGGGACGAGGGTGCAGGGGCGCTGGTGCGGGGGGTGGCGTGGGGGAGCGCCTGCATCTGCCGGACTCTTCGCTGTGGGTGTCCAGCCCGCACAGGGGGCGGGGGTGGGGGGAAGTAGTGGCCCCTTCCCCGGCCCTCAGGCGGAGGCGGTACCTCTCCGTACGTGAGGGTGTCGTTGTAGGTGCGCATCTCGGGGTACACATTCTCCAGGTACCACTGGAAGCTGCGGCACTTCAGCCTCTGGCGCAGGGCCCGCCGCTCTGACACGTCCCCGAAGTCCACCCCGGGGTTCTGCAGGGCAGTGCGGGCAGGGAGACTGCTGGGTGCAAGTCCCGCCTCTGCCCAGGACCCCGCCGGCCCAAAGGTGCAGGTGTGTTCTGAGGGGTCCTGCCTGGCCCCACAGCCCGGGCCCCCAGGAGAGGTCACTGCAGGGCGGCCCTGGTGCCAGCCAGGGCGCAGCCTGGAGGAGAGGCCCGGGCCCTGAGGGGCCCTGCCCCACTCTGGCTCCCTGAGGGGCCCTGCCCCCCCCCCCGCTCCCTGAGGGGCCCTGCCCCCGCTCCGGCTCCCCTTAGGGGCTCTGCTCCCCCTCTGGCTTCCTGAGGGGCCCAGCACATCTGAAGAGGACCTCGCAGCGGGGCGCCCACGGGCTACCTGGTGGCCTCTGCCTCGGCTCCCACAGGTCAGTGTGGACGTGGGGCTGTCTGGGGCCTCCCTGCTGGAACCCCAGAGGCTGGCTCCCAGAAGGGGCTGCGCCCTGGTAGGGGGCCCTGGCTGCCGGTCCCCCAGCTCCCAGCAGTCTCTGGGGGCGCTGATGCTTCCGGGCCGGGACCCCACTCGGCACTGGTGCCCTGAGCCGCAGACCTGCCCAGGCCTTGCGGGGGCCAGGCTGCCCGGCTGTGCGTCCAGGACCTGCCGCCCGGCCCCCGCTGCGTACGCTCATGGGGATGTTCCAGGCCATGTAGACGTGGGACTTGAAGCCGTCCATCCACACCTCGGCCGCCCGCAGCGCGTTGCGCTTGGCGTAGTAGTCGATGTCGTTGTTGTAGGGCTTCCTGGTGCGCTCGATGTGGGCCACGCGGGAGCAGGGCAGCACCTCCATGCTGCCGCCACACTGCCACACCTGGGGAGCACAGCACGCCCGGGGGAGCACGACGCACCCGGGGAGCCCCAGCACACAGCGGGATCTCCTGCCAAACTGACGTCCCTGCCGGCTACGTGGTAGAAGGACTGACTCTCCCGAGGAGCCGCTCAGACCCCGAAAGCTCTGACTAAACAAAACGGGTGAAGCGACCGACCACCCCGGCCCGCGCGGCTCAGCCCTAGCCCGCCGAGGAGCGTCCCGGCAGCCTGCACCCCGGGGGGGTGTCTCAGGCGGTCCCCAGCGGCTCAGAGCAGGAAGACGGCCACCCGTGAGCGGGCAGACGCCGGAGCCCACGTGGGTCCAGGGGCCCCCGGTGGCCGCCTGAAGCCGGCGTCCTCCCAAAGACGTCGGTGGACAGAGATGCTTTCCCTGCCAGCCGCAGGCCCAGTGGCCAGCAGGTGAGGGGGGCCAGCAGCAGGCGGGGGCTGCGAGGGCCTGGACATGCAGGTGCGCCGGGTGCAGCCCCGGGGGCTTTCCTGGGGACCGCGGCCCCCCCGCCGGGGACTCACCCGCATGCCCAGCTCGATGTTCTCCCCGCCGTACACCTCCATGCCCGGGTCCAACAGCCCGATGTCCCCGAAGTACTCGCGGTCCACCACGAAGGAGCAGCCGATCATGGCGGGGGTGCTGGGGAAGCAGGCTGGTGAGTGGGGCGCAGGCGCCCCGGCCAGAGGGCACACTGCCCCGCTCCCCGCCACCCCCTGCCCTCGTCCAGGGCCGGGCACCCGGCGGCCATGCCCGGGCTCACGCTGTCTCTCAGCTGCCAGGACACAGGCCCTGCCGCGCTCGGGAGAGGCACACCCAGGCCGGGCGCCCCCAAGCTGCCGCCGCGCCGGCCTCCCCTCCCAACCCCGCCCGCAGCCAGGACCGCCGCGGGCAGCTGCGCAGGCTACGCCCTGCACCCCACTGGCCCTCGCTGAGCGCAGCGCCCGCGGGGCGGCCAGGGGTGCCCAGGCAGCTGCGGGGCCGGTGTCTCGGCAGCGACTCTATCTGCGCACGGTGGGGCTGAGCGCGGGGCCCCGCAGGAGCCGCCCGGCCTGCGGGAGACAGCTCCGACTGCCCCCCGCCAGCGTCTGCGCCCCGCTGGGTCCTCACCCCTCCATGGGGTTCTCCCAAGCCCTGAGGCCGGCCAGCGGATGGGAGGAGAGAGACGCCCCCGACGGGCACCGGCGGAGGGAGGCCCCGCGGAAGGCTTTGCTTCCAAACCAAGGCGACCCGCTGCGGGGTGCCGAGGGTCTCTGAGCTCCCAGCGAGATGGCGGGGTCCAGCGCCCGGGGGGCGCGGGGGCCACGCTGCCCCTGCTTTGCCGGCTGCCGCAGGCACCAGCTCCGTGGAAGCCGGGGACCGCGCGGATCACAACCTGAAGGCTGCGGGGCCGCTCCCGGCGCGGGGAGCGGGGCAGGAGCTCGCGCGGGCCGCGGGGACCCCAAGGGCGACTGTCCCGTGTGCGCAAAGCCTGGCTGCTCCGTCCTCGTTTCTGGCCGCAAATCCCATGTAGCAAAAGTTTAAGGTCGTGTTGACGTTTGATAGCCGGCGCTTGAGCGCGGCCGTGGGTGCCGAGGCGCCTCCCCCGGGGATTCCTCTCCTCGTCTCAGCCGAGGGTCCTCAGAGCGCGGCCCCGGGCGCCGATCGATCGCCGCCCGCTCGGGCGCAGCAGCGCGATTCCCGCCGCGGCCGCCTCCACGACAGACCCGGGCTCCGCGGCGGGAATCTGGCCGCTGGCGGGTCTGGGTTTCGGGGGCGACCTGGCCTCCTGGGCGCGCTCATCTGGAGGTCCCGCCTGCCAGAGCTCCGGCCCGCCCCCGCCCCCTCCCGCCCCCCAGCTCTCCTCTGCCGCGGGTGTGGGGCCGAGGGGTGCAGGGCAGGGGCTGCCTGGAGGGCGCGGGCAGTGGGGGGTGTGGGGGGGCAGCCTCCCTCCGACAGGACCAGTCTCGCCTCAGGCTGTGTCCGGAAGCCCCTCCACAGGGAGGGGTGAGCGCGTTTGTTATGCTCAGTCTTGGGAACGTCCGGATCCCGGAGCGAGTTTTTGGGGGTCCACTCCTCACCTCCCAGAACCAGCCACGTATGGCCAGGTCATTTCCTCGTCTTTGATGCAAGGTTTTAAAGGGAAACAGTGCCTGGGGGGAGGGGGCGTCCTGAAGGAGGGGGGCACCCTGCAGGGACCCCAGCCCCCCGACCCCCAGGCCCTCCTAGGCGGGTGCCCGGGCGGTGCTGCGTGAGCGCCTGGAGCAGGGTGGGCCGGCCGCGGGGGGCCGCCGGGAGGCCACTGGGGGTCCGGCGGGGTGCTCCGGCGAGCCGTTCCTCCTGGCTGGCAGGGCCAGGCTTGGGCAGGCCCCTCGTCTCTCACCACCCTCTGCGTCCGCCCGGTACTTCCAGCCCCTGTGGACGTCGGGAAGCCCCGGCGCTGCTGACGGGTCCTGACCATCGGGCTCCCCGGGCCTCTGGGCCCCGACCACACCCCGCTCGCGCGGACGCCATCCAGGCCGGCCGCGGGCCTGTCTGTCCCCGGGCTGGGCGCCCCCGCCCCGGGCACGCTGGCCGCCTCCTGGGACTCGAGTCTCCGCCGGTTGTTTACTTGGGGTTTTGCGTCCGGCGATGCTGCGAATCGCGGGGTCCCCGCTGGGCCTCCTGGCTGCCGGCGGGGTTCACTGTGGCAGGCTGTCCCCGCGCCCCTCCTCGCTCGGCACCTGGGCCCCTCCCCCTCGGGCTGTCTCTGCGGGGCGCCCTGAACCCCCCCCCCCGCCCCCGCCTGCGCATCACGTGCTCTCCCTCCTGGGGGTCTCCCCTTGCCCTAGAGCCGGCCCGGCGGCCCGGCGCCCCCCTAGCGCCCGCCGCGCTCACCGGATGGGCGCGGCCTCATCCCCGCGGTCCAGCCAGTCCTGCGGCGGGATGATGTACATGCACCAGAGCCCCCAGTTGTAGCCGTGCGCCGCGCTGGCGTACTGCTGCACCTCGAAGGTGTCGTACTTGATGTTGTCGATGGCGGGAAGCACGATGCGCCGGCGGTCCTCCCGGATGCGCGCCAGGGCGGGCTCGGCCCTGCGGGAGCACCCCCCGTGAGGGGGGACACGGCCAGTGAGGGGGGCATGGCGGGGGGGCACGGTGGGGGCGGGGGGCGGCCCCCCTCCTAGCAGCCCCAGGCCCACTCTCCTGTGCTCCCCTCTGGGAGGCTGGGCCGCAGGCGGGTCTCAGGGCTCCAGACCCTCGGGCGCCCGCAGCTGCCGCTGATGGACCGGCCCACCCCGCCCTGGCCCGGGGAAGCCGGTCCGCAGACAGTGGTGGAACTGGAGCGTGAAGGCCCCGGCCCCGGGCCAGATGTGCGGGGGGGCGGGGGAGGGTTGGCGCCTCCCCCACAGCCCCTGCCCCTGTGACCTCCCACTGGCCCAGGGCCATCGGGGAAGCGGCACGGAGCCGCTGCGGGCAGAGGCTTCAGATGCGCCTTTTCTGCCCTCCCTGAGGCCTCGTGGTGCCCTTGAGTGGCGGCCTTGCCCGGGGCCCAAGGCGGCCCTGGGCATGCAGTGGACCCAGGGCGGGGGTCAGCCGACGCCGAGCCCAGCCCTCGCCACACCTGGGGGCTGCGGGCGCCTCTGGACGGCCACGGCACTCGGGGCCACAGGTCCCTGCTCCAGGCCTGTCCGGAACCTCTCCCGGCCTCACGGTGAGCCCTGGGGCCCCGGCCACACCCCCAGGGGTGAGAGCAGCGCGTGGACTCTGATCTAGACGTTTCGGGAGGAGGAGGGACGGCTCAGCCCTGTGTCCGGCTCTCAGGCCTCCCGTGGCTGACGCCGGTGGATGGACGTCGAGCCTGGGCACCTGGTCTGAGGCCGCAAGGGTCCTGGGGGAGCAGGTGAGGGAGTGTGCTCCCCGTCGGGGGGAGCCGCCCTGGACCGGAGCCCCCCACCCGCCGGCCGCCCTCACCAGCCCGCGCTGAACTCCACGTGCGCGTCGAAGAAGCCCACGACGGGGGCGGTGGCCGCCTTCCAGCCCTGCAGCCGCGCGCGGATCAAGCCCTCCCGCCGGCTGTTGCGCACGATCCTCACCAGGCCTGGGTACCGCCTGCCCACGTACTGCTCCAGGCCGGCCTTCAGCTCCGCTGCGGGCACAGGCAGCCTCACCAGGGGCCCCAGGCGCGCCCGGCCCCCGCTCCTTGAGCGGCCACGTGGCCCGGCAAGGCCCGGGAGGCCCCGGGGCCAGCCCCATAGACCACGAAGGAGCGGACAACTCGGGCAGCGGGGCTGGCAGGGCCAGGCGGGGGGTGCTGGGCGCATGGGGGGGCTGGGGGCATGGGGGCAGTTGGAAGTGCGGTGGGGGGGCGGGTCCTGCGGGCGCCAGGCCACCCACTCACCGTTGTCGCTGTTGTCGTCCACCAGGACCACCTCCTTGAGGAGCTGGGAGGGCGTGTGGTTGACCACGCTGTGGACCGAGCGCAGGATCACCGAGAGCGCCTCGTTGACGAAGATGAAGACCACGGAGATCTGGGGCAGGTCGGCCGAGTAGGTGAGGTGCCTGCACCTGCAGGGGCGGCAAGCCCTGCGGTTCGGGGTGCTGCACAGGGCCCCCTGCTGTGGCCCGGGGAGACCGACAGACCGCAGCGGCTCCTGAGGGGCAGGACGGCCGCTCTGCCTGGAGGACAGGGCTGTGGGGCCGTCCTGCCCTGAGGAGGGGCGTGTTGTGCGGTGCGGAGCGAAGCTGAGCAGGTGCTGGGAGGCCGGGTCGTGACGTCACAGAGCGCCGGCGAGCACTCTGGGCCCCCCAAAGCCCTTGGGCCCCCCCACCTGTGGGGTCTTCAGTCTGAGCCAGGAAGCTCTGGTGTTGTAGCCGCTTCTGAGAACGCTCTAGGAACACAACACCTCCATCTCTTTGGGGGGACCCCACTCCTGCTCCATATGTCACCCAGCCCTTGCACCCCCAAATACGAATATCAGTGGGGAGGGGGTGGACTTTGCACCCTCGTGGGCCGAGGCCCCTCCCAGCCCAGATGCAGCCAGCGCCGCCGGGAGCTGGGCTGTGCTTTTGGACCCCCGGAGACGCTCCACTCCCCGCACCCCCGGAGGACCCCCACAAGCCCCGCCCCTGCCTCCAGCTCCCGCCCTCCCCGCGTCCTTTAGCAGCAGCTCCAGTGCAGGAGCGGGGCAGGGCCCTGAGCAGTCACCAGCAGGGGGCGCTTGCGGCCTCCTGGGGCTCCTGGTCAGCGCTGGGGCTCCCTGCAGACTGGCGGGGTGAGCGCCAGTCACCCCTGGGCTCTGCCCAAAGAGGCCCCGGCCCGCAGCCCCCAGGCCCGAGAGCCGAGGGTCACACCTGCTGGAAGCAGCGGCCCGAGAGGCCGCTGGTGACCCACAAGAGCTCGGGCAGGCGCGTCCGGGGGCCTCCTGGGAGCGGCCACACCAGCAACCCTGGTGGAAATTTATGGGGACGCCCTCTATCCCCCCAGGGAAGTAACCGCAGCTGGAGAGAGAAGGACGGCAGGGGCCCCCCCCCCGGGAGCCGGGCCTCAAGCCGGGACAGCAGGGCCACATCCATCTCCCGCAGGGCCACCGGCTTCACAGCCACCCGGGAGCCCCCGCCAGGGCCGGGAGTGGCAGTTCTGGGTGCCACGGGCTCCTGCCCTCTGGACAGCGCTGCCCAGACCCCACACCCCCCATGGGCAGCCAGCAGCTCCAGAGCAGGCCCACCGGGCCGCCCTCCCCGCACACACCCGGAGGCCTGGAGGGGCCCGCGGGGGAGGAACCGGGCCTCCCCGGCAGGGACTGCACGTCCAACAGGGCTGAGACCCAGGGAGCAGCCCCGGCCGCTGGGCCCGTGCCCAGGCCAGCCCGCAGCGCGCAGCGACAGTCGGTCTGGTGAGGGCGCCAGCAGCACCGGGCACTCTGCGTGGAGCGGGCTGAGTCTCGGGAAAGGCGTCCATTTTTGTGATGCTGTTTAATTTGGACTCGCTCGACTTCCCTCCCGTGGGCCGGTCTTGTGTGTTTGTGGCTCACCGAGCGCTGCCCCATCAGGAGTGCTGCCCTCCGGGGCAAAGGGAGGCCCGCGGCGCATCCGGGAGGGAGGTAGAGCGCACGCTGGCTCGAGTGGGCGAGGGCGCTAGTTAGGGCGGGGACCGGTGTGCACAAGGTGTGTGCAGCCACACGGGTCCACACGCGCACGTGTGGTGTGCACACACATACACACGCTACCCACATGCACCTGTGCGTATGTGGCACACATCTCCCAGGCCCTGACACGCGTCTGAGGACACGTCTCTGGTGAGACAGCTCCCTGGCCAGCCCAGTGCCACCCTCAGAGCTTCAGCCCCGCCCCTCCTCCCTCCCCTTCCTGCCCTCCCACCCCGGCCAGGGGGCTCCACCAGAGTCTGGGCCACCTCCCCTTCCCCGACCACCTCCCCCTGCTGGGCAGTAGGTGTGTGAATGTTCGTCCCCAGGCCCCTGCTGCAGGGGCGGAGCCACACTCACTTTTTGGGCCTGTAGTCGGGGATGGTCCGGTCCAGGGAGATGCGGTCGCTGAGCTGCGCGTTGTATCCATACTCCTCGAACTTGCTCTCCGCCTCCAGGCTGTCGTCCCGCAGTGTGGCCGCCACGCCACCCTGGCCCAGGCCGCCCGGCCCCTCCACCAGCCCCATGGGCTTGGCGAGGCCTGCGGACAGGACGGTCAGCAGCCTGGGAGCCCAGCCCCCCCGGCCTCTCCCCAGCCTTTCCACAAGGCTCAGGCGCCGCAGACCCTCCCCTGCAGGACTCCCGCTTCCGGCTCCCAGAGAAGCCAGACCCGGTTGGGAGGCAGGGGAGGTGGAAGGGCCCAGGCTCTGGCCGGAAGCCGCTCGGCGCCGTACTGCAGGGCGGGCCGGAGCCGCAGAAGGCGCGACATGGTGGAGCCTAGTTACAAGTTTCTCATCAGTTGAGCCAAAGCTGCCACTTGGCGCTGCTCCCGGTGGAGGAAGCTGTCAGGGGCTCTGCTTGCCCCACCTTATTTTTCCATACCCCCCAAGCTGCTCTAAGAAGTGCAGCGCATTAATTTTTAAAACAGAAAATAAAAATGAAATGAATTTTAAAATGCAAAGCCGTCCTCAGGCCGCAGCCCAAGGCACCTGCTCGCGGGCGGTGTCCCTGGGGCAGGCGACGGCCCCCACCCGCGGGGCCCGCCGCAGCCCAGCGCCTCCCGGCTCTCGTCCGATGTTAGGGCTGTTTGCTGAGGCTGGACTTGAAGTGCCGGACACAGATCCCGCCCGGGCTCTTCCAGGCCCGCTGCTTCCAGGGGCCAGGGTTGGTTCTGTCGCGGCCGGCAGCACAGCCCTTGTCTCCTCACTGGAAGGGCCTTTCTCGCTACTGGAAGGTCACACGTGCCCACTGCAGGGCACTCGGGAGGCCCAGAGGACCCTGGGCCCGCCACGAGCGGCCACACCAGGTCGGGTCAAGCGGCAGGACGTGCCTGTGAGGCCGCCACGCACGGCCCGCGTCACGGAGGGGGACTAGGCCTTCTTGGCGCCCGCGTGAACTTGCCCGCTGGGCTGGGCCGTTTCTTTCTTCATCTGCTCGTGAGAATGTGAGGCGCCCCCTGGGGGCCGAGGCGGGGTGGGGGGGAGGCCGGGGCGCACCCGTCTCTTTCTAGCCCTCCCCGCACTTGGCTGGTGCTCCGAGGGGAGGGCCGGGCGGCCGGGGCTGCGCGTCTTCCTGGGGACCCGCTTCCGCCATCATCATTTCTATCCTTAAAGTCACCTTCGTCCTGAACCCTCCCTCCCGCGGACGCCGACGCAGCCTGGCAGGGCCCGGGCCGGGGCTCCTAGGCCCTTCCCCGTCTCTTCCCTTCCGGCCTTTCTGCCTTGTTTGCGGCGCCCCCACAGGTCAGCGGTCAGTGCCCACCCACCGCTCCCCGGGCCCTGGATTAGCCCTGTCTGAAGCCCCCCGCTGTCCCCCACTACAGCCACCCCTAGGAGGCCCACACCCTCCAGCCCCCCCGGCCAGGTGTCCCTCTGTCCTGCCGCCCCATCCCCGCCAGTGGCCTGCTCTGGGGTCCAGCGGCCACGCTTGAATTGCCGTTGCCCTCCCCTCTTGGGGGGCTCCAGGCCAAGGCCGCGGCCTCCTCCCACACCAGCCCGGCCCTGCCCTGTCTCCTGCCACACCCACATCATCGCCCTTGGCCCCAACTCCCTCAGGGTCCGGTTTTCTTCCCAAGTTGCCCGTGGGGGGCTTCTCCCAGGACCCCGCGGCCGGGCAGCACCTCTGGTCTCCCCTCCCGCTGGGCCCGTCTTCCCTCACCCCCTTCATGAGGTGAGTTTTCATCCCCCGCCGCTCGGGTCATGGCATCACCAAGTGCTGAATTCTAGGGTGACAATTAGCTCCTCTTTCTTCCCTGCCTTTCCTTGCCTTTTCTTTTTTGTATAGAAGAGCTGGGGTGCAGGCCAGAGATGCGGGCGTGAGAGGACTCCCCAGAGACAGAGTGGGGAGCAGAACAGGCAGAGCCACTGAAATCCCCTGCTGAGGGGAGCAGCGGGGAGACAGGAGAGGTCTGCTGTGGCCTGGGGGTCACTCCCCAGCCGGGGACAGGTTCAGGCCCCAGGGGTGACAGCCTGAGACTGACTCTCAGGCCAGCAGGGAGGCCCCGCTTCCTTGGGGTTTGTAAACGCCCCCGGGTGCTCCACTAACAGCGCAGGCTTACAAAGAGTTAAACGGCTCTAGGTGCTGGCCATGTGTGTGGCCTGCTGAGGAGTGTCCACCCCGGCCCAGGAGGGTGGGCGCTGGGCTGGCAGAGCAGAGCTGGGCTGGCCAGGCTGCTCCGTGGCAGAGGCCTGTAGGGGGCTCACAAGGGTCCATCTGGCTGGGTGTCCAGGCACGAGGGTGTGGGGGCAGCTCAGGGTGTGGGGAGCAGTTGACAAGGTGGGGAGGAGATGCAAAGGCCCCGAGGATGCAAGCACGTCTCCAGCGCCCTGCAAGTCCCGCCTGACCCAGCCCTGTCGCACCCAGGGTACCTGCCTCCAGAGCAGCCTCAGCTCAGGCCCCAGGAGACCCCTCAGGAGGCACTGGCCCATGAGCAGCTTAGGGGGGCTCCGGTAGCCCCCATGCTGTTGCCCGAACGGGAAGGACTTCTGTGTGCAAAGACCACTGTGCCCACAACAGTTCTGCTTTTCTGCAATTGTCATTTGAAGTCCTCGCCCGCGACTTGAGGGAATGCACTTTTCTAATGACAACAGACAGTGTGGAGGGCACTGCAGGGGGAGTGCTGCTGAGACGGCCTCATCGTCTACTGCTGTGCTGGTCCGCGGCAGGGAGACTGCGGCAGGGGCCGGGAAGGGCGCGCGGCGGGCCTGGGGCAGGCTCAGCTGGAGGTGAGGGCGAGGGGACGGCCTGGGACAGGCTCAGCTCTCCTGACACTGTCCCTCCAGGGCCTTGAGGGACGTGACCTGGACGTTTGTGATAAGCTGGGACTGTGCTCGGCATCTGTGCGGGGGTGGGTATGAGGCTATGGGGCATGGTGGGGACTGGGGTAACGGGCGCACTGTACCCCTCGCCGGGGTCACTGCTCCAGACACGATGGTCAAAGAGGCAGAACTGCCTTCCAGGGAAGGCAGCGCTTCAGGTTTATGCCCAGAGGCCAGCAACTCGCTCGCCACCAGGGCCTCCGCTGCTGGCCAGCCCAGCGGGTGTAGACATGGCTCCAGGGGCGTCCGGCTCGGATCCCTGGCTCTGTAAATGGTGACAGCTTTGCAGGGCACATTGATGACCCAGGTGAGAGAGCAGTGCTCGAGCTCTGGTGCAGAGGTGAAGGGGGGCTGGCAGGGAGGGGCTGGGCCCTGCCGGGGACACTGCACGCTGGCCCCACGCTGCCTGGAGGCGAGTGCAGCATCCTGCCCGCTTCACAGGGGAGGGAACGAGGCCGGCCCTACTTGCTGCCCCGTTGGCCATGTCAGGGTGAGGCCTGGTGTCGTCTTTGGGTGAATGTGCCCCCCGCGGCCTCACCTGGGTGGGCCTGTGACCTCCTGGGCAGCCGGTGCCCCAAGAGCGTCCCTGTACCTGGACGTGGAGCCGCAGCAAACTCACTCATGAGGAGGGAGACAGCAGAGGGAGGGGAGGCCGCAGAGACCCTTGGCAGGCACTCTGCTGCTGCCCAGTGCCTGCTGTCCAGTGCCTGCTCGCTGGACATGCGAGCAGCCCCAGTGCCCCCTCCGCAGGCAGGGCCTGGGGCTAATGTCTGCTCCGGAGCACTTAGTGGAATTGGCTGGGTGGAGTTTCTGAAACGGGTCAGAAGGCGCAGACCTGCCGGCACACGGGGCTCCGTCTCCCCTGTCTCGTCATGGCGCACCCCGCTCCTTCCCGCCCGGACTGGGATGCAGTGCCCGAGGGATGCAGTGCCCGCCGAGGCAGCCACTGCGCGGCCAGAGGCCGGAGGCCACACGGGGGACGGGCCTGGGTGGAGTTCAGAGGGGCAGCTCCCGGGGCTGGGCCCCGCCTCCGGCGTTCCCCGTGCAGTCGGGCACATCCACGGCTGCGTCACCCTCGCGTTCTCTCCGCCAAGGAAGCGGGAAGGTGAGAGATGAGGGGCGCCCACCGCTGCGCGGCCCCGCCAGGCAGGAGGCCCCGGAAGCAGGCACAGCTGCCCATTCCTGGCGCCGCCTCCCCCAGAGCCCCGTGGGCGGCTGCGATGCTTCGGGGAAGGAAGTGCAGCTCCCGGCTCCCGGCTCCCGGCTCGCCGAGCCCCGTTTCCATATGTCACGGGGCCTGAAGCCAACTGCAGGGGCCCGGGGCTGCGGTCAGAGGCCTCTGAGAGGCGGCCCCGGCACAGCACCCTCGGCCTGGGCTGGGCCTCTGGCCGCCCAGAGAGGGGACTCGCTGCAGCCGGGGCCGACCTGTGCCCCAAGACGGCTCAGCTCCAAACAACAGCCAGATCAGCTTCCAGGAAGCCGCAAACCCTGGCCAGGAGGGTGGGGTCACCAGGCTGGGCGTGGGGGCTGCAGGGGGCCTGGGGGATCCTCTCTCCGCGGGAGCAGGCCTGGCCCGCCGCCCCCCAGCCTCAGCCCTGAGCGGGCGGGAGGGCCGCGGACATGCAGAGGAGCCTCCGGAGCCGACGCGAATCTCGTCGGCCCCGGAGGACGCCCGGTCACTCGGGACACAGGACACAGGCCCGGGACGAGACAGGCTCTGCCGCCCGCCCCTGGCATCCTCCACCTGAGACCGCTTGGCTCATGTGGGCCAGGCAGCGGGGGCCGGGCCCGATGCGTCCTCCCTGCGCCTGTGACCTCGGCGGGGCTGGGGCCCCACAGAGCAACGCCCGCTGCCGAGGCCGCTTCCGCCACCAGGACACGCAGGGCGCCGACTGCCAGCACCCACCCAGCGTCGCAGGGCACGGGGGCGGGCACCGTGCGGCGTGTCCCCCGCCAGCTCCTCCCTCTGTGTGCTGCAGGCGCAGCCGCTGACCGCCCCCCACGCGGGGCTCCGCGCCCCCAGCGAGCAGCAGGAAGGCCGCGACTGGACATAGGTCAGGGGAGGCCGCGGCGCGGACCCGGCGGGCATAGCCTACGCTCGTGCTGGCCATTGTGGGGGTTCACGGCCCTGGCCGGGAGTTCGGGAGCCGCTGGACACACCGGGCAGCCCCACGCAGGCACCCCCTCCCGCCTGCGTGGTGGTGCAGGGCCTGTGGTCTGGGCAGGCCTGGCTCAGCATGGGGCCCCGCCCTGCCGGCCCCTCCCCTGTGCCCCGGCGAGCCCTCAGCCAGGACAGGAGGAGCCACAAGAGCCCACGAGGGGACAGAGTGAGGGTGCTGGGAGCTGAGGCTCTGGGTGCCCGGAAAGTGGGGGCCAGGTCATCCCAGGGGGTCCTGTTGGGCGGGCCCAGGGCGGACCTTTCTCCCTCTTTCCTGGCTTCTGAGGACAAGGGCGCCGTCCCCGCATGCTGAGGCCCCTGATTCCCAGCAGGCGCTACGGGCAAACGCACGGGGGTGGGCGGGTATGGACGGACGGACGGATGGACTGACGGTGGGTGGGAGGGGCTGGGCCCTGCCACCGAGGCCCTTAAAGTAGCCAGGACAGGAGCTTCTCTTTCTGGGGAGGTGATGGCGGGGGCATGGCTGCCAGGGCCTTGCAGGCAGCAGACGACCAGCACATAGGGTGGCGGGGATCCCGTGTGAGACGCCCCAGCTCCGCAGGGTCTCCAGAGCTGGGACCGGCCTGGCCCCTCCCGCCCTTGGTCCCTGGGGCCCTGGGCACAGTTTCAGAGAATAGAACTGAGCACCGGCCGGCTAGGGCCGCGGCCTCTGTAGGGGACCTGGCTTCGCCTGGACATCAGATAAGAGAACGCAGAGACTTATTTTTGTGGACTTTCCCGTCAAGGAAGGGCAAGGCGTCCTCAGGAAACAGCCCTGAGCCTCTGAAGTATGCAGATTGCTGAGCTGAACTGTAAATGCAATCACCAGGGCCCCGGCTGGCGACTGCCCCTGCACGCCTGTCTCCACGGAGCTGCGACCCCTGCCTGGCCCACCCCCCACACACAGCCCCCGCAGACGCAGCCCCCCAGATGCAGCCCCCGCGCCCACCTGCATCCCCCAGTGGAGCAGGTGAGGGCGAGTAGCTGGTGTGAAGCTGTTCTGCCCCCCAGGTCTGCACAGCTGCCCTCTGGGACAGGCCGGCGGGCCCAACTCATCTGTGGTCTGACGGGCCGGAGCCAGCCCGGCCAGCGGAGAGGGACGAAGCCAGACTCAAAGGCTCGGGGGTGCCGGGCGGGGCGGGTCTCCGGGGCTGCACAGCTGCGGGTGCGGGGCGGTGACCAGTGGGCAGCCCAGCAGGGCGGCGGGGCGAGACGTAGCCCCGTGCCCCGCCGTGGGAGCTGGGGAGGCCGTGGTTCTGGGCAGGACGGGGGGGCAGAAAATGGGCCCAGAGCTCAGCCCCGTTGTCTCGTGTGCTCGAGACCCCGACGTCCTTGAAGAGAAGCCGGCCTGCCCCTGCCAGCGCCCCTTAGTCTGCCCTCCGGGGGACGCACAGCCTCTGGCCGAGGTCCAGGCGCGGCCCACGGGGCTCAGGCTGCTGCCCTCACCGCAGGGCTGATGGGCACAGCGGGGGGACGGCTGCCGCCTCTCAAACCTTCATTTTAAGGCAAAGCGCTGACTCCAGAGAAACCTCCGCGTGCAGCCAGTGTCGCTCGAGTGTCGGCGAGCACCGGCCGAGGCTGCCTGGCCCGAGGCCCCGCGTGCAGCGGCCCAGGGCGCCTTCCGGAGCAGCCGGCACCGGCCTGCAGCTCGCCCGCCTGGAGCCCCCACAGCAGAGCCTCCCGCGGCCCGCGAGCCGCTGGCCATTCCCTTGGGGGGCAGGAGGACCCGGAACCGCCTCCTGCTCCCTCCGCAAGCCGAGGGGCCGGAGCAGGCGGCCGGAGCAGGCGGGGGCTGAGCTGGGAGGCTGCGCCCTCGCCCTCGGCTCGCCCGAGCCTTGCCCGCTCACCGGCCCCCGCGCAGGGCCCCGGGATGGCCAGGAAGTGGGGACCCCCCCGGCTGCTGCGACCCGCAGGCTGCTCCTGCTGCGCGGCCCTCCAGTGGGCAGTGGGGCCGGAGACGCGAGTGGGAAATCCATTCTGCCCCGGATTCCTCCCCGGCCCTCGAAACTCAGCGGGGTCAGGTCAGGCGGAGACTCCAGGAATCAGCCTCACGTGTGGAGGCTCAACCGGCCGGGGCCCAACCGGCACCCCGGGGTCCCTGCGAGGACCCTCGCCGCCTCCAGCGCCACTCGCAAGGGCTGCCGAGCCCCGGCCCCCTCTGGGACCAACCCGGCCCGTTAGGGGGGCCTCGTGTGTTCCAGGAGCGAGTGCCGGAGGCTCCTGCATAGAGCGAGGCTCTCCCCAAAGAGGCAGGCGGGGAGGGGCGGGGGGAGGGGTGGGGGAGGGGAGACACAAAGGGGAGCAAAGTGAAATGGGGGACACGGGAGGGCCGCGAGCAGGGGCGCTGGTGGAAGGGGTGTGTGGAGCAGGGGAAGGGAGGAGAGACACTGAGGACGCGAAGCGATTTGGTGAGAGGGGGAAAGACTTTCCCAAAGGCAGGAGCAGGGGCTGGCGGGGAGGGAGGGGCCCGTGGGGGGCTGTCTGGGGCCGTGGCCTGCGATGGGGCCGGGGCAAGGCAGGGGCCACATCCCCTCCCTGGCAGAGGCCAGCTCCCGAGAGCCAGGCTGCGACCCGCCGAGGCCCGACTGCCAGCGTCCTTCTGTACCCTCGGCCGCCCCCTGACGCTGGCCACAGCTGCCACAGCCCCGCGCGCGGCCGAGGGCACAGCTCCGGGGGGTCGCGCCAGCTGGAGGCTGAAGGAAACTTTCTCCCTCCTCTGCTGGGCTGGGAGGGGAGAAGCCGGCATGCTCAGACCCCCGGAGGGGGCCATGTGCTCTGGGAGAACCCGGAGGCCCGAGGCAGCGCTGCCCCCCAGCCCCACTCCGAGCTGCCCCCACCCTCCTGCTGGAAGCCAAGACGCCCCCGGGGTGCCGCCTGGGCCAGAGGAGGCTTGCAGGGGTGCCCGGAACAGCCAGGGCAGCAGGAGGAGCCCACAGAGGGGTGGCTGGGTCTTCCCCTCTGCACGGAGAGGGAGGCCAGAGCCCTGGCCCTGCCCCTCACACCAGAGGGCACACCTGCCGCGAGGCCAGACCCTGCCTGGCCCCAAGCTTGTCCCGGGGCAGCTCCCTGCAGAGCCCGGAGCCCGGGGGGAGGTGTCCAGGTCGCAGTGGTCACTGGCTCATCCCCTGCAGAAGCGGCCACAGGCCGGGCAGCTCTCTCCCCCCACGCCTCTCCCAGGAGGCTGAGGCTCCCTCGCACAGTGCACCCGTGTGCCCCACGGCGGGCCTGGGGCCGCTCCGGAAGCTTCTCAAGTTCCCTCTGGAAGGCTGGAGCCGCGGCCGCGGGGTGGGGGGGCCGCCGTCCGGCACCCCCAGCCGGACGAGCCGTCACCCTGGCAAACGCCTCTGCCCAGGCCTCCTCCTTCCTGCTGCCCCCGGCCTCTCCCTCCCCAGCAGCGGCTTGAGTTCCGCCCGTGGCCACCGGGCCCCTGAGGCGGGGGCAGCGGGACTGCGCGGAGGGCTGCCCGCCGGGGTCCCCGGGCGCCGCCGGCCACTCACCGTTCAGCTGGCGGTAGACCACCTCCTCCAGGCGGTCCAGGCGCTGCAGGATGGCCTCGCGCTCGGCCGGGGCGCCCCCCGGGGCCGGCCGGCCTTGCGCCCCGGGGTCCGCGCGGCGCCGCGCGTCGGGGCGGCCGTGCAGGCGGCAGCACACGGAGAAGAGCACGATGCCCGCGAACGCCAGGATGTTGACCGTCAGCAAAGTTCTGACCCTCCTGGCCAGCGCCATGCGCGCGGCGGGCGGCGCGCTCACCCGCGGGGCATCCCGGCCGGCCGGCCCGGCCCGCCCGGCCCGGCCCGGCCCGGCGCTGTCCCTTCAGCACCGCCGCTCGGCGCGCCCGGCCGGGGCGGCGCGCGGGGGCTGCCCGGGGCCGCGGGCGCGGGGGGCGGCGGGCATCCTCCGCCGAGGGCGCCGCCCCGTCTGGGGCGCGGGGGCTGGGCCGGGGCGGCGAGGGGGCGCGGGCGGCGGGCGCTCGGGTCGCCAGGCGGCTCCTGCCCGCCCGCAGCCACCGCGCCGGTGCGGAGTGACGCGGCCGCAGCAGCAGGCGCGGGCCCGCCCCGCCCGCCCGCCCCGCACCCCGCCGCCCCGCCCCCGCCCCCCGCGCCCGCCCCGCCCACCCGCCCGCACCCCGCACCCCCACCCCCACCCGCCCCCCGCGCCCCCACCCGCCCCCGCACCCCGCCGCCCCGCCCCCGCCCGCCCGCACCCCGCCCCCGCGCCCGCCCCGCCCGCCCGCACCCCGCCCCCCGCACCCCCACCCGCCCCCGGCGCCCCCACCCGCCCCCGCCCCCCGCGCCCGCCCCCCGCGCCACTCGGGGCGCAGCGTCCCGCAGGGTCGGGGCGGGTCCGGCGCGGGCTCCTGCGCGCTCCCGGGCGCGGCGGGGGGCGGGGGGCGCCGCGCGCTCTGGGGACCTGAACCGAGGGCGTCCTCGGCCGCTGGGCGCGGGCACCTCCTCCCCGCCCCTCCCAAGGCTCCAGACCTGAGAGAGGCGCGGGGCCTGGGGGGGGGTCAGGCGGGTGTCCGGAGCGCGCAGGGGGGGCGCGGGGCGGGCGGTCAGAGTCCCCTTCTCAGCCCAGGGAGCCGCGGGCCCCCTGCTCCCCTCTCCGGCCGAGGCTGAGGCCGCGCGGCTGATTCAAGGGCAGGTGGACAGCAGGAAGTTGGGGGGCAGCGGGCCACCTCCAGCTGAACCCCACACCCAGCCCTGGAGGGGAGGGACCTTCCCTGGGCCTCACATCCGCCAGGGCTTGGGCCGCAGACCTGGGAGCAGAGCGCGCCCGCCACACCGCCCGCTGCAGCCCCAGAGCATATTCCACAGAGGAGAAGCCGCCGCCCTCCAGGGAGGGCCGGGCCAGAGCCGCGGGCAGGCTGGCGAGTCTGGCTCCCCACTTCATGACACACTCGGGGTGTCGGCGGGTCGGGGCTCAGCGAATGTTTGCTGAGTGACTGAAAAAGGAGCGTTTATTGCACAGAGATGAACACAAGGTCCGCGAGCCTCGGCGCTCTGGGCCGCGGTGTGCACGTCCCCGTGCCCGTGTGCGTCTGTGTGTCTGTGCGTGTGTCTGGGGGCGGCACATCAGGTCTTCCAGCCACCCGCCCCCAGCCCAGGATGCTCCTCCAATGCCCCCTCGTGGCTCAACCCCTCATCCCGGCAACTCAGCATCCGGCACCCCTCGGCAGAGGCTGGAAGGGCCGGGACGCCCGCTTCGCTCTGCCGCCAAGACTTTCTTTTCTTTTTCAGGACATTTGTTGCAAGACGCTCAGGGACCTGCCCTAGGGCGGGGTGGGTTTGGGGCTCCCGTGCTCCCTGCAGGAGGCCGCGCCGGCCTGTGACCGGGAGTCGCTGCTCGGCCTGTCCTGACGCGGGGCGGGCAGGCGGCCGGCGCCCTTCCCAGCCGGGGAAGCCCAGGCAGCAGGCGGCTCGCGCCTTGCTCAAGGTCCCGGCGGCGGCCAAGCCTGGGTCTGGCATTCAAGCCCAGGCAATGGGGCTCCAGAATCCAGTTTTTTAGCCATCGTCGCTCAAGGAAAACCAGCTCTCTCGCGAGTGGTCGTCGGAGCGGGCGGTGAGGTGGTTTTGCGGGAGAAGGCGGGGTCTCGTGTGCGTTGTTGTGCTGCTTCTAAATGCAACAGGCTATTATGTACCTCGAGTTTGCCTAAACTTCATTCCAAGAACAAGCCCGCTGACCTGGGGAGATCTGGGGGTCTCTGCGGGAAAGGGGGTGCGTCAAATGTCCAGCAAACAGCACGTCTGACTCCCCAAGCACTCTGGGAGCAAGAGGCAGCCCCTCCGGGCCCCACCTCCTCCCTTGACAGAGCCTGCTCACTGCCCCCCGCCAGCCTGCCGCGGGCCTGGCTGGAGCTGGCACCCTCTGCAGGGCAGTGTCGCTGGCAGCCAGGGCTGGCCCTGGGCTGGGGCTACACTCTGGGGAGGGCGGTCAGCAGAGGCGAGAGAGCAGGACCCAGCACCGGGCCACCCCGTCATCAGACCGCCGTGCCCGGCGTCCAGTGGGGAGCACTGGGTCACGGCGGAGCCCTGGGCCTGGCCTGGGCGTGGACGGCACCTGGTCATGACGGCATCCTTGTCCCGCAGGAAGGAAGGCCACGTCTCCAGGGTCTCGGCAAGGACATGCCCTTGGGCAGGCTGGACGCATGGAGCAGCCTGGGGCCAGGCAAGGCTGCCTGTCCATGCCCCCTGGGGCCAGCGGGGAGTGTGGGTGGTGGGGCCCAGGCCAGGGGAGAGCAGGAGCCTCAGCGGCACCAAAGCTCACCGCCTGGCAGTCAGACCCGCGACCCCACGTGCCTCGGGCCAGCGCCGCTGTGCCGTGGACCGAGCGGGACGGCGGGGGTGGGGTGGGGCGTGAACCCTGCATGTGCCTGCGGGGCCTGAGGCTGCTCTGGGGAGTGGCGCTGGACCCCCTCAGCCTCCAGGAAATCTGAAGTATCAGACCTCCCTTTACCAGGCCCCAGGGAGAGCCCTGACTCTATCAGCTGCCTCGGCGCAAGCACTCTAGGGAGACACGATGTCTGGGGGCACTCAGTGGAGGTTCTGGGGTGCTGCCTGCTCTCCCAAGTCCAGGGCCTCGCGTGAGACCCGCTCAGGGTCACGTCTGTCCCCCGCTCCGCTGCAGGGAGTGGTCTGAGTCTGAGCAGCGGGTGTCCACAGAGCTGTGTGGGGTCCATTCACTCGCAGTGGGGCCTGCGTGGGTGACGCCTGGTGGCCCACAGTTGCCCACCCGCAGGGTGTCCTGGGGCGGTGGCGGAGGGCAGAGAGCTGTGGCCAGTGCCACCCGCCCCCTCAGGCAGGAGAGGCCGGCCCAGCGGGTAAGGGGGTCGGAGGGGAGGGCCAGAGAGGACATCAGCGTCAAGGGGAAGCGGAGAGAGACAGAGACAGGCAGAGGGAGGGAGACAGGCAGAGAGGAAGGTTTTCATGGTGTTGTTTTCTGCTCTTTTCTCCCCAAAACACCAGGGGCCACAGACCCGCCTTCCTGGGTACGAGTTGCCCAGCTGAATGTCCCCTCCCCGCTGCCCGGGTGTCTCAGGCCCATGTCCTGGAGGAGCCCGAGGCCAGGGCTGGCCGGTCTGCCCCGCTGGCCTTCCAGGGTGCCCCGGGTGTGTCGTCCCCACCCTGACAACCCCGCTGCTGCCCTCACCACTTGTGTCAGGGCCCTCGCCCCAGGCAGAGGCGGGGGTCGCCCGCAGGTGCCCCCAGGACCGGCTCTCCCACGCCCCGCAGCAGGGAGTGCAGCTGGGCCCCTGAAGCCGCGTCCCCATATATGTCCAGTGGCGCTGCCTGAGGCGGGGCCTGGGCCGGAGAGCGGCCCCTCCTCCACCCTGGCGGGGAGAACGCCCCGGGGACCTGTGCTGTGGCTCCCCCCACCCCAGGGCCTCCCGCCGGCGGCCTGAGCGCTGATGTCCGGTTTGTCGTGGCTCTCCCGCCCCAGCAGAGGCGCCTCCACCACCCACCCGCCCGAGTCCTGGGGGTCCCACCTCCTCCCCATCCCTGGCTCCGGCACGCACCTGGGGCGGGGAGCACCTGGGGGGAGGAGCACCTGGGGGGAGGAGCACCTGGGGGAGGAGCACCTGGGGCGGGGAGCACCTGGGGGGAGGAGCACCTGGGGCGGGGAGCATCTGGGGGGAGGAGCACCTGGGGGGAGAAGCACCTGGGGGGAGGAGCACCTGGGGGGAGGAGCACCTGGGGCGGGGAGCCTCTGGGAGGGAAGCACCTGGGAAAAGGCGAAAAGGTGCACCTGGACGGGGCAACATGGGGAAGGGGCGAGTGAAGGAGGTGGAGCGCTGCCCCGGCTGGCGGTGGCCGGCCGGCCTCTGACTCCAGGTGCAACCCGTGGCCTCCCACGCGAGTCCAGGGCACGCTCCTCCTCTGTGAACGGATGGGCCTAGCTCGGCCGCTCGGCACTGAATCCGCACCTCTGGGCGGGTCTCACAGGCGATTGCGCTCTGCTCCGGGGAGGGGCAGCGAGCCCCTGCTGGGCTGACCTGCCCCGGCCGCCAGCCTCTGCACACACCTCAGCCAGACCCCGGAATAACCCACGACAACCCAGCTTTTAAAAATCTGGGCTGCTTTGGGCCCGGGGGAGGTGGGCTCCGTGAGCTCGAGGCCGGGGCCCCTGCCAAGTCTCCCTGCTATGTAATTTAATCTAATTGATCAATTAAATCCAAATAATTTTTAAACAGGCTATAATAACAGTTATATAACTTGGACGACATATAATTTTCTTAATGACCTTATCAAAGGAAATTGCTCCTGGGACTCACTGTCGGGGACCCGGCGGCCCCCCAGCTTCACAGGCGCACAGGGCGGAGGCGGCCGTCTGCCTCACGGCCGTGTCCCTGGCCTTCCTCCCTGCCCTGACCGGTGCCCACGCCGTGCAGCTGCGGCGCCGGGCCGGGAGTGCCTGCGCTCCTGCTGCGGGGCCTGGCGGGTTGCGGGGACAGCGCAGGGGGCCGCCGGCGGCCGGCGCTGGCCTCTGTGTGTGGCCAGGGCGGGGCAGGGAGGTGCAGCCCAGGGACCAGCCGTGTGCATCAGCTCAGGAGAGAGCTGCCCAGCACCGGGTGCCCAACCGGACGCGGGTGCTGAAGGCGAGCGTCAGGAGGGCGGGGCCCTGAAAGAGGACCCAGGCCTGGGGGGGCAGGCAGCCGGGGCCCCCAGGCCCCCACTGTCTAGTCTCCAAAGAGGAAGGAGCTTCCAGCAGCCGAGCCTTGCAGGGCAGGG